ATTTTTTCGTCCAAATCGGGAACCAAAGTTTCGCCGGCGTTCTGCGAACCCGATTGTAATTGCTCCGCTCGTACCTTGCTACGTAACTAGAGTACCTATAGCTTATACGTAACTATCTAGAGAACTATCTTTACTATAGCTTTATTATTTATAGTAACGCGTTATACGTGTTACTAGTTCTATTTACTAAAAAGCTAGAGAGAGAATAGAGGTTCTACGTTAACTATTAAAAGCTTAACGCTATTATAAAAAAAGACGTTTATTCTATCTCTTTTATCTAGAAAACGCTTACCTACTTATTACGCGTAAAGGTCTTTATAAATTTAGATATTTAGTAGACTTTCTATAGAATCTAGCTTAATAAGTTAGTAGAGAACCTAACTTCTTTCTATATATAATATAGTAACTATAAGTATTATATTCTACTCTTTAGTCTTTATAATAGCTCTACTACCTTTTAGTAATATATTAATAAGATATTATATAGATTACTAGATAATTTCTATATAGTATATATTAGTAATATTCTTATTTACTTAGAAGATTCTCTAGAGTATAAGGCTTATATTACTAAAATACTTAATTAACTATATAAGACTAGATTATAAGTAGATATTAAGAAGTTAGAATTTACTATTAAGAGTACTAAGTTTCTAGAATTAATTATAAGTACTAATAGAATCTAGAAGAACTCTAAGAAAGTTACTACTATTTAGAATTAGCCTATACTAAGAACTCTTAAGAGCCTTTAATTATTTCTAGATTTCTATAATTTCTATTAAGCCTTTCTAAAAGATTATAGTAGAATTATCTATCTACTTACTAAGCTACTAAAATAGAAAGTATAGTACGCCTTTAGTAAGGCTAAGCTTATAGTATTTTAGTACGTTAAGAATCTTATACTAGCTAATAATATTCTAGCTTACTACTCTCTCTACTAATAAACTAGAGTTAAGATAGACGTATTAGATAGTATAGTTACTAGAGTTCTTTTATAGCTTTAAGAGAATAGTATCTAGTAACCTATAGCTTTCTTTAGTAAGATAATAAATACTATCTAGATAAATTATAGTATTTATAATAAAGAAATACTAGTAGTTATTCTTAGTATATAGAAATAGAGAAGCTAGCTAATTAGTCTATAAGATCTAGAACTATTTATAGTATTAACTAACTATTAAGCTCTAGAGTACTTTATAACTAAGTAAGAACTTACTATAAGGTAGATCTACTAGACTAATAATATTACTAACTATAACCTTAAGCTTATCTATTAATCTAGATTAGCTAATATAGTAGCTAACGCGTTATTATAAAAGTAGAAAGAACTTAAGACCTAAAAGAAGAAGAATTATACTACTTATACAAGAGCTTTTCTAAGTAAGAAATAAATTAGCCTCTCTACTATTAAGTAAATTTTAGGTAAGCTAGCTACTCTAGCTATTAAGAAGCTAGTAAGTAGCATTATAGAAATTACGTCTACTAATACCTTTATAGAGGTATCTTCTATAGAGAATTTCTATACTATTATTAACTAGGTTATTACTACTAATTAATTAGATAAATTTCTATAGCTAGCTTAAGAAAAAGCTACTATATTAGGCTTTGCCTAGAAAATAGAAGCTAGCTTACTAACGTATTAGAATTAATTAATAGTCTTTACTATTAACTATCTATAAGCGTATTTAATATACGCTATATATACTACTTAGGTAACTATCTATCTAGAGTACTAGAAGACTATCTAGTTACTATAAGATTAATATTACTAGCTAGGTATATAAGAAGACGTTAATATATACGTAGTAGTATATAAGACTTACTAGTAGAGCTATACTCTACGTAATAAGACGCTAGGTCTTCTAAAGTCTCTCTCTATCTCTAAGAGAGTATAGTAGAACGTCTTTATAGATTTTAAGAGTTTTTTCTCTAATAAGAAAGAATTTAACTACGTATACGTTATTATAAATTAGCTAAGTAAGTAGAGCTTCTTTCTATTCTACTATAAGAAGATTATAGCTTAATATATAGTAGAGCTATATTATTAATATATTTAGCGTATATATAGTTTTTCTAGATTTATTATATTAGATTATAGTCTATAGTTTACCTCTACCTTTATAGATAAGCTCTACTAGCTTATAGAAATTAAGTAGAAGCTCTCTACTATGTACTACTTGTAAACTAATAGAAATATAGAGATTGTTAATTAATATTTTAATTAGCGTCTATGTTTATTTATTAACTACTACTAGAATAATTAGTTAAACCTTCTACTCTATATAAACTAGGTATAAGCTACGTTGCTATATAAAACTATAGAATTAATAGTATATAAAATTAAATTTAGATACTAGCTAATATACTACTAGAATTAAAAAAAGTATATAATAAAAGTCTCTACTCTATATAAGCGTCTCTTACGCTAAAAAGCTTAGAATTTTACTAAGAAGTAATATAACGCTATAAAAAAAGCTACTAAAATTACATAAAGTAATATTATAAAAGCGTAAGCTAGATAGACGCTCTAAGTAAATAAAAAGCGCTAAGAACTTAACTTTACTATAGGTAACCTTATCTATATTAAACCTTATAGCTTTTTAATAGATTAGTCTAGTATAAAGCTTAATTAATAGATATATAGCTCTTACCTAATTATAACTATAAAGAGTTACTTCTTCTAGCTCTAGCTACTTACGTATATATATATATATATAATATCTTTTATACTAATTAGCTAAGAAAAGTCTTAGAGCTATTACTAGAGTAGGTAGAGTCTAAGTAGCTACCTATTAAAGTTAATAGTAATCTAGAATAGTCTATATAGAAAATTCTAGATAGCTATCTTTATTAAAATTACTTTTAATACTACGCTATATAGGTTACCTATAATTCTAACTCTACTTAGTATAATACTATAGGCTTTATTAATACTCTCTATAAGGTAAGAGACTTTTACGTAGTATACCTAGATAAGCTAGAGCTACTATTATAATTAGATACTTAGATTAAGACGTACAAAAAAGAGAAGACTTTAGAGAAAATAGTAGAGAATTTAAAACCTATAAGAGTAGAAGATATAAGAGTAACGTAAAGACGCTACTAAGTAATTTAAGACCTTGCTAAGCTTATAGTATTATTTAAGAAGAAAGCCTATAATAAAGCCGCTCTATAGACGTAGAAATAAGCCTTCTAGTTTAAATCTCTTTAAGCCTCTTTCTCTCTAGTAGATAAGAGCTCTATAGAGAATAGAGTAACTAGAGAGAAGATAGTAGCTATAAAAGCGCTTCTAGCTTAAAACTAATATAAATATACTTACTATAAGCTAAAAGAGATAGTTAAGAGTATAACGTAAAAGTTTTAGAAGAAAGAGAACCTAGAAGGCGTATTTTAGAGCTTAGAGACGAGCTCTCTCTATAAGAGAGAGTAATATAATAGTCTAGTTTAGAGATTTACCTTAGGTTACGTAACCTTGTTACGTAATCTAGCCTAAGCGTCTTAACACTTAGTACCTCTATATATAGAGCCTCTTAGAGTATTCTTCTACTTCTTACCTTTAGATAGCTAAATTTAACCTAACCTACTCTGCTAGCACCTCTTATTCTTACAGCTCGTAGAGACAGTGCTGCCTGCAGCTAACTTACCTAGCTAGGTGTTCCAGGGGCGCTTACAGTAATAGAGACCGCGGACCTAGCCCTTATAGTAACGAAAATCAACGAAAATTAACTCGGTTTTCTTAAATAACTAAGCGAAACCTTAATATTTTTCTATAAAAATTTATATATATATTCTTTATAGCATATTACACCTTGTACTAAAGTTGCACTAAGATATATTATATAATTAAAAAGCTATACGTATTTAACTAACTTTTAAAAAAAATCTAGTTTACTTATAGAAAATACTATTATATCTTTATAATAATCTATAAAACTTATAGTATATAGTATCTACAACTTAATAAAGGTTTCTAGAAAACTTCTATAGAGCTAGCTCTTCTAGGTATAGCGTAATAAGAGATAGAATTTAGAAAAATATTCTCTTTAAAGTTTTTTCTTCTAACTATATATATATATATATAGTTAATCTAGCTATAAATCTTATTATTATATAAACTATAGTAGACTTTAACTATATAGAGCCTATTAGCTAATAATATAGTAGCTTTAAGTAGTTATATAAAAGTAAAGCCTTTTTAGTAGTATAGTATAGAAAGATAGAAAGATACTAAAACTATCTTAAAATTATTACTTCTAAAGATATAGCAGGCTTATAGTATATATAATCTTATAATATATAACTTTATATAGCTAGATTATTAATATATATATATAGTTAGAGAAGAAAACTCTAGAAAGACTTTTTATAAACTTCTATCTCTTATTACGCTATATCTAGAAGAGCTAGCTCTATAGAAGTTTTCTAGAAACCTTTACTAGGTTATAAATACTATATATAATAAGTTTTATATATTATTATAGAGATATAATAGTATTTTCTATAAGTAAACTAGATTTTTCTTAAAAGTTAGTTAAATACGTATAGCTTTTTAATTATATAATATATCTTAGTGCAACTTTAGTACAAGGTGTAATATGCTATAAAGAATATATATATAAATTTTTATAGAAAAATATTAAGGTTTCGCTTAGTTATTTAAGAAAACTGGGTTGATTTTCGTTGATTTTCGTTGCCAAGAAATCGTGGGCGGTTCGATGATATGGGCGGTTCGATAATAAAGTACGTTAGTTATTTAAGAAAAGCTTGTTAATTTTTGTTAATTTTCCTTGCCAAGAAATCGTGGGCGGTTCGGTGGTGTAGGCGGTTCGCTGGTAAAGTACGTTGGTTATTTAAGAAAAACTCGTAGATTCTTGTTGATTTTCCTTGCCAAGAAATCGTGGGGGGTTCGATGATATGGGGGGTTCGATGATATGGGGGGTTCGATGATATGGGGGGTTCGATGATATGGGGGGTTCGATGATAAAGTACGTTATTGCTGCCTTGGGCACCGATGAGACCACCGCCATCTGCAGGTCGGTCTGTCAACACAGAACGACTAGATGGATTCAAGCGGTCGTTCAAATTGCAATGGCTATTGCGACAAATGCTACGGACTGTTTTCGACAGCCGAGGCCCTCGAAACCCTGGCGTCTCCTGCGGGCTATTGGCATCACATTGGAGCTGAAGCGAAAGCGTCTGCAGACCGAGGATGTCCGCTGTGTCAGAAGCTGGTGATAAAATGGCCAGATCGCATCAGCAGAGACACGGATCAACTCGTGTGTTGGGCTGCCCGTGGTCGTAGTCGCTGCCAGACAAACCCCACTGCGGCCTTCCCGGAGACCAAGGTTTCGGTCCCATATATCTTCGACGGCCTCATCTGTTACCGCTACGGGCCTGGGGAGCATTCGCACCAGCGCTGGCTCAAAACATTTACCCTCTTTGCAGATTCAGGTATGTGAGACAACTCCAGGGACCTGTCCCGAGAGCTTGGCGACATGACTCACATCAGATGCATCAAGACGACAACGCCGCTTCTCTGCTTCCCATCAGACCTCCGATTATAGATGTGGGAAGTGAGCCGGCCCTTTGGAGAGCGCGCCAGCTGTTCGAAGCCTGCCGAGACAGTCACCAACTCTGCCCGCGCGCAAGAACGCCCCCACTTCCGACACGAGCTATCGATGTCGGGACCATTGATAGTGGAGACCAGGTTAGACTCTACATCGCAAGTCCGGGAGAGCTCCGAGACTACGTAGCCCTTAGCTACTGCTGGGGCGGACCGCAGCCCGTTCTTCTGACGACCAAGAACCTCAAGGGGATGACGGCGAGCATCCCCGTCGACTCGCTCCCACAGACAATCAAGGACGCCATCAAGGTCACTCGAGGACTTGGAATCCGATTCCTGTGGATCGATGCACTCTGTATCATCCAAGAGGGAGACGACAGCGACAAGCTTAGAGAGATTGGTCGAATGGGCAAGCTGTACAAGAATGCGACGGTTACTATCTTCGCAGCATCCGCGAAGGCAGTCTCAGACGGGTTTCTACAGCCTCGTCCTGCCCTGCCTAGCCTCGCTCTTCCGTTCAGATGCGCCGATGGGGCTGTAGGGACGGCACAGCTCACGTATGGAGCTAATCATAACTTTATGCATCCGCTGAACACGCGAGGTTGGACTTTGCAAGAGTCACTCCTCTCCCCGAGGAAGCTGGTCTATGGGGAGAAGGAGCTCGTCTGGGACTGCGAGACGCAGCAGAAAACGGGGCTCCAAAGCAGCTACTTCGAGCCAGCTTGGTCGTTCCGACATCTCCCTCCAGAAATATTCACACCGAACGGTGGCGTCATCACCGCCTCCAAGGCAGGCGATGTTTGGGGAGGTGTTCTAGGCGAGTTCACGATACGGAAGCTATCTTTCCCGGAAGACAGACTTGCCGCGGTTGCGGGCGTTATCACGGAGCTTAGTTCCGTCTTTCAAGACGAATGCGTGTTTGGGCTATGGCGTAGAAACTTCATCCACCAGCTCGCCTGGTACGGACGGGGCTTGCCCTGTGCGGTGGACGAGAATGCGATCTTGAACTGTGCTCCCGAATGGTCCTGGGCGTCACGAGTATTTGAGACAGGCTTCCTGTCGTTTGAGCCCGAGGATAAGGAAGACTGGGAGGTCCGCGACAGGGAGGTCGTCCTGCATCGAAGGCTGAGAAGGGGACACGATATCCCGGCCGGCCCGAGCAACAACTGGTATGTCTACCTAGATTTCAAGGAGCCCGAGGCCGAGCGTAAGCCTTATTACGCTCGGTTTTGCTTTGAGCAGGACGGAAAAGACGTGTTTTACTTCCCTCTCGGTTACGGTGCAGGAAATAGCAACAGCGAGATTACCATGGCCGTGGTTCGGGAAGGGCGCGAGGGCACGTTCCGTCGGGTTGGGATTGTCAACAACGTAAGCGGTAAAAGTTGGTTTGAGCATGTTGAGAAGCAAAGCATTATACTTGTTTGACTTCTGCAGCGTCGGTTGAGTTTGAAGACGCATTGACCAAACCTTGAGTCAAACAAAACATTCAGTCTTAGTTCACATTTATTGGCTGCATATAAAGTCTATCAGCTTTGGCATTAACCGTTCGAATCTTACTTCTCTCTCCGTATTTCGTAAACTCTACGGATTTGTCCAGTGTCGGACATCCGTCGCTCCACCTCGCGACAGCGACAGCGACATGCCTTTTAAAGGTGGGCAGACGTTCCACATCCTGGCGTACGTGTCGCACGATCAGCAACCTTGGAGAAGCCGGATTGAGGGGATGAAGAACTCGGCCGAGGGTGGCTTTGCCTCTAGGAAGTAGATGTATGGGAGGGGGAACATTGTCGGTGTGTTGAACGCCACATTACAGGAGGACGAACTCCAACCGGGGCAGGATATACTGGTCGTGCTCGTGCATGAGTTTGGATTCACGTCGAAGGCGTCGATTGACGTCGGCGGCAGTTCCAGAATGGGCGTTTCTCCGCGGAAAGCAGGGCCATTTACCAACTGCCCGATCAGCTCGCCTGCCAAACATCTCACAGAGCCGCCTTCTGTAGCGGGCTCGGCGAGAAATGCGAAAGGGAGCGGGAAAGAGATAGCAGTGGAGGACAAATCCTCAGAAACGGCTACACAGCTCTCGTCTCCTCCGAGACTGGGCAGTCCCAGCATGGCAGGGGCCCAAACCGAACGGCAGCAGGGACTAAACAGTGAGTATATGTCTACGAGAGTACAAGGCAACATGACTGACCAGTTTCCTTCGGCACTACTATTTTCCGCTCTCCGTCAGCTTGTTACTGTAGTTGTCGCAATTGACCCTAAGAGATCGCCCAACCATCTTACTGTGCTGTAAGTTCTACTGTCAATGCTGCAGTGAATAGCCGTCCGGCGCCTAAGGTCCTGACTATGCTGAGTGTTAGTTGCAGGTCGCCGCCAGCGTGTTTCGCCGTCACCCCTGTCTCCCACGATCCGCTTCGACATCCTCTGTCTCTAATGTCCACTCTATAGCTAACGATTCCACAGCCTCTCCGCATGGCTTACTGCATCCGCTATGCGACAGGATTCGATTCCAATGACATCGTTGGCTGGGGAACAACTGGCATGGTGTGCCTAGACAAAGCGTCGCAAACGGTCATCAAGACCGCTCACGACCAGGACACTGAGGATAGGATTGCCGTTGAGAAGGCCATCTATGAGCGATTCAAGCAGCGCGGTGGGCATCATGGGCTACTTAAATATTACGGTCAATACGACTCCGGTATCCGCCTCGAGTATGCTCCAAAATGGAACCTCTCTAGCTATCTTAACAAGCACCCCGAGGTAGATGGTGAGCAGAGGCTACACTGGGGGTATCAGATTACAGACGCCCTCTATTACGCTCATACTTCGAAGGTTATCCACGGCGATCTAACTCTCAACAACGTCTTCTTAACCGACAACCTTAACGCGAAGCTAGCAGACTTTGGCGGCTCGTCCCTAGATGGATCCCCTCTACTTGTCATCGCAAATGCCAGCCATCGATATCCAGGTCCTAGGCAATCTATCCCTGCCGACCTCTTTGCTCTAGGCTCTGTCCTCTACCATCTCATGACCGGGGTGAATCCCTATCAGGACCTCCTGGATCAAGGGCACGACGACGAGATTCAGACATTGATCCAAAACGGCGAATTCCCGGAGACAGACTCTCTCGGGCCAGTTGGAACGATAATCACAAAATGCTGGCGAGCTATATATACCAGCGCTGCTGATGTCCGCAAGGATATAGAAGGTATGAGTGCTGACTGGGGATCCTTGTTCACTTCGATGGGAAGTACCAACTGAGGTGGGAACGATGCATGGCAACGCATGCTACGGCAGCCCCAAGGCTAGTAATAACATCTCAGCTGTATAATAAGTTTCGGATACATAGATTTGTCTTTTTTAAGTTTAAGAGGCGGATAGGACTTATTTTTGGTATTGTAGGTTAAGGGGTTCTTACGTAACATAAAAGAAGGCTCTCCGTAGCCAGGCTAGAAGGCGACGACGTAACTATCTTTAATAGCGTAACAAGGCGGAGAGTATTTTAGAGAAGGTATACTTTATTCTATATACTAATTTTTAAGGTTATTTTGTACGCCTAGAGAGTTAAAGCTGTTTAAGAGTAGGGTACCCACGTTTTGTCTCGCGATAGAGTGCGTCTCTCGACTCAGGGATGGACAGTACGACTGCAGAATCTCCGATTTTTCGCGGTAACAAGCGTGATGTTTTGTTGGATTTCCCAAGTATTAGACGAACGAACCGGGCGAGAATGATATATCACCCCTTTTTTTATTAGGGAATATATATACCTGGTGAGGCGGCGATGAGTTGGCTGAACGAGGCTAACTGACTTACTGACTGTCCCGTCCTCAGCCTCGCCGTAATGCGAAAAACGCGCTCGGCCGTCGCAGCACCTTGTTCCATACTGTATCCCCAGCCAGCCGCGCGCGCATCGGGGGTTAGTGCCGCCTCACTGTGTACACCCCTACTACACTGCAGACCTGTGTGTGGCTAGTGCTCCACACCCAGCTCGCGCCGAGGAGGTTGTAATGAGCGACTTGTGTGTATTGGAGCTAGGAAAACCTCAAGATCTGAATGATCCATCCCGACGGGAGCTTCGATCCGGACGCCGTGAGGTGCGTGGCGCCTGTACTATGCGGCCCCCCCTCCCATTCGAGCGCCCCGTAGATCGGCGGAGATGGGGATACTATAGCCGAGAGAGTATGAGCGGAGATGTGGATCCGGAATACTGTGTCGTTGAGCAAGGCCTGCGGCGTCTGGTCAGCGTCTCGGGCGCTGAGGAGCGCGTGGTGCGCCTTGCTCGCTGCTTGCTTCTGAGGCGACGGTGGGTGGCTTGATGCTTGCTTGCTGGCTCCAAGGTCGTTGCACCGCCGGCCGGCAGGGCAGGCAGTGAGAGCCTGCAACTTCGTTGCCGGGTGCGAAGACTCTAGATGATGTCTCGAGGATCTGCCTGTAGACGGAGAAAAGAAGGAGGAAGCGTGGAGCGTGGTGGTTCCGCCAGCAGAACTCAGGCTCCATGTCTTCCTTCCCTCGATGCTTTCCATCTCTCCAACCCTTTAGAGCAGAAGTCACACCCGCAGTCTTTCAAGTAACGTACCCGCTCGCAACCCAGGTCCGCGGCACCATGCGCATCAGCCGGGCAGGAGTTCTGCTCTTCTGTCTCCGCGAAGGACGGGCCGAAGGACGGGCCGACGCCTTCTTCCCATCAGCCGTCAGCCGCTTCATCAACCCCATGCCATCCAGCTTTTTCAGCAGCTTTTGGATAAACGTGACCACCCTGCCCCTCTTGCGGCGCTCCTTATGCGGCTGCGGCGGCAGCTCCTTATCCACGACCAGCAGCTGCCGGTCCGACTCATACGAGCGCGCGTCGATGGCATAGTAGTCCGAATACGTGGGCGACGGCGGTAGCGCATCGCGGTGGATGTGCATGACACGGCCGTCGTAGTCGTACTCGAAGCCTGTCTCGGCGTCGAAGCCCTCGACGAAGACGCCGCCGACGTGGCGGGACGAAGGGCGCTGGTAGCGCACTTCGAGGCCCATGTCTGCGACGAGGAGGGGCTGGGGGCAGAGCCGCCGCGCTGGGCGGTGATGGCGGTAGGAGACGATGGGGTCGCCGTAGCCCTCCCAGTCCACGAACATGGTGCCGCGGGAGGTGGGGCGTGAGGGGGAAGAGGAGTAGGCTAGTTGCTCAGCAAGGTAGGCGTCGATTTGGGAGACGAGGTCGTCGACTCCGGCGCGGTTTGACATGGTGGAAAACGGATGAGTGTCGGTTCTCGTTAGGTCTTTTTCTTGCGTTTACTTTTGCGTTGTGCTTTCGGGCGTAGGGTGGGTTGTTTTTCTTGCGTTCGCTTTTGCGTTATGCGCTCGGGCGTAGGGTTCGAAGGGTTCGTGGTTGTTCTTTTCAGCATTTGGTTTGCTTGTCTGGAGAAGAGAGTTACAGTAGTGGAAAGATATGTTTATTTGTAGCAGGGGCGGCAGGAGCAGTGACGAGAGATCGAGCGTGCGTGTATGTGTACATTGCTGGACTGTGAACATTGTTCTCGGACAGCGGAGGGACATTGTACACTGGGAGCCTTGCCCAGCGGGATCCGTTGAGGATCTTCATCCATTCACAATGCCTGGTTTGGCCATATCTGAGACTCCGGCAGATTTAGCTTACGTGACAGTTTTCGCGAGAAGGAGGCGTACCTAGTAAGGCTTGAGGCTTTAACGCTTTTTGCATCCACCACATTCATACTAAAAATGTGAAAGCAAAAATCGACCAGAAAAAAAAGGCCAAGCTATGCATGGCAACCGCATTTAGATACACCTCTATTAGCAAATTACGTACCTACACCCCCAACAAATGCCACCATTCTTTCCAGTGAAGAAGAACACACTACCATATACCGACCCGTACCACCTGAGGCATAAACTCGAGACAGCAATTCCCCACGCTGCGGTGAACTATGCATAACAAAACGTACAAATTGTAGGAAGATGGGGGTAAATCGCACAAGAGAGGTATGGAAAAGGCAGTGGTATAGACCAAAGACCCAACTCCGGGGACATGAACAATGAGGAAAGGTCATTCACAAGAATGCCGCTATGTGCTTGGTGCGACAGGACGATTACTTGCCGGAAAACTTCTCCTTCAGCTTGCCGAAGAAGGAACGCCTCTTCTTCTTCTTGTCATCTGTGGCGCCTGATGCCACGCTCTCGGGCGTTGCCTTGGCGGACTCGGGTGCGGTCGAATCCTTCTTGGGCGTCTCCGGGCCGGTCTTTGCTTCAGCAGCGCCTGTCTCGGGACCAGTAGTCACCGTCGGTTGCGTCTGTTCGGTTGTGGTGGGCTTCGACATTGGGGAGACGTCACGCGAGTCGCCAACCGGCTTAGCAGTCTCTGGCAGGGCAGGCTTAGCGGTGGGTGCGTTGAGAGCATCAGGCTCGCTGGAGGACTTGAGAGGCGCCGTATCGGTCAGAGCTTCCTCAGATAGACCCGGTGCGGCTTCGGTCGTGGCGGCCGTAACGGTAGGGCCGGGCTCCCCTGCCTCGTCGGTCGTCTTGACTTCCTTCAGAAGCTCGGACTCAACTTGCTTCTTCTCTTCCACTGCCTCGGGGTTTGCGGCAGCCTCAGGGCTGGCATGCGCTTCCTTCTGGCTCTCCGTGACAACTTCCGGGACCTCGCTACCAGTGGCCTGGCCGTTCAAGCCAACGGCCTCGGCGGCCTTGTCCTTTGCAGCATACGTGGCGGCGGCAAACGTACCAGCGGCAGCCGTGGCGGCCGCGCCAGCCTTCTCGGTTGTGGAGCTCTCGGCTGCGGGTGGCTCCTCGGGCACCTTCTCCTTCAACTCTTCTTCAACCTCTTTCTTCTCCATGACGGCCTCGGGGTTGGCGGAAGCTTCGGGCGTGAAGCCGGCTTCCTTCTGACTGTCGGCGACGGTCTCGGGGACGCCCCTAGGCTCTTTGGGGACTTCACCGGCAAGCGCTGCGGTGGTGCTCGTTGGGGCAGCCGACTGGATGGTGACGCCCGGGTCTTGCTCTGTCTTAGCATCTGTGTCTTTGGGGAGGCTCGACTCCGGAATCAGCCCACCCGTAAGAGGTGGCAAGCCAAACATACCGCCTTTAGCCTCCCTCTCGGCCTCTGGCGTGATGACAGGGCCAAGCTGGGGGGGAACGGCATCCGACTTCTCGTATGATGCAGCATCCGTCTTCGCCGTGCTCGAGATGGTGTTGGATGTCAAGGTGCTTGGGTCTGGCACCTTCTCACCGGGCGCGAGGTGGATCGGGTTACCGGCTCCCGCTGTCGCTGGTATCGGAGCAACACTGACCTTTTCCTCCTCCTCGGCGGGCTCCTTGTCATGTTTCACCGTCGACTCGACAGTGTTGCTCGTGAGCGTAGACGGGTCGGGCACCTTCTCACCAGGCTCGAGCTTGACGGGATTCCCAAGTCCCTCTGTAGCAGGGATGGGGTTGACGGAGAATGCTTGCGGCTCTTTGGAGGGGGTCTCGGCCGGAGGAGTCAAAGGAAACGAGCCAGGGAGAGACTCACTAGGCTGTGACTTTTCGCTTTCCTTGGGCACAGCTCCTGCAAGTGCGGCAGTGGTAGACTCGGGAGCGGCGGATGAGAGGGTGCTGACGGGTTCTTGGATGTCGTCGGGGCTCAGGATGTTGTTGTAGTTGCCTGAACTGTCGGTCTCCCCGGGCGCGGTGTCGTTGGTACACCAATTCCCGTCGACGACGAACTGTATGTACATTGAGCGCGTTAGCAAATACATAGCTGTTGGGCGAGGCAGGACGGAATCGCGGAGCGGCAGCAAGCGCAGGCAGACACGTATTACCCACCTTGTACTGGTGCTTCGCCTTGGGCAGCTCGACCGTCTTCTTGAAGACGCCATCCTCCTTCTCTAGCTTGATGGTCTTCTTCCAGTCGTCGAAGTCGCCGGTGACGTAGACCTCGTTGGCGAAGTGTTCCCTGGGCGAAGGAGTTAGCGGAAGCGGTTGCGCAACAGGCGGAGGAACGCACCACTTGAACGTATAGCTCCCCATCGTGCTGGACGGCGAACGGACAAAGGCGGAACAGGAGAGGAGTCAGCGACTTTGGGCTGAGACGTCTGTGTCTGGTTCGCGCGGCGGAGGTGGAGGAGGAGGTGGTTGGTGAGGAGTCAGGAGCAGCAGCGGACGAAGCTGGAGATTGCGAGCGGCGATACGGCGCCACACACACTATCGACGTAGGGTGATAAGAGCTGCAGCGGGCGCACAGCGGCGAGTGGTGCTACGGGAGGCTCTGGGACGCGGACGGCGCAAGGGAGGAGTAACGGAGAGCTGCAGCAGCGCAGAATTGGCGAGGCTGGTGGTTCTGCTTCGCGCAATGCGTGAAAGACTGCGTGTGCCCTTAGCGGCGAGCTCGGCACGAGTGTCTTGGCACGGGCCGCCGCGGGGAGAGCACCTGCGCCAGCTGATGATTCCAGGAATTGTGAATTATGCGACCTGCCTGTCGAACATTTCCATTTCTCGAGCGCTCCAGATTCAATGCATGCGCCTGGTTTTCTTTTCTTTTTTTTTGCAGCCATTCGGCGCCCTTCGACATGGCTGCGCCAAGGGCAGCGGTCTCCAATTCAATTCACCCCTCCACATGGCACCTGGCAGCTCTTTGGTATGGCGTCATCGCCCTTTGCGCACATTGGCGAATCATGGGGAGCGCGTGCTTACTGTGGGTGTACCGGTATGCTCATGCGCCGGGAACCACGGTCTTGACGAAACGACGAACGCTGGTCCATGCTCCTTTCTCCTGGCCGCTCTGGCTCTGGCTCTGGCTCTGGCTCTGGCTCTCCTGCGTCTGGTCCCAACCTTTTTGGCACTTCAAGATGCATCTGAAGAACGGGTTTCACCGCCAGTCCCTGGGCGATGCCCGCTGTAACTCCCTGCACGCGACCGCCCGACACGACCAATCAGGACATGCTCGTCCTCGCCCTTTGAGACCGGCACAGACTGTTGAGATAGACAGTCGCCCAGCATCCCGCCGAGGTGCCGATGGAGGGCAGAGGTGCGTCAGGGGCATGCTATATCAGCTCTGAGGGAATCCCCCAAATGGCACCAAGGCAGGTCCAGGCGGCGCTGTCTTGCACGTTAACAGCAGGAACCCCCTTCTGCGCCGCATTCTCGCAAAGGTCACAGTCCAGTGCCGTCGATACGTCTGTGGCGATGTCGGGCGCTCGGTTCTGCCGGAATGCTTCTCTGACACGGACAGTACTGCTGTGCCTTTATAGCGGTCGAGCGTTGAGGGTTGACAGCCGGGCAGAGGCTCCACTGGCACGGCACGGCTAGGCCAATGCGAAGCTTTGAGCCTTGCGGCGTCATAGCTCTGGGCCTGTCGCGGGAGCTAAGGGCGCATCGCAGTGTGCAGTTTCGCATGTGGCTTCTTGAGCTGGCTTTGCTCACGCACCGCTTCGCCAAAAGAAAGCATGCGATAGACTACAGTAGCCGCCGCCGCCGCAGTGGAGGGGGCGGCCGCAGCCAGTCCTCCGCTCGTAGCTGCGACTGGGTGCCTGCGCATCATGGGCGCCTGCTTTTTTTCTACGAGAGCTCTAGACGTGTTCTGGAAGAATAAAACCCCCCCACAGAAGCCACAGAAGCTTGCTTGCCTCAAAACACATCGCCGCTGCCCGCATTCCGCCAGTGAGTCAAGTGCCTCTCCGCCCTCTGCCGTGTCGCGCAGGCGCCCGCCGGCCCTGCTCTGCTCTGCGCTGCGCTGCTGCTCTGCTGCCATAACAACTCCTCCTCCACCCCCAACTGTAGTGCTCCACGCGCCCTCCGACGCCCTCCGCATTTGTCCTCTCGCCTGCGCGCCGCTCACGCTCGCTTGTTGCACGACTGCATCATCCCTGCCGCCCGTCGTCAAAGAGCTGCGAGCGGACGGCCCCCGCACCACTCCTCTCAATGTCGCTCCCTCCCGACTATTCCAATGAGATCTCCGCCCTCAACCGCGAAATCCTGAAGCACCAGCCCGCCGACGTCCTCCAGTTCTGTGCCAACTTCTTCCTGCGCCGCCTCGAGTCGCAGCGCGCCGAATTCCTGCTCTCGCAGCAACATTCCAGCCCCAAGGGCCGTGGCATGGCCGAGAGCACCTTTCCCGGCAGCAATCCCTTTGGCACACCCCCCAGCGCCGGCTTTGCGAGCAGTCATATGCACCGCCTCGAGGAGGAGGAGGAGAACGACACCATTGCCTCCCCCACCGCAGCCTCATTCGCGCCCTCCGCCATGGACAAGGCTCAGGCCAGCGCCGCCGGCGAGGACACCTTTGGCAACTTCGCCGGCTTCGGCGCCTCGTCCAAGAGCGCCAGGTCACAGCCGCCCTCTGCTGGCGGCGCCTCAGACGCGCCCAGCTTCCCGAGCAACTACAATCTGAACAGACGCACCTCCGTGTCCGCCGAGTCGCTCAACCCCGCCTCGTCCGCCAACGACAACTGGACTCCTCCATACCATCACAAGACGGACGAGCAGCAGGCCAGACTGAGGTCTGCTGTCTCCGGCAACTTCCTCTTCTCGCACCTCGACGACGAGCAGTCCGCGCTGGTCCTCGGCGCGCTGCAGGAGAAGCCCATACCAACAAAGGGAATCAAGGTCATTCAGCAGGGCGACGTGGGCGACTACTTCTACGTCGTCGAGAAAGGCGCCTTCGACATCTACGTCAACAAGTCAGGCAAGCTGGAGGCGGGCCCAGACGGCCTCGGCTCCAAAGTGGGCACCGTAGGACCGGGCGGTTCCTTCGGTGAGCTGGCCCTGATGTACAATGCGCCCCGCGCCGCCACCGTCGTGTCGGCCGAGCAGTCCACGCTTTGGGCTTTGGACCGCGTCACCTTCCGGCGTATCCTCATGGACAGCGCCTTCCAGCGACGCCGCATGTACGAAGGCTTCCTCGAGGAAGTCCAGCTTCTTGCATCCTTGACGCCCTACGAGCGTTCCAAGATCGCCGACGCCCTCGAGACGAAGAAGTACCCCGCCGGAACCACCATCATCAAGGAGGGCGACGTGGGCGAGTCGTTCTATATTCTCGAGTCTGGAGAAGCCGAAGTCTACAAGCGCGGCATTGAGAAGCCAGTCAACCGGTATAAGAAGGGCGACTACTTCGGCGAGTTGGCATTGCTCAACGATGCGCCCCGTGCTGCTTCCGTGGTTAGCACCACGGAAGTCAAAGTCGCGACCCTGGGCAAGAATGGCTTCCAGCGACTGCTAGGACCTGTTGAAGGAATTATGAGGCGGAATGACCCGAGCAAAGCAGCAGAAGCACATGACGCCGATGGTGTGGACCCGTTGGCGAAAGCGACATAGAAGGGTGCCGGAAATAGCTTATCACGACTGCGCTTTGCTCTGTACTGCTGATGAGGACTTGGATGTTTTGTACCGAACCAGGACGGGACGGGACGGAACGGGACGGGAAGGTTAGAATTCTAACTTGTGTGGATGGAGGAACGGAGCTGTACAGCCAGGCTCCTGCTTCTCAATCTCTCTCTTCGGGCGTATTCGCATGTACTCTTACGCTTCCTACTATCACTAAATGTCACTTGCCGTTGGGAGGTTGAGAAGAGCGGGCATGGGTTTCGGGGTAAAGTGGGAAAGGTGGGAAGGTTTCGGGGCCCGGTTTGTCAACTATACTCCAATGTTGCATGATCACCAACATCAGTGTTATAGAATTGAAATTTGGTTTAGTGCTACTAGCCCAAGATAGTCGAGCCGTGAGTGAGGGGTCCGCTTCCAAGTGTCCATTGTAGGCAGAAGTACTCCTCCGCCCGCCAAAGTTGGTACCACAATACCTATATACAACTGTGGGTTCGTAATGTTGAAGGATCGCATTATGAAGGCCGCCCAATTATACCGTCCAATCAGCACTCAGTGCGCTGAAATTGACTATCACGTGCCTCGTTTTCCGGTCCCGCCAGGCACCCGATTCAAGGGTTTAAGTCTAGCCTCTGTCCGCTCAGGTACCCTCTCACGAAGCGAGAGTAAAACCCCGCCGTTTCTTGTACCCAGCAAAGAGAGGCGGAGCAGGCGGAATTTCGACCAGCATCCACTTTTTGCTATGCCGCCAGAGTCGCTTCCCGCACCAAAACTTTCGGCTATCCTGAGCTTCGCGAGCGACGTTCTATTAACGCACTGGAGCTATGCTCAATGGTCCGCTTGTCCGTTCCTTGATGAGTCCTAGATGTCTTTCAATCTCCGCCGTTGCTAATTGGGAGCCAGGTCCACATCTTGCTAGGCGCAGCAGCAGTAGCAGCTCGTTTTCGGACCGTCCAGGATTCCTTTTAGCAGGCACACATGAGAGAAGAAAGCCAGTTCACCATCTTCATCCAGCTCTACATCCACTATGCGACGTGGAGAGACCTCTTCGACTGTGAGGAGTTTGGGAAAGAGCTGTCGGCACGTGACCGTAGCTGCGGCTGCAAGCGCTAAGATGCTGTTGCTTTACCGCGCATCGTCAAAAAGACACTGCGCTCGCGTAACAACCGCTGCATAGATTGATGTTAACTCGATAGACGCACTGCATACAGCATTCAAACTCCAATCCTCTACGCTGAGCGGAAGGACCAGCGGCGACGCAGCTGGGTGGGATCAACACGAAACCCTTCCATACCATCACGATGACTATTCGGCCAAATATCGGAGCAGTGATCCGCTTCTTATACCGCTACAGTAACTCCGGTATGCTGCATTTCGCCCTTCTGAAGACATACCATCGGCTAGCTGACTGTGGCTTGCGGTTCGGCCGCTGCACCACGACTATGATTAACCATCAGGAGATAACCGCACGGCATGACCGCAGTCGAGCAACTCCCAGCCGCAAATCTGCCTTGTGTGTAGAGGGTGACTGACGCACATATCGAAGCAACTATGAGATCCAAGGTCTCGTCGAATGCTATCTCAGCTGACAGCAGGGCGACGCGGTGTTTGAAATGGTGACGGAAATCTTGGACACCCAATTGAAAGCTAGCCTGTGACTGCTTGTCCAGCGTCGTCATTTTTTGAACGCCCATAGAGAGCTGTGCTTATATGCATGGTCAGGGATATGGCGGGCACTAAGACCGAATAGGGACAATGGGCACTTCAAGGTACGAGCTCCCTCGTCTATTCTTGTGAGGCAGAAAGAAAGCTAACAGTCGCAGCTGAGCTGCGTATCCTTTGGCGCCTTCTTTGATTTACTAGGCTTCCAGGACTAAGAGGAGCGCTGTCCTTCGTCCCAAGGATTCAACTACTCGATGACTAATCCGCGTTTGGCACAGTTGACTGCACATTGTCCTGAGGTAGAAACCGGAGCACTGTTGCCGAAATCAGCATGCGGCCGCCCCCACTCAGCACCTCCCTCATTGTCTATGTCTAAATCTGTGGAATCTACCAACCAGCCACAGAAGGCAACGAGCTTCCTCGGTATCCATCCTGCCGGACCAACCCGACAAGCTATGGACTATGTCTCCAGCCAAGGCGGATGTTCTTCAGCTAGAGCGTGCTCGTGGGAAAACGCTACTATTACTGGACTGGCTAGCGGTTCCCACTCCCGCTGTCGTCTTACCGGTCTTCAACGGCCGATGAATCCGCCTTCGTTCACGAACGAGGCCGGCTTCATACCGCCCACGCGACTGCAATTCTCAACCTCGCAATCTTCAATTTCCGCCGTTTACCTACTTCGGACTGGATCATGCCACTAGAGATCCTATTTCCTGGCCTGCTGTACAGGCACACATCCGATTTTCGACACTGCATCTATCGGGACTGTCCAGCGTTGCGTATACTGCAGAGCCTCTCTAATCAGGCTGGCTTGGGTGATTCGGCGACAATTTTGACTACCGGTAAATCATCCCATCGGAGCTGGCAACGTGTGGCACGAACCACGCCACCCCTGCGCCTGTCAACGTTGGTTGGCAGTGGTGGGTTCCTGTGGCTGGTGAGTCCGAGGTAGGGTCATTCTGTTCGGGCGATTCTATACGGAACCCTACTCTTACGTTATCAACTCGCATAGCTCACATATATACCGATCGCGTCAACCTCCTCGATTCAACAACGACTCGACTGCTAGCAGCGAAGCACTCGGATTCTTATTTCTTCTTTACGCATTTCAAATTTCTATCATCCTTCTTGCATTCGCACTTCCGGAAGTGCTCCTCAAGACAATATGACGTCGCCAAACGGATCGAAGTCTAAAAAGAGAGCGGGGAGAAAGCGCCTGCCACCACTCGCTCCTGGGCCCGCCCTACAGTTCGTTGTAGCCAGTCACCCCGATGACTTCAAGGACGACATGACAATGAGACATGTCCGCTCCCACGTCATGTACAAGCATCGCGGTGACCAGAGAGGGACACCGCCTCCTCGAGCGCGGTCGAAAAGCGGGGAGAGGAGCAATACGCCATCAAGAATGCCACGAACGCCTAGCCCCATGCTCGCTGGATCAGAAGAGACTGAAGCCCACACCAACTTCCTTGCGCCACCTGGGCGTCGCAGTACAATCTGGGAAGGCGACTTCTACCAATGCATGGCACAATCTCCTTCGATCGACCCAGTGCGCAACCTTGCTGCTAGGATCATATCCGCCACCACAGCGGAGCCGTTCCATAGCGCCCCTCCGGCTTTCGATGAATCTTCCGAGTATCCCTTTCCCTCCACCAGCGGTGCGCCGAGCCGGGACTCTTTCGACGAACTCAAAGAGCAATACATCAACAACAACGATTTCTTCAGTCAAACACGGGCATGGATGGAGACTGTTTGCAGCAATCCCATGTCACTCCTCAGTCACGTCAGTATGGCCTGTGTCTATCAAGACCTCGCCGAAGGATTCCTGGCCGACACCGCACTCACGGTATACGCTAAGACGAAGGTCCTCGGGATGATTACGGACCACCTCAATGCCCAAACGGATGACTTTACTGTCATAAGCATACTGCATTTACTGGTCAGCGAGATCAGTGGCCACGATGAGGACGTTTTTGATGTTCATCAGGATGGCTTGATTCGAATTGTGGAGCAGCGTGGGGGGATCACAAGCCTAGGATTGCATGGCAGCATTGCCACGTTCCTGATTGTCGTTATCCTCAGTTTTACTATCCTTCGGGGACACGCTGAGCCTTCGATGCTCCATGGTTTCGTCCCGAGCCTGAGCCCGGCCTCAGCCGCCTTGCATCGGCCCCGTCCTATTTCACCTCTATATGCCCGACACGGAGACCTGTCAGTCTTATATGGCAGCTGCTCGGACGGAACCTATGAGATAATTTGCGACATGCGCGACCTCACACGGACCTTTCTCGCTCGATGCAGCCACGCCGGGGACGCATTCCCTTCTGCGATGAGCTCCCAAGTCGCTTCTTATGACGCACACATGCAGCAAATATACACGCGACTTCTATACCGACCGTCAGCCGACGACAGTATATCACCGGACTGGATCTACGAGACTTGTCGGCTGGCAGCCTTGATCTATTGTCGCTCAATCGTCCAAGGAGTGCCACTCTCAGAATCAGCAAACGTCATGCATGCGCGCAGTTCCAGCGGGGATATTTCGGGGACTACAGTCATCTCAGCTTTACACATGGCATTAGAGAGCACGGACCGGAGCGGATTCTGGGGCAACTTGAGCGGAGTTCTGTTATGGGTTTGCCTCGTCGGCGGTGCCGCATCATGGCCTGCCTCTCAACAGTCCTTATATGGAGAGACGCAAGAGGCTCAGGCAACTGCAGCCTGGGTGAGAAAGTGTTTCGCGTTATACACGGTCAGGACAGCACTGTCTCATGGCTTTGAGCATGCCGCAGCCGTTGTCGAGACGCAGAGGACGATGCTGCAGATCCAGCATCTGATCAACTTGAGGAGGGGAATTGCGTCGCAGTAGACGAGACTTTGGGGTCGTCTGCTGGACAGAGCCTGAAAATGAGGTTACACGCAAAGCGGGTCGACCGTCTTTATGAACCGCTTCACTAGTTCCTCTGGAAGGAATATTTCCTTTCTTTTTGCCTCTCTCTCCTTTTTGTTTTCTTACGTCCGACACTTCGCTCTGTCCAATCTCTTCATCCCTTTTTGAGGATTTGCGTTCTCCTCGGCTATTTTGTCAAACTCGAACTCGTTTTTGCATCCATTTTTCTTTAGCGCTGTCGTTTCTTCTCTTCTCCGCAACAGCATTAGATCCATGCGCATATGAGCTTTAGACCATCATTTCACAAGTACAACATAGCATTCCACGGCTTCCTGTACTTTCGGCATAACGAACACCGAACCCTACCTCCCCTTCCCCACTTCTCGCCTTACCAGCATTCCTGTGATTACGGGCGATTAGCGAGTTTTTGCCCGTGACTTTCTTTTTGTCCGATGGCATGAGTCGGTCGATCTTCCGGACCCCATCAACCTAGCTCGTGGCTGCATGGCGTTGGGCCGATTAGGCGGACCCTCTGAATAAACCTTGATCCAACGTCGCTGGCGGCGTTTGAAACAGACCACGAACCCATTGTCCAAATTCTGGCTAGATGGGCGCTTGCAGACTGCCGCTCCACCTCCGCAGACGCGGCTCGTTCGGGGGAATGATAAAACACAGAAGTAGCAGCAATCGACGGCCGCACCATGACTTAACTCACAGTGCATGACCAAGGAATTCTGTGGTTGGTCTTTCCATCGTTCGGTACACCTGAGCCCCACGTACGGTATTACACGGGCTTACTCTATCGAGCGAGCTCGTACGCGTCCCACATGTGGCGCCGCCCTTCCAACTTTTGGCAATTTCTAACGAGCACCAGCCACAGTTCCCGAATTGTCGGGAACCGTGCACTGCCCTGACAGCCTGAGCTTAATGCTCTTCCTTCGGCTCATCCGACGCGCAGCAGGGCATGCAGCTTTCGATATGCAGCCCTACGAGGCTTTTCACGTCTTTGGCTTTATTACGAGAAGCCATCGCCTGCACCGCATCCCGACTGGGCGGGTGGAAAACGCCCGGCGAGGCTGTCGCCGGACGCCGTCCACCGTCTATACCGACGCGCGAACTTCAACGTGCTTCACGAGACAAGCCGGACAAATCCCTTCCAAAGTGACGAGGATGGTCACCATCCACTCCATGGCTACGCCGGCTTCAAACGCCCTACCACTAACGCCGCTATCTGCTTCTCCCGTCCAAACGCCGGGCCTCCGTCTCGCTCATGGACTAATACGTACGGAGTCCATGGCAAGGCGGGTGTCACGGCATGCCGCATGCTCACGATAGAAAGGCGCTTCGGTGCACGCCGGGACGACGCACAGGTGATTAAATATACGATAGGGCTGCAGCAAGCCGAGGAGCCACTGTCCCTCTGTAGGACAAGTATGGAACAGGAACGAGCCATATCTGCCATATCAGATGTCAGGACCCCGAGCCCCCGGTTCTTACGAGCCTTAGCATCATACAAGTCAAGCCAATCGAACCCCGTTGCTCCTGGAACCCCGGCGATATCCCCAATGCCCAGCCGATGAATCAGCATGCCAAATGCCGATTTGCGCCGTCGCGCAAAGAGCTTTGCTGCCGCAGCGCTGCGCGATGAATAAGTAATCGGGGAAGTTTCAAGCGAAGCCAAGTACTTACTCGCGCGAGAATGTATCCCACCAGAGCTGAGAGTGAGAATGCGAGAGGCGTGTGGCTGGCTGGCATGCACGAGAGCTTAAGTTGACGTGCAGCACCCGGCTCTCAGAGGGGAAATTGATAATCCACTACTGCCACGCACGAAGAGAAAGGGACGAAGCGATTGTTTTGCATGACGTCGGACATAGTGCAGCTTTTCCGACGGGGAGATTGGGCTGTGCTGTTTTGTCTCTCTTTTCAAGCACGAGATTGTGTTTTTTGTATTTAGTTCCGGCTTTCGGCTTTCCCGGAGCATGGGATCGTTTGCGTGGATGTGTGGGGCTGGTTATTAAGGGCGTGAATAGGGAAATGGTTTGGGGTGGGGAATGGAACGCGACTGCTGGCTGCAGTAGGGAGGCTAAGCGTAACGGGCTCGTTGGGTGGAGGAGCCAGAACTGTGTTCTACTTCACCCCGCGAAGGCCAGGAAGAGTAATCCTCCCAACATCCAGATCTCATGATAACGAAAAAGCAGCCTTTGCATTACCATACCCTCTAGCGCTACGGGAACGTCATCTTCTGCGCATAACTCGTCCCACCCGTCTCATACAGCGCCAAAAAGCTCTTATCATCCAGCGCCAGCAGACCCGCCCACATCGCCGGCAGTACATGCACCGTCGTCTTAGATGCCCACGTCTTGCCCTGATCAGTGCTCACCATGACCTTCATCGCTCCCTGCGGCCACACGCCCCCATCTTCGTTCGTCCCAAAGCTGGCTACCATCCTGCTTCCTACGCGGATGATCTGTGGCGCGCCCGCACTCGCGGTCTCGTTCTCGTATACGAGGCCGCGCGAGTCCCACGACGCGTCGTCATCCGCGGTGCGCATTGTGTGCACGGTGAAATGCCCGTTTGCGTCTCCAGACTCGAAGATGGCGACTTTGGACGCGCTATTCGCCGCGGTTCTCGCGACGCCTAGCATACCGTCTCGAGCATTGGTGTCTTGGCCTGTGAAGGTTTGCTCCGCGCTCCACGTCTTTCCGCCGTCGGTGGAGCGCCGCAGGATGCTGTCTTGGCCGCCGGAGCCGGTCTCTTTGGAGTAGTAGAGCTGTAAGCTTCCATCCAGCGCGTTTTGCAGGAAGGGTTCCCAGACACCATCGGGTCCACCGGGCATCTGCGCTGGCGTGCTGAGGTACCTCCATGTCTCGCCTAGGTCTTCGGAAAGGCAGACCGTGATGCGGTAGTAGGTTGGATCTGCGTCCCTTCCGTTTCCCAGGTCATGGTTGCGGAAGGCGCAGAGGACTTTGCCGTCCGGCAGCTGGTGCACGTAGGAATTACCGAGCTCGTGGATGGCGGAAATGTTTGTTACGACGGTGCCGAGGGGCGCCCAGGACGCGCCGTTGTCGGTGCTGCGTACGGTTACGAGGGATTGGTTCGTGGAGTCGGCTAGGGTGTAGGTTCCCAGGAGGGAGTTATCGGCGAGCCGGACCGCGCGCGGATAGGTGCCGGATGTTCCGAAAACTACCGTGGAACCATCTTTTTGGGGGAGTTGTGCAGATGCCAAACGCAGCAGGAGGAGAGGTGCTGTTGTAAGGAGGCTGGCGAGGAAGCGCATCGTGAATGAAACGCGAAGCAAACGACTAGTCTAGACGAACAGACGGGAACGAAACAAAAATGTCGGAAACGTTTCATGCTCACATTCCTCCAATATTTATATACCCGGACCGGACTCCCCTCCCCAGCAAACTCTGACCAGGGACCCATATGCTCCCGGACGAGGCTGAGCGTTATACCCGCGATGTGAAACACTTCTTCCGTCTGTACGAAGGAACATGGTGCGAAACTAGGTGCTGTGCGAGGTTAGGCGTCCAGGGACCGTAAGCGGAATCCGTAGCTAGCGGGTGGCGGAGAGTCCACGGGCGACGATCGTTTAAGGGGCTAATTTGGGTAGGGCTGATTACCGGATTGGGGAATTTAGAGGAACGTTTGCGGGCGTGGTTTGTGGGTTCGTCCAGGGGGGAGGGGTAGTGTGGGCCTTGGACGTTAGAGCCTTGGACGTTGGATCGGAGAGGGTGGAAGCATGAGGATGACGCTTTCGCTAGGAGTGGGGAAAGGAGTAGATTGTTGTGGGCGGCAATAGATTAGCCCTGGACAGATACGTCATACCCCGCGTTTCATGTTCTGCGGAAAAGAACGCTGTCATAGGATTGAGCGAAGACTCTGCAATGCCCTTCGAGCTGCTAGAGGACACCGTCGATTGGAGCACTTCACAGCCCCATTTACTTCACGCATCATAGCCTAGCGCATATTCACAGGCAAGGGGTAGGTGTGCATTCGCTCGCTCGTCGGCTAGATTCTAACTAAGAGCCGTGATCTACTCCACTGAATGTACAATGATACTGAGCTCCGTTTGTATGCTCGTTCGAACCGCCCCAATCATTCCGCATGGAAGGCTACTGCAATTCACACCATGCAAACGCCTCCAAGGATGATGTGGCTTTCTACACCAATCACACCGTCATACATGTGTTAGTCATCACGAACTTGGCGTCATTGACATCGAGCCTTCCGATTCCTGGAACATCACCTTATCAACAAACCCAGTACCTTCCGATACAAATACTCTTCTTCGTCGAGCAACCCTATGCTCCTATACATAGCCACTCAGTCGCTCTGCCGAACCCTTGAACCACCCTTCAACCACCCTTGAAAATGTCCGACTGCATCCCTCTACCAATCATCTGCTTCCAATGCGGGACGTACGGATACCTGAAACTTCCTGGAGTGTCTTGAGCTAACGGGGGATAGAGATCAAAATCCATGCCGCTGCAAGGTCGTGGGGCCGACTCTCGGGTTCGGAGTCACGGTTATCATGGCGGTATGGCGAGCGTTTGCCCTTCACGGCGCACGGACCACTAATTCCGCATCAGATAGTCTGCTGGCCGGCCTCCCTGCTCTGCTGCTGCTGTGCGACGGATGCGGGAAAGAAGTAAGTCGATATTCTTTGAGATGACATGGACGCTCATTGGCAACAGGGTTCTCGCACTTCCCGTCGACGCGGGCAACGCCGTTTCGAATTCGATTCCCATATAATAGACAACCAAGATGTGAACGAGACGGAGCACTGACCAACTTACGACCAATTTCGGCGGTATGCCGCATATGGGGTGGCCATGGGCTTTGATTAGCACTACTAGTGGGAATCCAAAGCCTTTCAAACGGACCTCTCCGACGCAGCAAAGTCTGCATCGGATGGCTGCATTGCATTGCAGCAATCACGTGAAAGCGTGCTCAGAGCACGTCCCTGTCTTCCGCCTCCTCTAGTTGCGTGTCAACAACAGGACCCCTCGTCGCCCGTCATCAATGTCTTTTCCGCGCCCCACCAGAGGCAGCTTTTTTTAGGAAGGTCTACAAGTCTAGATCCACTACATGGCCCCCAAGCTTGAGCGAGTCTCTTCTATGTTCTTCTTTACTGATAGAATTGGTTATAGACGGAGGAAGGCCCGGTCTGGTTGCTGTGCGGCACGTAAGGACGGGTGAATTAAGGTTCGCACAGTTCTCCTTCACTCCTAGCAGATCTAGTTCTGACAGGATTCGGAAGATTCAGGTCACAATTTTAACGGGACAATTCCCTTTCACTCACTCTTCTAGACGTCTAGTCTCTTATTAGCTAGCGACGTCATTTTGTTTACTTCGCGCCGAACACGCTTCCTTTACGCCACGCGCCGTCCTTCACCACCTCACCTTATCTCTTCTTCCGTTCCTACTAAGGTGCAATCGGAAGGTTTCGACCTGGCAGCCCCGCCGCTTACACACGAGTCGTCGTCTGCTATGCCATGGCTGACTTTCCATATAGTCTAGCGCTTGGCGTTGCTCACGTCTACCCCGATGGCCGTGTGGAAGGCGCGCTTCACCCGCCGGAATACTACAAATATCCCGTGGAGAACGAGCTATTCGGCGGCACCTGGAAGGAGGGGCTCCGGGCTATCGAAGGGTTCGATTGGTCAGGAGAAGTGGAGCAGTCGCAGAATGGTCAAGAAGCTGGGACTTGGGAGGATGGGCTGATGGCAATTGAGGACTTTGCTTGGGACCAACCGCGTAGCGACAGGAGGGAACATTCCGTGGCAGGCGAAGTACAAGCTCACAATCAAGACGCATTGACCACGGAGCCCTTGACAGTCGAAGATACGTCGTCGCCTACACACGAGATACTGCTGGAGTCTCAGGGCATCGAGCCCTGCGGCGTTGATACTTCAGTAGAAGTTCAGGTCGACAAGGGGAATAACCAAGATGCGGTTGGCGACAACACAGCTGCCGAGCAAGCGGTACCGACAACTACCGATGTCAAGGCCGTCAAGGCTCAACATCAACAAGCTGAAGCCGTCACACCGAGTTCGCCACCTTGGATCCCCAGCCCCCCGCAGAAGACCGATGTTGGACAGCATAGAAAGGCAACAGATGAAGTGACTAGAAGTGCCACAGCAGGCTCCCCGAAGACTTTCAAATCCACGACCGTGAATAAGGGCGTCTCCGCAGACGAGGTGGGGGTCAACCGCATGGACTCCGATAATGGCCGTGAGGATGCCCAGGCATCACCCTCCAAAGGCGGTTTCCTCAAGCCATCGATGCAAGAAGCCCACGAGATTGGCGCTGAATCGGACGTACACCAACCAGGAGACAATATGCATCAGGATGGTGGAGCTAGTGATATTGAGAGGAAGGATGCCATGGCTGTTATGGCTATGCGGGATGATACAGATATCGCAAGCCTTCTAGCACCGTCTGTTGAGGCAAAGGCCGGCAAGCCAATCCAGCGAAGCGATCCTGTTTACGATTCGAAAGATCAAGGTACGCCTCCCTTTACCGGGGCGTCTGCTCCAAACGTTCCAAAATTTCTTCAGGAGATGCCATTCGGGCGCGAATTTCTTCCGCAAGCTGCGTCGCACCCTCTCGGCACCATTGATTCCTGTGTGGAGAAAGCGACCAAAGTTGGCAGTGAGGAAGCATCTGCTCACTCTGCTCCAGTGCAGGATTCTGAAGTTCCTATGAACGGTCTACGTTTACCGGAGACCCTCGTGCCATCAGATTCAGCCAATGATAGAGGACGAGACACAAGGATTAAGGATGAAACAGCGGCTGGAGCGCTTCCGGACAAGCTTACGGCACCGTCGTCATCCCCACAGCCGCCTGCTGGCGATGCTGCCATCTCAACGAACGCCTTTGCAGGCGTCGAGACTTCTCAGGTTCGGCCCTTCCTTGCAGGGCTAGAGGAAGCAGCAGCAGCAGCTCGCTCTCCGACAGCTTCGAACAGCGGCCTGGAAGATGGCGCTACGGCCCAGTCTGTGACCGTGGACAGTGGAGACTCTCAACGCGAGGACTCACCATGGCCTGGCGCGTTGCTTGAGCAGCAGCTCTCGCAGGAGCTGGGTCTACCTCCTTCACCCTTCACGGCACGGCCAGCTCCGGCTGCAGTCCTGCACCGCAGAGTAGAGGGTAAGTCCTCCCAGCGGGCTGTTACTCAAGATGAGTCTGACGTGGACTCAGATCTCTCGGATGCACCATCCCAGCTTTCAAAGCCGGGCATGCAGGTTGGTGGCAGCACCGCGGCTGAGATAGAAGCAGACACTCCTCTGGCGATGTCAGCTCCGCCGGTTACGCCACACTCACACGCTCCTGGTCTTGAGGAGGCCAAAGCCGGTTCCTCATCATCTGCCGTGAAGACCTCAAATCAGCGGAAGCGCGCTAAGCCGAGGACCGCAAAGGATGCTCCTAAGGTTAGCAAGGGCGATAAGGAGTTTAAACCTGATGAATCTTCGGAGTCGGATGAGGACGCTCCTGCGAAGAAGAAGCAAAGGAAGAAAACAACGGCTAAAACTGAGGCCGATGCGTCCGGAGGAGGTCGGAAGAAACGCACGAGGGCGCAGGGTGCCACTGCTCGATCGCGAGCAACGAAGTCAGTCAAGGAGTCGCCGAAGCGGGTGGGGAAGGCGGTAGCAGCTACGGACGAGGAAAGCCAGGATGCCGAAACGGTAAGTATCCTGATCACTTCGCGATATTGCACTTTGACGAAGGTGCCTTTCGGTACTATTGTGCTCGTTTATGGTTACATGTATTCTAAGATCCAACACGAACAAGGCGTCACAAGAATGGTTCTGGGAGCTAACTTTACACCACAGGCTGCCAATACTCGCCGTGTCGGCAACGAAACGGAAGACTTTGTCCACACCACAGATCAAGATACTAACGCTGCAGACGATGAGAATCAAGAACAGGCAGATGACCCAGCACCGAAACCCACCCGCACACGCAATCCCATCGGCCCCCGCGAACTCTCCCAGCTAACCTCCACATCTACAACCCCGTCCGCAACCTCTCAACAACCCAAACGTACGTACCCAACCACCTTTGACCTCAGCGGCATCGGCCCCCCAGCCGGCCGCTCAAAGTCCAAATTCCAAGATATGCTCCTCAAAGCAGCACTTAGCAACGCTCACACCCCCGCAGAGCCAAAACGCACCTCGACCGCACTCTCGACCCCTCTAGGCAGAAAGGCAAAGGCGCAGAAGCACGCAGAAGAGCGGCACCCACTCGACCTAGGCTACGGTAAGCGGCACACGCGGGCGGACACGAAGTATGAAGAGGCGAGGAGCAGCAGCAGTTCGAGTGCTAATACGGAAGCGGCGGAAGGCGAAGCCGATGACGAGCAAGACACGCCGGCAGCAGACGCAGAGCAAGGAACGCCCGTGAACGAGCCTACAGTCCCGAAGACTAGGGGCAAAACTAAGACCAGGCCCGCACCCATCGACACCAAAGCCCTGTTGTCGACGCGCTCGCGCTCCACGCCCAACCCAGCAACCGCAGCGGCGACGCCTTCGACTGCCGGCAGCACACCCGCTCGCAACAGGTTCGGCTTCACGGCGCCCCGCGGGGGTAGACCAAAGGGCAGGAAGTCTGAGGGCGATGCAGCGACGGCTCTGCCAACTCCGACGCCGAGTCAGCCCGCGGCTGGGGTGAGGCAGACGAGGCGCGTCTCAGCGGCGCAGGAGGAGATTGAGAAGGAGGCGCAGAAGGAGAAGAACATCGGGTTGAGGTTGCGGAGTGGGGATGGGAAGGGCAAGTAGTGCGGAGGCGGATGGTCTCGATGGGACTCCGTCGCCTGGGATGGATTGAAAAGAGACTCGTGAGGGATGGGCATGGTTTTGCGGGTTCGCCATAGGCTTCGGCTTGCATTTTCGGCGTTGTATACCCTGCGGAACCTGCTTTGGGCGCAATCGTATTCTGTAGCATTAGCTGCACAATACCCGCTAAAAAGAAAAGGCTTCGTCCTCATTCTATTGCGCTTCGCTATATCTTACTTGTGACCTGCACCTCCTCTTTCGCCAACAGATGACAGATCCAATCCGTAGCCTTGTCCGCCATGGCTTTCGGAAACGCATGGCCCACTCCATCGAACAACACGTCCTCAAAACTGATATGCAAGCCTGGATCCTCTTCCAGCACTTGCTTGAACACCTTCAGGAAGGACTCACCCGCCGCATACGGTACTAATTTATCGTCTCTTCCGCTCAAGTTCAAGATGTGCTTCTCATGTAGTCGTTCCCGGAGCAGCACTTTAAAGCGATCGAGTTTCGCCTTTCCAACTTCGGGGTCGGGACCAGTGGGGTTGAATTGGCCTGGTAGAAGAAGACCAGCTGGATCGTACCTGGCGATGGCATCCAGAAGCGCTTGGGGGAAGTCTGGCGAGCCGAGGAAAGAGGAACCGGGAGGCGTAGTAGATGTGTATGATTTCAGTTTTGACAAGCGCGCACGATCCGTCATTAACCTGGTGTAATCCGGACACCCGATGCCGATCACAGCAGCGGAGATCCGCGGATCCGCGAGGACACAGTGCCATGCCGCATGCCCGCCCAATGAGATGCCGAGACACAGATGCTGTGTGATCTTCGGCCCGTCTGCAGAGGTGAAGATGTACGATTCGAGATGGCTTATCAGGTGCGACGTGTCGGTCGCGGTGCCATGGAAGCAGCTAAACATGTCCTGCGCATGCCGTGGATTGCCTTCGCGCCACGCCTGGTTGTGTAGTTTATCCACCATACGCGTGCCATGGTTTCGCTGATCGAAGGAGACGGCGATGAAGCCTTTCGGGGTCTTGCCTGCGTGGCCGTGGGCGATGCGCTTGTTCCACGCTTGGACTACCTGGGCGGCTATGGGTGCCATTGTCTCTTTCTTCTGCAGGCGCGGGTGCAGAAGCCATAGGCAGGCGACGGAGGATGTGGAGGGAGGGAGTTCGGCGAGGCCGTGGACGGTGACGAGGATGCCGGCGATGGTGAAGGTCTGCTCGGAGACGGTGGGGCTTTCGGCGGCGTGGGTGCCATGGAGAGGATTCGTTGTTGCGGCCATGGCGGGAGGAAGGGCGGGCCAATTGGTGTTGTCAGATCCTGAGTTGGGACGGAAGGAATTGAGCGCATGTGGATAGAGATGGGCTTTTCATCTCGAGGCGGGGCCGAGGTTGTTGCGCGCCGGCAGGGGTCGTGACGACTGCGTAGCCATGGCGGGACGATTTGGCAGACTCGGAGGCAGGAATATGGACGCAGACTGGCACGTCGGGGCCAAGGGCTGCCTTCTGGGAGGAATCGAGGCAGAAGCGGAGAGTGCCAGGCTTGAAGAAGAGGTTGAAGAGGTCGAAGCTGCGAGCTGCGGTCGAGGGCGGAAGTTCGGAGCTGGGCGTGGGGAAATGACGGTGCCCCCTGCCCTCAGCCTTGCAGGGATCCATGGCGAGATTACATGGCGGCATGCTCACTCAGAAATCACAACCACCAGCACAAAGCCGTGTGCAGTTGTGGGCGCTTGCTCCTATGCTACTAATAAGAGCTGCCTCCGAATCGCTGCCCTATTCACCGGGCCGTCACGGACATTCCCTGGGCGTCGTTGGGCCTCCGCGACACTGCACAGACTGCACAGTCAACATGCCCGTGTAGCGCATACGAGGACCAAGGAACCGCACCAGCCCGCAACACCGTCCGAGGGCAATCGCACCCCTTACACGCTCTCCGCCCTGGAGTCGCCATCTCGCAAGGCAGTCTCGCCGAGGCGGCCCTCTCTACAATCATGGGGGACTCACCCGGCTCCGGCGTCTCGCCCAAGACGGGCAGCCCTCGCTCTGTCTCGCCCATGACGAAGGGTGATGCCGTGACGGACAAGCCGACCGACCCTTCGCGCGCCCTCTCTCCTCTGCGAGTCGCCCACAGCGCCAACGAGACGAAAGAGCTGTCCGCGGCAGCCACAAACGGCGCGCCTGCCATCACGACGTCTGCCCCGACCGGCGAGCCGCTGTCGCCCCCCGAGCTCGACGAGTTCCCCTTCCACGCGCCGGCGTCGTCCATCGAGCCGCGACCTACGAATGAGCTGATGAATGGCGATCCGGCCGTAAAGGTGCCCTCGGCGTCTGCTCGCCCTGCTAATGGCTCTGCCGGCCCACAGCCTCCCATTGCCCCCGTCTCACGTCGCCCCACCGCCGAGGGCGAGGAATCAGACGCACCCAAGGGACGTCGAAGCGTCCAGTTCGCCCGCACCACCACATTCGGCTCCGAGCCGCAAGCCCACTCGCGACACCAGTCATGGGACACGGAAGAGGTGGAAGGAAAGGGCAAGGAGCGGGAGCGGGAGCGCGAACGTCAGGGCTCGTCGTTGATCACAAAGCTGAAGGCCTTGGCAGCACCCATGGCGTTGCAGGGCCATGGCCGAAGTCTGAGTGCTTTCACGGGAGGAGCCCCGCCTCTTCACGAAGGCTCGCCGCGCGCGCCCCTTTCCCCGGCTTCGGAGCGTGATGAGTTCCGATACGACGGCCAGGACAGCGAGGCCGATGCCGATGCTGAGGAAAGCGCTGGCGAGGGTCCCTCACGGCCGCCCCGAAGGAGAAGGAAGAGCCGCCGCTGGTTCGACGAAGGCGACCAAGGAACACAGACGGCGCCCACGACGCCGAAGAACACAAACGCCCACTTCTTCGCCAGAGATTCGCCTACCGCCACACCCACGTCCTCGCAACCCCACCGGCCAGGCTTCCTACGCAGAGGCACCATGAGCGACATCCCCGAACATCAGCGGCAGGGCGTATCCGAGGATGAGGGCCGCGACCGGCTGGCCAAGGAAAGCGCATGGACGAGAGGCCTCCACAGCGCCAGAGGACTTTCATACGGTGGTCTGCGCCGACACGATCCAAATGCAGAAGATGCCGAAAAGCGACCGAGTAACCTACGGAGATTGACACAATTTGGCGCCGGCGCCTCGGGAGATGCACAGCCCTCTCCCTGGCGGATCCGGAGTGAACGTACGTCGAGCCTGAGCGCGCAGAAATGGAAGTCAATCAAGAACAGTCTCAGGCTGCTGGGCACGCGAGCGAAAGCTGAGCGCCAGGTCGATCATGCCAAGTCCGCTGAGCTGATGGCCGAGTTGTTAGCAGGAGCCCCCGCAGCCTTATTCCTCGCCAGCATGTTTCAACGCGACGAGCATGGCCACAAGCGCATACCCGTCCTCCTTGAGCAACTCAAGGTGTCCATCACCGACACCGAGCAGACCGGAGAGAAAGAAGGAGATCGTCATACTGCGCTTCGCATTGAGCTGGAATACGGCAGTGGTCTCACTCGGATGAAGTGGGTCATTTACAGATCCGTCCGCGACTTCGCCAACCTCCATCTAAAGTTCAAGCTCCAGGAAAAGCAAAATGCTTTCCTGAACCGTCCTGGGAAATCAAAAGACCCGAAGGACAAGTTGAAAGACAAATCCAGTGAAAAGGACGGGGAGAAGGAAGATCCTACGCCAAAACTACCACGCTTCCCGAAGAGCGTCCTGCCCTATCTCAGAGGCCTCCGAGGCTACGGCATGCTTGACGACGAGGAAGAAGAGGAGAGGGAGGAGGCGGGCCATGCCAGCCAAGGCGACGGCGAAGGTAGTGGCACAGATAGGCCGGGCAAGGTGAGCCGTCGCAAATCGTCCTTCCACCTCAGCCGTAGGAAGTCAAGCATCGGTAGCCCAGACCAAGGTGGTGGTGGTGGTGGCGGCGTCGTGGGTCAGCTTGCAGCGAGACAAGGCAGCTTTGCGGGAGCGATCGGGGCGCCCATCCACAGCAAACAAACACACCAAGAACGACAGCGCAAGAAGCTCGAAACCTACCTAAAGGAGTTGATTACCTACCTCATCTTCCGGCCCGACAGCAACCGTTTGTGTAAATTCCTAGAGCTGTCTTCCCTGGGGGTCCGACTGGCCGCCGAAGGTGGCTACCACGGAAAAGAGGGATTCATGATGATCAAGTCCTCGAAAGGTGTCGACAGCAGGAAGAAATGGACCTCGACATCAATGATGCAACGACACTGGCCAAAGTGGTTCCTAGTGAGACATAGCTATGTCGTTTGTGTCGACTCGCCAGAGGAAATGAATGTATACGACGTATTTCTGGTGGATTCGGATTTCACCATAGAGTCCAAGTCGCAAAAGCTGAGAGACAAGAAAGCCCGGGACATCGCTAGCGACGCCAAGGCATCCGCGACTGGCCATCATCAACTGCGGTTGGTCAATTCCGAACGAAAGATGAAACTGTTAGCCAAAAACGACAGGCAGTTAAAGCAGTTTGAGGAGTCGATCCGATTCATGGCACGCAGCACCCAATGGGCCAACACGCAGCGTTTCCAGAGCTTTGCGCCTGTACGAAAGGGCATCTACGCGCAGTGGCTTGTCGATGGCCGCGACTACATGTGGAATGTCTCTCGAGCGATCAGTATGGCCAGGGATGTCATCTATATCCATGACTGGTGGTTAAGTCCGGAGTTATACATGCGACGTCCACCTGCCATCAGTCAGAAGTGGAGACTTGACAGGCTCCTCCAACGGAAAGCACAGGAAGGCGTTAAAGTTTTTGTTATAATGTACCGCAACGTCAACGCCGCCATTCCGATCGATTCGGAATATTCAAAGTTCTCGCTCTTGGATCTCCACCCCAATGTCTTCGTCCAGCGATCACCAAACCAGATTCGGCAGAATACCTTTTTCTGGGCACATCACGAGAAGATCTGCATCGTCGATCACACCATCGCATTCTGTGGGGGGGTGGATTTGTGTTTCGGTCGTTGGGATACGCCTCAGCATGCTGTGGTCGACGACAAGTTAACTGGTTTCGAGGTTGACGACAGTCCCAAAGATGCGGATCATTGTCAGTTATGGCCAGGAAAGGACTATTCCAATCCCCGTGTTCGGGATTTCTTCGACCTGGACAAGCCTTATGAGGAGATGTACGAGCGCAGCAAGGTCCCTAGGATGCCATGGCACGATATTGGCATGCAAATTGTTGGCCAGCCAGCCCGCGATCTGACACGCCATTTCGTTCAGCGATGGAATTACCTGTTGCGTCAACGAAAGCCCTCACGGCCGACTCCTTTTCTGCTCCCGCCTCCCGACTTCATCCCTGCCGATATCGAAGCGCTCGGACTTGATGGGACCTGCGAAGTGCAGATCCTTCGGTCTGCTAGTTCCTGGTCGCTTGGGACTCCCAACAGAACCGAACATAGCATCATGAACGCTTACGTTCAAATGATATCCACCTCCGAGCATTTTGTCTACATCGAGAATCAGTTCTACATCAGCACCTGCGAAGTCCTGGGTACGAAGATCGAGAACAAGATCAGCGATGCGCTTGTTGATCGTATCAAGCGGGCGCACAAGAACCAAGAAGACTGGCGGGCGTGTATCGTCATTCCGCTTATGCCTGGATTTCAGAATACGGTTGATCAGCAAGAGGGAAGCAGTGTACGCTTGATTATGACGTGCCAATATCGCAGCATATGCCGGGGGGAGACCTCCATCTTCGGGCGCCTCCGTGCAGTTGGTATCGAGCCGGAGGACTATATCCAGTTCTACGCCCTGAGGTCCTGGGGCGAGATTGGGCCTACCAAGTCCCTGGTCACGGAACAGCTCTATATTCACGCCAAATGTATGATTGTTGATGATCGAGTCGCAATCATCGGCTCAGCAAATATCAACGAGCGATCAATGCTTGGATCGCGCGATTCCGAAGTTGCGGCCATCGTAAGAGACACCGAGGTGCTAGATTCGTACATGGCTGGGGAGCCATACAAAGTTGGAAAGTTTCCTCATACCCTCCGCGTGCGCCTCATGCGAGAACATCTGGGCGTTGATGTTGATGCAATCTTTGAGGAAGAATGGGAAAGCCGACGATCTGACGTCGATAGCAACGGCTTTCATACCGAATCGTCTTCACCGTCGTCACCCACAAATGATCGAGACACTGAGCAGAAGTTGACTGAGAATAGGCATCGCTTAGAAGACGATCTGATTGCGCGTGCTGAGAGGCTGCATAGCTTCAACCACGACATCGATTGGGAGCAGGAGAATAACCCCCATCTTAAAACGAATAAGAAGCCCACCTCTGATGCTAGGGTATCCAATAATCCGGCACACCAGAAGGATGTGCGTGGAGAAGGGGCGGACAACATGCGCGAAATTGAGAGCGAGCGGCCCAGCATATCGCATGGGCGAGATTCCTACATCAATGAGAAGAATCAGGAGATCCTGCTGTCCGATGTCGCGTCCGAAAGCGTAGGTCAAACTCCGAGGAAAAGCTCCACCAGGAGCCGAGGCAGGAGCAATACCACAAACACAAAGACAAGCGGTCACAGTAGTGTTCCTGACGGCTTTGCCGGCCTGCCGCCACCTCGTATGCCCCGTATGGATACTAGACAGCTCGGCCTTCCGCAGCTCAGCACGTTGCCCTCTCTCCCTCTCTCGGATGACACTGATATCGGCGGGCCTCCACTTCAGCGCTCCTTCAGTGCAGAGTCCCATCCGGTCATCATGCCTCTCCTGTCAGAGATGCGTCGGCCTATGGTCACAGAGGATTGCATGCGCGACCCGTTGAGCGACTCGTTCTATCTTGATGTCTGGCACGCGGCTGCCGAGAACAATACGAAGATATTCCGACAAGTCTTCCGCTGCATGCCGGACAACGAGGTCAAAACGTGGAAGGAGTACAAGGAGTACGCTGCGTTTGCTGAGCGCTTTAGCCAAGCCCAAGGCGCGGGCAAATCCTCTACGCGGAAGCAGCAAGAAAACCCCGGGAAGACTGGTCCCCCTGGTGTCGGCACGGCGGATAAGATTGTATCATTACCAGGCAACACGGCCAAGCAGTTCGAAGCTCTCGGCGAGAAGCTCACTGAGAAGATGTCGAAGCAGAGTGAGGAGAACCATACTTCTAGGATAGGCAATGTGGAACAGTGGGCGCAAGATCAGGAGAAGGAGCAGCACGCCCAGCACGCGCCATCTACTCTCCAGCTCAACATCCCCCAAAGCGGAGACACAGACGAGAAGAGCGCGATGAAAGCCGCCGACGACGCCACTGTGTCGCCCATGAACGCCACTCCCCCCAACCACACTATGACCTTTCCCCCTCCCCCACCCATCCCCGGGGCCACGGAAACTACCGACTTCGCCAATAGCAACGGCAACGGCAACCTCGGCCGCGCGCGCACAGTAACCATTTCGGAGCCCCAGCGTGAAGGGGCGCAGAGCCGCGCGCATGCCAACACAATGGGTAGCAAGCGCTCACGTAGAAGAGCCACGACCAAGAGCTCAACTAGAGCTTTCCACGCTAACGACGACAACATTTTGCTGGAGACGGACGATGCGAAGAAGTTGTTGGAGTTGGTGCAGGGTCACCTTGTCGTGTGGCCGTATGAATGGTTAGAGGCAGAGGAGTCGAATAATGGGTGGCTGTATACTGTGGATCAGATTGCGCCGTTAGAGATTTAGTGAGTCTGACCCTCCATTTTGATCTTATTGGCAAAACGAAAGCTAATTATCTTGCAGCACGTAACGTTACGTCATTGCTTTCACACACTCTGGCCAGAGTCTATCAGTATCTGCTCCCCTCCGCATCATTGTCTGGCCGTTTGGCCCAAAATTGAGCATTTCCTGGCGTTCTTTGTCTGAGCTTTTGTATCTTGCATGAGCGCAGGCCTTGACTTCGTCTCGTTCTTGTTGTATCATCACTGTGACTGGCGGCTAGACCGAACCCCTTTGCATAGCGCGTGGCCATGTATATATCTGCACCTTTACATACGGACGCGGTTTCGATTCCTCGTATCGTGTAAGAGATTAAAGAATAGAAGGGACGTTCGCGGCTAGAATTGCAGCTGATGTTTTCGATATCCGGCCTATCTTTATAGAGCTGGAAGGGAGTCACTACCGCATGCGGGTTCACAGATATTTTAGTTACATGGAGCGGAGGGAGCCTGGCAGAGGAGAAGCGCAGATAATATTACTTCTTAAGGCTGTTCTTACTTTAATAGCTGCAAATAACTGCCTATACTAGCATACTATGTAAAGCATTGATGTGTGTACTCCGGCATATGTATCCCCTCGTCTATCTCCCAGTGTTCATCCCTGGTGGGCGTATCGGGCTCCTAAATCCATCGCACCATTCTGCAACCACTTATCGATACGCGCTAAAGGCCCTCCACATCTGTCACTGGAGAGCCGAATAGCCCCATCAATCCAAATCTCCTCATAAACTGCGCACTCTACTCACGCATACCTTCCGGTGCCCAAAACCAAAATCACGCATGTCGCCGATAGCCGGCATCAACCAATGCTTCAACTCTCGCTCGTATCCGTCTTGCACACAGATAATCAGCCAGGATAGAGGGAGACAAGGCGGAAGCAGACCAACCTGCGATGTTCTTAGCCTCCCTCCGAGAGAGGGCGGGTTGGAGATGTGGGATTGGGAATCGAGAAATATGGTTGCCTCAGGATAACGCAGAGTTTACAACCGAGCCGTTGGAGAAGTAACAGGGTGTAAAAGGCGGTTCCAGCTAGGCGACATACTCGAAACACGACTCGTTCTAGGTGGAATTCAACTGTAGCGGAAAGGACAAGAGAGGATAGGATGGGATATAGAACGTACACGCACTTTAAGAGGCATCTCGTCTATTTCTAATCGGTGTTCAAGAATGTCCATAGGCTTACTGCCGCTTTCAACGTGCTCGCGTCCCAGTGCTCATTCCTGTCTTCTAGAGTAGGCAAAGTCGGATTATCAGAACCCCTTTGCATAGCGCGTGGCCATGTATATATCTGCACCTTTTACATCCGGACGTGGTTCTGATTCCCCGTATCGTGTAAAGAGAGTAGAGAATGGAAGGGACTGTTTGCGTGAGTGAGTATATCTGGAAAGGAAAACGTAGTTAAATGAGGGCTTTATCCTGCTACAAGATTTCTACCAGACCTAGCAATAAACAAAGCACTCGTCCAGCTACAGACCCTCGCTGTTAAGATCCAGCATGGGGGCACAACTCTTTGACAGCAGCAAGCAGCTACCTAGGGCGATTCCTCCCTCCTCCCTCCTCCCTCCTCCACGTAAGCACCAACAAGAATCGCGTCTTCGTTCGCTTCCTGGCTGCCATTTGCCATGTTCTTCCTCTTGAGTCCTTCATAACGAGGAGGAAAGAGGTTTCGATCCGAGCCCATCGGGGTGAGTGTCAAGGCGCTAGGTGAAGACGTGACGGGCCCTATGACTACGGTACGCATGCATTCGAGAGGGCCGGATTCCGTTTTCGAGTACGTCGAGGGGCGGAGTAAAGATGGAAGGCTTTGTTGTTGGAGTTTCGGGGACGGCGGGAGCGGAGACAGTAAGGCCGACAAACACCAAGAGATTTGGGACAGAGCGGTGTGATGAGTAGGCGAGAATGCAGCCTTCCATTCAAGAGAGGACGGGCGCGCCAGGGTAAGCCAGGGTGATGTTGGCCGTAGAGTTGATAGAGTACAACAGCGTAGCGACGGCGACTCTCAAACAGCCCGCCAAGTAAGCTGGCAGATTGGTGAAGACGGGTAGTCATCTAAACAAAACAAAAAAAGTAGCACAGAATCTCCGTTATTCGAGCATTTCGACTTACACATCACCTCTCTTGTTAGCCTAGGTGTACGTGCCACACTAGTTTCCAGGAGCCACCGCGAGGAGGTAAGAGTAGGATTTTAGCTCCCGTTTTTTGATATCGGGGAAACGGCCGAAACTCAAAAACCCCGCGCGAGAAAAAAAAATATGTGCACAATCAGCAAACAGACAGGCATGGACTCACTTACCTAGACGCTACTCCTGTGGTGATTCTGAAGAGTTGAAAGCCCCTCGTACGTGTCGCAGATTCGTCCTTCGCCTCCTTTGGTTGTCGCCTCCAAGATCGGGGTATGAAAGGAGAAGCCGTCACTTCGCGTCCTTTGTTTTGCCGTATCTAAAACGCCCCGATCGGAGGTTGGAGAGAAGAAGCCCGAATCCCGACGCTTGACCCGCTTATACGGAGGGGGTCCTGCGTATTGTTAAGCATTTCGAAATGAAAGTTTGAGATGGTTAATAAGAGATGTATGGATAGATAGCGTTTATTCGGACGAACCATCCACACTGTCTCCCGACTCGCTTGCTGGTGGGCTCCGACCTCGACGACTATCGGCCGGAACGTCGTGGATTTCTTCGAGCCACTGATCAACGGTGTCACGAACTGCCACGCCTGTTCCATCATTGTCGTCGTCGTCGTCGAAGTAATCCAGATCCCTCCACCCGGCTGCGCCCGACATCGCAACGATGCGCTGAAGATGCCATTGCAACTCCAATAGGCCCGGGTCCGGAAGGGGTTTGTTTGTCACATCGTCGGTCGATAGCGTGAACCTGGTGCCACTACGAAGTATGATGGGACTGCCGTCTGCAGGACCAATGCGAATGAATGGGCCGTAGCCATTGCCAGATTCCATCCGGTTGATAGAGGACAGAGGCTCGTCCAACAGGTCTACCTTGGTAGTTGACTTACGCTCCTCCCTGACAAGCCAGTGGAACTCTAGTTCGAGTTGGGTATTGTCGGCTGACTTCTGTACAGGTCGGAGAGCAAAGACACCGGCAGAGTGAAACCGGTGTAAGGTCGCCGTAAAAGTGAGCATGTTCTCAACCGTCTCGGTTCCTCGATTCGGTTGCCTTGGATCCTGGAATATCTTGGCACGCCAACCGTCCACCTTCTCAGGACTCCAGAACATCCTCAGAACATCCCAAAAGTTCACCACTCGTTTCGGAGTCTTTCCTCCAAATGCGCACCATGGGTAAATATGGGCAGCATCGACGGCCGCCATCCTCGACACCGCGCAAAGGTGACCGTCCCTCTCTTTACAGCGGTCTGCGACGCTTTCAACACGCGTAGGGCTGAATTCTCGGCCCCCAAGTCTGCTCTTTGACCTCGTAGGCGAGGTATCGGACGGAGTCGCTGCTTGGGTTCGGAGAGGTGAGGATGGGAATGGGTTGGAGGATTTATCGGATACCGAGTGTGGAGATGTAGCGCCTGTTGCTGTCTTTTCTTTTGCAGCTGGTTCCTGTTTCCAGAGTAGGACGACGTCTTTAGCTCTAACTTCGATGAACGATGCCGCCAGTGGATCCGCAAGTCTGTCCCACAAGATTCCGTCCTGGACGTATTGCTTGACCTGCTCCAGATCGGCGACCTGGAGAAACGCCCAGACAATCGAATGGAGACCTGTGTATCGTCCTAGACGTTTCGCTTCATCGAAGAGTTGTCTGCGCTCGGAAGAGCGCTGTGTAAAGCTTTCGGCGTCGCCCTCCGGCCGAAGGTTCTCCCAGCCCGGGTAGACAGAGTCCATGATGTTGTTGCTGAAAATGCGGTAGGAATAGGTAAAACACAAGAATTTTAAAGAAGAAACTTGTCGATAAAATCTCGCGGACCGGATTAAATGCTGGCAACAAAAAACTGTGTGTTTGGAGAAGAAAGAAGAAGAGTCGGGCAGTGGCCAAATAGTCTTGTTGACATCCCGGGGAGTGCCTACCATCATACCATGGATCAAGAAGGGGAAGCCATCCCCCCATTAGCCTAAGAGCAACTACGACCCATGGTACAGAACTAGGAAAACCACCTCAACGCGTTCAACAAGACCTTAATAGGGATGGTCCGATTCGAGCGAAGCCCACATGCCGGAAAAGCGTGTGTACCTTACACTGAGCAACTCTTTCCACAGATGGAGGGTAGGCATTGGCAAAGAAGTGGCTCTGGGCTTATATAATCCTTAACTTAGCAGGTCTTTGCTTGCTTTCAGGTCTCTCTACAGAAAGGACGCCCCATGCGGCTTTATAGAGCCGGAATTGCATCACCCGCCTAGTACGTTATTCTAGTACTTTTTTTACGTAGATAGTAAGATTCTTAGAACTTGTCTAACAGCGTATAACGCTTTTGCTGCTCTTGGTATGTAGTAGCGTGCTCGTAAATACCCGTATTGTATCGTACTGAAATTCGAAGTGTCCACGGCTTCTTCAGGGCTAACGTTACCCGCGCTGCCTGCAGTTACCTGATGGCGGCCTTCCCATCACCTACACCCGCACTCTCAGCCAGAAGCTCACAGCGCAAGCTCTTGGTCAGTACGGGCTCGGCCGTCCTTGGCATGGCATCATATGCAGAACATGTGCTTAGGAGGTCGAGAAACTAGAGCAGACTAGGCTATTCAGGAACGCTGCGCACTAGCGCAATACAATTCATTTTCAAGTACATACATGCGGTGCTGGGTAAACGTCCTGGAACTGGGGTGCAGGCCCGATTCGATTCCCAAGGGCTGTGAATGGAGGCTTGTGGGGCGGGGGTCGAGGGATTGAGAACGAGAGAACGACAGAAAGGTGTAACGAGAAACGGGAAAGCGAGCGTCTTCGGCTCTCGGGAATGAGAGGTGTCGAAGGAGAGCGGTTGGATCGGACGCACGAGTCTGAATCGCCGTCGCATTGCTCGGTCTTAGTCCGCTTGGGAGAACATCCCTTTCGAAGACGTGCTTGAAGTGTAGGCCAGGCTCGTGCTGGTGGGATGTTGGGAAGCAGTCGATGATGCGAACGTGCCGCAAGTGTCGCCCAGATTCATCCTGGTGGGGTATGCTGAAGAGATTGATGATACGAGGCCTTGACTTTGCGACCGTCCATGATAGGGATCCATTGGATCGGTTTGGAGGGTTGCGCTGAGGGAAATCCACTGCGTCGTGGTTGGAACTGCTGGGAAGGAACCCTAGACTGAATGTCGAGGTAGTACGGTTTCGGAAACCAAATTCCCGTGGATGACGGTCCGAGATTTTTAGGCTACAATGACAGTCCGGCGCTCCGCCCCCGATAGCCATTGCTCTGTTGCGTCCGACCAATCAAAGTTTGGCGGTCTCTCGTTGACAAAGGGTATACGTTTCAGGCCACAGATACCGACTCTCTCGAAGTGTTCAGCCTTCGGCATCAGTAACAGTACGACTAGGCAGTGAGATCCACTCCCTAGCACGAGTCCGATGCAACTGTCGAGGTTTTCGAGGGCATCAAAGCCCCGATCCCAGTATACTCTGAAGTGTGCACGGTTTCCTCTTGGATCGGCCAGACTGATACAAATATCGGGTTCCAACAGCTGCGACCCAGTTCTATTTAGCACGCGAGCATATCTTAGCTCCAATTTTGGCGCGAGCGCGTTGATTTGGAGGTATTTGGGAGCGTCGTCCTGACCGGAATGTACGAGGACCTTACCACTCGCAAGATAGGACGCTAGAGATCCATGATTGCTTGAAATTCCCAAGATATGGATCTCACAGTCTTGCGGCACGAGGGTATGTGGGAAATGATAGTCCATAGGAGCGGCCCATGCAAGCGGAGACCAGCTTGGAAGTACCTTTCTTCGGCGGCATGGTGTGCGATGTGACCATGACAGTGCTATAACGAGCTGGGGGAACGTGTACTCCACTCTTGTTGGATCAGGCCGGAACGGGACGCCCCATATATGGTAGACTGGCTCTACTTGCTGCTGTTCGTATTCTTTCAATATTCCCAGAAAAGCGCTGACAGCATCCGTGTCATAGGTGAGGCTCCTACACGAATACCCTAGTAACCGTCCACTCAATAGGTCTGCCTCATGGTTTTCACCGGATAAGACTTCAGACAACTTGAATGACGCGTTGTCCCCTTCGCAATTATTGTTATGGTTTTCACCGGAGAAAGGCCCAAACGAGTTGAATGGCGCTTTGTCCCATTCGCAATTATTGTCGGGGGTTGAAGAGAATGAGGAAAATTAGCCTTAGTTACAGAGCATGAAAACTCGGTTGTCAGTGAAGACCAACCTTCTCTTTGAAAGATAGCTTTCTTGGTATGTCCATGCCCGCGTCGCCCATGTTGAGGATGACAGTTCCAGAGCCGCCGGAACATCGTAGTGCATCACAGTGAGCGAGCCTACTCTCACTTTCGGCGGATCAGACTGCGCCAAACCGGCACTAATTCCTGGTAGGCCGTGTGTAGGATCCGTACCAGTTGCAGCGATCATTGTCAGCGCTGCCGAGCCGTATATTTGTCCCATCTGCTGAATTTGATCAAGTTTTGCTTGCGTATCGCTCTGGTCAATGCACTGCGGAAATGCTTAGTAATTCATATTACTGGAGGGAGGATCAAACTCACATATCGGTCTACCCAAAGAAAGCGATAGCCGAGTTGACGCGCGACCTGTATGCTATCCTCTATAGTCGCTGGGAGATTCTGTGGGAGTATCACACCAGAGAACGGAGAAATGGTAGAAGAGTCGCCCCAGACATAGGACAAGGCAACGAAATTGCAGTCGCCTGGTGCTCTGACTACTTTTCTTTCTTCGCAGTCAATAGCCTTCAGCCCCTGGATTGTATATTTGCGATTTGTTTCGCATGTTCGGGTATGGTTTTTCTGCAATCCTTCAACCAGAACTTGACCTCGTCGAAGTTGATATCGGAACGACGCATCGATCGTGGGTGAGGGCCAGTCTCATTCGCGCGTTCACGGCTGACAGCAAGGGTTCCTGTGACTACATAGGAACCATGGCATTGTCTTTCGATTTCGATCATAGCGCTGAACCTGCTATTCGCCAATGGCAGGAGGCTTATTACCAAGAGTTCCAAGCCAGCGTCTGGATCCAGAGTGAGAGGGTGGATCAGACGACAAACAGGGCAGACCGAGGCTAATACACTTCCAATGGAAACATAGCAACTCGTCGGAATTCCTCTGGGTATGTTGTTTAAGATCTGGCTGCACGATCCACATAGAGTTTCGTGATCCGATACCCGGAGATCATCGGCCTGGTCACGAACGCCCTGGGTGTGGTCCATGTCTGTAAGCTTCGCTGGAAAAACCACTCGACTTTGGATCGAGATGGGAGCAGTGGGAAACGACGCGCGGAGGAGAGGTTTGAACCGGAGAGGAGGCGGAGTACGACCACGGTGCACGAATTATATGAGGGCCCGAGCCTGGATACCTGGTTCGACTTGTGGCCTGATGCTCAGAAAAACACGATCGAGCGTGGTACTGAGCGGGCTTCTGGGGGTACAGGCGCGACACAAACGAAAATAATAAGGGGCTCAGCATCTCGGCGCCAACTTGATATGGCCTAGTTCGTTTTCAGCCTTCAACTTGTTGTACTTGATGAGATACCGGGCACTCTGTAGATTTTTTCTGGCTCAGGCATCGGAAAAGAGCGACATTATCATCGTGGAGCCAATCGTAGCCGGAGTGCATCGTACCACCACCTTGCGGTGGGCCTGCTACCAAGCTCATCGTGCTTCTGCCTGCTTAACAAGGAGAAGACATGAAAGTCTTCGGAGAAAGACATAAGGCTATCTTGGACGAACGATTGCTCGGTATGAAGGCTTGCGGTTGAATGTTGATGGAAGAAGAGTCCAGTCTGCGAGCACACGAAGAAGTTTTGGAAGGCTAATCCCGAAGAGACAAGACCGGACACCATGACTCTTACTACTTTATGCCTGAGAAGAAATGGAACTTGACACATGGTCAGAAACGCTTCTAGAGCCCTGCCGCCATGCGCCACAGTTATTCTTGGTCGCCAAGCTGAATTAAGTACGATATTAGCTTTGATTTTCAGTACAATAGAACCTTGGAATACAGAGATACTGTACGCTAAGATGCACAAGCATATCCCACTACATTGGGAGCGTCTTGAGAAAATTCTCTCGCCCGGCAAAATTCACGGCATGCACATTTTATAGGTTAGGATAACCTCTAAGACCTAGGAATATAATCTTCCTTGCCTAAACTTTCAATATAGCCCTCTAAAATCCTAGAAGTCTCGCAAGGTCGCGTATAGACAGGGGGATATAGCTAAAGAGGCTATTAACGGCGCTAATAAAGCGATTAATAGCATACGCTATACTGCGATATTTTTCGTTAGAGGCAGGTCTCTTATTAGAATAATAGCTAGAGGAGAGCTTCCTATAAATTATAACTGTATAAGCCTGCAATCGAGAGACTCCGGAGATTTGATCGCGAAAGCGTCGCGCCACACCGTGCGTCTCGCGACGTCGACGCGGTGAGATATGTTATGCGAGATGAAATGTCGCAACGTCACGATGAGGATGAGAGTTTGTAACAATTGATTGAGATTGTGAACCAGGTGGGACGCATTGCGCCTGCTCTATTCCGCCCGCACTGTTCGTCCCTCGCGGTTTCCGACCTGACTATCCTTTGGCGTGCTATCCATCTCTATGGTATATATCTAAATCCCAAGTCTTTCATTCTCAATCCCATCCTTAGCTCATGTATATCCACACATGGTGCTTCCCGTGAGACTGCCCTCCTCTACCAATGCGCTCGGACTCCCACCTTGCATCTTCACGTCGACTTCTCCCTTGTCGTTCGCCGTATACTTTGTGCATGTAAGCACATCCACGACAGTAGCACCGCTCGTGAACTGCATGCCCTGCGTCGTCAGCGTGTAGGTGCCACCCTGCTCGCCTTGATTCGTAAGGATGGTTCGAATAGCATCCTTGCGGAGCTGGATGACGTCGGACGTATAAGAAAGGACGTTAGTCTGATATGTCGAATATGAGGCGTGCTTGGCTGAGATGTGGTTCCGGATTTGGTTGAGGTAGGCGACATGTTTGTAGAGCGGGGCGTCGGTGTTGTAGCTGCGCACTGCGTCAGCATAGGCTATTATATGGACGGAACAAACTCACCCTGACAACCACAGCGCCTCTCTACATCCTGGGTCGTCTCCGCCATCGTAGTGTTGTTCTTGGCCTTGATACACAATAGGAATCCCATCGCTCAAGATGGTGAATGCCAACGCGTTCTTGACTAAGCTGAGATCCTTGGTCGCGTACGGAAACCGTGGGTTATCATGGTTCTCCAAGAATGTTCCCAGCAGTGTTGAGTCTTTGCATCCCGCTTCTGCATTCTTCGTGCAAGCAGCGAGGTTGACGACAAGGTCCGACATGTTCGACTGTTGCTGAAACACCCGGGTCATGGCGTAGTAAAGCGGGTAGTCCAACACAGAATCCATGTATCGCTGATATGGATAGGTGTAGTTCGCCAAACCCTCGGACACTTCACCCATGCAGAACACGCCCGCGCTCCGGCACCACGGCGGAAAGAAATCCTTGTTGACGTTCTTCACGCTGTCGATGCGCAAGCCGTCGATGCTGTAGTTCGAAACGAGCGAATTGATCCAGCGGTTCATTTCATCCGCCACTTCTTGGTTCTCGGTCTTGATGTCCGGCATCGTCATGTTACAGTTTCCAAGCCAGCAGTCCTCTACCTCGGTTTGATTGGCCATGTTTTCCATGGGACAGTACGAGTGGAAGTGGTCAGCTTTGTTGAAGACTTTGAACCGCCCGTAATCCACCTTGTCGGGGCACCCGGCAAATGCCATGTGATTCGGGACGACGTCTACCATAAGGTACATGCCCTTGGAGTGAAGAGCAGAAGCGAGCGACTTGAGTTCGTCGGCGGTGCCGAACTTCTCGTTCACGTTATAGAGATCGGTCTGATAGTAGCCGTGGTAGGCCTCAGTGACTTGCGCAGTTATGGGCGAAATCCAGATCTAGGGCAATAAGCGAGAGAAGAGCAGGTGTGCTAGAGGTATAGTTACCGCAGTGAAGCCCATGTTCTTAATATAATCGAGCTTGTTCTCGAGACCTTTCCATGTACCACCGCAGTATATGTTGGTATTGACGTCGCAAGGGTAGGTCGTGCTGCCATCCGTTCGCGCAAATCTGTAGGCTGGTTAGGCGCGACTCGTTATGAGCCGAGATGATGCATGTGTAATTCGAAGGAGTAGGCGAAGGACTGAATCATCTAAAGTACATGTAGCGTGGGGTGCAACGAAAGTAAGAAGATACGACGAGTACACGAGAGATCTCACTTACCTATCCGTGAAGACCTGATAAATTGACCTGGACCTCCAATCAGCTGCACTAGCAGCCGCGGAGGCCCGAATAAGCGATGCAACCGCCGCAGCAATCAAAAGTCTCATGTTGAGGTTGAGGGTGAGGATCTGACCAGGAATCATGAAGAGACCGTGGGTTGGTAGAGAACTTACCCGCAACGAAGGAAAGCCTGCTCTCAGCCTCAAAATCCAAGCTTCTTTCACACTTAAATGTTGAAGCGCTCACCGTGGCAGTTTCCAAGATCGCCGTTCCTTGATTTTTGCCCCCACCATCCCGTGGTAAATTGTTCTCACCCACATCAGCGCCCGGAGGCCTTTCATCAACGCGTGAGATATTGCCTTGGGCTATTGCCCAGGGCATCTTCGAATACCATTCACGCTTTTAACGAGCGTGACTACTCGGCCTTGGCTTCCCTGCATATCGTCGGTATATCTCGCTCGGGCAAATACCCGCCGATTAAATAAATCGTGCAATTAACATGCGGCAGTAACCGTGTCTCGCAACCTCACCCACCCGTTTTCTGTCCGGATGCGCGTCTTCGACGAGGTGTCAGATGGATCCGACAGCGTTGATCTCCATGCATCTGGTCTCGTGGACTCCTCCGTCAGCTTTGCCCGTTGGTAACGGCCTGATTGATATTGGGGATAATATTGCCGCGCCCATAACATTCTTCGCACCAGCCGTTCTGCCATGGCACCGGAACCTCAAGTAAAGTAGAGGTGACATGCTCACAGGAAATGCCTCTGACGATCATCGCATCTTGGTTGATAGCTTGGCGCGTCGCAGTGTGTTCGTGATATCTGCACAATATCAGTACGACCATAGAGCCTATGGCGCGATGCAACCCGTCTACTGTTTCATTATTCTGAGCAACTTTTTCATAGATGACGGAGAAATGAAGATGCAGCGACGGACATGTATCTCAGCCCGAAGTTCGAGTAGTGGTACCCGCAATCAGCGCGTCCCAGGCGACCACTGGGAAGTGCCGCAAATTATCCGGGTCACTTAACAAGGACGGATCATCGTCATTGCGCATATCAATTCCACACGTGCGTACCCGGATTCGGCAGTATGCGAGAGCCTTGGACGTGTCTCACGGCTTACGACGCGGTGTATGTGGGTACGATTGAGGAAGGTGAGCGTTACGACGTGCGCGTGACGCTGGGCACAATGCTGTGGACTGCCAGTTCCAAAGTGGGCCAAAGAGCGACTGACCGTCAGTTGTAGTGTCGTATCCACGAGCCTGTGAGCCAGCGACGCCGTGTACGCAGCTGGATTGAGTAGGACAATGGACACAGGCGGTTATCGTGAGGGCGGCGAGGAGTTGAGAGATAGTGGCGACAGGAAGGAGGATAAGGCATTGGCAATGAAGAAAGCCGATGGAAAGGCTGACAGCGGGCGGGAGAATGTAAAAAAAAAAAAAGAGGCGCAGATGCGACGAAGATGGGTGAGCTTGAAGCCACCACGGTCGCGGAAGGCGAAACGAAGGCCGACAACCGCAACTTCCTCTTTTTTTTTAGACCGCCGGAAATCCAAAAACACGATCGCAGGCGCTCAAAAAGGCTCGCATTAAAAGGTGTAGGAGGCTGCAGAGATGCAACGGAAAATCTAATGCAAGGCAGAGGGCCAGTTGTGTTTCTTGAAAGATAAAGAGAAGTAGGGGCAGGAAAGGCCCTTCATTGTAATTCTAGTAGACTCAAGGAAAAGAGATGCTGTTAGTGGTATCTTATGGTCCCTGCTAAACGATGCTGCAAACGCCCGAATCTTCTGCCCGGTCTGCGAAGCTCCCACTGCAAGATGTCTGGAATGAAATGAGACGGGCAGCGCTCTTCACGGGCAGGTCAAACTCCTAACCCTCTTCTCGCCCCGTCCCAGTATTTCTCCCCGAACTTTGCTGGGAAAGGCAGCCCTAGCCCAAGTTTGTAATGCACACCTCCTCATCAGCTCAATCTCCTCGCCCTTCATCCTCAGCTGGCGCTTAGCCAACTTGCTCTTCCGCAGCTTCACTCCCTTCTCCTCGGGCGCCCCGCCGCTCACGGGGAACTGGTCCGTGGGCGTCGTCACGCTGCGCTTGGCGACTGGCTTGTGTTGGGTAGGCGACGAGACGAGGGACTCCAGGTCTACGCATTCGGTAATCAGAGCCTGGATGCCGCCGGATAGTTGTGACGCGCGCGAGAAAAGGTATGACCAGTAATCCGGGCCCCAGAACGGGTCCGAGGAGAGGGCGTCGCGGAGAGCGGGGAGGATGTGCGGGAGGGGAGGGAGGCTGGGGCCGGAGGAGCAAGGCTCTTCGCTGATGGGTGAGGTGGGCGGGGAGGAGGTGGCCGAAGCTGCGGGCGACGAGTTGGGCGAGGAGACGGAGGCAGTAGAGAGGAGCGATGCGGCTATGGTTAAGCGTATGTGCGATTCGGTGCTGAGCGTCGCCGTTATCACGCAAGCTGGTTCAACTACGGTTAGCGTCCAACCCCGTCACCGACGTATATAGGAAAGGAGTGTCGCACCAGGACAGCCGCGCGTACGGCACCACTCCTCCTCCTCGGTGATGAAGCACTGTAGCCACAGGAAAGCACTGCGCGCCTCGCCCGCAAACGCGAGCTCTAGGTCCTCGCTTTTGTGGGTGCATAGGGCGGCCTCAGCCAGCGCCGAGGCGCGCCGGAACAGCTCGACGACGGGCATGATCAGGGCATGCAGCAGGTCGCGGTGGAGTAGCCATGTCTCCTCCGCTGGCTGATCGCATGCCGAATGGAGCGCGCAGAAGCTGTTGACGTGGCTGCGATTAGCTTGCATTCCACACAGGGCGGGCGCTGGAAGGGAAAGGGAACAGGAGGGGCACGACGTACTCTGCATCTTTCGCCAGATAGCTGCGCAGCACCCGGAAGCCCTCAGATGCGCAGAGCGCGTCGACGTCTTCACGGGGGATGTCGAAGGGGCTCTGGGTCAAGCTTTCCGAGCCGTTGCTGATCGGGTCCATGGTAGCTCACGATTGGCTGCCGTCGCTGAAAGTCATGTAGCGCAACGATTTCAGCGGATGACGTTTGCATTGAAGGGCCTCAGGACAGATAAGAGAGCCAACGGGCCACAAGGCGGAGGAGGAAGAAGGGACGGGAGGCGACGAGAGGGGTGAGGGTGATAGAAGGCGGTGGAAGGCGATGCTTCCTTTTCAATGAAATGACGAACTGCTCAGGAATGGGGCCTGCGAGGGGTCAAAGCGCCAAGCTCCAGCCAGCGGCGGCCAAATGGCATCTTGCATGCCGATAACTTGTGTGCCATCGATAACGCCATTCCGAGCAGGCGCATTCGCGCGCTGTCGATTGGGCTGCGGACTAGCTGAGGGGGCCGTAGCCATGCACTGTTGCTCCCACGCGAGCGCCACAAGGAATCCAACCCGACGTGGGGGCCTGCACGTTTACGCCAAGTCCCCCAGCAGTGCCGGCGCTTGCGCTCTCGACGACCTTCTGCGCTGGAAAAATAGAGTTGGCTGGGTTGCGAAATGTTGCTTTTCGATGCTGTGTAGAGCTACGGACTAAGGCACGAACCAATCTACAACTCTCGGTTCAACTCCCCTTCCCCTACACCATGGCCTCAGTAGTTCTTCACTAGCGAAGACCGGCTCCTCATCAGCGCGCCACAAATCCCACGCGGCTGGTTAGGGCCAAGTCTAGCGGGCAGTCTAAGGGTCCTCCCGCCAGACCGGTAGGGTTCGTCGGGACCGTTCCTCCTCGTCGCGTCTCCACTCAGGAGAATCTCGAGGTATTTGGAATTCGTGAATCTTCGACTTCCATGTCGTTTGCAAACACCCCTTCCTCCTTTCCCTCTCCTGTCCGCTGCAAACTATCCCATCGGCAACACTCATTCTACGGTAGATAACGACCGTTCAATGGCTATCTCCAATCCCGCAACCGACACCGCATGCATCTGCAAACCTGGAAATGAGCGACGGCGACCACATTCGCGAAAGAAGACAACATCTTGACCCAGCTCACTTCCACCAGAATACCGAACAAGATCCATCAGCATTGAGCAGGCGCCTCATGCCATTGTCGCCAGGTAGATTCTGCTTGCGTCCGAACGGGTCCGTCAGCAGAACAGACAGCTTTTCCGAGATGGGACCCATCTCCGTCTTCGAAACCGGGATTGGAGGGCTGAGTTGGGTGGGGTCTGCTTGAATGAGCGAAAAGATGCGTGTCTTTGCCCTCCCCATCATTCGGTGGTGAATATCGCGAAGTGTGTCATACAGAGGCCAGAGAGTCTCAAGGTAACGGGCGGCTAGCGGTTCGAAGTCTCGACATGGCTCGAGCATGTCCATGCAGCCTTTACCGTATGCGAGGTCTTGCTCTACACCGTCGGGTTGGCCTTCGAGGAGCTTGGTCGTAGCAGTGAAAAAGAGGACGATGCATGCCGTGAAAGCCCAATAGCTAGCAGTTATGTCAGTACGTACGTGAGTGATGACAATTGCATCTGTCACTTGCATGATAAGCCAGCAGCGCTTCGTCAGAGTGCCGTCGAAAGAGATGAGCCGCAGGATGCGTGCAATCTGTTGGCCCGCTATCGCGCACTCGTTCCTATATCGTTTAGCATCTTCGAGGGTTAGATTCAGACCCCATGCAGCGCCGTCCGTGAGATGCGTTTCGGCAGTAGCAACGAGTAATTGCCGGTAAAGAAGGATAAGGGCGCCAAGGTACATGATCTAAATAAGGGGTTAGCCCTGGAAGCGGCCAGCAATGATGTGGATAGCTCACATGAACCATGAGGATGGCTCGCCTCTGATAGAGCGTCAGGTCGGGAGGGTTGTCCGAAGTCAGGGTCGGGATTTGGAGCATGAGTGGCACCTCCATACGCCAGGTTTCGAGCTTGCCGGTGAGCATAGCTATGTTTTCTCGCGTTGCCAGCTCTGGCGACGCTAGCGTCTTCGAGATCTCGGCTGCAATCAACGCCACCTTGCTGGTCTGCGTATGGATCTGCTCGTCAATGGTGGCTAACTCGGGGCGGTATGCGCCACACGCGATCTGCATCTATTAGTCCCCATGTTTTTCCGCTGCCAGCAAAATATTTGGGACGTACGGAGATATCACTGTCCGTCACCTCGGACGTGTAGCCCAAAGTATAAGACAGCCAACAGTCCATGAAGATCAGACTACGGAATATTCGCCTCCAGCAATCGCTCACGTCCCCGCTGTTGGAGCTGAGCAGGACAGGACACTTCCAGCGCGCAATCTGTAAGCCAGCCGCTATGGAATGATTAGTTTCCTGTTCAAGTGTCTCACGTGCAAGGACTTACCGATCAGATATCGTGCACTCATGTGCTTTTCAAGCAGCGCGTAGAAGGACATGGATAGCAGAAGGCGCATGGTGCGAAAGTAGTCAATTCTTGCCGTTTTCTCGTGGAAAGAGAGGGTGCCAGAGGCGTATAGGACTCTCCGTATCCGATCTGGGAAACAGTCCATGTCATAATGAGCGCCCATGGAGGCAACGGTGAAGCACTCTGCGAGGGTCATGGCGTCTACGGGCTTCTGCGGTCTGTAAATGCGATCGAGGATCTCGTCAACCTGGACGTATGTCCACATGTACAATAGCGACCCGGTGCCTTGGACGAAAGCGTACATTGCCCGGCGGGTGAGTGTTTCGGGCGGTAGGTGGCGTTCATCGTATGGCTGCACGCCCTGGCCTAGGATTTCGCCCCGGAGACAGACCAACTCACTAAATGCCAGTGTGAGGGCATTGTGGCACACCTCGGCCTCAGTGCCAGTAGAGGAAGAAGAAGGGACGGACACTGGACTGTCAGAAGAGCTGGGGCTCGCACGAGAGTAGTTGTCTCTACGGTTGAAGGATCCTGTACGGCCGGAGTTGGAACGCTTTCCATGCGCGACTTGCTGTTGGGCTTTGAAGTCTGCCAGGTAGACTTGGTACTTGCGCCAGCTGTCGGTCTTTTTATATTCGTCCATCTGGGCCTCGTACTCTTGCATTGCTCGGGCTGCTTGGCTCTCCCAGACACGCTTCTTTTCCGGGGGCAGCTCCTGCCATCTTCGGCCCACCTCTTTCGCTATGTCCACAAAAGAAAGAGCGCTGATTTCCGGATCGGTCCGGAGCTGGTCAGCAAAGTTTACGTCTGGCATGGCTGTTAGGGCATGGCTGGGACAGGGCAGATGAGGAGTAGCATACAGGCTGTCTTTGGCTTCTTGGGTGCATTGCTGTCCGGCCGCGGGTGGCGCCTGTACCTCCTCTTCTCTCGCGGCGGCGGCGTGGATGTCTGGCGGGCCAGGCACTCCAGCGCCGACGTCGAGAGCGAGGTCTGGTCGTTGGGGGCGCTGTCGGACTCCAAGGCGAGCGTAGCGGGCACGCCTCGGTAGGTGGCGATTTCGCGCTGCAGGGTGCGGCGGTGGCCGAGCTTGAAGCTCAGGGCAGTCAGGTCTTCTTCGGTGATGTCGAGGACGGTCTCCCAGTTGTGGAAGCCATTGCTGGTGAGCGCGGTGAGGTAGTCGGTCAGGCCGAGGCGGGCGAGGACGTCGGGCAGCTCGGGCATTGACGCATTATTGGGGGGAGGGGAAGGGATCGTCATTGTGCTGCATCGGGATCGTGGCATCGGCGCGGGGCGGTTGGCATATTTGAGAATGACGGATAGGGAGCCTGTGCGCGCAGGCCGGCAGCATGGCAGATTCCGGCGGCAGGGACTGGCAGGACGGGCAGGACTGGCACGAACAGGCCGGCGAAGAAACAGCTGAGGGAGGGCTGCCCCAGGAGCGCGGTGGCCTGATGCGGAGGCAGCGCACAGTGCGCGCTGGACAGGCCCGCGGTCTGGACCGCCATTCGGCCGGCCAAGCTTTTGCTGCAAAAGGCTTGTCTGCCGCTAGTCCCGGCCCGGCCTGGCGCATTCCCGCTGCGCCCCCGACGGCCGGACTGGCATCGCGCAGAGGCTGCAGGCCCGCTCGGCGCGCGCTTGGCGTCTGCTGATTGTCTGGCACCACCTCGCCGAGCACGCGCAGGGTGCCCAGGGCAGCCCACTCCGGGGCTGTCTGTAATGTGCTCAATACTGCCTGCCAATGCTCGCTTTGCTGGGCCAGGCCAGCCAAGCACTATGCCACTGCTGCCGTCGGGCAACAAGAGTACCCCGATCTGTGCGACCGTAGTTGTCACTTCGCCATCGAACGGATGATCGAAAACCGCCAGCCTACGCGCTCGTATTTCCGATCCCCACCCTGATCATGTCCCGGCATCTCAGCGTCTCGATCTATACCACAGTACTGTATGTCGGATGCTGCCGAAGCACGGGGCATCCTACGCTAAGCCTTTTGCGTCGAACATGGGAATCTCTTCCTCCACCATCCCGCCTGCACGGGCTCACAACGTTGATGGGCCCTCGTGGCACCAGATGGCCATCTCTGCCCTTCTCCATGTGGGCTTGCATGGCACATAGCATTCTCGCGAATGGCATCTTCACCACGCAGAAACCCGCGTTCAATTCAACCAGAAGTCCACTAGCGCTCCATTCGCGACATCCAGACTCTCACCGTGCATGAGAATGGATGTTGCACCGCCAGTGGCACGAGATAGACTAGAACGGCTGACACCGTTGAAACGACCAAGCCTGCTGCCACCAAGGGAAGTGATCCGCGCGCCCTAGCAGGATCGCCGATTGACGACCATCACTCCGCTTGCACCTCGTAGCCTTCTCCCCTCCTTTCTCCGCTCGACCTGATACCGACCTTCCGGTACAATCCTCCTATCGAGCTTCCAGAGAGGAGCGTGTCCTATCCACCGTCTCTTGCTCGCCTTGCACAAATAGGAGAGTCCACCAATAATACTGGAAGGAGTGGGAAGCGATCACGATCGCCGAGGTGCTGCGGTCCTCCTATCCATGTCAGCCCTGGCCACCTCAACGCGTCGTAAAGTCGGTTCCCGCGTTGAGATTGCTCGGAATATTATCAAGCGGAGTCGCTGTCTAAACACTCATGCCTGGAAGTTCGTGATGAACCCCACAAAGCGGGAGGCGGAGGACCCAGAAGGAAGACTGAACCTCTCGCGCGGAGTACCGAGTGGCGCGCCCGTCCTGAGCAGCAATTTGGCGATTTCGTACCGTGCCGTCGAAGATCAGTGGCTACGTACGGTATTAGAGGAGGAGGTAAAAGAACTCGGACAGGTTGAAATTTAGGCATTAACAGGAGCATGAATGCGGAGCGCTGCTATTTGGTGCCTTGGCGCATTTGCAAGCGACAGTGAGAACGCGAAGCTGGAAAATATCGGTTTCGATAAGACGGAAGGAAAGAATGATAAAAGTTAGGGAAGAAAATTCCAAGGTTCTTTGCAATACCCACAGGAGAGGAAGACACGGCGAGGTGCTGATTTTGAGGAAGGAGGGAAGAACGTTGGCTCTGGGACGTTCCTGCTTCACGTTAGTCTACTCCTGCGAAGAAACCTCTAACCCCAGATCCTGTGCTTGGTTACTCCGCCCACACTCTTTCACGCTTTCTAGCGGCCTCGAAAATACACATTGGTCGACGTTGTTTGGAAAATACGCAGGAAACCGACTATGTAAGGCGGTCACAGCCCCAGACCTCAAGCCAGCGACTATGCTACACCTTTCCGGCCGCGCAATCTACCCCGTCCTGTTAATTTCGGTGATCCGCCGGATCTTGGAAGCCTAAGCTAGCAAGAGCCAACACCACGAGGCACAGCATATTGCCAGACATCAGATGATGTGTAAAACATCAGTTTTCGATTCCACCTATCGGCATTCAACCAGCGCCTACGATACCATATGCAAAATACCCACTCGCACCATGCCAACGCACGGTTTCTCCACCTTTTCCCCGAGATATGAACGACGAAAAGCAAAATCGCGCTGTCCTGAGGCCTGCGTCGGGTCTCGGATCAGACCATTCAGCCTTACAGCCCGATCGTTCGACCCAAGGGCGCTTTGTGCTCGGGGGAATTTCCAGAATCGTGTGATGTGCGAATCTCGCAGCCCCATGTCAGACAAGCAATGCAGGGTCTATCGAGTTCCCCCTCAGCTTCTCCCTCGATGACGGCGCTTCTCCGGCGAGCACAATCGCTCTGATGCCGTCGGGCTCCCAAAGGATATCCATCAAGAGCGGTACCCGCCGTTCGGCAAGGAGCGAGGAACAGAGCCACGTGTTCTTTCAGCTGGAGCCTGTATGCATCGTCCAAGCGCTGGACGCAGGAATTAGCATGGGCCTCAATAAGCCGACGAAAAGGGAGCGCACCCTCCGAAGCGACCTTCCCGTAACCCTCCACTCCATTCTCCATATCCCAGGGTGGTATTTTCGCGCACCTCCCAAATACCCAACTGCATCCGGCAGGGGTGCTTTGGCTATCGTGAGATGCATGAGTTTCTGCAGCTCCGCAGTTCACGCGAGATTGAGACAAGCCAAGCTCATCTTCGGCGGCCTCCCCATCCGAGCGCTCGAGCTTGACTCGTATGCCAGACCAGCAGCCGCATTCGTTTCCATGACTCTTAGAGGGCCCGGTTACCGGCAAGCACCACATCCACAGTTCGGACAGCAAACCACGATGCGTCATCAGGGGCGCGGGGAAAAACGGACGATGGCGCCAGACCCCTGGGTTCTAGCCAAGGACCCTGCGGAGGCTCTGTGCGATAGCTGATAGGCTGTGATTTGAAAAGCCGGTCTGTGTGCATGTTCGTCGGGTGACATGTCGGAAGATGCGTTCCCTTGGGTGCCCCTTGTTCGTGAGCTCAGTTTACTGTTACGGCAAGGGCCTTGCGTTAGCGATGGGACGCACTTGACTTGGCATGTGGGTGGCTTTGATGGGCGCGTATGTTTCGCCGGTAGGGAAAGTATGCATGGCAATGTCTCCTGAGGCACTAGCTAAAATGGGACATGACGCTAATCTGTCTCTCAGCGCGTTTTTTCTCTTTTCGGGGCCGTACTGTGTAACACGGTAGGCTGCTGCATACGGATGGGGCTTTCTGTCCCCTTCGGATGCGCTGACAATGAAGCATGGCCTCATTATCGGAAAACACCATTCTCTAGGATCGTCTCTCAAAATTTAAATATGGAGTGATGCATGCATTCGGCGACATTCCATTTTGCGGGTCCGATCAGCAAGCCGATTTAATGAACCTTCGGATCGGGCAGTGTCGCTCTGATGGCGGCGCTGAACTTTCCGCTTTGTGGGATCCCTATATACTAATCAAAAAAGATTTTGGCGCGGTTGTGGCTGGCGCAATCGTAATGCCCAGGGAGAGGCGTCCTAACCCTCTAGTCTCTAAGCGGTAATGGAGAGGGGCGCGGATTTAAGACAGGAAAACTTACCTGGGTAGCTGCAAGTAAATGCCTCTAGAATGTAGTATTTTAAGTCATTCTAATCCAGTAGAACAAGACAAAAAGCGAATTCTCATCTCGGCCACCGGAAGATTAAAAAAAGAATTCAAGGAGAGCCACGCTGTTTGTCTCAGTTCATCTTTCTCATTGCGCTTACTCTCCATCACAGTATTTTTCTTCTTATGGTGCGTCTTGCGCATTCAACATTAGCCGGAACTCTGTGGCTTCGACATCTTGCACACCTTGAGATAACGCTCTCACGAGTCCTGGCATCATCCACGTCATCGGCAGTCAACGTTTGACGCGCCTCATACCAGTACATGACGCTGTTCCTACACAGCTCCCTTGCAATGCGATAGAGCCCTTTTGGTGATATACTCCGCGTCTCGCGTCCCCAATGAACCGGGCTTCGAGCCGGACCGGACCAAATGCGGGCACATGCCATTACAAGACAGCAGGGGATGCTCGCTGACGACGAACTCGATATACGTCCCGTTCCTTTTAGAAACGACTTCCGCAACGCAGATTTAGTCGCTCGGCCGTCTGGGTCCACTTCATCACCGCGCACCAATTGCACCCATTCTATACTTGGAAGGAGAGCCATGGGGTGACCGAGTAGATGGAGGGCGGGCTAGAAGCAGTCATAGGCAGCAGATTGGACAAGCGAGAGGAAGGAGGAGCGGAGAAACGAGACTTTTGAGTGGGTTCGAGGACTGGGCTGTTCGGACATCGTATCAGCAGGCGTGCAAATCACAAGGGTGCACGGGAGGTGCCTTTCAGGCGCCAGCTGCGAAACTTAGCATCTCTTTAGCATGATGTGCCTCTCAGCATGATGTGCCTCTCCGCACCCCATCCATTGTAGACCATTCATCCTGCAACGGGGACTTCAATGGCGAGCTCATTCGGAGCAGCGAGAGATGTGGAAAGTAGTTGAAGCGACTTGCGGCACCTTATTTTTGTGGGAGCCCACCACACGCGAGATGGTGAGGGGTATGTATCACCGGCCTTGTTACACTGCATTGGAGGCCTGAAATGGTCAGAGCCTGTTTTTCAAGCTTCATTCGTGAGGCAGGCTAGTCCTATCTCGCGGTGAGCTGATAAGATTGCAAGGGAAGGAGCCGTTGGAGGAGGACGTGATGCCAGAACATTTCCAAATCTCCGGGATGCACTAACCAGGCTACGATTCGATGGCCAAATTCGTGGTGCGTTCCACCCGTGGACATGAGCCCGTCAGAAGGGCTTGATTAGTCATCTCTGTGCGATGAGAGGAGTGACTCCAGCACATCGGGAGCGAGGGGGTAATCTCCGCAGACTGGGGTGTTCGGGGTCAGGATCAGGCTTATGAAAGAGAATGCGGTCTTCCAAGGGAGGACGCTGGTGTAGATATAGTAGAAGGAGCGGCCGATGGACGGAGTAGAAGAACTCTCGCATGTCTACGGCGTAAGATTCCCTCTATGTTTTGCGACTATGTTCCCGCTCAGAGGTCCCGAAGATCAAATATTGTACAAGAAAAGGAAGACTACAAGAAATGTACCAATGCCCTAACGTGCACGAGCAATCTCATCCGAATGTCTCGCTCGTGCCGTAGACGGCGTGTCCTGTTCGATCGCGTCATCATCGATCGTGATCTCGTTGACAAGCGTAGTCGTAGTATCAATGCGCTTGACTTTCCTTTCAGTCGGAGCAAAGGTATCAGGCCTCTTCATCTTCACATCCTCAATCGAGTCAAAAGTATCCATCTTCCTCACTTTCCGCCCCTGAGACACCCAGGATGCAGTATCTGAGCCAGCTGTAGAAGGCTTCCCATCCGTGGGCTTTTCTCCCCAGTTCTGAGGTGCGATGAAGAGTGTACGCTCCTCGTCACTGATATCAATCATGGCGAGTTTCTCTCCCGGACTAGTCACGGGATGGTTCCAGCGATTTGCCCATGTGCCCGAACCGACGTGTTCGTGCGCGAGGCGCTGTAGTTGGAGCGTTGTGTTGGCGTTCCATTCGAGACGCGTGTAAGTACCGCTGGGGTTAGGATGTTTCTTATTCCGGCGGATTTGGATGTAGTCGACGATGTATTCGAGTGTGAGGTCGAGCAAGATGAAAATGCCGCCAATAACAAGGATGAGCCCCGCGCCGAGAACAGAGAAGGAAGAGTATTTAGTAGTCACGATTTTCTGTGTTGTATGAGTGATGCGATGCAAAGTGATATTGGGGGTATGGATGACATACCTGATTACTGCACATCGTGCGCTCGGCTGTGTTGTTCGGTGCTCGGCGAAACTGTTGGTAAAGAGGCGTAGGTCCGTTCGCTGTTTCAACGAAGGAGCCCTGGAGTGAAGCCAGCGACGCGCCGACCCAATGCTCGACCTCTGACTGCCACTGAGTATCTGGCAACGGCCCCTGAATATTATTTCCCAGACCTTGTCGTGCAGTAATGGAAGATACTCCCAGCGATTCGACGATCCCAGACAGCGAGAAAAAATCCAACCGAATGACGTCAATGGCCCATTGAAGCATTGTCTTCTGTGACTGCGACTTGTAGAGATCCGTAACTGGATAACTGTCGTCGATTGTCCCGCGGAGTGGCTCACAGCGTGATGCTTCAGATAGATTAGGGTTGCAGTATTGCCATTGCATTGTGCATCCCAGCACGCTCGCCGGCTCATCTTGTAGGTAGGTTTGGGTCCAGTCGTCGTTTCTGATATTTCCAAATCGGGGACCTTTTCGATGTGCTGCAAACCAAGGGTCATTTACCTCCCGGGTGAAAAGGATACCGTGCGCAGTAAGGAAGAACAACATTGTATCAGCGTCTCTCCTCTGGAGCTGTGGAATTGGGTCAAACATAGAGAACTGTTTGGAGAGTTCCAGCGGACCACCGTATGCTTTCAGAACGCTGCATCAGTCAGTACCAGCTTAGCGTGCAGGAGGGTTGAAAAACCTACTTGATGCCATAATCAGCATGCGCCCTCTGCCTGGTATTCTTGAGATCTGCATAAGAGTTTGTATCGTTCAACGACACCTCCTGGGTGAAGTTCACGCGGTCGTCAAGCGCGCCGTACCAATAGCGCTGAAATTGTTCGGTCGTGTTCTCTCCAGTAGAGATATTGGTGAATCTCCCAGTGACAAGCGGTGCACACTGATGCACCATGCGCAACTGGAAGCGGTTCTCAGATGGCGCATTGATCCCTAGATCTTTGTGGCTGTCTATGAATCCAGAGTCGATGATCAAGTTATCTGTCTGAGACTTGCACATCTCATTGGCAAACGGACAGCTCGCATTCCGGGTAACCGTGGCCTTCAATTTTGCTTGGATATAAGGCTGGCAGTCATCGGCACTAGTCGAGAGATTCCCATTGTAGCATTGGAGGGCGTAGTTCGAATAGACGGTGACTCTTTGATGCTGATGTGGTTCGAAGAGTAAGTCGTACGCAGTGTTGTTCGTATCGTCTCCGCCTCTGAGTGGTCCACAATTGTCGCCAGTCAATAAGACTTCATTCGCGGTATCCGTTGTGATCTGGGACGAGAAGACGCCAGCAATGCCGAAGGATATAGAGACAAATAGCGCAAGCGCAATGATTCCGACGAGTCGAGGGAGTGGCTTCCGAAATCTCGCAGGTACTCGCCACGCCCAAATGAGCTGCGCAAGAGACCACGCCGCGTCTTGAGCGGCTCCGCTATTTCGCAGGATCGCCTGGAGTTGATGATATGTTCCGCTCTGTGGGCTTGAAGAAGAGAGCGTGCGGTGGAGTAGGAAGCATGCGAGTCTCCAGAAGCTCTTGCCAGCCGCCCCAACAAAGATGGCGATAAAAGCGATGAGGAGGCCTCCATTCCTTCGCGTGAGAGTGATCGTCGCGCCCTCGATCTTGCCGTGATCCCAATTCGTCCAGAATCCCAAATGGACGTGATAAGTGTCGATGAGGCTCATTGCTGCTGACTGTGGGCTCGACGTCCTCCGAAGGATTGTTTCGGGTAGAGGCTAAAAAGCGGGAGCGGGAAGGAGCATTAAGGAAGTAAGGATTTAGTTCTTATCAACACAATTTCCTCGAAGTTGAGGCCCCTTACGCCCAAGGTTATTTTTGCCCTCCCGATGGAGGTTGAGATACGAGCTGCGTGTCATCACGGTTGCAGTCTGATTGTTGAAGCGATGCCACCAAAAGATAGCACGGGTGTTCTCGAACCGGACAAGGCCGCGACGGCAGGGACCAATTTTAGGTTAGGACCTGCAGTCTGTATATTAATTGACCAATTGGATAAAAGGCAGCGGTGACTTTGCTTACCGCATTTGCAAGCGCCGGCGGCTACTTGTCTAAAAATGTCACGTTTAATATGCTCATCCATGGATGCGGAATCGAGTTAGGTTGTACGTGGAGAGCTACATCGTAGACATAGCTAGGAGCCGATATCTGTCAGCCACCGTTCGAGATCGCCCATCAGGCGCTCGCCAAGCTCTGCATCAACGACGCAGTCCTGCCAACTACACGTGACACACATTTCTCTACCCTTGACTGTCATGATCGACACCGACAGCGCAGCTGAAGGTGTCTCCGCGCTCAAGATCAGCTCGGCTCGGCGTAACGACCAGGCCTCCTCTTTTCCGACAGTAGTGCTGCTTTCCCCATCGAGAACGCCCAGATTGGTAACGAGCCAAGACAGGTATCTCATCCTGCGCATCTCGCTTTGCTGCTGGCTGTTCCAGTCCGGGCATAACTTCATGATGCCTATCATGTCATTTCGCGTGCCGGAGTCTAGTCTCGCCTGGATCTCCCGTCGGACACGAGCCGAGACGGACCAGACTACATCCATAACATCGGCTGAAAGTAGTTTTGAGTCCGAGGACATGGCTGGCATATGAGAGCGGATTGTGTCGACTAGCTTGGGGTCGAACTCGTGATCTACAACCGACACGTAATTGCACATTGACTCTTTCGGCTGTAGCCAAGGGTACTGCTTGGTGTTCGATGGTAAGATATGTCGCAGGTCGTAAGGTGTTCTGCTTGCAAAGCCGCTTACATCCTGAAGCGCGGTGGAAAGGGAGACTAGGCAGAGGGCTTGAACAAGACCTGTCAGAGTGGTGTGGTGCAGGCGGCAAGCACCTACTAGCTTCATCACAAGATGGGTATCGACCGTGAAATTGCGGAACCGGGTCTGGTAAGGGGAGGCCTGAATTGGAGCCCAGCGCGCATGCATGTTTCCTGGCGGGAAGATCCATTCTGGCTTCAATCCCTTCCAGAGTTCCGACAGCACGAACCCTGGCGACACAGGCCACGAAGTCGGAATTTCTGGATTCGGCGGTAACTTATCGGAAGGATCGGGCAGATCGAGAATCCACCTGTCCGAGTCCTCGGAAACCTCGACTATAGGCTCCTTGTCTTGGCTGGTGGTTTCGTTGAGGTATCGCAGCAAGTATTGATGAAAGATCTTGCCACTTGACCCGTCGTGGTGTGGGTGGTTCCAAACGTACAATACCTCTATTGACTCGGCCCCAATCTCGTGTAAGACAACCACTCTCCAACCGGGCTGAGTCGAGAGGTTCTCATATCTAGAATCGAGCTGAGCTTGCATTGTCTCGAGGTACATCTGCTGAAAATGGCTAGAGTCGTCCAGCGTAATCCATTGAACATGGTTGCGAAGATCGAGGCGATCAAGACGAACGAAGGCAGGGTTCTTGGAGTTCTCCCCTATAATGCCGGTTTGGAGATGAGGCTGAGCAAGCACAACTCGGGCGAGGGCGTCGCAAAATCGGGCCTTAAGAGTTGCAAGTGATTCTGGACGGGCAAGAATAGGTGGCGAAAAGTAGCGGCAGGCTACGATGGTACCTCGGTACTGGTCGAGAGTATGCATAGCCAGCTGGTAAGCCTCACTGCTCTGTATGAGAAAGCGCTCTTTGCTATAGGTGCAGGTCAACAGTAAACTCACTGGCAACCCATCCCACGAATCTTCCTACCCGCATGGCTTTTCGCAGCGGCCATGGTGGGAGCTAGTGTGAGGTGTGAGGTGTGAATTGTAAAGTGTGAAGTGTGAGGCCAGCGGCCAACGGCCCTTTTTAGGGCGCGCAGTTTTGATGGTGAATGTAAGGCGCACCCTTCTCGCACGGGGCACGGACCCTGTGCTGCGCCGTTAAATAAGGCCGCCAGTGCCACCTCGCACAAGCTCTTCACAAAACTCATCAAGAGAATGCATAACGTGCGCTGAACATCGCTTCATGATGTCGTGGATCATTTCCATACGAGTTCTTCCATGCTGTCCCTCAGACATTCTGCAAGTGGCTGACATAAGCATTCCCCTCCGTCACATGCACCATCTCCGCCACGCGTATTCAATCCGCTTCCAATTTCGAAAGCGCTGCGACGTCTTCGAGACTTCGGCTTGTACATGCTGTGCCATTTGTGCGGACTGGATGACCCCACTCCATCCGCTCCCACCCGGCCCCGAACGCCAGAACGACGAGACGGATCCAGGTACCGGCAAGCATTTCCCAAGGCGTCCATAAGGGCGCGACGCTGGTCATCTGGCAGATCACGTCTTCGCAATGAAGCAACTTGACGAAGTATACTGTACGAAGCACACCCATGGCCCGGGCACTTTACACACGCGAGGTTAGTCTCATATTCACGGTGAGAGTGGAGGAGCTTACGGACCCAATCCTAATCGAAACGAAAAGCAGCGATATGCCGCATTTCTGTGTTGTGCGGGGAGGTTAAGATGCCAAGTGATCCGCTGCGGGACGGCCAGGATGATTGTGTCCGCAATGACGTTCAGGAGACTGGTCGCGAGATCCTGCCTCGATATGTCGACGGAGCGTGTTCCTCCTGCATACCAGGGGTTCCAGATCTTCGAACGCGGCTAGTAGCGGAAGGCTTCTGTGGAGGTCGTGATCGTATCGTAGACGATGTTGGTCCGGATCAAGACATGGAGTATCCAGTAGAAAGCGTTGTGCACACCTTTCGGAACGAATATATGAAGCCAATTGGTCAGGATGGCGACTTCGATGCACATGGCTATGGGTCCGTAGGATACAGCACCAACACAGAATACTCGGACTCCATCTCACTACAACTACAGGGAACAATCTATAGCACCCAGTCACGCTCCAGTCGGGCCCTTCCAACCCATCGTCATCCCCTCAAGCCACCTCCACACTCTTGATGGTACTCCGATGCAACCGGGCCAACCACGTCCTATTCATAAAAATGCGAATCCTCTTCCCCCAAAACATAAACACCAACAAGCACAGATTATTCGCGAGCAGAATCGCGGCGAAAATGCCGGAAATCGTAACCGCAAAGCCGTGCTCCAGGATCCAGTCGAGCAAGTAAATACCCATGCCGAAGGAGATGGCTTGCTTGCCCAAATTCATCGCGATGAGCATCTCAGACGTGTTGGCGTTGTAGCTGTCCACCGCGTAGGCCAGCGTGAAACTGAAGTAGAAGAGCGAGCCCCATTGGTCTAGCCCGACGCCGAAGAAGTAGGCGACCCAGTGCAGGTTCCGCTCGGCGGCGAAGCCGTAGAGGATGATTCCTGCGGGCGCGATCAGCATCGCGGGGAGCATGACGCCAAGGCGCATTTCCGCCTCTCGAATGCCGTTATTCTTGCGCGTGAAGTACGCGGCTAACCGATCCGAGCTCGACAGAAACGGGATCGACAGCGCGTAACCTAGGAAGCTCGCAATAGTAATAAGCCCGCTGTTCGTCTGGCTCCAATTATATGGGGGCGCAGTAATCTTGAGCGGAAATGTGTAGTTGAATGCAAGCGCACCAAGCCCAATGTAAATCCCAAAGCTGGTTACCACCCAGAGTACCTGGGGCACGAGGAAGTAAGTGAACGCGCGGGGCATCATGATCCAGAATTCCTGCTCGTGGTTGATGGTGCTCCAGGGCTTGAGGGTGGCGAGGTAGGATCTGCGGGGCGGTATGATGGGCGCGACCTCGGTGTGGGAGGCGTCGGGGGCTTTGTCGGCGTCTATAGTTGACGAGGGCATGGAGGGCACCTTTGTGCGCTTGTAGGAGGTTTCTTCGACGACGAAGAAAGCGAAGATGAGGAGGCCCATGGCGAAGGCGAAGACAACGTAGAAGAAGAGGCGCCAGGAGTAGCCACCCGCGAGCATGTAGCCAGCATAGAGAGGACCGGTGGAGCCTAGGCAGAGGCAGACTACCAAGGAGTCAGCGTTGCATGTATCATACAAGAGTGTCCGAAATACCGGTGTAGAATCCAATGCGCTTGCCACGCTCATGGAGGAAGAAGACGTCGTTGACGAGCTGCACAGGCAAGGCCTCGCAGACTCCCGATCCGAATCCGTGTATTACGCGACAGGCCATTAGACCCCCGAATGTCGTGGCTTGTGATGCTCCAATCAAGCCAGCGCAGAACTGCGATCCATTGTCAGCCTTACTAAATCATGTATTACTCCCAGATTCGTACGCACCAGCACCATGGACAGAAGCATGACTGGACGGCGACCGATTTTCAGATAGAGCGGGACGAGGATCAGGGAACCTTGGAAGGTTAGCTTATGCTTCATCGGATGATACGGATGAGTGAGCCGTACCGAAGCCAAATGCAAGATTCGGGTAAGAGACGAGATCAGAGGCTTTGGTGGGCGTAATGCCGAACTCCTCTGAGTAAAGAGCGATGTACACGGACGGCCCGAGGAGAGCGCAGTTGCCCAGGAAGGAGTAAAGAGAGACGCATATCAAGATCAATATCTTCTTCGTATCCGACCACTAGTAGCAACTATTAGTTCACGCACGCAACCACGATATGGCGAACACACCTGGAGCGGATCGTTTGGATCCTCAGCTGGGACCGGGTATAGAGCCTGGCCATAGGCGGTATCATCTCCCTCTATCGCTAGGTTAGAGTCGCACAGAAGCTCCAGAGTTCAAGACTTGCCAGCAACTTGCAGGTTAACCGTGCCCGGGAGGTCTTCCTCGTGGGCGTGGCTGTTGAAAGAATATGTCAGTACGATGCGCTGCCTCAATTGGTCTCGTCGCAGGCACATACCTGTGGATCAAATGTCCTGGCGCCATAATCAAAGCTCTTCGCAGCAAACGCGCTTTTCAAGAAACAAAGGTGAGGTTGAACAAGACTCACACAAGCTACGCGGGCCAAGGCTACCTTTCAACCCATTCTCGACCCACCCGCGCCAGGTCCCCGGCAATCTACGCACCCCTAAATTGCCGTGCAGACGACGGTACTAACACGGAATTGATTGCTGGACATGGTGGGGTCAGCCCTACCCTCGCCATCCAATGTGGTGCCTTAGCGCCGGCAAGGAGTGTGGATGGCATATCGGCAAAGGTCGTCGAGCCATAGCATCGGTCCGGGCGCACATTAACCGCTGCAAGGCAGTAGCCCGAACTGGGCAGACGGCCTGCCAATCTCGTATATTTTGGTGAGTTGCGCGATGCGGAGGCGGGGCAGGGTCATCTAGAGGTCATCAAGCCGAAATCCTACACGCTCAACGGTGATAACGGGGCGTAAGGATGAAGGGGAGAGGAAAGACACGCATGAAGATTGAAGCTGACGGCGCGGAACGTGCAGGAAAAGTCTGAGGATGCCTTCAGGACGAGTTGGTCGGAAGCATCGGCAAAGTCCCTCACAAGGAGGCTCGCAGTGGGCTGCCCATGTGCTGTTCACCTCGGCACCCACGTGGCCCCATCGGATCCGATCTCGAACTTCCTCACCCATCGCGCGGCGGGAAGCTTGGAAGCCTTCTCGAATGAACGAGTTCCAGGATGTCCCGGTAGTTTGCAATCATCACTAGATTACTCGCGCTCCCAACACCTGCATTTCACGTGCGTGCGGGCTGTAACCAGAACAGTGAGATTGTCGCCTGGCTGTCTTCGCGGTCAGCCAGCGTTTGACCCACAGATGGCCCAGTACAGCTAAAGCACGGTGAGACGTCGCAAAAAAATCTCCTGTTTCCGGTGCATCCGGCACCCACCTTGCGATGGAGAGGAGATGCGGAGAGTCGGTGGGGCGGCCCTCCAAGCGTGTGGGGACGGGCTTCATTGACGCTAACTGCATTGGCTTAGCGCCGTCACGTCCCCATCGCCTCCAAAACGACTCCCTCCGCATGCAATCGCAATGAGAACGCAGCCTCCGACCGTGACGGACAACCGGGCCACACGTGGGAAATGCTGCTCTTCGTTGTCGCCCTCGAGGCTGTGACATGCTCGCCTACTGCGCGTCCGACAAGAAAAGTAGCAGTGCTGGTTAGGATTGTCGAATCATGAAAAGGGCTTCGGAAGGATCTAACTGACTGCAGGCACCCTCTAGAGAGTCAATCGGGACTCGGATGTGGAATGCGGATGCTGTTGATGACCTGGCGTCGCCAGTCTTCCCTCCGCCGGCGTCACTCTGTGATGTGGAGGAGCGCCGAGACGAAATGGTCGGCTAGGGGACGCGAGAGACGAAAGCGGCGCAACTGGCACAAGGTCACATGGCTCAAAGCATCCGAAAATGGCACTCCGTGATTTAGCATAGACGCAAAGCCCGTTGAAGAGAAGGGTGATGTGGTGTTGTGCACTGACAGTAACTGTACGCGCTGGGGAGGGGGATAGGTAATGGCAACGAGGGAAACGAACTCTGAAGGTCACCTGCACGGGGGTTCCGGCCAAGAAGAGGGAGCCGTAATAGCTATCGAGGAAGGGGTTAACGAGCTGTCTTGTATCCCACATTGCCCACGGGGAAGAGGACGCATTATTAACATCATCCCTCGCTGCTACAGTACACCCAAAACAACCCTTGAAGTCTCCCGTCGATAATGTAAGTACCCAGCCATGACAGCGCGACAGCGCGTCACTGGCCCCTGTCCACGTAACCAGTACTGACTCGTGCCTTGCATGTGACATTCCGTTCGCTTCATCAGGTCGTGCTCAAGAGCGTGCGCAGGCACTGGACATGCCTCCGAAAGCGGCGGACCAAATCGGCAAAGCGAGCAGCTCCGTAATATCACGATGTGCCTTGGCCTAAATAATAAGTCAGGTGAGAAAGGCGTACAAGAAGCAAGGAACTTCCTGTTCCTAGAGTGATGTAGTAGTCGCACAGTTTCGGTGCGGTGCGAGCGCTTCTCGCCAATCTTATCGTGTCGTACGGTATTCTAGGCTGAGAATGAACTGGGTCCGCTGCAGCCGATTGAGATTACGTTAAGGTCACATGGGCGGTGGAATTCGAACTTAGCACTGGTTAGTGCGTTGACTGTTCGCACGTCTCTGGAGGGCAGTGTAATTCTTGGATGAAAAAGGTGATATTTGTTTTGCAATGGTGTGTGAGGCCGTTGCGTTCGTCATCGACAGGTTGACTGTACCAATAATATATGGAGAGATGATGGGGAAAGGAGAAGCTTAAAGAGCGTAGAGAAGGGAAGTTTTTCATGATGATCATCCACAAGTGATAAGGAAAAAATGTCCCACACATTTAGCATACCGATATTGAGATAACAAATAAGAAACAGCTGTTAAAGGAAAGTACGTAGCCGAACTTGTCCACTTCTTCAGGGAAGATCAGAGAATGGGTTTGAGACGAGAGCGCCACTGTCAAGAGAAGAAAGGGTTTGTCTCTGGGTTGTAGAATATCGGCTCGATGCAGGCAGATATACTGCCCTAGCCATGCTCTAGGTGTCGAATAGAGCGACAGCGGGGGTGTTGCAGAGAGTGGTCGTTCATCTGGTTTCTCTTACGACTGGTGGAATCGCCGGCACTCCGGGCAGTCAGTTTTGATAGTGCCTTCTCCATTGCAAGGAGGGCACGGTGGTTCCCGACTATTGCACGGATGTCAGTGTTTCTATTCGTGGCCGAGTCTTCTTCATTACCGGGGCCATAGTTGGGCTATCCGGGAGGGGATAAAAAAAAGTTTTTGAAGTTAGATAATTGAGAGAATGAGAAAAGAAGAGGTCTTACGGATGTCCGGCGCATTCAGGGCACTTTTCGACAATTTTACCGCCAGGGTGTTCAGGGTAGCATGGTGGGAATCCGATCGAAGATACAGCAGGTGCAGACTGCGTCGGGGTAGCCACTGTCGAGGTTTGATATAACATGTTTGATTAGGTATTGAGAATGAAAGCGAATACGTCTGGTCGCGGTGGAATGTAAGGGACAGGACGAGGTTGCGGCGAGAACTGCTGAGGAGGTCTGGATGGAACGCGGAGGATCACCGGCAGAGGATGTGCCTTTTAAGTTGATTCGGGAGAGCCGCGATCGCATCAGTCTGTATATAGGTCCAAGGCAAGGTGACGTGGTTGGTAACGTTCGAGAGCGGTGCAACTCCCAACGAGAACTCCTCCCATGGCGGGCAGACAGACGGTCAGCTCATTATGCTACCCAAACTACCTACCTTTCGCACATGATCGGCGGAGCCGCAAGGGAATTGTTCGTCTGGTAATGCTTAGCCTCTATGCTGCTCCTGCGTCCCAACGCAGGCTTGCACAACTTTAATGCGCAGGACGTCGAAGAAACATTCAGACTTACTCAGCGGACCATCTGATCGGCGTGCCGCAGGGGAGAATAGAGGGCAAAGATTGGGCGCAATTGGCTTTCGGGAAGTTGTACAGACGTATGTTACCAACAGGGTCTAGGCACACCAAGCTGGATGCCCTTTTCTTTGTGCGTCATGCTGTGCCCACCAGCGCATGCGGAGACGTTCTGAAACAGTCGGCCCGCAGCAGTAATGTGCTTCGAGACTCATGGCAACCAGCGGCCATGTCGGATAAAGAGGGAGCGTGATCTGCCAGGGACCCTTTCGTAAACGCCCACATGGAGTGCTTTCCGTTTCGGGCCACCGGCAGCCGCATTGCCTCCGCTTGATCCCTGCATACACCTGGCACCTGCCAGCGCCGCACACTATTTCGGTCCATGGCTCGTGGCCTCGTATGTGTTGCAGTAGAAACCTCGGTCTGCAGGTCTCCCGTGTGCCATAGCGGCCGAGCTCTGGACGAACCGTCGTTCCCACAGACCAGGAACTCCAGGAGACCGAGCGCGCGGACTGTCCGAAGGGACACCGCTTCTTTTAAACAGATTCACAGCTGATAGGTCCAAATAATTCTTGTAATTCCCCAACAGCGATCGAGTGCAGCGATCCGTAGTGCGGGTACCAGGAGTTCCACGAAAGAGCCGTGCTACGTGACAGCATTGTGCAGTGTACTGTCCTGCAAGTGGTAAGCTTCAAAGTTTCATAGGCGAAGGACAAGAGGTACCATCGACGACGAAGAAGAGACCGGATTGTTGGACCTTGTCGGGTAGGGCGCATGCCGTAGAATGCCATGGATAGGAAGATGATCACGCCTTGCGGACACAACACACTGGGCCGATGACGAAGGTCCTTGTAGCTGCTAACGAGAGGTAGGCGTTCTTTCGACCTGCTCTACGCCGAGACACCCGTTGAGCTCGATGCCATGACCTGATCAGGTGGTACAGCTTGCGTATCGTCGAGGCGGGAACTGAAATGGGAGCTGTGGAGGCGCACGATGAATGTAGTGGCTCGTGACCTGCGTGATAATCAGAAACCTGGTCAATCACAGTAGGCTCTGGAGCTGAAGACGAGCCTCGGAAGAGAAGGGTATACTGTTGGATCAAGTTGGCGCTATTGCCGCGTCGCCCTCGTGCTTTCAGGCGGAATTGGTGACACGCTTTTGTTGGCCTGGGGAACGTATAATGTCATGGTGGCGTGAACTAGACGGGTCTGCGGTATGGCGACCTGAAGGAGGAGATGGGAGGCGAGAAGAGAGCCGCGGTCTGGCTGCCGATAATCGGGGGGCGTTGGACGACTCTCATGTCAGCTAGCCAAGAGCTACACCAACGCCGGATCCCATCCACTGATCACTCAGTGATTAGACCTAACAGCACTTGGATGGTGGACAAGTCGCGCTGTTAAAACTCGCCCCGGATATCTTAGCTCGAAATTCCAGGGGCAAGCCGGATTGCACACCGCCTTCTCTCAGGAACACCTTTCCGGCCAGTCGGAGCTGGAATATGTGTACGATGGCGTGCAATTTAGGGATTCCGATGGCGTGTGGTGGAATTGACAGTGAACTGGGATGGTTAACTTGTATTGGCCTAACTGAAGATTTTGGAACACTCCATGACACCTCACCAAGCTTCAGAGAAACGGAAGTAGATGCTACCAGGATGCATCGGCAGGAATGACTGAGATGACGTAAATAGATACTTCTCATTGCGAGAGTATAAACAGAGGACATGACGGGGCATTCATTTGATGACAGCCACGAACGCCAATGAAACCCAGAGATACCGATGCCAGATCGCGTTCGTCCATATCGCCTTCAGATGAGCTCTAGCAAATATCCATAGCATGCCTGCTTGTCGTTCAAACGCCCAAAACCGTTGACCTGCTCGTTGCGTAATGGACCACAGCCTGCCGACGCCAGAGAGGGGATTAAAAGAGCGGCTCGATGTCGCCAAAGTCAAGGCCCAAAAGGAAAGAACCGTGTAATGATGGCTCAAGGTAGGCGAGATTCTCTCCTGATCACCATGTGACCCCTATTCGTCTATGGGTGCCCCTCGGGAGTCGCACGTGAACTGATAGTAACATAACACCCGCTATTGAAGGCCGTCATGACGCGCAGCTAAGGACTCGGCAACGAAACGGGGTGAAAAGGAGAAAGGAGATACTGTCAGCACCTGGGCGCACCCAGAACGATGCTCTACGCGAGCCAGAATCCCTCGGGCAAGGAGGTGATGACAGCGACCGTTAAAGCAGCACCTGGGATGAGGTATGCCGCCGCTTGCGTCATAGCACCTCCAATACCTCGGATGCGCTTTTTCGGACGCTCCTCTGTTGGGGTGCTGCGCACTTCAATCGCTGGCGCTATTGGCATATCAGCTTCTGCTGGCGCCGCACACTCCTCTACTGCATCTTCCTCGTCCAGCACGTCGGCTTTACGCTTCAGACTGCCGGTAATGGAGGTAGGTGTAGGTGGCTGCTGCGGGGCATCCTCGACGATTTCTGGTATGGAGACCTTGGTCCGGCGTACTGGCTGCGGCGGAGCCGAAGAGACCTCCGATGTTGGCGCCGGCGATGGGGTCTCAACGCCTGTTGCTGTCGCGGAGACAGATGCCATGCTCTCCTGATGGTGTCTCTGGGGTGTCCAGGTGTGATCCGAGAAAGGCTGGGGTTGCGGTGTTGCATACAGCTGGGGTTGGAAAGAGCTACCCGCGGCAGACCTCGATGGGCGACCGAATAGGTCAGGCGAATATTCGGCGTTGGAATGTGAGAACATATTCGTTGGTGGCGATTCATCAGCGAACCACCTAAGACTGTTATGCTCCCGGTGCGGAGCATGGATGCTGAAGTCGAGGCTGCCAGAAGAGAAATGCATTGGCTTGGGTGCTGCCGGTCGCGGCGGGAGGGCAGCACTCATCAGGTTGTCGAACATAGAGTCTCCAAATGTATCGTCGAACATACTCATCGGGCCCATACAGGCGTCTATTGCTGGCAGCTCAGCCTCAGCTGCCCTCGGCGCCGCTTTCGAGGGCGATTGCCCGAAAAATGAGAGGGGCTCCTGGCGCTGCGGAGCTGGTACCATCGGCGGAGTAGGGAGGGCCGGAGATGTGACAGAAGAAGTGGAGGGGCCAGGGATGGGAGGTTTTGACTCGGGCGTGCTCTTCTGCTGCTCGTTGAGGAGCATAACCTCCATCTTCCGGCGTCGGACGGCATCGGCATTGCCGCCAAATTCCTCATCTGAGGCCTCGGCATCGGAGGCTGGCTCTACGACAGAGTCGCTCTCACTCCCCACCTGGCTCGCATCGCTCTCGCCTTGGGACTCCTCTTCGTCGCTTGAGTATACCGAGGGGTAGTCCCCATCGTCGGAGGAGTGGTCCACTACAAAGGCGTATTGTGTAGAGACGGGCTCGTTGCGGTTCGTAGTCTCCTCGAAGTAGATGCCGGTCTCGCGGGACGATGAAGGACGGGGCTCGTGTGTTTCATCGTTGGGCGGAGCAGGCTGGTCTTGGATAACTACCTCTACGCCATCTTCTTCAATCTCGATGATATCGGGCGAAGCGATATTCTCGGTGATATCTTCAGTGTCGTCGATGGTCACGGGATTGGTCTGACTGCCGTAGCGTGGAGGCGGGGCACTGAGTGCCTCGTCCGTCTCGACCTCGTCGTCCTCTGAGGAGTCGGCTTCGGGAACGGTGAAGCCGTGCGAGAAGGGGTCGTCAGCGACGTGGGATTCGAAGGTGTACTTGCGGGCGACGTAGAAGCCTGGCAAAGTAGGGGAGTCAGCCCAGGAAGCCGAGTGCAGCAGAGAGCGAGACCTACTCTCGTTCCGTGTCACGTCGATGCCAAACTGCAGGACGTCTCCGTTGCTTAGCTTGAGGGGCTTGCGAGGCTCAAGCTTCTCTCCATTCACCATGGTGCCGTGCATGCTTCCGCTGTCCGTGAGCAGAACGCTGGGTGTGGGGGTAGCCGTGTCGGTGGAAAGCACGGCATGCTCGCGGGAGACGACGGGACTGTCGATGAAGGCGTTGTCCGCGGCCATCATGAGGTTGGGCTTCTGCGTGTTCTTCGAGGCGCGCCCGACATTCACCGTGGCGTGCGGACGGATGGTGAACCTGCGCTCCTCGAAGCCGTCCAGGCCGTCCGAGGAGCGAAGCGTAACCTCAACGGTAGCTGGCGACGGGTCAGCTGGCTCGGCGCGGCATGGCGCGGGGGAGGCGGTCTCACCTTCGGCTGGCATCTTGTCTGGGACAGCGTGCGTGTGAGTGCGAGGGTGCTGGACCAGTCGCACTGGTGGTTGGCGTCGGGACGGGGGCGGGGACGAGGTGGGAGCGTCCAGGCTGGCAGGGCGCGGGGTCGGAGCAAGTGGTGAACCTTGGGACAGCTGATATGGAGACGCTTAGGGCGCGGGCGAGCGAGGAGGAGCGGGCATGCGGGCGGAAGGAGCGAGCGAAGACGACGAAGCCAGGCTGGAGGAGAGGCAGAAGAGGAGGCTCTCTTATGGGCGGGGCGGAGAGGGCGGCGGCAGGAGCAGAGGAGCTCACATCACGGTCGCAGCTGCCTTGTCGGACGTCCGTGCGCGCCCTTTATCACTTATCGCCGTGCCTTAGTCGGCTTGGCGCGCCCCACCCCGTTTCTGAACTCTGCAGGCGCGACCGAGGCAGCAGGAAGGCGCAAACTGTGACTCTGACGGCGAATGATGCGTCACGACGACGGAACAATGGAACTGCTGCTTACGTCCCTTCGATAGCACCTACTCCTGGCTTGAGGCGGCACAGCAACCCGCAGTCGAAACATGGCGACGGCGATGGCGACGGCACCGCAGACGCAGGCGCACGCAAAGCAGCAGGTCGTGGACAAGGTGCCCGCGCGCATCAAGCACATCCAGTTTGGCATCTAGTAAGGACCCGCGCCCGCCCACAGTCGCACTGTGCATTGCGCGCCTGACACGCAGCAGCTCCAACCAGGACATCGTCAACCAGGCCGTCCTCGAGGTCTCGGATCGCAATGTCTACGACCTCGCCCCCGCCGCCGACAATACGCGCACCCTCACGGCCCATGGCCCCATGGACATCCACATGGGCGTATCGAGCAAGACGGCCAAGTGCGGCACCTGCAGAGAAGGCCTGGACAAGTGCAACGGCCACTTCGGCCACATCAAGCTCGCCCTGCCCGCCTTCCACGTCGGATACCTCAAGCACATCATCGAAGTGCTGAATTGTATATGCAAAGACTGCTCGCGCGTGCTGCTGGACGAGGTCGAGCGCCGCCGCTTCCTGCGGAGCATGCGGCGCCCGGACATGGACAACCTGCAGCGCTCTGGCATTTCTAAGAAGATCATGGAGGAGTGCCGCAAGAAAAAGCTGTGTCCGTACTGCGGCGCTCTCAACGGAACAGTGCGCAAGGTCCCGGGCCACCCATTGAAGATCATACACAACCGCTACGACGCATACAACCGGTCGACGGCCAAGTCCAAGAAGCCGCCCACCGGCAAGGTCGAGTTTGACCAATCATTCGACACCGCCAAAACCGCCAATCCCGACGTCGACAAGCACTTGAAGAAGGCCGTCGACGACATGCACCCCTTGCGAACCCTGAACCTCTTCAAGAAGATCTCGCCCGAGGACTGCGAGCTGCTGGCCATGATCCCAGAGGACGCCCGGCCCGAGATGCTCATCTGGGAGTACGTGCCGGTGCCACCCGTAGCCATTCGACCGTCGGTGATGCAGGAAGCGGGCGCGACAGAAGACGACATCACCAACAAGATCGGCGACATCTGCCATGTTAGTGGCATCATTCGCGCCGGCCTGGCCCGCGGATTTCCGCTTCAAATACTCATGGAGCAGTGGGATTTCCTGCAGCTGCAGATCGCCATGTACATCAACAGCGATGTCCCTGGTCTGAAGCAGCAAGGCCTTCAGAAGACCATGCGCGGTTTCTGCCAGAGGTTGAAGGGCAAAGGAGGGCGCTTCCGGCAGAATCTTTCGGGAAAGCGTGTTGACTTCTCCGGACGTACCGTCATCGGACCTGATCCCAATCTCGGTATCGACGAGGTAGCCGTGCCCGAACGCGTCGCAAAGAACCTGACATATCCTGAGAAGGCGACCAGGTACAATATAGAGAAGCTCCGGAAGCTTGTGAGGAATGGTCCCTACAAACATCCCGGCGCAAACTACGTCTTGCCTCAGGCGGGGCGGAAGACTATGCTCGCCATCCTGACCCGCGGAGAGACGAAAGGGGAGAAGCTTCGCATTGCTGCAGATAGGCTTCGGATCGGCGACATAGTCGAGCGACACATAGAGGACGGGGATATTGTGCTTTTCAACCGCCAGCCCTCACTTCACAAGCTGAGTATTCTCAGCCATCGAGCCAAGGTGCGTCCGTGGCGGACATTCCGACTGAACGAGTGCGTCTGCAATCCGTACAATGCCGACTTCGATGGCGATGAGATGAACTTGCACGTTCCTCAGACCGAAGAGGCGCGCACCGAGGCGATTGAGCTCATGGGCGTCAAGTACAATCTCGCCACTCCGAAAAACGGAACGCCCATCATTGCGGCCATTCAGGACTTCATCACAGCTGCCTATCTGCTAAGCAGCAAGAATAACTTTTATGATAGGAGAACCTTCTGCCAGATTTGCAACTACATGTTCAATGGCGAAGGGGCCTATGACCCCGATACGGGCGAGAAACTGCCCATCGAAATCCCGCTACCTACCGTCCTCAAGCCTCAAGCTCTGTGGACGGGAAAACAGGTGTTCAACGTTCTAATGCGACCCAACAAGAAGTCTAGGGTACTCGTCAATCTCGAAGCAGCCGGAAAACAGTTCAAGCACGCCGCCGGAGTGGCACCGGACCTCAATGAGAACGACGCGTACTTGGTGATTCGAAATTCTGAAGTCATGTGCGGTGTCATGGACAAGGCCACAGTCGGCGATGGCAAGAAAGACTCTGTCTTCTACGTTATGATGCGAGATTTTGGTCCCGACCACGCGGTCCAAGGCATGAATAGGCTCGCCAAGCTTTCGGCGCGCTGGCTTACCAACAACGGCTTCTCCATTGGCATCAGCGACGTCACTCCTGGAGAGATGCTCAATCGCAAGAAGCAAGCCTTGATCGAGGAAGCGTATGCCAAGTGTGACAAGTTGATCAAGGATTTTAAAGAAGGCAAGCTGCAGCGAGATCCAGGCTGTGATGAAGAGCAGACCATGGAGAACAGAATTGGTGGTATTCTGTCCGGAGTGCGCCAAGAAGCTGGTGACATTTGCTTCGACGAGCTCAGCAGATGGAATGCTCCTTTGCTCATGGCAAAGTGCGGATCCAAGGGTTCCAATATCAACGTCTCTCAGATGGTTGCCTCGGTGGGGCAGCAGATGATTGGCGGCGCACGAGTCGCAGACGGATTCCAGCACAGGACCTTGCCTCATTTTCCAAAAGCTGCGCGCCAGCCGGCATCCAAGGGGTTCGTCAGCAACAGTTTCTTCTCCGGTCTCTCGCCTACAGAATTCATCTTCCACGCCATGAGCGGTCGTGAAGGTCTAGTCGATACCGCTGTCAAGACCGCAGAAACCGGCTACATGAGTAGACGGCTGATGAAGTCTCTCGAAGACCTCGCCGCGCAGTACGATAATACCGTGCGGAACTCGTCGGGAACGGTCGTGCAATTTCAATACGGAGACGACAACCTCGATCCTGTCGACATGGAAGGCAAGGCGAAGCCTGTCAATTTCGACCGTACTTTTTCGCATGCCGTAACCTCAACCTGGGACAATGCAGAGCCCAGCCTCACCCCGGAAGATGTCAGAAACCACACACTGACCAAGCTGAATACCGAACGCTCTAAATATACGCGTTATAAGCTCGATGCAGTGACGGTACTCGACCCCAATGACAAGAGCGATATGAGCATTGATCAGCATGAGTCAGTCCGTGATTTTCTCGACACGGTGCAGGACTATGTCTTCAAGAAGGCGCAAAAGCTTGAGACCACCCTTGTCCATCTCGGCGTGTCTGAGGCTTCCGCCACTCGAAAGAAGCGGTCTCCCGAAGAAGCTGAGAAGTTTGGCCTCGCCGATGGCATTGCAAAGATTTCTCAGAGTGCACTCGATGAGTTCCTCACCCTCTGCCTAACCAAGTACAGCCGCTCTAAGGTGCAACCTGGTCACGCAGTGGGTGCCATAGGTGCCCAGTCAATCGGCGAACCGGGCACGCAGATGACGCTCAAGACGTTCCATTTTGCTGGTGTTGCAGGTATGTCCATCACTCAGGGTGTCCCGCGTATCAAGGAAATCATCAATGCTTCAACAAACATCTCCACGCCCGTCATCACATGCGAACTCTCAAACAGGGTCTCCGAAAGCGCGGCGCGAATGGTCAAGGCGCGGGTTGAGAAGACGTATCTTCGGGACATCATCTCATACGTCGAAGACGTCTGGCACCCTAACGGAGCCTACATCGCAATGCGCATCGACTGGGACACGGTCAACAAGCTCTCCGTTGACATCCAGGCCTTCGATATCAGCTCAGCCATCAACAAGTACAGGCCCCTCAAGTGGGGCAAAAACGGCACCAGCATCCGCATCAGCTCCTCGCTCATCCGCGTCGAGGTCCCCGACCCCAGCGCCGCCCGAAAGCGCTCCGCCGCCAAACCCAACAAGAACCAGAAAGAATACTTCGAGCGCGTCCAGCAGGTCAAAGCTCTCATCCCTGACGTCGTCATCAAAGGCTACCCCGACTGCCAGCGCGCCATCATCAAGAAGGAAACCTCCCCCAACGAAAAAGGCGAATACGAATGCCAGCTCCTCGTCGAAGGCTACGGCCTGAAGAACTGCATGACGACCCCCGGCATCGAGCCCTACAAGACGAAATCAAACCACGTCATGGAAGTCCGCGACGCGCTCGGCATCGAGGCCGCGCGCGCAACCATCGTCAGGGAAATTAGCTCCGTTATGGGCAACATGGACATCGATCCGCGCCACATGCAGCTCCTGGCCGACGTGATGACTTTCAAGGGGGACGTCTACGGCATCACGCGGTTCGGGCTGCAGAAGACGCGGGATAGCGTGCTGCAGCTTGCCAGCTTTGAGAAGACGCCGGACCATCTGTTCGAGGCGGCAGCAAAGGGCAAGATCGATAACATTGATGGAGTGTCGGAGTGTATTATTATGGGGCAGAGCGTTAAGTTGGGGACGGGAGCTATGCAGGTTATCCGGCCGCTGAATCTGCAGGAGGACGACGTGGGGCCCAAGAGGACCTTGTTTGAGGAGGGCTGGGATGCTTTGTAGAGGACACAAGCGTATTTGAGAAAAGCATGGCTTGGCGTTCTTTGATGATCTGGGAAAGGTATCGTCACCTAAAGGCATAGCGATGGACGTTTGGGTTCTAATCTGATATTCACAATAAACTCCATAACATATTTCAAGACTGCATCCACATCGTGCGCTTTCCATCTCATTCCTAGCCCTGCCCTCCCTTCCAAGGTTACTTGTCTGCCAGCAAACGTCCCAACCCCAAGCCCCCCCTTGGCTATACAGTCATCCCACTAATACCCCTTCCCCGCACTCCGCGGCGCAAACTGACTGTAATCAAAACTACTATGCCGACTACTCAAGCTCGGCCTACTCCTACTACGTCCACCCAAGGCCCTACCTCCATCCTCGTCCAGCCCATCCGGTAGATAAGTCTCCCGCCCGCTCTCTGTCCGCGCAATGCCCGTGCCGTACCCGAGTCTACCGGGGTATGAGATAGAAGCAGATCTAGCCGTTGTTGCTGTATGCGCACTGCTGGGCCGTGAGGGGACGTTGAGGGGTGCGGGCGCGAGAGCGGAGGCTGTCCAGTGAGGGTCGGAGTGTGCGCTATAAGAGCGTTGCCAGGAGGTGTTGCGGGGGGTGTTGAGGACGGATGATGGCCGGTCGAGCTCTGCGTCCTGCCCGCGTCGATTGTGCACGCGTTTCTTCTCCGACGTAGCACCTGACGCCTTGGGCCCGCGCTGCGGACTCGCCGTCGCGTGCCCACCGCGCATATCCCCGCTCCTCGGCGTGTTATCCATCTTCTCGTTCTCCGCGCTTCCGCCCAGCGTCGAGCCGGACCCGAAATGCTGCACGTGCCGTTGATGCCACGCGCTCGCCTCATAGTCGAACTCCACATCGCCCTTCTTGCCGAACCACAGCGGCTCCTCCTTTGCGATCTTGACGACGTTGAGCCAGGCGTTTCCGGGCGTCTCGCTCGCCATGTGGAATAGGACGTCTACTTCCTCGAGCGAGCGGTACGCGGTTTCGGGGTAGAAGAGGTAGACGAGTGGGACGATGGCGCAGTTGGTGCAGGCGAAGATGGCGTAGGTGAGGTAGCGGATGTTGTGGAGGGCGATGGGGGTTATGAGGACTACGCTGTAAGGGGAGGACGTTAGTTTCGTTTGGGCGGAGGGGTAGGCGGTGGAAATGTAAATGTGACGAGCGGGTCCGGACTTACACGAAGTTGAATAGCCAGTTTGCGCTCGTGCTCAGTGCGTTGGCGGGACCGCGGATGCGTAGGGGCACGACTTCGACTTGGTAAAGCCACGCCATGCCCTGCCATCCGATGGCGAAGAAGGTGGAGAAAGCGAAGAGGAAGATGGTGGCTGCGATGTTTGTTCCGCCCACTGCGTGGACCTGCCACAGATACAGCAGCACCGTGAGCAGCACCATGCACAGACACATGCCCGCTGCCCCGAACATCATCAGCGACCGTCGTCCCCAGAACCGATCGATTCCAACGACCGTAATGAACGAAGCGAGAAAGTACTCCGTTGCGGCACAGGCGCCCAGAAGGCGAGCCACCCACCCAGTGTACGACATCTGCGTAAAGAACATAATGGCGAGGTACTGGAGTGCGAGGTTAATGCCGGACATTTGCTGGAAGACCTGCACGCCGTATGCAAGGACTACGCGATGCAGATTTCGCCTCGCCTTGTTACTCGCCAAACTGCTCGTATTCCCCTGGCTCATTACCAAAATCGCATCTTTGATCTGTAAGAACTCATCTCTTATCTCCGGGCCCTCTATATCCTCATCATTCAGCGCCGCTAGCACGGTAAGCGCTTCGTTTTCCCGGCCCGTGAGGATGAGCCAGCGCGGCGATTCGGGGAGGTAGAGTAGCGCGAGGAAAGCCGGAATTGCGAAGACGATCTGAAAAGCGACGGGCACGCGCCAGGCTGCCGAGGCGCTAGAAAGGTAGGAGAAAGCGAAAACCAGCCAGTAAGATAGGGCCAGGCCGAGGGCGATGAAGGCTCCAGCGGAGATCATGAGAATGGTGCCTTTGCGGTGGGATTTTACGCACTCGGCCTGGTAGGCGGGAACGGTGGCGGTGGTGAAGCCATTGCCTGTCTACGCGTTAGAAGGGAGTAGGCGTCCAAGAAGGGTAGAGAAGGCGAACCGAAACCTGCGATCGCTCGTCCAGCAATGAACTGGCCAAAGCTATATGAGGAGGATTGTATTATCTCGCCGATGACCCAAACAGTGAGCCCGAGCATGAGCGTCTTCCGTCTTCCAAGATAGTCGCCGAGGAAGATCGTTAAAATGGCGGAAACGAAGCAGCCGAGATTCCATGTTCCTACGACGGCACCTGGAGAAGGTCAGTCCGTATCCTTAGAGCTTGGAGCACATACGTACCTTGAATCTTTGCATTGTATGCTGAAGAGTTATTGATGGTGTCAACCTGAGGGAACCGGCCCAAGAATGCCGGGACGGTCAACAGACCGCCCATAACACCTTGCGCGTATCCGAAGCATCTTCGATACCAGTCAGTAAGTAGTATACTTAAGGATAGAAGGCCATACAAGAAGCACAACCCACAAACCACACTAATCGCGGTGCCTAACCTGGCGCCTCGAAGCCCAAGAAACCTCGCCATGCTGCTTCAACACAAAACCGTTGGATTACGAAGGGCGTAGATCGGAGCCGTCACGAGGCGAGCGTTCATGACAGGTAGGCACGCGAGATCCAAGACGTCGAGGTGGGTGCGGACATGTTCAAGTCTGACAGGCCCAAGCTGTGGAGCCGTCCCAGACGTCATTGTGAACTTTATCATGGCGCGAAACTCATGGGACGTGAAGCCGTGGGAGCTACCTGCGAAAAGTTTTGAGCAAACGGGTCGTGGCAGCGATGTCCCTACAGGAACCGAGATGTTAGATCTCGGGTTCGGAGCCATGGGAATGTGATTGCTTCGATCCCAATGTCACTAAGATTAGCGTATATCTGTCCCCGCCCTCTAATGGTCAATGACGCGCTGATAGGTCCGCGACTCGTTGAAGCTGCAATAGTCAGCACTGCACATTAACAGTCAAAGGAATGATGCTGGCGGAATGAGAGACATGTGGTGCTGTTAGCTGAAGGTTGCAAAGTTGGACAAGATGCTCTTCCATCTTCTGCAAGGCTAGAGCTGTTAGGGCAGGGTCTGCCCCGAATCCAATGGACCCATAGGCCGTTCGGCGGTTATATCGGATTCCTTACGACAAAACGCCGGAATACCTAGGTAGATTTGAAGGTTGAATTTGAAAATATTTATATTTGCTGAGCGGGGAGTGATGGTCGCTATTTGGCGAGAAATTTCTGGAAGGCTTCCTGTTCGATGACCACCGATCCGACCGCCCGGAGCTTCTTCCGACCTTCTTTCTGCTTCTCTAGCAGCTTCCTCCTGCGGCTGATATCGCTGGCGTGCAGCTTCGCAAGCACGTCCTTCCTGAATGGCTTGATGGTTGCCCGTGCGACAATGCGTCGCCCGACGGCGGCTTGGATGACCACCTCGAACATCTGCCTGTCGACATGCTCTTTAAACTTATCGACCCATGCGCGGCCGACCTTATCAACCTGGCTAGTGTGTAGTACCCGCGAGACGGCGTCGACGGGGGCGCCATTGACCAATAAAATAAGTTTCACAATTGACGATTTGCGATATCCGGCGTCTTCGTAGTCAAGGGAGGCGTATCCCTTCGTCGCTCCTTTGAGCTTGCCAAAGAAGTCATCCACGAGGTGCGACAAAGGCAGATCGTACTTGAGGATAACCTGGGTGGCGGTGAAGAATGTCAGCTCCTTCTGCTCGCCGCGATTCGATTCGCACAGCTTGATGACATCTCCAAGGTATTCATCCGGGAGAGCGATGGTCGCCATCACGTACGGCTCGTGAACTTCTTGGACCCTGAGGTGAGCTTGGTCTTGGTCCGGGAATTCGTTCGGGTTGGTGATGACGGACTCAGTGCCATCCTTCCATACGACTTTGAATGGGACAGAAGGAGGCGTGATGATGATGTTCGCACCGTGTTCCTGGCGCAAGCGGTCCTCGAAGACGGAGCAGTGAAGCGTGCCCAGGAAGCCCAAGCGCCAGCCCGCACCGAGAGCATCCGATGACTCCTTCTGGAGGGTCACGCTGCGATCATTGAGAATGATTTGGTTGATGCTGTCTTCGAGATGCTCGTGGTTGTCCTGATCGGTCGGGAAGGCAGCCACGAAGACCATGCTCTTCGGCTCTTCGAAACCTGGCAGCGGCTCCACCAGCTTCTCGGAGCCTGCCGTCGTATAGGTGTCGCCGACCTTGGCTTCTTGCGACCGCTTCATGCCGGGATTGAAGTGGATGTAGCCCACCTGGCCGGCTCTGAGGACGGTTTGCGGGGTCTGGTCAGGGTACATGATGCCGACCTCGCCCACGATGTACTTGAGCCCCGTGGCAAACGACCTGAGGGTGTCTCCTGGCTTGACCTGGCCATCGAAGATGCGCACGAGAAGCACGACACCTTTGTATACATCGTACCAGGAGTCGACGAGGAGCAAGCGGAGAGGCGCCGTGAGGTCGCCCACCGGGGCAGGGATCTCTTCGATGACGGCAGGGAGCAGAGCCTCGACGTTCTTTCCGGTCTTGGCCGAGACTAGAATGGCCTTGTCTGGATCAAGTTCGAAGGTGTCGTGCATTTGCTCGAGCACGCGGGGAGGGTCGGCGTGGGGGAGGTCGACCTTGTTCAGGACGGGGACGAGGGTCAGGCCCTGCGAGAAGGCCAGGTAGAAGTTGGCGACGGTCTGGGCCTGGACGCCCTGGCTGGCATCGACGAGGAGGAGCGCTGCCAGATGTCAGTGTCTGCTGAAGCCACAAAGGCGCTGCGGGCAACGAGCGTACCTCCGCCGCAGCTGGCATAGCTCCTCGACACCTCGGCGCGGAAATCGACGTGACCGGGCGTGTCCACCAGATGCAGCAGGTAGTCCTGGCCCTTGTGCTTGTATATCATGGAGCATGTCTGCGCCTTGACTGTGATGCCGCGCTCGCGCTCCACGTCCAGCTTGTCCAGGATCTGCTTGTTCCCGCCGGGCTCGATGGTACCCGTGAGCTCCAGCAGGCGGTCGGAGAGCGTGCTCTTGCCGTGGTCGACGTGCGCGACGATGCAGAAGTTGCGGAATCGGTCGATTGGAATCTCGGCGATGCGCTTCTCGAGCGCCGACTGAGGTCTGAAGGCTTGCGCATAGCTCCGGGCGAGCGTCGGGGAGCCTTCACGGGCAGGCGTCACGCGGCGGAAGCCAGTGGGTGGCACGGCGCGCGTCCGCCAGCTCTGCAGGAGGCTGCTCGCGGTCCGGACGCATGGTCGCATGAGTTCGCATGGGATCGATGAAGGGGAGCTCATCATCTCGTCAAGCGGAGGTCGTGGAGGTAATTTTCATCTTACCTAATCAGCCATCCGACCCACCTGCACCCACCACCGCTCCGTTCACCACCTGGGCACTTCCGCGTCAATCGTATAGAAACTGCCTCTACGCTCGCTTCGTATTCCATCGAATCCAATCTTACCCCCACTGGAAGCGCTCTTCTCCCTCCAAAGTTGGCCCTGGAGCTGGTTGCCCCGGAGACGTCTACGTAAACAAGAGAACTTCCATCGCGAACCACTCCTCGCCCACCACGCCCGCAATCATGTCGCAACCGAAAGCATCGTCCAAATCCAAGTCGTCGTCAAGCAAGGACACTTCCAAGATCCACAAGCTTGCTCTGAAGGGTTCGTGATAATCGTAGAATGAAGGCGCTCAAGCTAACAAGCATCACAGGCTCGTCCAAAGTCGTCAATGAATTTGTGAGCACTATTGCCTCGGGCGGACCTCAGAACACGTATTCTAACATACCATCTAGTTCGAATACTCCATCAACACGATTCTGTGAGCTCCGCCGGCTTGCGCTTCTCAAGAACGTGCCATTGACTGCGAGCAGGTTTCAGCGAGGCGTGTATCCGGCGGAGGACTTTACTGCGTAAGGAACGGCGCACCGTCTCAACTTTCCAGGCCTGCTGACTACCGCGCAGAGTTAAGAAATATGGACTGACGATGATGGGTATGCACAGCCCGCATTACCCCATCCATGGCGCATGCGACTAACCGCGGCAGTTACCGCCGACGACCAGGTCAAGGCGTATATCAAGAAGATCATGTCGCAACTGAAAGAGTGGATGTATGGCGGCAAGATCTCGAAGTTGGTGGTCGTAATCACGAGCAAGGAAACCGGCGAGCATGTGGAGCGATGGCAATTCGACGTAAGCCGAGCGCAACGCGGCCGCTATCAGGAGCTGATGTGTCCAGGTGCAAATATTCGGCAAGAACTCCAGGAGTAGGTCGTCAAAGAAGACCGCCGACAAGGAAAACTCTGCTCCAGAGTAAGGCCTGACTTGACCGCACATGCCCACTGGCCTGATCGCTAACGTGCACCAAGGGCAGGGAACGAAGCCCAGGACGAGAAGACAGAAGCGGAGATCCAGGCTGAGATTCAATCCATCTTCCGCCAAATTACCGCCTCTGTTACCTTCCTGCCAATGCTCGACGGCAACTGCACCTTCAACGTGCTCGTCTACGCCGACGCAGATTCAGAGGTGCCTCTCGAGTGGGGCGACAGCGACGCCAAGGAGATCAAGAACGGCGAGAAAGTACAGCTGAGAAGCTTCAGCACGAGCAACCACCGAGTGGATACACTTGTGAGCTACAGGTGGGTTGTTGTACAGCCCCAACCATTGTTGAGAAAACTAACCTTTCTAGGCTCGCGGATTGATTTAGGATAATATTCTGGGTTGGATTCTGAATACAGTGGCGGGATAGGCGCTCGGGAGTCCGGGACATGCTCCGTGATACCACAATCCAAACCTTGTTCCTGACTTAATTACAGACTTCGGAAGTTCAATCCTGCGCGTTGGCATTACTGCTCTCGCAAAAGTGGCACGCTTGTCAACTAACGCCCCGGTAGTACAACCGTGTTAACGCCGGCTGAAAACTGCAACGGTGGCCGTCGTGGCTTATTCCCCAGCACAACCTTCCAAGACTCGATCTCCCACTACGGTGGCTTTTTTCTTTTTGCGACGGCGCAAAGGCGCCTGCATTACCATCCTTCGATGGCGCTGAAGGAGTGTGCGTTGAGCTTCCCGCTGTGCTGAGTGCGCATTTTCGCCGTCGCGCGGGTCGTCTCCAAAGACGAAACCATTGACAAGATGCAGGAAACTCGTCGATAACACTATTGATTCCGAGCTTGGGAACATGGTGATGCAGGTGGCGCGCGCTCTATAATTATACGATGCCTCCCGTTCCGAGCGGGAGATGCGCAGGGGTCGGCCAATCAAAGAGCGTAACCGCCTCCCGAACGGTGGTTAGGGCTACCAGAACCGTCTCTCGCCTGGTAATTCTCGTTCTTCGGCCAATCTCTCACTGCCAGATTGGCACGCTGTCCCTACCGCCGATGTATCCATGGGTTCGCAACATGTTTCGCTGGTAGAGGGATACCGGTTAGGTAAGGGACCCTTCCGAATTTTTTTGGATTGCCACGCGCTGGCAGGAAACGAGCTGACGAAGTAGACGATTGAGCTCAACCTACTTGAATCCACGCTCCGCACCACGCAACCGAGATGATCTCAGACCGATAGTTCAGGTATGTCTTAACACAAAAGACGAATTGGTACGACCACTCCACATCGGGTTCTAGCACGTCGTGCGACCGGAGCAAAATTGCGATCAGTCCTCGTGCGGCCCTGCTGCATTTGCGGGCTAGGCTGGAGCTAGCCAGAGCCTCCGTTCGCTTCTCTGGTGCACCATGGGTGCATAGCGAAATGCTTTCCGTTTCCCTTGGTGCTGTCGCTGCTCCATGGCGCCCTCGAAGCGGTCCAATCGCGGAAAATTTATCTCTTCTTTGTTGTTGCACCACCCCGGCTTCTTGTCACTCGTTCAACAGCTGCTCGCTCGGTTACCTCTCTTCTCCTTTTCCCCATCATTCAACTTGTTCCCCCTTATTGCAAAATTGGAGGGACCCCTTGAGCCCTTCTGCTTCCCTTATCGTTCTTTTTACTTACCGGAGAGGTTGGGAGGGGCTGTTCTTGCATGCGGGCAAGATACTCTCAAGGCCTGAGGGACGATGAGCATCCTCAAGAAGTACCGCGTCAAAAAGCCTAAAAATCGGGGCAATGGTAGCAATCAAGTTGCTTCAGCAGTGCCCGGGCCCTCCATGCACCCCCTCAGACGAGAGAACTCGTTCACAAGCGCCGATCCCCCTGATTCCATCTCTAGCTGGCGACCCCATGTGGACTCCCCTTCAACTGGCGATGTCGCATCTAGCTCTTCGCCGCCGAGTTCGATATTCCCCGGGAATGTGTCCCCGGATACGATCAGCGATATCAAGTGCGAGGTCATGGTCAATTGGCTACATTCGAAGCAGGAAGAAAAGATTTGGACCACCGGCGAGCCTGGCGAAGGCGTGGTCCTGAAGAAGGCGAAAGGTCAGTATGTTTGCTGCCCGAACGAGCTGCGATTCGATCAGTCGCAGTTCTACCAGATGGTGGCACTCCTCAATGTCCGAGTATGTCCATCCCCGGTCATCATATAGTCGTTCATCTCTAACAATCATAGGTTGCCATGACCGTCAACACGAGAGTTATCAGGTTGTTGTTGGCGAGGAGCGACACGCCTTGGGTGCAGATACATGAAGGCCTCCGCCTCCAGGTCATCCCCGATATCGAAGCGCTCCCATACTGCCAAAAGCACCAGTCGGCTGCATTTATTGCCTCACAACAGTACCTCGTAGTCTGGGAGGACGACCCCAAAAGGCTTCTGGAACGAGCGCAATACATACAGGATACATTGATGAAGATGATCTGGGGCACAACTTCGGGGTTCCTCGATGGGAGCGAGAAGGAGGGCGCGGAGGCCAATGTGATCGAGTGGGAATCGCTGGAAGACGGCGTAGAGAGGACAGAAGAACGCCGCGTTATGCTCATTCAGTCTATCATGACTGCGTGTGCTCTCATGCTGGTGCTTGCTGCTATCGGTGGTGGCTGGAGGAACGTCATCATTGAGGTCATCGTGGACAAGAACTGGGCCCGAATTGCCTTCGCTGCCTGCGTGCTTCCCCAGATCTGGCTTGCTCTAGTAAGTGATCGAGGATGGGCTCTTTACGTTCGACTATTGACACGTGCAGTTCTTCTTTCAAGCTCTCATAGGAAACATTGCCCAATTGTTCGGACCCACCCACCAAATGTCCCATAACTCGAAATATTACTCGGGCAAAGCCCCACGTCGCCTTCGCCGCGACGTACACACCAATCTACCCCACGTCACCATCCAGATGCCTGTCTATAAGGAGGGCCTTCACGCTGTCATCGAACCCACGATCCGATCCGTGAAGGCCGCTATCTCGACATACGAAATGCAGGGCGGCACCGCCAACATCTTCGTCAACGACGACGGCATGCAGATTGTTTCCGAGAATGACGCCAAGGAGCGGCAGGACTTTTACGACGAGCATAACATCGGATGGGTGGCCCGCCCAAAGCACTGTTTGAAGGCCCAAGCTGAGGGCGAGAAGATCTTCAACCGTCGCGGCAAGTTCAAGAAGGCGTCCAACATGAACTATGCGCTGTGGACGAGCGTGCAGACAGAAGAGATCTTGTCCTCGATCGACCGCCATGAGAACTGGTCTCAGAGAGATGAGAACGAGGCGTACGGCGAGGCACTCAGAAACACGCTCGACCAGCATGGTGGTGAAACTTGGGCTGATGGCAATGTCCGCGTCGGGGACTATATACTCCTCATCGATTCGGACACTCGCGTTCCTGGCGATTGCTTGTTGGAGGCTGTCAGCGAGATGGAGCAGTCGCCACAGGTTGCTATCATGCAGTACGCCTCAGGTGTGATGAACGTCACGGACAGCTTCTTTGAGAAGGGTATTACGTTCTTCACGAACCTCGTCTACACCCAGATCCAGTATGCTGTTGCCAATGGAGATGTTGCACCTTTCGTCGGCCACAATGCTTTCTTGCGATGGTCCGCCATCCAAGAGATCGCGTACGACTGTCCGCTTGATGGACGGGAGAAGTACTGGTCTGAAGAGACGGTGTCGGAAGACTTCGACATGGCTCTGCGTCTCCAGACGAATGGCTACCTCGTACGCTTGGGCGCTTACAAAGACAAAGGTTTCAAAGAAGGCGTCTCACTCACCGTCTACGACGAACTCGCTCGTTGGGAAAAGTATTCCGCCCCCCTTCATCTTCCTTCTAGAATGCCCACTAATTCACCACCTAGATATGCATACGGCTGCAATGAGCTCATCTTCCACCCCATGCGCTACTGGCTCACCCGCGGTCCCTTCACCAAACTCTTCCTCCGCTTCATCGGCTCCAGCATGCCACTTCCCTCCAAATTCACCATCATGGCCTACATCGGCACCTACTATGCGCTCGGTTCCGCCTGGGTTCTCACTCTCCTGAACTACTTCCTCGTCGGCTGGTACAACGGCTTCCTCGACCACTACTACATCGACAGCTTCAAAGTTTACTTCGCCATCGTAGTTGTCTTCACCGGGCTGGGTAACCTCGCACTCGCAGTGCTCCGCTATCGCATCGGCGAGGGCGGCATTCTATCCAATCTCGGCGAGAATTTGAAGTGGATTCCGCTCTTGGTCGTCTTCCTTGGCGGGATATCGCTGCATGTCAGCCAAGCGTTGCTCTGCCACATGCTCAGCATCAATATGACCTGGGGCGCTACGGCTAAGGAGGTTGAGAATATCACCTTCTTCCAGGAGATTCCGCGCGTGCTGAAGCGCTTCAAGTGGACGTTTATCTTCTGCGCGCTGCTGACGGCCACGATGGTTTGTCTCGCATATGTGGCGCCGCCGATGTGGCGGATTACATTTTTCACACCCATATGGCCGCTTGCTTGCGTGGTTGTTTGTCATTTTTTGTTGCCTATCGTTCTTAATCCTAATCTTATGCTGTTTACTTGGTAAGAGAGGGCATGAAGGCGCTCTGGAAAAGAAAAGTATGTTCTGGGTTTTTGGCGTTCGTTTCGCGACCAAATTGGCACCTTCCCTTCGCCGCTTCACAATCCACATCGCTCCGCACACGCTCAAGCCAGCAGGCCCGCCACGAGTCTCATCACTACTACCCGGGCACCATACTTGTTTGGGAACTGCCCCAACCCGCAAGAGGCCCCCTATCACGCTCTCGACATCTGAGAGATCTCTCTTCACTTCCACCTCTCGCAAAAATGACACACCCTCGGCAACTAGGATCTCTTCGCGCCCACCCCTCCCAAGAATGGGTAACTCTCACTACTTATGGCGGACCGCCCTCCCTGTCACTACTTTCATACAAGCCGCCAACACCATCACAGCGACTGGCCCACCAGCTGCTCGCTCCACCACCGCCTCGGCCATCGAAACCCTTGATCGACATCTTCTGGTAACCACGGCGGTATCTTCTATCCAATCTGTGTATAGCCGGCATTTACGGCATTCAGGAGGGAGGGAATATCTTCACGCGCAAACTACTAGCATAATCACTTCAGAACGGGAACTAATATGCTTCAAAGAGACGGGGAGGCTGTCTGGACTGCAGCTCCAGCAAGGCGATAATCTACCGCCATGTAGCGTTCTGCAATACAATACAATACATATCTTCGCTGAACAATTTTCTGCGCGACGTTTCAGGGTTCCTAGCAGATTCTACCACGTTTAGGTTGGTTGGTACGGACCGCTCAACTGCCCGTCCCAACATCAGACCCCTGGGCGCGAGCCCCTTGGTACAGCGCCACTATGCAGCCATGGTCGTGCTCTCGGCTTGTCGAGCCTGCGGTATGCCCGATCTCGGGTGTTTAGCCCGACTTGTCGCGCACGGAGACTGTTTGGGCTTCTCGAGCTATGCAGACGCTGACGCCCATCGAAGCGGAAAGCACACTCCTGGGCTCCGCCGATCGTCACGGAGTATTTGATGGAAAACCAATTTGGCAAAAAGCGCGAGGCTTAATTCTGGCGGGCGGGCGAGTGTCACGCTGTTAGATGCAAATCAGAAGCCTCAGCGACCTTCGTCCACGCCTCCGACGCGGCAGTGGTAGATATGATATCCCAATCGTCCTCCCCAGACTCGCGTCCACCCTCCCCATCCTCTTTATCACTGCCATCTTCCTCCATGTCGCCCGCATCCTCTCCGTCACGCTTAGCAATGCCATTGTCCTCTGTGATGTCCATGTCCCTGACCCACGCCGCTAAGCCATACCTCTGCACCCCCTCCTCCGGATCCCACCCCTCGCACCCCTCAAACTCATCGCAATAACACGCTCTCCACCACGGCGTCTCGCCCGGGATCCCGCACGCATATTCCTCCACATACCAGCAGCCCGACGTATTGCGATGCCCGTACCAGTCATGCTCGCCGAACCAGTAGAAGCCGGTGATCCGGGGATATTCGCGCCATTTCTGGCGCGGGGTGAGGATCGACTTTACGAGGGCTTCGGCGTGCGCGTCGTCGGGCGTGGTAGCGCGGGTAGTGGAGGCCGATGTGTCGTCGCTGTAGTAGCCTTCATCCGGATCGGTGTCCGCGGATGTGCGAGCCCGCAACCTCGCCTCCTTGACGGCCCGCATCTTGCTGATGCGCCGCTGACACCACGTCGTGAACGGCTCGTCGTACTCGGTCCAGGCGGCCCTGGACTCGATGGACGCGGCGTTCTCGCCGTAGTTTTGGTATCGCTGCATCGGCGTCATCCAGATATCACACTTGGCCTGGTATTGCGTATCGCGTATCTCGATGCGCCGTTCTTCACTCGAGATCTCGTCCTCAGCGGGCCGCTTCCATTGCATGCGGGGATCCCGTTTTCGCGCGTTTTTCTTGCGCCGGGGAGCGCGGGCCCTGGCGGGCCGGGAGCGCTGGGCGTCCTTGTATGCTTCGCGTTTGCTGAATTTGGCGATGTTTGCGCGCGAGGCGGAGCGGAGGTCGCGGAAGTGGTGGGAGGAGGTTCGGCCGGCGCAGTTCATGGCGGATTCGGTGATCATTGCGGTAGTTCCTACGGGTTATACAGCTGGGTGAGGTGTAGTGCACACTCAATCAAGAGGACCAATGTTCATATGGACGACGCCTGGTTGTCGTGAGTGTAGACAGAGGGTTAGTAGATATCAAAGATGTAGGCCATTTTGTACGTGCATGGACACGGAAGCCCGACTCTGAGTCAATAGCAAGCGTGCCACGAGCCATGGAATTGATGGTGCGCGGCGTCGCCCTGCGCGAAGGAAGAGGGCTGAAGGTGGAGCAAGAAGGGCGGAGGAGCGCTCGACGTCGCGAGGGGGTGTATATGTGGCTTGACCTTCACCAGCCACTTCCCCCTCAACCCCACGAACTGCCGACTCTGGTCTCCTCGTCATGCGCAGCGAGACCACGTCAAGTACCGTTTAGGTCTGGAAAAGAGGGACTGTCCAATCATGCCCCCACATATTGTCTCGCTGCTATTATTCCGATTTCTTAATGGCGTTTCGGGGGCGGAATGTGACCGGGTAGTTCTCTCGTCGACGTAGCTCTTCATTTCCTTCTGTTCTATTCTACATCTTCATCAATCAATTTTTCCGTCTGCACTGTCTTCAACATGTCATCCAATTCCTCCTACATAGTTCCCCTCTTCATCCATGGGGAAGCCCTTCCCACAGCGTCAACCCCGACCTTCTCCGTCACCCAATCCATCACTGGCAACACCGTCTACCACGCCGCCTCAGCCACCCCAGACCTTGCCATCCGTGCCGCCTGCTCAGCACAAACAGCCTTCCAATCATGGAAAACGGCATCGCACGTCACGCGGCGCGATCTCATCCTGCGTGTAGCCGCTTACTACGAAGCCCACGCCGCGGACCTCGTCAAGTACCAGATGCTCGAGACGTCATGTGAAGAAGCGTGGGCAAAGCAGAACGTCGATCTTGCTACGAGGTATCTGAAAGAGATAGCAGCGTGTGTTAGTAGCGTGATGGGCGTAATTCCGCAGATTGAGAAGCCGAATACGATGGGCTTTGTGTTTAAAGAGCCGATTGGACCCGTGCTATGCATTGCGCCTTGGAACGCAGCGCTCATCCTGGCTACGAGGGGAGTCGCGAGTGCGATTGCCGCCGGGTGTACAGTGGTGTTTAAGGCGAGTGAGTTGAGCCCGAGGACGCATTACGCGATTACGGAGGCGTTTGTGCAGGCCGGTGTGCCGAAGGGCGTGTTGAATCAGATTCAGACACGGAGGGAGGATGCTGCGAAAGTCACTGAGCAGCTCATCGCCCATGAGGCTATCAGGAAGGTGGAGTTTATCGGCTCTGCGGTGGTAGGGCGGATTATTGGGCAGCTAGCTGCGAAGCACTTGAAGCCCGTTCTGTTAGAACTAGGGGGCAAGTGTCCGGCTATCGTACTAGACGACGCAGATATAAAGGAAGCAGCCAAGCTCTGTGCGTTGGGCGCTGTGCTACACCACGGCCAGATATGCTTCTCGACCGAGCGCATCATCGTCCACGAAGCGGTGGCGGAGAAATTCCAAGAGCGTCTTGTCAAAGAGATGGAGAGCGCCGGCAGTCACTCTGGCGCCGCAGTCAGCGAGAGTATAGCCAAGCATGCCGAAGACGTGCTGAGAGACTCCGAAGCCGCAGGCGAAACCTTCCTCGTTGGTGGACCTTCGCCCTCGAAGCCCCTCTCGCTCCGCCCTACCATCGTCCTTAATCCGAAGAACACGCGCATAGTAGATGAAGAGACATTCGGACCCAGCGCATCCCTCTACGTCGTGCCATCGGACATCGCGGCTATTGAGCTAGCGAATCGCTCAGCATACGGACTGAATGCGACCATCTGGAGCAGCAACATGGAAAGGGCGCTGAAGATGGCACGGGAGCTTGAGTATGGCCAGGTGCATGTGAACAGCATTAGTGTCTACACGAGTCCCACGGCAAGTCAGGGTGGCGTGAAGGGCAGTGGGTTTGGGCGGCAGAATGGCAAGTGGGGACTGGAGGAATTTTTGGTAGACAAGTTCGTTAGCTGGCATGGGAAGGCATAGTGGAACCATTAGTTTGGCTACATGGTCAATCTTGAGCGCCCTCTGCCGCCCTTCTTGGCTGGCCCTGTGAAGGGCTCCATGTATTCGTGAACGTCACTCATCAAGCCAGCTGCGCCCTTTTCTCAACCCTTACCCACATATCCTCCCAAAACCCCACTCCGCCCTTCACCACAAACCGCCCTGGCCTCTTGCTATCCACATCCGGCCTAAACGTTCTAAAAAACTGCAAAGGCGCCTTATACAACTCCATAAGCGCAATGTCTTTGCCCAAACACACCCTCGCTCCATATCCGAACACCATGCTATACTTGTTGAACACCTTCGTTTGATCTTCGTCTTCGAGCCAGCGCTCGGGCCGGAAATCACACGCGTCGGCGCCGTAGATGGAGGGGTCTCGGTGCACCAGCCACGGGTTGCAGGTGATTTCTGTATTGGGTGGGACGAAGTGGGAGTTGAGGGTTAGGCCGGAGGGCCCGACGAGGCGAGGGAAGATGTTTGGTGCTGAGGGGCATAGGCTGTGGTTGTTAGCGTGCTTGAAGACCCACATAAGTGATCTGCTACTGACCGCATACTCTCCTTCACACAAGCCACATAATACGGACAATGCTGCAGCACCTCATCGTACTGCGGCATCTCGCTCAAGTTCCCCTTTCTCGTCTGCTCATCAATCTCCGCCATCAACTTCTCGTACACTGACGGCCTGCTCATGATATACGCCATCATGGCCTGGAACGCAGTCCCTGTCGTATCCGCACCGGCGAGCAACACCAGCAAAATCTCCGCTTTGATGTATTCCATATCTAGCGGCTTTCCATCATCGTCTCTCGCGTCCAGGAACGTTTGAAGTAAGTCGACGCGCTCGATCTTGCCCTCCTCGAGATTCGCAAGCCGCTGCTGGATCAGCTTATCCCGGAACCGCATCAAATGCCCGATGCCAGAATTATCAGACGGTTTAGCGACGAGGTATTTCCCCAGCGGCGTCTTCTTGATGAAATTGGTAAGGGGCCAGAGACGTGCCATCAGCCCAAAGGGTAGCAGTCCATCATGAAAGCCCTGAATCAATCCGCCGACATCACTTCCACTCTCCACAAACCCAAATGGCGCACCGAAGCCAATCTCGGAAATGATGTCGTACGCCATGTACACAGCCCAGGGCGCGAAGTCGAACTCCTTCCCGGTATCCGCGAACAGCGCGGAAAGCTTAGCTAGCCATCCCGCGATCCGCTGATCGACCAACGGCTCCATCTTCTTCACATTACTGAACGCATACGGGCCCGCTGCTATCTTGCGAAAATGCGCATGCACTTTATGCTCGCGCATATTGAACAGACTCTCTTGCTCGCCAAAGCTGCCAGTGATGTAATGGTTGCTTTTGTTGGCTTGGCGATTGTAGACTTCGGGAAGCTTTGTGGCGTCGGAGACGAGGAGGAGGGTGGGCGTGATGCGGAGCACAGGGCCATATTTGCGGTGCAGAGCGAGCTCGAGCTCGCATTCGTCGCCGAGGACGTTGTGGTAAGCGATCCAGAGGCGGGTGAAGGATGCGAAGAAGGGGCCCGGAAAGCACCGGAGGGGGTGGAAGAAGCGGTAGTAGATGAACTGGTAGAGGGTGGAGAAAGCTAAGCAGGTGGCGATGGCGAAGAGGATGTTGAGAGGCGTGAGGAGGGAGAGGAGGTGCGGTATATCCGACATTGTAGATGTCTTGGAGACGGGAAAAAGAGAGATCCAAACCTTCGCCCCAGCATGAAGACGTCCAGGGCCTTATATCGGCCCAAAGGGAGCCATGCCCGTCATCTGGAACCCTCCACGCTGCTGTTAACCTACGTCAGCTAGCGGAACTGATCGATCTCCACAAACCCTAGACGCTACAGCAGTTGAAAGCCGCGGCTAGATGCAGCCGCAGCGTTCTAATGCGTCGATCTCGGTAGTCCAGTACCTTTTAGTCTTTGTTCCGGCCATAATAGCATACAGTACCTGGGAAACGTTTCCCTGCTACCCCACAATTCGGCAACGCTAGCGGCTTGCTGTTCGAGAGTCAGGACCCCGCAAATCGTGGTGGGAACCTTTGCACGTCATCATCGTTCAAAACCCTGGAGAGGCATGGAAATTGTGGGATGGTGGTAGCGAACTGCGGGAACCTTATCGACTCCGGGAAGGGTGGTGTTTTGGGTTCTGTCCAAGAAGAGTTAGGCCGATTACTTATCGATAAGGCCACGTGGTGACATAATCTGCAGAGCTCCTCTCCCTTCTCCTCATCCATCAACTGTTAGCTTCTCATTCGAACTCTTTGTACAACCGAGCCCAAGCCCATCTTCTCGTGATGACAGCTTCGGGCATCTTCATTCCGAGCGCAGCCTCAAATCGATAATGCGGCGCAGCGAAACCCAGCAAACGGTCAACGTATTGGACCAGCCCTCGTTACTAGGAGATGCAAGGTCTGTTGGCATTCTAGAGTGAGTAGTAGAGAAAAGGGGATCTATACACCCCCTTTATTATGGACAGGGTTTCCTCTTCCAGCGAGGCGCAGCAAATCCTCCGGCTGAAGACCGCCCACAATTTGGTCGCGTCAATTTACGTTCGAGTTCCGAAACAATGAAAGTGCATGGATGCGAGGATAGATTCACAAGTTGTGCTGCCTCTGATTGGGGTTTACTGGCTTCAGCCGCAGACCTCATTTTGAAGTGGGGGGATATTGGATGCATCCGGTAGGCTAGGGTAGGCATCCGGATCCTTTCCCGTAATCCTTTCGATCCTTACGAACCTTTCCCTATAATATCTGAACACCTTCGGATTTGGATTTGCCCTCCAGTCACTCTCTGGCCTCTCAATCACTTCCGGTGTTTTCCACTGCGATGCGTTGCCCGGAATGTCCGTTGCGGACGTCTACACCGGCGTCTGGATCAATCATGCTAAAGGCCTAATACTCGGCCCCACACTCACGCTGTCGGACTTCCATGGGACCCTCTTCATCGCCTTTCTCGCGCTATTTATCAACTTCTTTGGGAACCAGATGTGGGTCATCCTCAGCTACGCGCTTTTCCACATCCGGTCGCGAAGAACGGAGCAGGACGGTTTATACCATCAGCTACAAGCAACGCTCCGCAATAGCGTCTCTAGCCTGTCGGATTCCTGGAAGTTTACCTTGATTGCGTGGCACTGGCGCGGGAAGTCTCACCGGGTATTGCGGCGCGTCCTCCCGTTACTAGCTTTGTCATCGTTACATTGCTTAAAGGTCGGTCTCGCCTCGATTTATGCGACGCCAATCATCCAACTACAGCCTGACGTCCTAAGCCGCGGTGCTATCTGTGGGGACTGGAATTCGACAGCCTTAGAATCGGACTACGATGTGGTATACAAATACACCGAGGAGCAAATTCACTTATGGGAGAAGAGCGGCAGCTACGCACGGTTATGCTATCCTTCTGACTTGAGGGAGGACACGGGGTCGGCAGCGACATGCGTACAACGTGGCGAAACGAGAAAGGTGTGGCGCAATAGCACTGAAGAACGGTGTCCATTCGCTGTCCATATGTGCAAAGACGACCATGTATATGCTCTCGACACCGGTCTCCTCGACTCAAATCTGGATCTAGGTATCAACTCGCCCAAAGAAGACCGGATACAATACCGACGAAAGATGACCTGCTCACCACTTACTACAGAGGGTTTTGTGGAGGGTCCGCTTGAGGCAGGCTCTCGATCTAACCTCACTACACCCAATCCCTGGATGAACATTTCGATCTGGAATTACAACTACGGGAAACTCACCTATGCGAATGAGGACAACTTTACCAATGCTACGTGGGTCTACGATGACGGATTACTTCGACCTAGCTATAGCCGCGACACTGATAGCACATTCAAGCTGTATGTTTCGACCTATTTTCCGAACGAGACGCGCTCAGCGTCGAAATGGGGATACTGGGATCGCTCCTGGGATTTCTCGACCTTCGATGCGATTCCAGAACTTCGAGCTGATGGCGTTACGAATGTCCTTTTTCTCGTCACTGCTGTTTGCTACCCAAACCCAGTCGACGATCCATGGTTCTCGTCGCACGATAAAATAGACGAGGGACCTAATGGAGGATCGTTCTACTGTCTGGATGGATATCCGAAAGTGTCACCACTCGGCTGTCTTGAACAACACGAATTCTGTAACCCGGAAAATGGAGAGTGCTCCAACCTGACGAGTACGCACAAACCGCCCGATTACCGAGCTCTTGGACTCAACGCTCGGCAGATGAGAGTGGCTGAACGGGTATTTAAAGCCACCACGGGACTCAGCATTAGTGGGGTGATCAGATTTCTTGGAGCGGAAAAGACGCTGCACGCCCGCACGTCTGCAATCAATGGACTGCCCCCAAACCAGTGGCAGCTGGAGCTCGATAACTGGTTTGGAATCGTCATGGCGCAGATGCAGTCCGTGCTTCTGCAATGGGCGACTGGTCCGGAAAAGCCCGAGAATAGGAGGTATATCATTCCGCCCACGGACCCAGACGTCGCGTGGATGTGCAACAATCAGGTTGTGCACGATTCGCGATACATCTGTTTTAGCGTTCTCGGCATTTCGCTGTTTATTGGAACAGGGAGCCTGGTCGTGCTGGTGGGATGGTTCATCGACGATATTGTGAGAGCCGTACAGAGGCCGCTTGGGAAGGGTGCATATAGGAGGTTTGAGTGGAGATGGAATGAGATGTTTCAGTTACAGCGGACGGCGTTCGCGCTCCAAGGTGCTGGACTGTGGGTCGAAAGCAAGGCACCGGTCCCGGTTACGAAAGAGATGGAGAAGTGGACGATTCCGGGGGCACTCGACGGAAAAATCGAACGGAAAAGCGGAATCTGAACGTATCTGTCCGGATATCTAACGAAAGACAAACACGATACGTCGCGCGTCGCAACATCCAGCTCGTGGCCAATTTCTCTGCAGCCGGTTGGGCGGCTTCGAGGCAGACGGGCTGGGGTCGTTCGGGAGGGTGTTGGATTGGGAGCTGGCGGTGCGTTCTTCAGTCCACGAATCGTGTGGAGAGAATCTGAGAAGGATGATGGCCGCGGATAACGCAGGTCATCATGGAGCGGCTACCGGTATTTTGCATCGGTGCGGTATCGGGGAGTTGGAATGCGGAAGGACTAGGAGACAAACGCTCCCCATCATCCGGCCCGACCTATGAGGGCGTTTGCATGTATGCCCTCGAGTAGTCCCGGTATGGTAACGCATTCATATTCAACATGGTTACCAACCGACACTACGCAAAGCAACAAGCAAAAACCACCGGATCGGGGACAATTTTAGAGCCTCCAGCAGCGCGGACCAATGTAGCCGCACGCGACCCATCGCCTAGCAAGTAAAACCGCAATCAATAATCCGATATCTAGGCGTCGATCAACCCCCAGCAAGCTTACATTTCAATATATCTCTATCTTGCTTTTTCTACACGGTCCTTTATCGCTGGCCTGCCACTTCCGGCCATCGAACATAAATTCCAGCGTGCCCGGCTGAGTATCGGCGTACTTGATTTCCAAGGCGCCGCCGAGGCCGCCACGAAAGTTCTTGTTGATAGCGTAATTGGCGAAGTAGCCGGAGTAGTATTTCTTGAGCGTGGCGTGGAAGGTGCACCAGCCGTGTGGCATGCCTGTATCTTGTGGAAGTGTCGTATTGATTGGTCTGAGCGAAGGGGAGGTGCAGGAAGCGCGGTGATAGGAGCGGAGAGGAAGAGTGGGAGAAGGAAGGTGGGGAGCATGGCCGATGTGTGGCACTGGGGGAATTGTAACTGCAGGGTTTGACGGGCTTCGGTGACGTTTGCGAATGAAGAAAGACGTAGGGACCGTATTTGGAGATTGCAATGAATGAGCTTGGTGCTGGAGAATTGAATGGATTTTATAGAAGTACGGGATTGGCTGTCCAAACGGGGATATGTGAGGAGCATTCAGCTGCTCGCGGCGGTGTGTTCGGTCACGTGGAGCACGATTCTGCACCTGTGCCTCTTTCTGCCGCTCGGCAAACGAACACTGCGATCAGCGGGCTGCGGGAACGTGAGAGTATTTTGGAGGAAGGGGCGTTAGCGGGATGGCGGCCAAGGCAAGACCGGGACTCTAGTCATATTCAGCAGTATACATGGGAGAACATTCGGAGCTAGTACTGCGTGAGTGGGCTAGCGAGAAAGGAACATGTGTCTTGGAGATTGAAGCACATTACGTTAGGCGATATACTTCCAGGTCGTGCTCTCCGACTATGTGCTGTTCGCCAACTCAATAGCTCCTTTGACTACCTCATCAAGAGTCTGCTTCGGGAGGCCCAGCTTCCCATTCCAAACTTCCTGCTCCTTCTCAAAGTCGTACCCCACATCAACGTCTGCTACAAAGCTGAGCGCGAGCAGTGGGTAGGTCGCATTGAAATCCCCAGCATCAAACTTCGATCTCAGCTCCCTAATGACAGTGCCGGACTCTTTCTCTTCAACCGTGAACTTCTCGCCCATCTGCCTCTCCAAGCTCGCAACAATTTCACGCGAGTTCGTCACAAAGTCCGAGAGGAAAACCTGCTTGTTCGCAGTGAGCTCGGGGTTCAGCAGCACCTTTGCGACAGCGAGGCCGGTACCGGTCGAAGTTGTGACGGCGAAGCGGGAGAGGCCGGAGTCCCAGATGGTTGCTTTGCGATGCTTCACGTCGACGTAGAGGAAGTTTCCGGACTTGGCGGGGTCGAGGCCCCAGTCGAGCCACGAGCCGCAGGAGATAGACGTCCACGTGAGCGCGCCGTTTGACTCTTTCGCTCTCTTGATCAGATACTCTAGCATCTTGCCCTTCAGGTCGTACACTGGGACCAGCGAGCGCGCCCTCGGATCCAGATTATTAGTGCCGAATTCTGAAGGTATTAGGCGCTTGACTCCGGCTGCTACAGCGGCATCAATGATGCGGAATGCGAGGTCATCTTTGGTTACGGGTGTTGTGCTAAGGGCGGCTACGACGGCGTCCTGACCCTTGAAGGCCTCTGTGAGCTCAGAAACGGTGAAGGCGTCTGAGACTTGTTTGACGGGGACGCCGGAGGGGAATTTTGCAGAGGAGCTGGCGCGCGTGAGGACCGTGACGTTGAAGGAGGGTTCGGCGAGGAGGGCAGAGAGGATGGGAGCGCCGACGGAGCCGGTGGCTCCTGCTATGATGATGTTTTTGAGCGGTGCTGAGGACATGATTTTAGAGATAAATCAGAGGCTTGTAGTAGCAGAAGAGTTGCTGCGTCGCGGGTTATGGTATGTGAAGACGCTGAATGATGACCTGGTAGCAGAAGATACTTTTTCTTTCTCTATATACCCAATTCTTCTATTTCTGATTAAATCTGTATTGCATCATCATACTAGACTGCCGAGATAGCTTCAAAGTTGACCAAGCAGTAGTTCCATAGCCCTATGATGCATCGGCTGCCGCTAGAGGCGATAACCACCGATTACTCAGTGTAAGGTCTCTCCAGGTTAACAATCATACCGAGGTCGCAGAGTAGCAAATGTGATAGCCTGAATAAGCAGAGTTTACATACGATGCGTCATCCGCTGCAGCGGATGAGTAAACGCGCCCAAATGCCATTCTGGTCCCTCCGTGCCTTCATCCTCTGTGGACGAGGAGTACCGCGGGACGGCATTAGGCGCCTATGTAAGGCCGCAGTACCTCAGGGTGTTGGACGTTGCTGTGATGGAAGATAGGTGGGCTGAGTCGGTGAACAGGTGCAGAGGTCGGGCCGAAGCGGCATCTATTCTTGGCACGGCATTAGAGGGCTCCGGTTTCGACCTTGTTCGTCTCAACACCATCCCTCGTCCATCTCTGCCGCCATCCTCATTGCTGTTACACAACCCCTGCAGGGTGTACGCCATGAACACGTTGCCAACGCCTTCTTGGCTCGTCGCCACGTACGCTGCCCGGAATACAGTCCACAAGACGGATGACCGTCCGCTGATGGACGAAGGTCAGCAAACATGCTAAGACTTTTGCTTCATCGGCCATTCTGAGAGACAATGGGAAGGGCCATTGAACGTGGGAGCACCAGCTAGGCCCAGATGGCGACCCAGACAGCGCGGCGCGAGGCTACATGTTCTGCGATAGCTCCTGGACTATCGACTAAACCACCTTCTTTCTCCTGGCGAGATGCGATCGCCGGACGAACTCCATGCGAGGACGATGAAGCGTTCAAACATCCCACCAAGTCTAGGGACCGTTGCGTAGTCTCAGCCAAGCGCAGACGCGTCAAACGACAACCACCATGCGGCTCCGACCAACCTGTCGCGCCCTGCGTCGGAAGATTCCTGTCGGAGCGTGTTCACACGCCGAAAGGACTGCCACGATCTAAGACATCGCTACTGCCTCGACGCCCCGTCGCGTGCTGTTTTGGCTTAAAGGGAAAGCTGGCGTGCGACCGTTCACGACTGCGCCTTTCTCTTCTAAAGTCCGCGGAAGTGCGCAATTCCTGCCTGTCGGAGACGCTAGAAAATGCACCTCGCCGTTTGCTGGGCGCGCAAATATGGGGAAGGTTCGGTTGGTATGCAGCCACCATTGGAGTTGGTAAAGAGTGCCGCAGAAAGCTCGTGGACGGCGACCTTGAGTAGGATCCTGTACTACGTTGTCCGCCGCTGAGAATGGCCTGGATGTGGGGGAAGCGGTGAGAGCTAGTTGTGCTGTTGGAGTCTTCAATCCCGAGTGCGCCAACGCGCGGCATAGGGCGGCACAGACATGAACGAATCGAAACCTCTGGCTTTCCCCACCTTGCCGTGATTATTGGTTGCGTATCAACGGTACGATCTCACAAAGTCAGACCCTTGTATAACCCTCTTGTTGTTGGGGTATGCTCCAGCCAAGCCTGCGTTACGACACTTTGCGCTGCACAACAGTCAAGAGCAGGGATGAATGGCCTAGCTTAATATGGCACCACCCAATCATACCGGTTCCTTACCGCCGACACGCACGACTACATAAGAACTACGAGGAGGTGCATACGCGCCGATTGCCCTGCAAGGTTCAAGATGCGGATAGTAGGACCGATGGGTGGCGTGGTGCCGGCCGTCCTCGACCCGCGATTGCGGAGCTCGAGGGTCCAAATCCTCGAAAGAAGTCGCACAATGGGATCCGCTAACATCATATGACATACTCAGGCGGGATTGGAACTACATGATATGGACGCGATTCCGAACTCGGCGTTGCTGTGTGTACACGCCGAGACTCGAGACTCGAGACGTGTGGGCCTCAGCAGATCTGTCAGACCGGGCGTAAAATTAATAACAATAGGTTGAGGCACAGCACGACCATCAAGCACGCAATATACAAACGCGCCAGTGCGGCTGAGGAACGAGTGTAGGAATATTCGACGATCCCTGCCTGAGGCCCGACTACCGGGGACGCATAAAGATCTCTGTCACAGGCTAAAGCTCCGACTGGTCGGCCCGAATACCTCCTACACTTCTTCGACTATGCGCGTCTATGCAGGCCATCTGAATGCTGGCCAGCCATGATATTGAGCCATTGTCTCGCGCGACGATCGACAATTTGCGGAGAAGCGAAGAGTGCGGTCCATATTTGGGGCCAGGTCCTCCGCCGCTGAGGCCCGTTCTGTTTGAACCTGCATTGCCCTGACAAGCCGTTCATAAAGGGTACACAGGCCACGTTCCTAAGCCTTGCTTTTGTTATTGAAGTTTTGAAGAGGAGGATTGACTGTCGACCGTTTGCTTCTCGTTTGGGAAAGTCCAGCAGATGGCGGAAGCCACACCTAAGGAGCGGTCGCACCTCACCGCCATGGATCCAGAGTCGCCTACTGTTCCTCGTGAACGCGAAGAGAAGGCGTTGAGGAGTCATGCGCAAGAGCAGCCCTCGCAGTTGCGCTTACCTTCGCACTTCCGACAAACATCACTCTCAGAGACGACATCTGATAGCTTGGCCAATACCCCCAGTCCCTCCACCACCTCTACGTTCAAACATGCTGCCTCCAAGGAGCGAGGCCCAAACGATATGCCACGACCGTCGAACTTGTCGGCCACCACAGCGACCACTGACGACGGATCACCAACCTCAGGATCACGACCTTCTGTAGCAACACTGCTCTGCTTCTCCGCCCTTACACTCAGCATCTTCTTGGTGGCTCTCGACACCGTTCTCATCCCCACGGCGCTCCCCACTATCTCCCTCTCTTTCCACATTCCAGACTCCTTGTACCCATGGACGGGCTCAGCATATCTTCTTTCAAATGCTGCCAGTATGCCGTTTTGGGGAAAGCTAAGCGATGTTTTCGGGCGCAAGCCGGTGATTCTGATTGCGAATTCTATATTCCTCGGCGGGAGTATCGTGTGCGCCGTGAGTATCAGCGCGCCGATGTTGGTGGCTGGAAGAGCCGTGCAGGGGTTGGGTGGTGGAGGCGTGAATGTGCTAGTGTATGTTTGCGTTGCGGATCTGTTCGCTATTCGGTAAGTACTATATCTCGATAGACCCCATCAGTGGTTCGTCCTTCTCTTGGGTGTAGAACGATGGACTGGGCGAGCTTTGATGGACGGTGGCTGACCGCGACCAGTGACCGATCTTTCTACATGGGGATCGTAGGTGCCATGTGGGCTGTCGCGTCCGCATTGGGTCCCGTGCTGGGAGGCGTTTTCGCCCAGAAGCTTAACTGGAGATGGTGCTTCTACATCAACCGTGAGTGCGATATTGCTCACCGGCCCATAAGCTAACAGCCACAGTCCCACTCGTGTCGATGTCAATCATAATTCTCTATTTCACTCTCCACCTTCACAACCCTCGCACGCCTTTCCTCGCCGGGCTCATCTCCATCGACTGGCCGGGCACCGTCACCATTCTCACAGCTACCGTTCTTCTGCTCGTCGGCCTTCAACTGGGCGGCACATCATCCTACAGCACCCCCTTGGTTATCTCCTTCCTAGTCTTCGGTTCGCTCGCGTACATCCTTTTCCCCTTCACGCAATGGTGGGACGAGAAGCGCGGTGGCTCGCCCATCATGCCACTCCGCATCTTCCGCGACATTTCTAACCTCTCGGCCCTCGGTGTATGCGCGTGCGATGCGCTCGTATTTAACTCAGTGGCGTACTTCCTGCCGCTCTACTTCCAGCTCGTCCTCGCGGTTTCCCCTTCCACATCCGGCCTCTACATGCTCGCCGTCGCTATTCCCCTGGCTATCGTCTCATTTGCGACTGGCGCCATCATCAACAAAACCGGCCGCTACCTAGAAGTCCTCCAAGCCGGTCTCGCGCTCATGACTCTCGGCGTCGGCCTCCTCATTTCCTTCACAACCACGCTCGGCCTGGGCAAAATTATCGGCGTCCTGATCGTAATCGGCATCGGCTTCGGTCCAAACTTCCACGCCCCGCTCATCGCGCTGCAAACACGCATCCGCGAATCCGACATGGCGGCCGGCACGTCTGCCTTTGGCTTCGTGCGCATGGTCAGCGGCGCGATCGGCGTCGTCGTCGGCCAAGTAGTCTTCCAGCTCCTCATGCGGCCGCATCTTGGTTCGTTCTTGGATGCCGGGCTTTCTGATAGTTTTGCAGAGGCGTTGGCGGCTGGGGAGGCAATTTCGGAGGCGAGCAGGGTGGCGCAGTTGTCGAGGGGGCAGAGGGCTGTTGTGAGGGAGGGAATGAGTGCGGCATTGAGGGGGACGTGGATATTTTATACGGTTGTGAGTGCATTGGGGTTGATGGTTTCTTTTGGTATTATGAGGAAGACACTAGAGAGGGAGGGGGCCGGGAAAAGGGGCGGAGAAGTGAGGAGTGTGGGGGATAAGGAGGCGGAGGTGGAGAGTGGACGGACAGGGGGGGAGGGCGAGAAATAGGAGGAGAAGAGTCTTGGGTGGGTACTTTGTTTCGAGTTTTAGCATTGGGTTGGCGTTATTCATGCATGTGAAGCCTCCGCGGCATAGATCCGGGTACTTTATAATGAGCACAAAAATCTGTCCATTCTTTGTTCAAGCCTGCTCGTGAACTACCCGCACTCCCAGCTCGTCTTCACCCCCTTCGCTCATTCCTCATCCACAAGTTCAATAGCAAAACGAAACGGACCACCCGGCGGCATTGTACTATCAATCAACCAACCCAGCAAACCTCACATAATGCCCTGCTCCCCGATCCATCAACAATCCGCACACGCTGACTACAGTCCGCGGGACCAGTCTTTGGAACAACACCACCCTAAGCGGCTCCCGAGATCAATTGACGAGGACGCGTTCAACAACACCAGTGCGCAGATGCTCGAGTCAGGTGTTCCGCTTTGGTCTGAACAGGCGTGCGAGCGACGCCTGCTGGTGGTAGACTTCCGGTTCTCACTCTATCGGGTTCCGGCGCGCCAGGCGGGCATGTGGACGTCGGCGACGCGGCGCGCATGAGTAGAAGAGCGGGGGGCGGCGATGGCGTTATTCTGGAGCGGATAGAGCAGGATGACGAGCTCGCGCGGATGTGATTATAGCCAAACGTTGTGGACGAGGAAAGCTCGCACTGAAGGCCTTAGCGGATGATGCGAATCCCAGTAAGACGTACACTAGCCACTGAAGTACTCCATGCCTCTTATTCCCAGATAGCACTTTATCCCGCTCAGGGCGTCGGCGCAAAAACTATTAGGAGCGTCGTTCAAGCACGCGCAATGCATGTTCGGCCGCTAGACATGGCCTTTAAGATCGTCATGGGCGAGGGAGATTTCTAGGAACAGCATCTGGACCCACTGGAGTTTGATCCGGATGGGCTTGGAAGGCGCAGTATCTCCTCGCAACCGGATGGGAACCAAGCAAGCCTCGCATGTCCCTGCTGAAGGTTAGAGTAGCTGAGGGTAGTATTTATATAACGGACAACACTCGACAGAAGAGAGCGATTGGAGGAAGCGCAGGGGGAGGGGCAGGCATGTGAAGAGAAGATATATCAACCTTGTATGGATGCTGATGGCCCATCAAATTCCTGGATGTCACCGTTTTCCGAATGGAGCCAACTCCGCGAGATACAACGAAGTCTGAAGACGTTCATGAATGGACAATCGAAGCGTAATGAGATGATTGGATGAAGCTACGGAATCGTGGACTATATACGGAATCATGGACTATATATGTACACCCGTGGACTTCCTGGAGCCGCACGGCCACTAACCAAATGTGGTACCTATGTAACGGAAGTGACCCTTCCTCGTCGAAGCCAGAAGGATAAAGATCAAAAGAATACGCCACACCAATGAAACAGCGGAAATCTAGAGAGAGTCACATGCAAAAACGTGCGGAAGGGGAAACTTGTCCGCGAAACCCGTCGGGAAGCCGTCGAGACAGGGGTGGCCGGGTGCAGCAGCAGGCCGCGCGCCGACATCCTTATCTTTCAGCATCTCCTCATCCTCACTCAACCCGTAAACTTCAACAACTTGCTCTTCGCGCACACGGCCTTTGCCAGCGTCTGGATAGTTCCACTGGCCAGCAATTCGAGGACCTGCATAGTCGACTCAAACTCTCTGGTGATGAAATTCCTCACATCGATCGCAGTCAGCGAGTCCAGGGCGTAGTTCGAAAGGTTTCTCGTCGGATCCATCTCTTCCGGCTCAAGGCCCACGGTCTTGGCTATCTTCTCGACAAGCCCATCGCACACAACCTGTTCGGCCTCCGGCAGCGACTCAGCGGCTTTGAGCGCTGAGTTCCAGGACACGGACTTGCTACCGTCGTTGAGAAGAGCGGCTGTGGCTTCGGCTGCGAGACGCAGGTGCTTGTACTTGGCGTCGGTAGCCCAGAATTGCGGATTCAGAGGATCGAGGTGCAACCCGGTGAGGATATGGTTGTTGCAGCTTGCCTCTGCGGTGCCGTCGAGAGTGGATTCTAGCAGTGAGAGCACTTCGGCTTCGCTGATGCGGTTGTCGCCGATGTTTCTTTGGATGTCGTTCCACAGGTCAGAGTTCTCGAAGAGGAATCCGGAATCCGAAACGGCGGTTGGCCCGAGCGACGCGCCGGGCAAGCCGAGTGAGCGCCGATACTGTGCGAAAGCATCGAGGAATCCGTTTGCAGCTGCGTAAGCGGTCTGGCCACGACCTCCCATGGCGGCAGCGGACGAGGAGTACACGATGAAGAAGTCAAGAGGAACGGACTCCAACGCGTTGTGGAAGTTCCAGGCGCCCTGGACCTTGGACTCAATGACATCGGTCCAATCATTCGGCTCTAGACTATCGAACAGCTTGTCCTGCGACGTCGTTAGTATTCCTCAGGCCGGGACGATTGGGGATCACTTACTCTGAGGACCATTGCTCCGTGGATAACACCTCTGATAGGTGGCAGTCCCGCCAGTTTCGTGTGCAAAAGCGTATCGACATCCGCCCGCTTCGTGACATTGCAACTATGCACGACGATATTGACGCCCAAAGGAGCTAAGTCGTCGACCAAGGTCTTCACAGGTCCGGTTACGCTTCCGCTCCGGGATAGGAGCACCATGTGCTTTGCACCTTTGGCAGCCATCCATCTCGTCATGCCCCGGCCCAGGCCTCCGGTACCGCCGATCAAGATGTACGTCGCATCCTCTTTGAACAGTCTGACGACTTCCCTGGAGGGCGTGGTCTTGACGATATCGTCGTGGTGCGGAACAACGACGATCTTGCTGCTGGACGGTGCTGATCGAGCAAGCTTGAAGGCCTGTGCCACTTCGGCGATGGACATGACGCTGGCGGCTTGGATGGGCCTCAACTTCCCGTATTTCAAGGACCTAGACACATCGCTAACTAAACGCCGCAACACACGGGGCTTGCGTGTCGCCAGGTTGTGAAGGTCGAAGGAGAAGAAAGCTGTGTTGCCGTTGAAGCCTGACAAATCGAGCTTGGCTTTGCTTGACAAATCGCCCGTCTCTTCGCGGATAAATCTGCCGAACTCGGTGAGGCATTTCAGAGCGGACTGGATGCAACTGGCATCTGCCTGTATGCTCAGCACAACATCGATACCGCGATTGCCAGTTGCTCGGAGGATTGAGCTGGAGAGTTGGTCGTCTTTGCTGTAGAAAATGTGGTCTTCGGGAAGCTCAAACTCCTTCATCAAGACACGCTTGTCTTCGGCAGTCTCAACCGTCGTGAAGACTGTCGAGCCGATCGTTTGAGCTAGGGAAATCGCCGCTTGGCCCATGGGGCCTGCGCCATTCAAGACGAGCACGCTCTCTTCATCTTCTAGCCGTGCGAGATCGATCAAACTATAGTGCGCCGAGCACTGAGCTAAAGGTAGGCTTGCTGCCTCTTCGAAGGAGATGTCCGCGCTGACCTTTAGTACGAAGTCCGCATTCGTTCGAGCATAAGTAGCGAAAGCTGCTTGGGCGATTGCCGCAACGCGATCTCCGACAGCGAAGTTCCTTACATCCTTTCCCACGCGGCTGATAATACCACTGCACTCTTCTCCCAATCCTGAAGCATCGACCTGGCCGGTGGCAGCGTACACATCTCTCGCGTTCAGTGCAACCGCCTTGACTTGAATTTCGATCTGGTCGGCGGCTAGCGCCTTCCCTCGTAGCTCGTCATCGACGAAGTGGAGGGAGTCGAACATTCCAGGGGTCGATATAGCCATTTTCAGGGCGCGTGCGTTGCTGCCGAACTTGGTCTCTTCAACAGCCGGAGGGAAGATCTTCCGATGCACGTACTCATTGGCGACGTCGTCGTTCAGGATGCGCGGTGTCCAGAACTCGCCCTTGCGCTCCTGGAACTCCATCTCTGTGTTGGCAATGGTACTGGCGCTCATTACGGTCGTGAAGACTTTGAGGATTGCTTGAATGGCGGACGTATCGTCAAGCCTTTTCTCTGCGTCGAGATCTAGGGTCGCAAACTTGTACATGCTCTCGGAGCGAATGGCGCGACTGAGTCCTGAGACCATGTTGGCCGTGGGGTCGCCGTTCTGGCCATATGCGCCCCTCGTCACCCAGAGGAGTCCTTGTGAGCTTCGCACTAGGGTCTGTAGAGCTACCAACTGGGTCCCGGTTAGGGTGGGGAGGATGGATTGGTCGAGCTCTGTTATGCAGAGGAGATGCTTGCCGTTAGAGTCGATGTCCTCAAGTGCACCAAGGTCGACCTTTGCGTTGGTAAGGCTTTCGATTGATGCAGCCAGCATTCGAGCAAGTTCCAGTTGAGACGGCGATGTCCCATGAATAATCGAGATTGGCGTGGTCGGCAGAGTGGTCCCATTGAGGAGATTCTCCGTATGCGGGCTGTCTATTTTGATGTCCTGGCTTTGCTTGAGCGGCTCCAGAATCGGTTCCCAGACCTGCTTGTAGCACAGCTCCCTAGCAGACTGGACGTTACCGTCCGTGTCGGTTGATGGGAGCGGGGCGATCGTCAGATCGTCAATGCTGAGTATGGCTTCTCCACCAGCAGTGGCGAACATGGAAACCTTGCTGGGCTTCTGGATCGAGAGCGGCTTCGCCGTTGTGCAGTAGGACCGAAGGCTCTGCCCTGGGGAACTGGCATGTTCCAAGATCTTGGGAGACACCGTGAGCCTGCCGATTGATGCCGGGAGACAGACGACGTCAATAGGAATCCGCCCAGCACCAAGGACTGGCCAGTACATCTGGATAAGCTGCTCCAGGAACGATGGATGCACAATATGCTTCGTCTCAAAGTGTTCTGGCATCTCGGAAGCAGTGTCGGGGACGGTGATGGTCGCTATGGCTTGTTTCGCATCCGCACGGCAGTCCGTAAGCCCTTGGAAGGTCGAACCGTAAGCCACGCCGAGATCCGCAAGAGCTTTATAGATGTGCGGTTGCGACACCGTGAACGTAGTCTTCTCGATTTCGGAGACCTTCTCTGCAAGAGATGCTGCACGTCGCTTGATTTGTGCCTGCCCGTCCACTTCGTTGAGCTCGTTCGTCTTCACGGTGACGGTACCGGTGCAGTTCTCTGTCCAGCCCTTGCTCGCCGAGTACGAGTGGATGAGGAAGTTGCTCGTCATCTGGGTGACGCTAACGTCTGCGGCCTGTGGAGAACGCAGTGCGATAGTCAACTCGACACTTTCGTCCGGAATCATGAGCGGCGTGTGCACGGTTACATCGCGGAGTTCGATTTGGCCCACATCAATATCCTTAGACTTGGCCTGTTGAGCAGCCGCTTCGATCGCCATTCCCAAGAAACCGGAAATTGGGAAGATGGTCAGGGATTGGATCCTGTGGTGACGGAGCCATGGGAGATCGTCTACGCGGACGATATTTCGCCATGTCGGCTCTAGATCGTTCGAGTAGTTGGCGAGCGTGCCGAGGATGTCGTGGCGCGGGAATTCCCTGTTCTTGTGCACTCGGGCGATGCGTGACTCGTGCCAGTAGCTGTTGGAGTGGTTCCAGGGATATCGGGGAAGATCGACTAGGAGGCTCGGCATCTTGGTCATTTTTGGGAAGTTAACGTTTGCGAGGTCCAAGTGGCTGCCCTTGCAGAAGAGCGTCGAGGCAAGGTCCAGCATGGTGTCGACGGCATCTTTCTTTCTGGCGAGACTTGGTGCGTACGGGATCTTCTCCACAGCGCCACCGACAGTCTTCAGGGTCTGTTTAATTGGACCCTGCATCGCTGAATGAGGACCGATCTCGACGATGATGTCAACTCCAGTCGAATGACCCCCGGAAGGTGCGACTAGGTGCGCGAGGGCCTGAGCGAATTTGACTGGGCTGGTCAAGTTGCGAACCCAGTAGGTTGAGTCGAGTTCCGAGTGGGATGCCTCTTTTCCAGTCAACGACGAGAAGAAGCGAACATCGGATCTCTCAGGAGCTGGCAGATGTGTGATCGAATCGAGATAGTCTTCAGCTATCAACTCCATATGATGAGAGTGGTATGCCGTCTCGATCACCAACTTCCTGTTGAAAATCTGTTTCTCTTCGAGAATCTGTGATAGCTCGACGATGGCTGGCGTGTCTCCAGAGATAGTCAAACTCTGAGGGCTGTTGTAGCACGCTATTCTAGCCTCCCTCTGGCTCAGCTGCTGGAGGTGCGGATCGATCTCCTCCTTGCCGCAGCCAATGGCTAGCATTGTACCCTGCAGGTCGGGATACCTCTCCTTCAACACAGGAACAAGGCGACCTCTGTGATACGCAATCTCCATTGAAGATTGAACCGACAAGATACCAGCTGCGTATGCGGCGGCGATTTCTCCAGAAGAATGGCCAATGACGGCGGTTGGCACGATACCCCAGGAGCGGAGCAGCTCGATCAAAGCTAGTTGGATGGCAGTGCAAGCAGGCTGGCTGATGTGTGCCTGGTTAACCCGGGTGGTCTTCTCATCAAGGCTCAGTTCTTCCACCAGAGTGTACGGTGCACCTAGCTCGGTGAGGATAGCGCTCGCGTCGTCGATGACTTGAGTGAAGATCGGGTATCGTTCATATAGCTCACGGCCCATTGCCCACCACTGTGCTCCCTGACCAGTGCAGACGAAACCAATTCTTGGACTGTGGCCGGTCTCCTTGACGGGATTTATGGTGCCCTTGGATATTTTCTCGACTAGATCGAAAGACTCTGTGGCCGGGACGGCTACTCTCCATGGCAGAAGGGATCTGCGTTGGCCCAGAGTGTAGGCGACATTGCTCATGAGATCTCTCTGGAACATCTCGGGTCTTTGCTCCAGGTAGACACCCAAGTTGCTCATGAGAGTCTGACAGGCGACCTTGTCTGCTGCGGACAGAACATATAGCTTCTTCGCCGGAGCTTCTTTCGAACCTGAGGTACCATTGTCGTTTTTTGTCCGAACTGGTGCTCTCTCCATGACGACGTGTGCATTGGTTCCGCCGAAGCCAAAGTTGTTGATGCTTGCGAAGCGCTTGCCTCTCGGCCATGGCATCTGTCTGATTGGAACCTTCAATCCCCATTCAGCGAAGGGGATCTTGGGGTTTCCGAGCTTGAAGTCGTAGTTCGGTAGGACGAAGCCTCGGTCCATCATCACAGCAGTCTTGATCACGGCCAGGATACCCGATGCAGATTCAAGATGGCCAATGTTGGACTTCACGGAGCCAAGATAGAGAGGATTCCGTGTTGTTCGTTTTTCGTTGAACACGTTGTGCAGCGCGGTGACTTCAATGGGATCGCCGACCCGCGTGCCGGTGCCGTGGGCTTCTATGTAGCCGGTCTGCGCGGGATCGAGCCCGGCGTTCTGGTAGATTGCTCTCACGAGGGATTCCTGGGATTCTCCATTTGGCATCGTGATACCGGGTGTGTAGCCGTCCTGGTTGACACCACTCGCGGCGATAACGGCTCGGATATAGTCGTTGTCCTTGATGGCTTGATCAAGCGGCTTCAGGAGGATCATGCCGCATCCCTCACCACGGCCATATCCGGTACCTCGCGCATCGAAGGAGAAGGATTTGCCGTCATTGCCCAATAGTCTGGTGGTGGTGTCAGTCTCGTTCCGTTAAAAGGCTGCACTGACCTGCTTACCTGGACGTGGAATAATTAATGAAAAACTCGGGTATCAGATTCAGATTGCAGCCGCCAACCAATGCGACGTCGGATTCGCGGTTGCGTATGCTCTGGCAAGCAAAGTGAACCGCCGTCAGGGAAGAGGAGCATGCGGTGTCCATTGTTACGCTTGGGCCGCGCCAGTCAAAGAAATGGCTGATTTTGTTGGATTGCATGGCCAGGTGGTTTCCTTTGAAAAGTTAGATCAATGGGTTGATAGCTACTGGCGTTAGACTTACCGGTTGCTTGAAACATGGGCATAGTATCCGAGTCCCTGAACAGGTCGAACTCATATTCGGGAGAACCGGCGCCGATAAAGACACCTATATCTTTCCCAACCGTCTTGTGCTTTGGGATTCCAGCGTTGTCGAGCGCTTCGAAGGCGCATTCTAACAGGAGTCGTTGCTGGGGATCCATCGAAGTCGCCTCGAGCTCAGTGATGCTGAAGAAGGGTGCATCGAATTTGGTGATGTCTTGCTGGATGAAGCATGCACCATTGGTGTTGATGCAGCCGAGCTTCCCGGCGTTCGGATGGTAGAAGCTGGCGTTGTTGAAGCGCTCGGGTGGTATTTCTGAGGAGAATGCGCTTCGTCCTCGGGATAGCATCTCAAAGAACTCATCGGGGGTTGAGGCGGAGCCGGCGCGCACGGATATTCCGATGACGGCGATGGGCATGCCCGCGAGGGGTTTTGCGTCTCCGTTGAGGGACCCATTCGTTGAAAGGGGTGTCGCGAAGCCGTTGAGAGGAGTGGTGGACCCGTCGGAGGTGGACTCGGGATGAGAGCCATGGCCGTTGCGAACGTGTCCGTTGAGACGAGGAGGCTCGCCGTTCTGAGTGCGTCCGTTCAGATGGGGAGGCTCGCCATTCTGAATACGTCCGTTTAAATGGGGAGGCTCGCCGTCGTGCATGGAGCCGCCGCCATTCCGAACATGTCCGTTAAGATGAGAAGGCCCACCTTCGCGCATCGTGGAATCCCTAACCGGCTGCTGAGGAAGCGTCTGGCTCGCATCTCCAGGCTGAGGCTGACCTAGGAACGAGAGATCTTCCCCGTTGGTCTCAATCCGGCCGGGCGCCATAGTCTCTCAAAGATGGAGAGTTAGAAATGAAAGGGGGACGATCTTAGCCCATGTAGAGTATAGCTGTAAGACTGAGTGCATGGAGAAGGATGGTTGGAGAAGATAGTTGCAGTACAGCGAAGATAATGCCGCTCTTTGAGTGGTCTCGCAGATGAGCATCTCGCCTCATGCTTCGTAGCATCTTTCCGTCTATTTTTCCCACCGGCCAGAACGTATCGAATTCCGGGTCGAGCACTCATGGGGGGTTAGGGATTCCAAGCCCGTTCCACCGATCAACCAAATTTCTACATACAACCCAAGCAATCAACTTAATATTGGAGATGAACAAGCCGCGGTCTGGCCGAGGGCGTTTGCAAAGGGGCTAATAGTGGCTAAGGCGAACTATTGGTCTGTGGAGGTGACGTACGGCAATATGCAAGCTTCGAGCCCAAAGCTTATCGGCCGAGCCGGGTTGTTTGCGCGGGGGTTTCTGAGATAATCTTGCAGCTTTCACTGTGGAATTTCGGGAAGACGAATCCAGGTGAGAACCCAACGGGCATTTTGTTGGGACGATCTCAAGCTGTAAACCGAGAATGTTGACGATCGCCACGCGGCGATGTCGAACGTCCTACAACAAGGTTGTTTAGGCTATGGCAGGGCGGTCAGAAGTGGTCGAGTCACGTGCAACCTTCCTCACCTGGACACCTAGGCACCATATCTGACCAATCGCAGCGGACCTTTTCTTTCACGTGACCTGGACACCTCTAGCCGCCCTATAATAGAAGTTCTTTGCACCACCATGGATGGACGGAATGACTGCCAGATGATTAACGGAACGATTGGACGGTATGGTTGGATAGGATGGCTTACCGGAAGCGGTGCCGGAATGACTGCCGACTACCTGCTGGAACTGCAACGTAATACCCCTTAATTCCCTGTTGATGATTTGTTCGAATAAAGGTCTTCCTATCTCGAGGACCATGCCGGAGAATACCTAGGTAGTACATTATCTGTCGTGACGCGTTAGCGCCTGTGAAATAATTTCCGGAAGCAGGTACACCCCTCTCGCTTACTAGTCTCATATGCAGGCGCTGCAGGGACCGGCCTCGGCTGCATGCCGCCGATCGTATTGGGGCATCCGTCAAACTCGCCGTGGCCACTAGTATCTCCCGAAAACTTAACCTTCAAAACCCGATGAGAGACTCTCTGCAGGACGTGCCCTAAAAAAACGGGCAATTCATATCGAAGTAACGGAAAGATAAGAGTCGATCCATTTACCTATTAGCCGTGAAAGGTATTTCCCCGCTCTCCAATCAACTTGATGATCATCTAGAAGCTTGCATGAGCCTCACCATCCTGCAGATACCTCTTTGGAACTTGCGATAGCATAGACTGGCCCACGGAGAGCCCATGGTGGAACGCGTGGCTAATACTATATTGCAAACGCACATGAGTCCAAACATCCGCGGAGCCTTCGGAAGCCTAGTTTGACATCCTGCATAGCGGCCTATCGTGGCATGTTGGAGACACGTTGAGGTGGAGAGACATCCAGGCCCCCATTGCTTATGTTGCACGGCGATATGGGAGACATAGAACTTTACTCCAGACCCGGACGCGCGTGTAGATGAGAGGCTCGTACGGGATGGGCTCTTGTGCATCGAGTAGACACGGCAGGGTTGGGGGGATGTAGTGAAGCCCAACAATTTAACCCGGAGCCACCGCAGCAGGAAGGTGCAGAAAAGAAGCAGTCGGTTTGACATTCGAGCCACATCACCGCGGAGAACACGCCACAGCATCTTAACCAAGCTTTCGAGATGGCCAGATTCCTATGCCTTGCAGGTGCCTTCGGGAACGTCGATGTAAGTTGGTAATGCGGAGACTGTTCGAGGTCATCACACTAACGGCTACACAGAAGTTCAAAGTGCAGCTTGGTAGGTCGGGGAAACTCACCAGATAGTTGCGCTGACCATTTCGAAGCCCCAATCCTGAACGAGTTGGAGAGCGATGGCACTGCCACCTTCCACTTCTCCCATGGACGTCATAAAGCCGTTCCCCCTCCGGGATACGAAGACTTTTTCGGAGGCCCGCCATTCTTCCGCTGGATGGAAGAAAGTAAAGATCCGGGCACTGTCGACGGGCTCGAGCGAATCCGCGACTTTCCGTCTGGCGCCTCACCGGAAGACACACTTCGCTTGTTCAATCCCCTCGGGTCTTCCGAGGGTCTCGCCGTAACCGCCGCAGAGGCATTGGAGCATCTGATCGGCATCATCAAGGAACATGGGCCATTCGATGGCATTATAGGGTATTCGGAGGGCGCGCTGATTGCTGGAACGCTCATCATGAAAGAGCAGGAATTGAGGGAGACGAGCGATTACAATAACACGTTCAAGCTCGCCATGTTCTTTGGCGGATGGCCGCCACTGAAGCCGGATCTGAAGGGATTCCTGCTGGCCGACGAGACGGAGATGCAGATTCCAGTGGCCACCTGCCATGTCAGTGAGTACTTCCCCGCTCTATTCGCTCTATTCCCAGCATGTCTCTTTCTCCAGTGTGGCGAGAAGAAAGGAGCTGCAAGAAGCTATTAGCTAATGGCGACATGCGGCACAGTCGGCTCATTGGACCCCTACCTGGACGGCTCGATGGCCCTCTTCAACGTGTGCGACCCTGACACGGCCGTGCTGTTCGACCATGCTAAAGGGCACACTTTACCCCGGGAGAAGGACACTGTGAAGGAGCTGTGCGATGTCATTCGCGACATGATCGCCGATGTCCGCAAGCGGGAGCTGGAGGCGGAGCCGTAGAGCGTGCGCAAGTTCTGCCCGCGATTCAAGGCGCGTTGATTAGATTCAGATTGAGCTCCAAGGGTCTTGTACTTGCTTAGATGGCGTTTCTGCCCAGATGGATAATAAAACATTGGACGTATGTCCAAACAAGCATCGTGGAATTTAGTAGTGTCGGCGGATCGGCGCCTGGGCGCACCGCTCGGGGTAAATTGGGGTAGATTGGGGGCGAATTGGGGCGAATTGGGGAATAGACCCCGCTTGCCTCGCGTGTCCTTTCTCTCCGCCGCCGTTGCCAAGCCCGCGGCCCCCCGCTGCCGACGTTAGCACCCGTCGCCCCCTGGCTGCCGACCATCGTGCCCGTCCCCTTGCCTGAGTGCCGCAATGCAGCTCAATCTGCAAGGGTATCAGCGGCGCCGAGAACGCGTGGGATGCGGAAACAAGATGCGTCTTTCCTATCTTTCGCATTCAGCCAGAATGTCCCTATACTCCGAGCCGGGGGCGCTGTACATGTCCATGGCCATATCGCGCCAATTATACACCTCAATCTGCCGCGCGTAGCCACTTCCAGAGAGTCGAAGCTTACGTGGCGCCGTACCTCCCGAGTGTAGATTGTCGGAGCATTCAGCCATGTCGCCCAAGGCCGAGCCTATCTGCACCCAACAAGGCCACGAGAAATACGAGTTCCACGCCTGGGAACAGCCACGCGGAGACGCTGTGTAGACGCTTTCAAAGATTTTACGGAGAGGCAAGCGCAAAGTCATTCGTTATGGAGCAAGTCAAGGCTTTTTCGAAGAGGCTGCAGTCATGCAAACATTCTATACAGCATTTTCTAGTAAGAATCCCCTTCAATCGGGGACGTGGTGGACTCCTCGTCCCCGTCGACGTCCTTTCGATGCTAAAATGGAATAGCGAATTTTTTCCTACGCAACACCGCTCGATCGAGCTTGGCTTGTGGCGGCTGCCCTCGCCTCAGCAGCAACGGGAGTCACGATCCCTTTGATGAACATCATCTTCGGTGCGTCTTGATGTCTTTGCTTCGAAACCCACCCCCTCTAACTCCGAGATAGCTAAGCTGGTTCGAGTATTTACGGCATTCTACGCACGCTACTACACCGGCTGGACGCCGGAGCAATTTCGCGATGAGATTGCGAAGAACGTGTATGAGGCACTGAACTCTGAGGAACACGGGCTATACTAACGTGGAGGATCAAGATATCTCATGATCTACATATTCGGAGCAAGATTCGTTCTCGATTATGTCGCGGTGGTGCGTCTCCTGCCTAAGTCCAAAAAAAATGCGATGTTGACGCCTTACCCAGCTCGGTTTCCGTCACACAGGCCTTCGAACCTCTGCGACAATTCGGCTAACGTATCTGCGGTCTCTGATGTCTCTGCCGGTCTCAAGCGTTGACGCTATTCCGCAGGGCCATACGGCGGCCATTACCACCATCACTGCAAATCAGGTCCAAGACGGAATCTCAGAAAAGCTATGTCTCCTTATCCAGAACATCTCTCTTGTCATTTCTGCGATCGTGGTTGCTTTCGTATTCAGTTGGCTTCTAGCACTTGTTACTGTCACCGGCCTTGTGTTTGTAGTCCTTGTCTACACTCTCACTCTTTACTTTCTGGTCAAGAAATGGAACAAGGTGCAGCAGGCTGATCGGGAAGGCGCAGCTACTGCAAGTGAGACGATTTCGTCAATCAGAATGGTGGCTGCATGCGGAGCGGAGGGTAAGATGGCAGAGAGCTATGGTGGTTGGGTGAAAGAAGCCGCTCGGCGTGGCCAGCAGATGTCGAAATGGATCGCCCTACAATCATCGCTAGGCAAGTCAAACCTTTCCGTGAGTCTGAGGAGTGTGCTAATAGTTGTGCGTAGTATTTTTCGCGATTTATGCGTTAGTCTCATCCCCAAATTGGTTTTTGCGAAACTACAAGTCTAACACACCTCTTTAGAACTGCGGCGCTCTGTTTCTGGTGGGCGGTTCGGCTGTGGGAGGCACAAAAAATTGCAAGCGTAGAAGTCCTGCTCGTGTAAGCCCTCCACCTCCTCCGATCGCTTGATGTACTTCAATTGAACGTGACTAGTGTTATTACGTCCATCTTGACCATCGTCATGTCCGTCGGGTCAATCTCGGCTCCGCTTTCGGCCGTCAGTCGAGCGTCTGGGGCAGCTTCAACCTTCTACGCTATCATCGACATGCCAAAAGCAAAGGTTGACGGCTTGAAAGAGCCAGACGTCTCCCCTACAGAGGACATCGTTCTCAATAGAGTCAACTTCACGTATATCAGCAGACCGGATCAAAGGGTTTTGCACAATGTCTCGTTGACATTTCCAGCAGGGAAAACAACGGCCATTGTTGGACCTTCTGGATCTGGGAAGAGCACGATCGTTGCCTTGATCCAACGGTGGTACGAGCTCAGTGTCGGCAAGGATGAGAGTCCCGTTGTAAGAAAGTCCAGTCCTCATATTTTGCCTTTGATACATCTCGGACTGACACTTCTATAGATCAACTTGCTTCGCAACGGCACCATTACTACCGGAGGCCGAAGCCTTCGCGAGATCGATGTGAAATGGTGGCGATCGCAGATCGGCCTAGTACAGCAAGAACCATTTCTCTTCAATGGGACCATTTTCGAAAATGTAGCTCATGGACTGATAGGTACGCCGTGGGAGGCTGAACCCGAAAGCGTAAAGAGATCGCTTGTGGTCACTGCTTGCGAAGAAGCATTCGCCGACGAGTTTATCTCTCGATTGCCAGATGTAGGTCTCATCCCAATTTTCGTCCGCAAATCGGACACTGACGAGTGTCGATAGGGTTATGACACCCTGTGTGGCGATGCTGGTATCCACCTTAGCGGAGGACAGCGACAGCGCATCGCAATCGCTCGATGCATTATCAAGAAACCCTCCATCGTCATTCTTGACGAAGCGACAAGTGCCATCGACGTTCGCAGCGAGCAAAAGGTTCAGGCAGCACTTAACCGCGCCGCCCAGAACAGGACGACAATAGTCATCGCGCATAGACTGTCGACAATTCAGAAAGCGGACAACATCGTGGTGATGAATAAGGGAACAGTCGCTCAACAAGGCAGCCACGAGAAGCTGATGAAAAACAGAGCCGGCCTATACTATCGCCTTGTCAATTCACAGCTGCTCTCGGATGATGACGAGGATGCGGCTACCGATTCTTCTTCAGCAGCTACTAGTCTCCCAGATGCCAAAGACGAACAAGACCACAGCAAGACCGATGACGTCGAGCATCTACCCGAAATCACCGCGGGGAAAAAGCCCTCGAAACTCATCAGAACATTCGGGCGCCTCTTCATCGAACAGAAACGAGACTGGTATTGGTACATGCTCATATTGTTAGGCTCCGCCGGTGCTGGTGGTAAGGCTTCACCCACTCCGTAAAAACATCGGCTAGATGGACTAACATCATGGACGTGACAGCTGCATTTCCCGTACAAGCATACCTTTTCGCCAGGCTGATATCTCTGTTTGGATTTTACGGAGATTATCTCCACGAGGAGACTCAGTTCTGGTGTGTCATGACTGTGGCACTCGCCGTGGGAGTAGGAATCTGCTATTTCATTCTCGGCTGGGCTTGTAACACGGTCTCATTCGTAAGTTGCAATGACACCCCCTCTGTCGAAAGGTCCAATGGCTCAACATATTACAGCACATAATCTCAGCCTATCGCCACGAATACTTCCAGAACCTCCTCCGAAAACCCATTGGATTCTTCGACGACAAGGAGAACTCGACTGGCACGCTGAGCGCTCGCATCGCAAACGACCCCGCGCAGCTACAACAGCTCCTCGGCGTCAATCTTTCGTCAATGCTTACTTGTGTCTTCAACGTCGCAGGCTGCATCGCGATCTCTTTCTACTTTAGCTGGCGACTGTCCGTCGTAGTGGTCCTATCGTCCACACCCATCATGATTGCCGCTGGGTATCTGCGCGTGCGGTACGAACGCAAGTTTGAGAAGAAGACATGGGAGGTATTCACCGAAAGCTCGAAATTCGCGATCGAGTCGATCGGTGCGTTCAGGACCGTTAGCGCTCTGACCATGGAAGACTTCATCTGCAAGCGATACGAGAAGCTTCTCGAGAAACACGTACACGATGCATTTTACAGCGCACTCTGGACGACGTTGATCTTTGCGTTTAGCGATAGTGTGGCGCTGCTCTGCATGGCCTTCGCGTTGTGGTATGGAGGGAATTTGCTCTCGGATTATGAGCTCTGGCCTTTCAACTATTGTGAGTTCCTACAGCCACTTCTAGAAGTTGGGCTAACAAACATAGTGGTTGTATATCTTGCGGTTGTTCAGGGCAGTCTAGCTGCAGGCCAGTGGTTGAGCTTTGGGCCTAGTAAGTATACGGGCCATACACAACATGCAAGGATGCTGATGCGCGGCAGGTATTGCTCAGGCCTCAACTGCAGTGAAGCGCATTCGCAGCCTGAGATTCGTGGAGGATACAGATCGCTCTTCGAATCCTTTGCCGATTGTTGAGGATGAGAAGGGCGTCATCGGGCCGAAGGTCGAACTGCGCAACGTTTGTTTCAAATATCCTACGAGGGACGTACCTGTTTTGCGCGGGTTGAACATGACTGTGAGTCAGCTTATATGCTTGTCTGGTTCACTCCTAACAGTTTGTAGATAGAGAGAGGACAATTCGCCGCCATTGTGGGGCCCTCAGGTAATACGGAATATTTGCGATCTTTTTGTTGGATGAGCTATTCTAACTTTCGCCTTTAGGCTGTGGCAAAACCAGCATCATAAGCCTGCTTGAACGGCACGCAACAACCCTCCTCGTATACCACACTACTAGCTAACAGATCTCAGCTTCTACACCGCGCAATCGGGAGACGTTCTCTTCGACGACAACCCCATCTCCTCTCTCGACCTAGACCAATACCGCAAGAGCATCTCCCTCGTCGCCCAAGAACCTTCCATTGTCGCCGGCAGCATCCGCGACAACATCCTCATGGGCGTCGACCCCCTCACAGTCACCGACGCCGACCTCGACCGCGTATGCCGCGAAGCCGAGATGTACGACTATATCGCCTCCTTCCCCATCACATACGACACGCTAGTCGGACAAAAAGGCATCGCCCTTTCCGGCGGCCAGAGGCAGCGCCTGTCAATCGCTCGAGCATTGATTCGCGACCCAAGACTCATGTTGTTGGACGAGGCGACGTCGAATCTGGATTCGGAGACGGAGCGCAGCATCCAGGGGATCTTTGAGAAGACGGGGCAGGGTAGGACGATGATTGTGGTGGCGCACCGGCTGGCGACGGTGCAGAATGCGGATGTTATCTTTGTGATGAGCGAGGGCGAGGTGGTGGAGACGGGGAGTCATAGGGAGTTGCTGAGGAAGAAAGGGGTTTATTGGCAGATGGTGAGTTGAGAACTTCACAGTTGGGCCGTGATGTGCTGACGATGTCATAGTGCCAGATGCAGGCTTTGGATAAGTGAGTGGTATAGGATAGAGGACCACCTGATAGAATGCGCTAGAGAGGAATTTCGCGTTGCAGTCGGCTCGACGATTAAACTTCACAACTCCCGCAACTGTCGTTGAGGGTACTAGGGTCTTCTTTTAAAATTACTCGCTACAAATAGATTGCTGCTTCCTCACGGCAAGCACTGCAGCCCTTAACTCTCCACTTTCCTATCTTGTCAGGTGACTCTCTTGCACCGCTGCATTCACGCTAATACAAAAGCGGAAAGGCCCGCATCTCGCCTCCAAAACCGCCCGGCGTGCAAACCCTACGCAACACCGACACCCACAAAAGCAATAACCCACCCACGAAGGTCACCCATGCGCAACTATTAACACGTGTTCAGCGCCGTTTCTTCAATGGAACGAGAACGCGCGGACTCTACAGCTGCCGCAAGCCCCCCAGCTGAGCTGTGCCCGAAGAAGCCGAAGCCAGACGCCATGACGCCGCCGAACGGATCGGGGAGCCAGCAGTGTTTCCGCTTCCTCGACCTATCCGGTGGTGAGAAGGGGCCGCCACCGTGGAACCGAGTTAATACTAATGCCTGTTCGCAGAGATCCGGAACCACGTCTACGAGGCTGCGGCGGAGTCTTGTGGCATGGTGCGACTCGGTCACTTTCCTCTCCTATCCGAAGATAACTATCCGAGGCGGCCGCATCTCGCGCTCGCGCAGGTATGCCGACAAGTCCGCTCGGAGTACCTGCCAGTCTTCATGCGCGCCGCGAAGCTGAGTGTTCGCTGGAAACACGTCGCCGCTTTCTTCGACGCCTTCTATCCGATGGTGAACGGGAAGATCACGAACATAAAAAATGCACCGAGCACGCTGAAAATCCTACTCGGCAACCTCCACGAGGACGCCATGATCACGGTGGATGTCCTGCCTATTTGCCTTACGAATCTTCTCGCCGACGCATCTCCGTGTACATTCGCGCCGGATCCGCTGGAGGATTGGGAAATTGGCATTGACCAGTACGATTATGACGACACGTATATGATGAACTCAGTTATAGAAATGAGGAGCGAGCGCCTGAGGGATGATATCTTGAGTGGGAAGATCCAGGTAATCTTGTGGGACCTGTACATCGAAGAGCTTCAGCTGCAGTTCAACCCTCAATTCGTCCCAGAGGATCGTGAAACGTATCCACGGGAGGTGGGGCTCCTCGATATTGAAGACCGGATGGGCTATATATTCCGCGTCCTCTAATCCGCCCTAATGACCACTACGAGCATGCTATTTTCACAGACCAAGCGAGGATAACGCCTAGAGGGCCCCTTCCGTGCAGATCTTCCTAGACTGTCTTTCACCTGAGCGGTATCAAGAGATGGCAAGCCAATAGATCGATGCGATAAAGTGCGATCGACTGACTGAAGGATTTCTCGAGGGCACGGAATCGAGGTTGGCATTCTACCCGTGGATGACATCTTGACGGCTGAATATGGAATGAAAATGCGTTATCGTAATGCTGCTTGATAGTATTTTGAGATCATACTGCGTAAAGCCCCTAGAGGGCCAGCATGGGGCCAGGTAAGCATGATGCTCCTTCCCCCTTACATCTCAAACTCTACATCCCGCCTCAACACCACCATCTCAAAGCTAGTCTTGCAGCTCCAAATCCCTGAATGCACGCTCTTCCTCACTGCCTCATACCCTCTCTTCCGCCAATACGCCCCATTAATACACTCCGCAGCCAGGATCCACAAGCTCAACACCCCCTTCCGCCTCCCATCCCCGCTTCCACAACTCGCTCCATCCAGAGCACTCTGCCGGAGAGCCTCGCGCTCTTTCCCAACCAAACACTCTTCCAGAGAACCGAGCAGCTTGACCGCCAACCCCCTCTTCAAAAACCGCGCATCCCCATCCACGCAAACAGCCTTAATCTCCCACCCTTTCTCCGTCTGCGCGCCCTCCTTGCTCCATCCCCCTCTCCACGGCACCGCCGCTGCGCAAGCTACCAGCCTCCCCTTCCTCACCTGCCCATCCCCATCCACCGCTTCCACAAAAGGCACTTCCTCGCCCTCTACGTGCGCCTCGTCCAACATCACAGCCATGACACCCCGCGGCCCCAGCATATCAAGCAGCGACTGCGTATCGGGAAAGCGGATGGACGGCAGATACCATTTCTCCGGGTCGGCCTCTTGCGAGCGCGTGAACGCTGCATTGGCGAGGACGGCGATGTGGTTGGTGAGTTTGGGGTTGGCGTTGAGGTCTGTGGGACTGAGCAGGATGGGCATCGTAAGGATGGGAGTCGCCATGCCATTCGTTGGTCTTGTCGTGGCTATGGGAGCTTCTTTGTGTGTTTTATCGCTGGCGCGGAAGGGCTGGTGTCGAGATTTGTGGGTGTTGGCGGCTGGATGGCTTTTACCGCGTGTGTAGTGGTTTGGAGACTAGGTTCCGAAAAGCTGAGGCTTTTGATGGGGGAGTGGATTTATTTAGTTTTTTTGTCGCGCTTCGTGCTCTTTTCACGGGACCTTCCTTTTCGGTACTAGCGGGTGTCGTATCGTTTCGGACAGGGTCATGTGACAGTAACGTCTATCGCAAGGGCTGAACTTCCAATTGCAGAGGATATAGACGCAGTATAAGGAGTAAGTTATTGAGAGAAAGCCAAGAGTACACTGCTCGAAGCGGTGGAGAGGTCCATAAGGATAGGGAAGTGCAGGTTGAGCGCCGACTTCTCTTGCAGGACGCAGAGAGGAGACATGGGAGGCAATAGAGTAGCTGAGGGAGCAAGTGAACAATAACAAAGCGGTGGATCAGAATGAGGAAGCCCGAAATGCGGAGATCAGAACTGTCTAATGGAGGCTGCCGATACGGAGGAAACACCTGTTGGGAGCGAGCACAAGGAACGCACCACGGGATGGATGATGAGCGTCGTGCAACACGGCATGGCTCCCCTTTGGAGGGTATCTTTTTGACGATCCATAGATGAGGGGGAGCCGGGATTATATCCACCGGATGGACCTAGTAAGATGCAAAGGGCTGAAGTGCTTCCACGCGCAACGCGCTTTCCGGGAACGAAAGGTCGCCCATCGAAGAACCATATCCAAGCATGGGGTCCCTCATATCCCGCCGTGAAGATCGCGAAGTCAGATGCCTGGGCAAAGGCACTGTACAGTAATCTGGGGTTGCATTAGCTCCCGCGGTGGCGTTATACAATGACGTCGAGCCGCATATGATCTCCTCGCACCCCCAAGCCCCACTGCAATATACTAGTCAGTCAATGCGCCTTCTCTCACATCACCATACTTCCACCGCCCAGACATCCCCCATCAAAATGGTCAAAGTGCTCGAAAACCGCGTCGTCGATCTCGACCTCCTCCCCGGCACCAAAGAGCAGCAAGAAGCCGCCCTCCGCGCAAAGTAACTCCCCTCCACCCTCCCTCTCTCTAGTTCATCTCATAACGCCATCCAGGGAAGCAGCCACCTCCTCCCTCCCCTCCTCAGAACCCCAAGACGCGACCGCGGGCGAGAACGCACAGAATGCCGGTATGGCCGTCGGCGGCGCGCTAGGTGGCGCAGTCAAAGGCCTCGTAGACACAACAGGCAACACCGTCGGGGCACTGGGCGAGGGCCTCGCCGGGACCGTTACTGGCGTTGGGAAGGGCCTGGGTAGCGCTGCGGTGTATGGCGGTGGCGCGCTTGATGGCGCGGGGAGGAGCATTGGGCGGGGCTTGGGGTTTGGTGGGACGGCTGGGAAGCAGACGGAGGAAGTGAAGGAGCGGGTTGAGAAGGAGAATGAGATGGGGGGTATGGAGCAGGGGGAGATGGGAGAGAAAGGGAGGAGAAGGAGTGAGCTGGATGAGGCTGTCAAGGCGGCGGAGGATATTGAGAAAACGAAGGGTATACGGATGGAAGGTGAGGACACAAAGTAAGAAGATGTTGAATTGGGTGTGGTTCTGAGTTCCTTCGCGCGTAATCGAAGAGCGATGATGATGATTCCCGGATGACTGACTGAGTCCGCGCTTCAGCTCTCTCGTCTCGTCTACTTCGGGCAGATCTGAGATTGCCCCAACTTTTCAACTAAATTGGACCATTCTCTCTGAGTTATTCTCAATATCTTGGTACAATAGGATATTTCTGTGACCGTCGCTCGACCTGGAAGTGTCGAGGCATTACTATTAGTATACAGGGAGCAGTGAGCTTTTTCGAGGAACGAAAAAACTCACGAGAACCTCCTACATGGAACATTGTATCGTAAAGCCAAACGCCGATACGTAAAAACCCCGTATCCCAAAGATAAACTGATACATGAGAGGGCTTCGGGGAGCAGTGGTATTGAGTTGAGAACGCCGCGTAGCTAGGGGAATATGAAGTGGTAGAGGTACGTTCGAAAGAACGCGAGAGTGAAGCGTGCGACTCTAAAAAAGACCCCGTACATGACGGTGGACCCCATAACGAGCGAACCATATGTGATAGTGTCTCAACACAGTAGGCAACGGATCCCCAGATCAAAGGCCCGAGCGAATCATCCACTCTAAGGAGAGGCGCGTGGCGATGGGTGACAAGTGGCATGACATGCCTGAGGTGCAGGACTAGCTACTGGTAAATAGATTGTTTTCGACGTGTCGACGTGTGAGTTTCTGTAAAAGGGAGTAGCGGAGCCGGCCTCAACTTCACGTCCAGCTTTGCCAGGCAGGCTTCTTGCTTTTCCGCGGTAGCCGAGCAGAGCCCTCATTACCCGCACGACGCGACTGAGGCGGGACTCGTGGCAGCGCCTCCACGTCCTCCTGGCTGATCAAGGTCGACCTTCCCGAATGGCTGCCTGCATCGAAGCTCCCCATTTCGATGTCATCGACGTGAGTACCCAGCATATCTATCGAATTGTGCTCCGAGATAGGCGCGCGCGAGATGTATACCTCCTTTTGCACTTGGACGCCGCCGTGCTGGTCGACTGAAATATCGGTGTGCGGTTCGGAAAGGTAGCCGTCGTTGCTGTGCGAATGGCTTGTTTTCCAGAAAGCCAATTTCTCGAACGCAGATGCGGACCGGAACGAGCTGAAAGCTGCCGCGCTGCCGTTCTTCGATTTCGAACCGTTGGAGCCCGATTTTGAACTCGTGCTGAACCTCTCCAGCCTTAGGAAATGCTTGAAGAAGACCTTGAGTGCAGGAGCATTCGCGCACATGGCACCAATGTGCAGCTCTAGAAGAGACCACAAACAGATATACCATCCGACCCAAGTGACATCGTAGGTCTCGAAGTAGACCTGCCAGCTGTAGTAAGACCGTAGGGCACCGAATGCGACCGCGCCATATCCGATAGCGAAGATCCCAAAGAGGGCTATCTTTTGACGAATCGGAATCTTCAGGTTCCAGTACAAGAATGTGGGCAGCATCGCCGTGAGGAAGTCCTGCGTCGTAGAGATGACGCCAGCAGCGAAGACATCGGCGCCTTCATTGAAACATTTGTAGCTGTATCCTTTGACCACCAGAACGAAGTCTAGCTGGTTCCAGAATGCGGATATCGGGTTGCAGCCGAAGATAGGTACAATCATGAAAGCAATTGTGTATGCCGCGATGAAGCCGACGGTAACTCTGGTCGCCCGTCGGAAATTCTTGGAGATCGCGCGCGAGGACAGACGCCTGTAGAAGAGCAGAATGGAGATCTTGATGAGGCCGGATGCTAGGCAGAAGATGGAATCTATAGCCATAATATATTTGCGTTGAGTGATGTAGAACTGCGGTTGCACGTCCCATACGTGTTTGTTGAAATGGTATACGTCGGTGACTGTCTCGTCAGCAATGTTGCATCAGCAATCATGACTGGGTTCTTTACTAAGAGCTAGCAGGACGGTGACGGCTATGATAGGTACCTGTGCTAATAAGTATGTTGAAGCCGGACTCGCTTTGAAGACTTACAATCGCTGCCACCATCAACCAGTCATCCCATCCGGCTTTGTGCTGGATACGTAGCCTGACCCACAGCCTGGCGAGAAGTAGAAAAAGCGTAAGAGGCCCAAATATGCATGCAATGATCGTTATGGCCCTTGGTTTTGCGACGGGGTGGTCATAGTTCGGCGTCGGCCACGACAGTATGACCTCGAGAGGAGGATGGATACCTCCCGGCATGGCGAGGATACGACGGTGCGAGATGTACCCAAAGCAATAGTAAAGCGAGCCTGACCACGAATTAGTGGTCGAGGGTTGCTTGCCATATGTGCAGCCGAGGGTTCCTGCAGGCAATGTGGGCGCCGTGTGGGGCAGGTCTTAGGGCTATGGACGGCGAGGCTTGGTTCTTCTAAAAGGAATCCAAGGTTTCAGCCAATGCATGTACTTTGAGCGAGGTTTCGCAATAGTCCGGGGTCAAAGGTGTGCCATGTGATTGGTTAGCGCATCGCCAGGCGATTCCATATGCCAATGTAAGTTTGCGCTAAGGATCGCCTGCTAAAGTCTTCCGGTATGAAGCTACAGTGTTAGGAGCAACGGGAGGGACTAGGCCATCCTCTCATTAGCATGCTCCAATGGAAAAGCTGTCGCACAGCCCACGACGGCTCTCGTTGGAGGCCAGCCACGCATCGTCTGCAAGCCCTCCATGCGGACTCGTTCGGACCTTTTCATTTCTTGGTGAGACAGCAAACCACGACGGAAATTCTCGCAAGCGCTGCGGCTGCGTCATGGAGCACACGATAACGCCCTACCGAATTGCTTCTTTTTCATAGATATCTTAAGAGCGCAATCGTTCGGAAATGGTCGAGCGATCGCCACGAGGGTGGAACGGACATGTAGATAGTTTTCGCGCGGCCCGAGGTTCGTGGTCCTAATCCCCGCAGCCGATCAACCTCTTTAGCGCAATGCATCAAGGTTTGGGCTACTGCATGTGCTGCTAGACGTCGAGAACGCGAAGCGGTAATGCCCTCTTGACCGGACGCATCGGGTTGTGATCGCTCAGATACTAGCGAAAAGATCGTCCGAAGCCTGTGCTGCACAAACGAAGGAGAATATGTTCGACCTGAGGTCACGCTCCGCGATGCCTCTGACAGGAAAAGGTTGGCAGCATAAGCAGCCAACTTGCATGAGCGGCTTTCTTCGTCTTGTCGACCAATGGTAACACAAGAGGCGCTGGGTGCCTACATGCTTGGCAGTCCAGCACCTGCATGAAGCAGCCGAGTCATAACCTTATTTCTGATAATCATATTTCCGCGCATAATAATGGTGTAGGTGGGTGCAAGGTTTAGCGTACTGGCGATTGAGAAGGGGAAACCGGCCCGTCCAAGCCGTTGATGGGGAGATTGGCCCAAAACAACATCGTTGGTGCTGGATGAAACGCATGGCGTGCGATTGCGACTCCTGTCCAAAGGATTGGACATGCGCAGTGCCAGAGGACGTCCACAACATGGGGTGGCCACATGCTTCCGCTTCCGAAGTATCTGTCCGCGTCGTCTCGATGGGTAGTGGAAACCAGATGGTCTTCAAAATCACGGGCTCGCCGCGGTCACGTTCGGGGTCTAAACGACGCAGCTTCCGGGTTGAACTGTCTGCAGTTAAGTGGGGTATACATGTGTAGGAAATAGTTGCTTTTCGGGTGACAGTAGGGAACGTCACGCAAACCAACCTCAGTGCTCTGTGGCTGACAAAATCGACCGCAGCCTCTCTCCTCCAGTTCCAGCGGCAATTCGCGAAGACCACAGGGACGAGAAGCATAGGCTGATATTGGGTCGCGAGCTCAAGCCGAGGTGGATCTTCTTGATTCGACGGGCAGCAGAGTCTTACAAATGAGGTGAGAAGAGCCGCTGGAGGATATCGTATGTAAAAGAGAGGTCCGTTCCGCAGCGCTAGGGTCAACGTACGTAGGTACAGCGGCGTATGCAAGCCGCGAGATGCAGGCGGCGGATACCGGCTTCACCCTTCAAAGGTACCAAATAGGCACCGCAGGGAACCAACTGCTTGGGAATATGTACCTTCGTCCTTGCGAAGTCGTGGACAACTTGTTATTCCGACTGCATCTGCCGTCGCACGGGGTTGGGTTGGGGTTCTCAAGGCTAACAATGCCCCAACAGCCCACTGACACGCTCAGCGTCGAGATGCAGCATTGTCCTTCGATTGCTGGCCTTGCGTTTGTCTGTGGGTCCGTCGCAGCTGGTTGAGAGCGGGAGGCGGAAGACGGAAGACAGGTCCCGACGCGGACGGCAAGGCCGCCCGTTCTGGGCGCCAAAGACAGTGTCGCTTGCATGCCTTGCCGCAAAACAACAACGGCCTGCTGGAAGAAGGAAGACAGACGAGAGATGAACGATGAAGATGATGGGCGGTTGTACACGGCGGCCGGGACCGGAGATGCGCGGCCGAGCTCCCGAGCTCAGGCCAGCAAGCTAGTCCTCATCGGGCCAACAGCCCCTGAAAGCACCATTGCACGCCTCACACGGATTTCGCAAACCCGCTCCCCGATTTCCGCCTTCAACTCCGCCATTTTTCGCTCGCATCCTTCGTTCTGACATTCAAAGCGTTGTCGCAATGGCTGGCCTCACCACCAACTGCATCAACCTGCACTGGGCTCAGAATAAAAGACAGACCCACGCTTCTGCCGTCACATCACAGCCCTCAACATACCCTAGCTCAACACAGAGTCCCGTCATCACACTCCTCCTAGCACCACCATCGCTCGCGAACGAACATGTCTCTCGCCTTAGATAAAGCTTTCAAGCGAGCTGTCACTCCCGGACCTGAAAGGCTTCTGGCGGGTGTGGCACTCGCTGCTGCAGGATCTGGTATGACGGATAGTCGACCTCAACAAGACGACTATTTTGCTGCGTATGGCACCTTGCAGCTCGATCCCACGACGGCCCCTGTCGTCACGAATACCGTCATGTGGTTCGCATCGTGCACCAAGCTTCCAACGACTGTCGCAGCCCTGCAATGCGTCGAGCGCGGCCTCATCGATCTAGATTCCCCTGCCGATGTCGATCGCCTCCTGCCAGAGTGGAGCGATCCCCAAATCTTGACTGAGATCAGGAATGGCGAGCCCGTGCTTACGACTGCGAAAGAAAAGATGACCCTTAGGAGGCTGCTGACGCACACGAGTGGCATGGCCTATGACTTCCATCCTCCCTTGCTCGAGTGGCGGCAATCGCGGGGTGAGAGGCCTCTTACATTGCGTGGTCCCATCACCCAAGCCCATCTCCATCCACTCGTCTTTGAGCCAGGGACTGGCTTCACGTATGGTCCTGGCCTTGAGCTCGCAGGGCTGATGGTGGCGAGAGCGAATGGGTGTACACTGGAGGAGTATATGCGGAAGAACATCTTCGACGTTCTCGGCATGGACGATAGTTCTTTCCGGCCGCATACCCACCAGCTTGCCGAGCGAGTGATGCCGATGACGGCTCGCTCATCTCCTGACGGGCCTCTCGCAGACGGCCAGCATCCGCCCCCGATAGCCAAAGCCCTTACCGTTGACCCCGAAGACGACTCCGGCGGGGGCGGCCTCTTTAGTACCGCCGAAGACTTCCTCAAGCTGCTGAAGGCAATCCTCCGCAACGACGGTCGGCTGTTGAAGCCTGAAAGCATTGACCTCATGTTTAGGCCGTCTCTATCGTCCCCGTCGCAGACTGCCCTCAACGAGCTTTTCTCGGACCCTACGTGGGCAGCCTACATGATCCCCGGCGAGCCTCCCATCGGTACCGAAGGCGCTGGAGAATGGACTCATGGCATCGGCGGCTTGATCGGCCTTACCAGCAAAGAAGATGGATTGAAGAGCCCGTGGCTGCAGATGGGAGGTGCCCCGAACTTGGACTGGTGGATCGACCGGCAAGGCGGCTCTTGTGGGATCTTCGCTACCCAGCTTAGCCCGCGAGGCGAAGCCAAACATCAGCCTCTAAAGAGCCTGTTTCAGCACGAGATGGTGAAGAAATTCTCGAAGGAAGACTGAGGGAACAAAGACCGCTTCGCGCATTCGGCCATTGTCAGTAGGCTGGGTCTGGTCTTGTGGGCTCGTCGAGCACGCAAGAACATGCGATCTCTTGAAGAACTTCAGATACCCATGCTCGCGTGAAGTACTACTACTCCTCAATGGCTCAGGCCACCCGAACATGGTCCAAATTGCAACACCTTAGAATTTGCTTTGCACCTGCACGCAAGCCTATAATCACCCAGGTGTATGCCCTTGATAGATGACATTCGACCTTCTTCGGTGGACGCCGTTCGAAGTTGCCAGCACTCACCAACGTCGCTTCCCTTGCGCCTCTTCCACCCTCCACTATTACTCGCTCCTCCCTCGAGACACGGACCATGGTTCCCCCTTCTCTTCCTCGGGGAGCAACGAGGGCGCACGTAGGAAATGTCGCTTTCCGCATCTGCCTCACCGCTCCCTTTACTTTCCAAATCCACCCACCGCGTCCTGCCGGCGACGCAAGCGGCCCTTCTTCATGGCACCGCAATCAGCTGCGACCGGAGAGCAGTGGAAATCCGCTCATAAAAGCACGTCTTCGCACCCGAATCTCCATTTCTTCTTCACTCCACTCCAGCCCAACAACTCATCTGGAGAGCATCACTACGGAGCAGAGCCAGTTGACCCATTCTGAGCTCTTTTATTTTTTCTGTTCCATCCCGTATCGAGCATTGTTCTTGTTGCTTTCGCCTTTCCGCCTTTCGATCACGTGCAGGGACGACCTTCATGATGCGGTCCGCACTCACCTTTGCGTCCTTCGGCATGGGCGCCTCAGCCGCGGTCATCGTCCCCTCTTCCGTCATTGCTCCTCATATTCTCCCTCGTGGCGGCTCTGACCACATCTCCTTCACCCTCCAAGCCCACGGCAAGGCAAGCGGGCCCATTGGACAGCTCGACGATGGCCAGAACAGGGTCGGCGGCGGCCTACCTATGGGCCAGTACACGCTCAAGTACGGCTCGAAGGGTGGTGAGATCGTCGACGGGAAGAACCGCGGATGCATCCTCACGCCGCCCACGACGCAGTTCCAGTGCGACCAGGGTGTTGGAGGTGAGTGCTCTTCTCATTTGAACCACGGCTCCAATCCGCTACTCCTCAACTCCCTCCGAAAATGGGGCTGATCGTTGTCGCAGGTACTCCCGGCTTCGACATCAGCTGCGACAAGAAGCTCCTCTACCATGGCTCGCCCGAGTTCTCCGCCTGTCCCGTCAACGACCACGGCGAGTGGAACGTGTATACGAAGCCAGCGCCTGGCCAGAAGAAGTGCATCTCCATCACACTGACCGCTCACGGGGACTTTCCATCACCTCCTTCCTGCAACAAGCCAGCCCCGAAGCCAGCAACGCCAGCCGCGAAACCGGTGGCCCCAGTTCATTTTCCCGTTATTGCCTATCCGTGCAGCGAAGAGGACGAGAAGGCCGGCAAGTGCATTCCGCCGAAGATTTGCAAAAGCAACGGTACCCATGGAATGACCTGCGAGCCTATGCGTCCTTCGGTATCGTCTGTCCCGCCTGCTCCTCCAGCCCCAAAGCCCGCACCAGTGAAGGTCGACTGCGACGACGACAAGCACAAGGACGACGACGAGTGCAAATACAAAATGCCTGAAGCGTGCCCGACCGATCTGGATGGCGAGTACGAATTCCCGCATCTGATCATCCCCGTCGACCAGGCGCAGCCCGAAAAGGCATTCGGCAACCAGTTCAACGGCACCATCACGGACAGCGTGTGCACGGCATACAACTTCGACGTGCACCCGCGCTTCGCCGGCAAGGCCTGCTCGCTCGTCTTCCTCTTCCCGGAACAGCAGGATCTCGAGACGTCTGCCTACGACTTCTCCGGCTCCGATTCTAGCACGCTTGGGGTTTTCATTCTGCACAAGCCAGTGGAGCATAATACGACATGGAGCACTCTTCCCCGGAAGACGTTGGTCGCTAAGGAGCGCATTTACCCCGGCAAGAAGATGAACATAATCCAGAAGGAGTGCCCTGCGGGGTTGAGGGTGGGGGTCATGCTGTGCGGGAAGGGCTTTTCACTCGAGTACTTCCAGGACTTCAACCCCAGCCCCATCGGCCTGTACATCCGGGCCTGCTAGGCGACCTCCTCGAAGGCGCTGAGGGGCTCCGGGCCCAGCTATACATGGAAGGGAATCTGGTCTTAAGGATTCTGGCGCACGTGATGGGAGGTAGGACTGATTGATGGGAAGCGATGGAGTCCGGAGGCGTCATTGTTGCTTTGTTTCTCTTTCGAATTTTGGCTCATTCTCAGTTCTGCAATTCATTGATTCTCATCCATCTCCTGTCTCTTTGAGCTTTTCTGTCTAGTGCCATCTTGAGCGTTCTTTCGATTTCGCGCACGGTGTTGCTGTTCCTCGTTACTCACAAGCATCAAGTGGTCCTTCCGCTCCCACCAGCCCCGCCTTCGACGCCAATCAATTTAACCACACGTCGGCATACCGAAGCCCCCCGCGACGAACCGCATCCCACGGTTTAGGCCAGCTCAATTCTTTTCCCTTAAAAGTTGTCGCTGCTTATTCACGCATCGCTGCTTACACATCGCATTAGCGTTCCTCAACCCCACCATCGATGACGTACCTAGGTAGCCGACTTCGACCGCCACCAGAAAGGACGGCGTCTTTTCGGACGGAACTAATAAGCCGCCGTTCTCCAATCATGCGCGCTGGAGACGACATCGATGCCCGTTATTCTCGGCCGACGGTTCCTGGCTTACTCAACCCAGGGCATTGGTGCCGTCATTATCCTGCCATAGTCGTCGCGCCCCTCGCTCCGCTCGTTCGACTCCGACTTTTCCTCAAAGCCGATCAGCCTCTAATTGTTGATACCTGGGGTGTGATCGCCGCTGGGAATTGGTTTTCGGATTTCGTGCTTTCGCTAGTTGCTAACCCGGCTGTTTGGGCGGACGGCAAGCTTCTGCTAGAGGACCCGTTGTGTTCCACACCACCATTGTTCTTCGATAGCAGCGTTGAACCACGCGGCCGCTATGGAGGAAGAAGACTATGACATTTTACGAAACGAAGCCGATGCAGACCCCCGGAGATATTCACAATGGGATACAGCAGAGCAATTTCACCGCCAGTATCAGGAAAGGCACAGCCATGATCCGAGCTATGAAGAGCGAATTCGAACCCAATCCAACCCACAAGTAGAAGAAGAGACCACATCGCAACGCAAAGAAGCCGAAGCGCCGCTTTCGCGACAGACCAGTTCATCCTCGTCATCCGGTTCCTCTACGTCTACCGACTTACGGCCACACTCACCACAACTGCAAGAGATACGGACACAGACTACAGCACCGCGAACGAACAGAGGGCGCACTGCTTCTACGACAGGGTCTCTATATCGGCATCCCACAGAACGTAATCCCGAGGCCATCAGCCGCATTGAGACACACCGCTCCCAACATGCGCAGACAGTCGGTGAGAGAGCCATCCAGTCCCGCTTGACCCAAACCCTCAGTCGGCGCAAAACGCAAAGGCCGCTCCCACCGATGGGCGCCGGGAAGCCGTATCCGCCAGATCTTCCTGAACGAGAAGAGTACGTTGTTGAGTACGACAGCGCAGATGACCCTCTGCATGCACAGAATTGGCCGATGAAGAAGAAGTTGGGCATAGGGGCGATCCTTGCCTTTGATGCGATAAGTGCGACGATGGGGAGCAGTATCTTTAGTAGCGCCACTCGGCCCGTGGCGCAGGAGTTTGGGGTCGCGGCGGAGGTGGCTACGCTAGGCACGAGTTTCTTCGTTTTTGGATATGCGTTTGGCCCGCTAGTAAGGTCGCCCTCTCTCATCTTCTGAATATCTCCGGTTTCTTGCAACATATGATTGTAAGGGTTTGCGAGCTGGGACGAATAACTAATAGTTGGACAGCTCTGGGCTCCCTACTCCGAATTGTATGGTCGGAAACCGCCTCTCATCGTCTCCGCCTTTGGCTTCTCCGTTTTCAGCGTCGCGGTCGCGGTGGGAAAGGATCTCCAGACTGTTCTCATATGTCGCTTCTTCGCCGGTCTCTTCGGTTCATGTCCACTTGCGGTCGTCGCCGCCGTCTTCGCGGATATGTTTAACAACAAGCTGCGTGGCTTGGCCGTCGCCGTCTTCTCTGCCACTGTCTTCATGGGACCTTTGCTCGCGCCCTTCATAGGCGGCTTCATAACAATAAGCTACCTCGGATGGCGCTGGACGGAGTACATTTCGTCGATCATGGGCTGGACGTCCTTCGTGCTGCTCTTGCTGTTCCTCGAGGAAACTTATCCGCCGGTCGTGCTTGTGAGCAAGGCTGCGGAACTCAGGAGACGCACGAAGAATTGGGGCATCCACGCCAAGCAGGAAGAGATCGAGGTCGACTTTCAAGAGCTGATTATTCGGAACGTGAGCCGGCCTATGCGCATGCTTTTCACGGAGCCGATCATTTTGCTCATCACGATTTACATGTCGTTTATCTGTATGTGGCTCGTTCTTCATCTTCATGACTGTTTCCGTTAGCTAACGCTCTTTCCAGACGGTCTTCTCTACCTCTTCCTCACGGCCTACGCCCTCGTCTTCGAAGGCCAATATGGCTGGAACGCGGGCGTATCCGGCCTAGCGTATTTCGGTATGATTATGGGTGAGCTGATCGCTTTCGTGGTCATCTTCTTCGATAACCCGCGCTACGTGAGGAAGCTGGAGGCGAATAACAACATTCCGGTTCCCGAATGGCGGCTGCCGATCGCGATGGTAGGCGGGGTGTTATTCTCCGGTAGGTGCCTTTCTGTGCCCAGCCACTACATCTCAGCGAACGTGCGACTAATCTCTCCGTGTAGCCGGTCTCTTCTGGTTTGGCTGGACGGGCTATACAGGGCGCGTGCACTGGATCGTCCCCGTGCTCTCAGGCCTCTTCACCGGCTTCGGCATCTTCTCCATCTTCCTCTCGCTGCTAAACTACATCGTCGACGCGTACCTCATGTTCGCCGCCTCCGCCATCGCAGCAAACACCTTCATGCGCTCTCTTTTCGGCGGCGTTTTCCCGCTCTTCGCCACGTACATGTTCGACGGCATGGGCATCCAATGGGCGTCTACAGTACGTCTCTCCCGCTTTCCCTTTTCTGCGCTTTTACACTGCTTCCTTTTATGCGATCATGCTGACACAAGGAGTTACTCGGCTGCGTCGCCTTCATCTGCATCCCCATGCCCATCGCCTTCTACCTCTTCGGCAAGAAGATCCGCGCTAAGTCCACGTTCGCGCCTGCGCCGGATATCGAGCAGGATAAGCGGAGGGACGAGGAGGCTAGGGTGGCGGGGAGTGAGGGCGAGGTGGCGAGCCAGGGGAGTGAGGAGAAGGAGAGGACGGAGTGAGGGTGGGGAGTCAACGGATGCCGAGGGCTGTGGTAACCCCAAGGGATTGGTTTGGGAAAGTGGAATTGTGGGGATCAATAATGTGTGGATGGAGTGCGGAAATGCTTGCGAATAGTTGATATGATGGTCTAACTGTGGTTTTCGCAAAATGCCTGGAACTCCCCAGTTTCCAAGTATTGCACTACCGTACATAAGTCCTTCAGTGCGCCTCACAGATCACTATGCGGACGAGAGTAGTGAAGAGAGCAGCTTTTCGATATACGCAACACTTTTGATATACTACCCAGATGTGCGTCAAGGTCCTATCGACCCTTCCTCCGATAGGAGGACGATAGAGAGAGGGATACTTGAGCCACCTATCCCTCAAGGAAGGAAAGAAAGATCCCAGAGAGAATAGTCGCCGCCATTTTCCATCATCCACCCACTCGTGGCAACTTGTGCCGAAAGCCGTCGTCGTCGTTGAAAGCACCATCGAGAATCTTGATCGAACAAGCCTTAACGTCGTCAAAACTCTAATGAAAGCCGCGCTAGCGTCGCTAGAAGTCCCAACCACTACAGCGTCAAGGCAATACGATGCGATATGCCTAGCACCCATCACCATGCAGCCCGCACACCCCAACCCTGACCTCGAAGTGGTACATGGCGTCGAACCCGTGGTCCTCCAGCCAGTGCCGCAGCATGCGCGGGTCCGGGCGCAGCATCCAGGGCTCAGCGTAGCGGCGCTTGAATAGGATCTCGATGTACGGGCGCTGGCGCAAGCGGAGCGCCGGGGTGAAGGGCTGGCGATGGCCGGCAGGGAGCGCGTACACGGGGTCGGGACGGAGCGGCGGCGCGCGGTGGACCTGGACGGAGCCGAGCTGGCGCTCGCGCAGGATGGTGCGCCAGTCCGTGTTTATGGGGCCGCAGGAGGCGTCGGGGAGGATGCGGCCGCCGAGGAGGCGGTATCTGGTGCGTTGCGTTAGCAGCGGGGGGTGGATGGGGGTTAGAGGGGAAAGGGCACGCACAAGTCCTTGCCCTCGCCATCGTCGGGAGCAGTTATGCTACCCCTGAGGTAGCGGCCAAAGGCCGCCCTGATGTTTTCTGAGTTCGCGAAGAGGTCCAGCAACGGCCAGAGCTCGAGGCCACCCCGCTCAATCGGCTTGACGGTGTCGCTGATGGCAATGGTCAGATAGCCCTTCCAGGGTGCATCATCCAGCGCGGCGGTATCGGGGTCGAGCTGGGCGCGGTCGTAGAAGACGGACGCGTACTTGACGATATCGGCGAGATCGAGACAGACCTCCTGGCGCTCCAAGTACCAGGTGAGGTATTCATGGCGGACCTGGCGGCTGACCTGGGTGAGGCCGCAGTAGGGGCGGCTGCTCTCGCGCTCGGCGGCGGCGCGGAGCTCGCGCCCGGAGGTCTTGATGTCGAGCTGCTCAGCCGGGAGAGGGCGGCCGCGAGCCTGGCGGGTGCGAGAGCGAAGGGTCGCGATGCGCGGACGGTAGACGAGCATAGCCTGCTCCATAGTATCTGCGAGAGTTTCCTCGTAGACCATGTTGCGAAGTTCTATGGAGGTGTTAGTGTTAATCTTGATGTAAACCACAAGCAAGCCCGGACGGACGTAGCGAGAATGGATCGGGGAAGATGGCAATACTGACCGGGCGGCAGGTCCATGAACTTGAACGCCTTCTCCTTGACCTCCTGGATCTGCTCTTGCTGTTTAGCAGACTTCTTAACCTTTACGACATCGACGCGAATCTGAGAGCGCGTCTTCTTGGGGGACGTCCGCTTCCTAACGCGCCCGAAACGTTGGTTACGGTCGAGGGAGCGGGTCCGGACGGTGGAGGAGAACCCGGGCTGGTTCGGGGTGGCAGTCGGGGCTAAGTTCTGGAAGAGGCTGGCGCCGGGAGCAGCGTTCGGTTTGTTCGGGGTAGGGCGGATAGGCGGTGGAGCCGGGAGGCCGTTGGGGGCTCCCGTAGCTGGGACTGCGCCGTTACGAGGACGAGACGCGGTAGCGGGGCGCGTGGGACTGTTTATAATCGTCAAAGTCTAATCGAGGTGGGAAGAAGGGATCCTCACGCCATGCCGATGGATGTTCTTGGCGTCTGAATGGCTGTGGATGCGCTGCTTCGAAGTCGGAAGGCGGAGACCGAGACGTCGAACCTACTAACTGCACTCTCGTGTTAGCACCGTTCTTCGGTGGAGAAGGTTGCGGGGCGAGGGGACGGGGGATTTATATACTGAGGAGGTGTCGAAGCGAAGGTAGAATTGTGCCAAGCGAGCCGTCACCATGCTGAGCGGTGAGCAGGGAGGAGTCTTCTTCACGGCGCCTTTCAAGTTGAAGTGAAGGTGGTTTTGACGGTATTGTGCCAACCTGTGGTGAAAACTAGATAGAAGTGGCGGTCACCGAGAGTTTGACAGCTGTTAGAGACGGCCCTGAAACCTTCACGTCGGATTGTAGAGCGCAGGTGACGCAGCCTGCAAGGACGGCGCACCGCCGAGCTTGATGATGAGGTGCAACATCAACGTCTCGGTAGAATGGTGCCAGTGGATAGGACCCTGGGGTGCTCCAGGATGACTAATACGTAGAATAACGCGTCAAGCTGAACTCAATGAAGAAGTGACCAAGTCCTCGATGAAGATTGAACGACAAGTTGGATAGTACCGCCGACTTGCTTCGACCGCGTAACCGGCTTCTCCTCTTTGACCTTTCTCGAGCTGCTCCTTCTGAATTGTATCGCCACCTGCATATTCGAAATTCACCTGCCTCTATGTCCGGTTCAAAGCATCGGTTTAACTGTATCCGTCTTTAAGTATAGACACAACTGTAGATCGCTAAGAAGATTGTCAAGCCCTCGGAACTGCTGCCCCGCACGCAGTAAGGGCCAAGCTCGCAGAAAAATCGGAGCCGTAGGACGTTCAAAGTGCTATCGATGACTTCGACATATGCGAGCCGAATATAGATGTCGCGCGAGGAAGGAACCGGCGACCCGTGGTGTTGGTGAAGCGCATCTTCTAGTTCTCTGCTTCCAATCGTACCTTCCATAGGGGTCTGCTGCGGGATGTCACTATATTGGGCAGGGCGGGAAGGCGTCCGGAGGTATTGCAATTACGAGATTGACTGCAGGGTCCTCGTACATGCCGACACAGCTCCACGACCAGAAGCGCGCATTGACAAGAATCGCCAAGATTGTTGGCTTGAAGGGGGAGTAAGATCGCCAGAAGTAAAGGTCCGAGCCCGCGTCGGGGTAGTTGTACACACCAGAGAGGACTTGCAGGAAGCGAAGTGTGAGGGTGAGAAGGAGGGCGATGTAAAAGGATACCACCTTCAGAGGCTTGGGGCCGCTGTCGGGATGCAGCACAAATGAAGTGGGAGGCATACAGACGAAGACCAGCATGACAATGGCGAGATCGGCGTTCTCCAGTGCGTTCCAGGGCAGATCGTCCAGTGGTCTTGTCTCCATTTGCGAGAAAAGAAGTTTCGATTCTGCAGCCGCTTGAGAGTGCCGTCGAAGAAGGCGAATGTTGCTACTAAGACGAAAACCGGCAGTGTAATGAGGAAGTAAGTTCGGAACTGTAGTTTGAGCCACTGGGCAAGACGCGGAACTGCGCCCGGGAGCGTATCACTCTCCATGATGAACCGTGTCGCCGCGGTTAGGTGGACAGAAGAACGCTGTAGGAGCAAGGTATGAGCGGATAGAAGAGGAGAGGAGGGATAAGTTTAAAAATAGTTAGAGGGGACCATGATTAAATGAGAAAAGCTGCGGTTCGGGCAAGAATATGCACTCAGGGCTGACAGGGAGAGGCTGTTCCCACCATATCGGCAATGGAAGACGCCGCGCAAGGTGAGGTATACGGCTGTTTGGAGGGATTCATCATCACAATTGTTGTAAGGAAGAGATAGGGTCGACTCCGAAGTTTGCACGAAAGTTGGACGCAAGACTAACACGAAAAGGGAGCGCTGGCACGTGCGCCTACGTCATCGCTCAACAACACACTCTTTGCAACTCCACACTTCCATCTCAAACAACTCCAGCACCGGATTCGCAAATCGTCGCGTCCAGTCGGTCTGCAAACCCTCACGACAATAATGCGTCCCCAGAAACAACAGTCGCACGGCTTCATGCACGGCGCGATCCCAGCAATCGGAGCTAGTGAAACAGGCACCGTATGACCTTGGCCGTCCCCTATCCGCTCAATTGGCGTCGAATTCCCCGCCCCTAAACACTGCTTTTAAGCGGTCTTTATTCAGACTCGTACATCCAATGCCACCTGCCTCTTCGTAGCAATACTCCTGACGGCCAAGTTGGAGCGCAGCCCCGGCATGTTGTGAGGTCATCGACTAGGGTCCTGACCAGTCGACGTTGTGCCACGCCGCGTGCTATTTCAAGTTGCCTATACTCCACTTGACCGGCGCAGCCATTATTTCTTGCGATTTTTGGAGTCGCTCCTTCTCCCACAGTCCTCCGTGACGGCTTCAGCAGCTAGCCATGTCGCGTCCCAAGAGCATGCCCGACTTCTCCGCCCTGCTCGACGCGTCGACTCCGCTGCCCGAGCACGAGCGCCCGCGCAAGAAACCGAGTATTTCGCTGGCGGCGGGCCTGATTATGGCGAGCGAGAGCCCAAGGAGCACACCGAATACGCCTCAGCTACGGGCGCTGGGAAGGAACGGCGACGGGTGGAGCGATAACCTGTTCTATGCGTATGCACAAAAGGTATACACGCCTGGACCACTCCTCCCCTTCTTTCGTGCCATCGTAGAAGCCGGCGCTGATCAACGATGCCAGAGCGACTACGCGCATTCGCCGCCCTACATCCTGACCTTCGCCTCGGCCGCCATCTGCGAGCAATGGTGGGCCCTCGTCCGGCGCGAATACCCCGAATCCACACGCGTCGGCCCGCAGCTGTTCATCCTCAAAGGCGACGACATGCAGGAGCAGATACAGGACAACCCCAAGTTCTACGACTTGCGGAACAAGTGGTTCTATACACCGAGCGACGGCAGCTCGTCTGGCGTGATACCGCTGCAGGACTACAGGGGGCACCCCATTACCGCTCCTCCTGCCCTGGCGCCAACAGAGGAGAAGGGGACTTTCGATATGGCTACGCTGAGCGAGACGCTGGATAAGATGAATGCCATGATTACCGAGAACACAAACCAGATCCGCGCCCTCTCCGTCGCCCAGTCGGAAGGCCTGCAGCGCATGCAGGACATCAACGAATCCAACTCGACACAGATCAACGCCCTCGCCGACGGCCAAGCCAAACTCCAATCCATCATCGACCAGAATGCCTCTCACTACATCGCCCTCTCCAACTCGTCTTTCACAAACCAGGAACAGGTGAAAACCGTCCTGCAATCGAACGCCGAACAGATACAGAACCTGGCGGGCGGGCAAACACAACTGGCAAAGACGTGCGAGGGTATGATGCGCGCAATTGAGAGCCTGAGCAATACCGTGGGGAGAGTTAATGATACGATGAGCCACATGAGCTTGGCGGGCTCCGAAACGGCAAGCAATCCTCCTTCGAACGGGCCACCGTTCGGCGCTATCGCAAACCGAATCTCTCCGCCGCCGCGCAAGCTCAATCGACGGATCAAGGGCGTGTGGTACGAATACGATGCGAATACTACCCCGGCGAGCTCACCAAGGAAGTCCGTCACGATGCCGGATACGCCGCCCAAAAGCCCACTTAGTTCCAAAATTGCAAGGTGATGTGACTTTTCGAAATGTCGGCGTTGGATTATGTATATTATGACGTGTTTGGGGTGGGATGGACGCTGGTTTGCATCATGGGACAGGTTCACTTTCCTTTTCTTCAGCTCGGAGTCTCGTTGGATATGTAGTGTCAGCCACGGGAGCAATAAAGTAATGCCTTGAATCTCCAGTCTGATGTCTTCGAACCTGCGCCTGTTAGTTTCCCGACCGTCTATGTAAGTCCCTTCGTTTACATGGACCGTCGAGTACCACTAATTCAGACAGCCCCATTTCTAACCAAGCACCCATTTCATGCCACAAGAAAGCCCCGTTCCTCGAGCAGCGCGCGAAGCAGTCAGCACCTTCCTCGACGGCCTGCGCGTCTACACCAGCTAGTCAGCCAGTCAGCCAAGCCGAACATCTCCAGCCCGCCCACAACTCACCCTAAACACCTCCCTATTCTCGCAATCCCCCAGCGTCCAATCCGCCTTGCCACACGCGCCGCGCTGCCAGTCGTCCCAGCGCGCGCCTCGCCGTACTCGCAGTGCACGCGTCGAACCCCCCGTTCTCGGGCGCGTCCCACGAGATGCCTAGGTTCGCCCCGTTAATGTCTAATATCTGCGCTGTGGTCTGCATGTTCGCGGGGCTGAGCGGCTGCCAGACGCCCCCCTCGCTCACAGCGTTGAAGGCAAGGCCGTGTGAGTCGGAGATGTGTGTAGTGAGGAGGTGGGTGAGTTTAGTTGTGGTGGGTGGGGCTGTTGCAGTGCTCGTGGACTTTGCTGTGGAGCGTGCAGGGGCCGAAAAAGGGGCGCGGGGAGAGACGGAGACGGAGGCGGTGGAGTTGATTAGGAGCGAGGGTAGGGAGGTGGGCATCGCTGTGGTGAGGCTGAGGAGGGTTAGGGAGAGGATGAGGATGAGGAAATGCAAAGGCATTGTGGGTTCAGAGAGAGGCTGAACTTGGAAATGGTGTCGCGAAGGAGCTTGGGGCTTCGAACGAAGGAGGAGGAACTTTGGAAGACGGCCTCGAGGACTTCAGAGGGGCGGCTAGTAGAAGACGGTTTGGGGGAGAAGCAAGGCTGATGGATGGGAGGTGGTGGTGTCTTATATAAGGCTTTTATGAGGGAGAGCTGGCTTTTGAGAAAACGGTAAGTAAAGGTGGAGGTGGACGTCAAAGGGGACGCACGGGATACCAACACTCCCGCGCCGCAGCCCCTAAGACCGCCTCGAGCTTGGGACTTCATGCCGAAGCCTGACCTTCAGACCGATTTCCTAGAGAAGAGAAGTGCTATCCAGACCTTTGCACCAAGACACATTGCCATGACCTCCGGCCACCGGCACGATACCCAAGAAACCACTCCCATCTCCTCACCTCAGTCATCACAGCCCCCTTAATCCCCTCAAAAATGAAACTCCTGCATCATCGCCGTGCCCTCAAACTTCACCTCCTCGGCGACAATCGCCTCCAACACCCCCGTCCACCGCCCCACCGACCCATACTCAACCAGCTCCCTCGTCTTCTCAATGCTCACGAGCAAATCGCTACAATCGCCCATCGCGATCCTCAGCGTCGTCCGCTCCTCATTACTCAGCACCTGCAGCGCGTCGCAGTCCCCCTCCGGCGCCCTGCTATCCTCCTGGCACTTGGTGAACACTTCCCGCCCGTCGCGCGCGAGGTGCACGGAGCTGTACGTGGTGTCGCTGTGGGACGTGGACTGCAGATAGACGAGCGAGTACGGGCCGAAGCGCGCGGTGCCCCAGTACCACGAGCGCACGGAGGAGTGGAACGGCGCGTCGCCCCATTTCTGGTCGTGGTACCCGATCCCGCTGCTGAAGTTGAGCTGCTTGTTGGTGCTGCGCGTGTTGAGCGCGAGCGAGACGCTGGCGCTGGCGTCCGGGACGGTGTTGATCCAGCCGACGTGCGGGAGCATGGAGAGGGGGGCGTTGGGTTGGTGGGTCGAGGCCGTGCAGGGGAGGCGTGGAGGGGCGAGCTGGGGGCGTTAGTAAAGCTCAAGATCAGGTCTTCCGCCCATGAGTATCATGAGGGTACGCGGCGGTACTAGGAGATGAGGGCTCGAGCTCACCGTCTTCAACTTCATACTGCCCGTCAACCCCATCCAACCCGCATCCACCCTAACCTCAAACCCATCATCCACCTCCCGGAACGTCAGCCCCGTCGTCTGCCAATCCCCCGCCACGCGACCCCCCGCCGGCCTCGGCTCGACATTGACCACCGCCTGCCCCTTCGGCGTGAAGTCCGCCGGCTTCGCCTCGATCATGACCGGCGCCGCGCTGCCGTCCGCAAAGCCCACGAACACATCCACGCTGACGGCGTCGGTCGTGGTCGCGCGCAGCGGGAAGCTCGCGTTCGTCGCGAGGTAGAACTTGACGACGAGCGACTCGTTGAGGTTGGCTGGGTTGTACGCGCTGAACCACCACCAGTCGAAGCTGGTCTGGTTCGGGCGCGGGCTGACGCGCGGGTGGTCGAGAGGGAGATAGGCGGTGTCCGGCGTGACGTGGAATTGCGCGTTGACGGGGCCGGCGGAGAGCTCGTTGGGGTAGGTGAAGATCTCGGGCGCGGGCACGGAGGGAGTGCCGGCGGTGAGGGCTGCGAGGCCGAGGAAGAGGAGCTTCGTGGGCTTCATGGCGTGTCGCTGTGCGCGGTGGTCGCAGGAAGAGATGGTCAGGTTTGTGGAGTGGGAACGGGGGACGGGTTAGGAATGGAGGGGCTAAGGGTCTTGTGTGGAGAAGAGTAGCGGAGATTGCGGGGAAAGAGACTGGAAGTTGAATGGGAGACACGTGTTTGCGGGCAGATACCTAACCAAGGAGGGCGCCTCGTAACACGTGAGGAAGCGGTGAGTGAAAGCGCACAATGTATAGGATGGACGCTACTACTGATTAAGGTAACCCCAGCTCATGGAAGAGCAGATAAACACATCACCAGCGTTTGTACCCGAGCCCCCTCACTCGCCGGCAATATGGTCCTCATCACGGCCCTTGTGAAGCGTCGTAGCTACTTGCCCCGTAAGGAGATGGTCGACGTTCGGTAGAAGCAAACTGCAGATAATCGCCACGCCCGAAAACGCAATATTCGAAAGGAAGACCGTGCGATACGCGTCTGCGTTTGCATGCTGATACGCAGCGGTCCCGGCTGCTAGGACCTCCGGCGTGATGCCAGGTATGGCTTCGAAGGCGGACGCTCCGACCGAAAAAGCGGAGATGAAGGCTGCTACCGAGGAGGCCGGGAGTCCTGCTCCGATGAGCGCTGGTGGCACCTGTGCTGCGATCGTGGTTGCGAGCCGGTTCGATAAGATGACCGAGTAGACGGTCGCTGCGATGGACGAGATGAGAAAGCGAATCGAGCCTGCAATGCCGGCTGAAGTTCCCAGTGCATACTGATCTTTCGCAGCTAGGGTGACAATCGTGATGGCCGCGCCCTCGGTCCATCCGATGAAGAAGACGCCAAATGCTACAAGCACCGAAGCTCTTGTCGCGGTTCCTACGCCGCACGTTGCCATGGAGCCAAAGCAGATAGCTCCTAGCACGATATTGATCACGCACTGCCACTTCAAGTAACCGATCTTCTTTCCCGAGAAGCCGCCCACAACTTGCCCGCATACGATGAAGAGTCCGACAAACGAGGATAAGCCGGCACTGGCCATGACGCTGCGGTCAGAGTACAATACGGCGACCATTGAGGGCCAGACGATGGCGAAGGCGTAGTATACCGAGGCTCCGAGACCGGTGAGTATGACCGAGGCATTCCAGGAGTAATTGCTGAATATGCGCATCGGGACGAGCGGCTCTTTGAGATCGACAAAGCACTCCCAAAGGACGAAGGCGACCAAGGCCACAAACCCTACGACGATGGTGGCAATGACGTACGACGACGACCAGGGATAGACAGTCCCACCCCAGCTCAGACCCATCAGCAAGATGAGAAGACCGCCAGTGTACAGCGTCGTACCAACATAGTCAAACTTCTTGATGTACTCAATAACTGATGCGTTCTGCCCATGCTTCATCCGGAACGTCGGAGGATGGTAGAAGAAGAACCAGCACAGGAACGAAGCAAGGTTTATGCCGATGAGCAGATAGTAGCAGCCTCGCCAGCCGGTCTTGGGCTGGTACTGGATAAACGCGTTCGAGATGAGCGGCGCGACACCGGATCCGGGGAAGCAGAAGAGATAGCAAAACGCGTTTCCGGCAAGCCGATACTTCATGGGCACCAGCTCTCCCATGACGTAGAAGTAGGAAAGCTGGGTAGCGGCCGCGATGCCCATGATGGTCGTTCCGCCGATCAGCGTGTTGACGTTCTTTGCAGTCGCGCATACGATGCTTCCGATGACTCCGAGGGCGGCGCCGCCGACGAATATCCAGCGGCGGCCGAAGATATCGGATACGCGGCCAATGATGGTGAGGGTGACGGCGGAGGTTAGCGTGTATGAGAGGGCTACCCAGACGATGTTTGGGTCCTGTCGCGTCCGTCAGCGGCGTTTTGGGATATCACATGACAGCACTTACAGGGCCGATATCCTCGTTGATAAGACCGAGGATGGGCGCCGCATAGCCGTATGCTGCGACGCCAGCCATGAGCCCTAGGCCGATGCCCGCCATGGTGCCGATGAAGAACTTGGAGCGGAAGTAGCCTGGTGGGAGGGCGTCTTCGTCCAGCTCGAGGTTTGCGCCAACGGCTGCATCCTCCGGCTTGAAGTGCTTCTCTGCATCCTGGGAAGGATCCGATACCGTGTCGACGTGTTCCCCGTAGGGATGTGTCTTCTCAGCCATCTTGCCGCGCTCCTGCGGATTGTTGGGACTCTATCGACGAGAGGGGGGTGGGGATGAGCTGCAGGTAGAACAGGAATCATGCCAGCCCGCGGATCCCCAGCTCTTAAACATGCCGGGAGTCTGCAGCCACGTGCGAACCGTGCCCCTGGGATCGCTTTTCCGGGATGCGGGGACGCGAGACAGTAGACGCTTCCCCAGAAAAGCCACACCCGCCGCTATAGAGTCGAGAACTCGAGCGCGCCTGCGACGCTATCTTGGGCGGTGACTACTTGTGCGGGTCTGGGCGGAAGCGTGAGCTCTGTCTTGGAGTGGGGTTTGTGTTTCCCGACGCGATGATTCAGGCGGGAGCTAGCGTGCGCTAGCGATGATTCATCGCTTTTCCTTGGCTGTCGCTGCGGTGGAAAACGTCGCACCGAACATCAAAACTCATCCACAGCCATCTTGCCCGGACGTGGTAGTCTACGATAACGAACTTAGCGACTGTGCTGTTCCAGATATGCCGAGGTTCTCGCACGCCGGGGTGCGGTCACGCTTCTGGGCCGATCGAGACTTCAAGGACGACGTCTCCTTCATCCGCGGCTCCTACGGACCGGACCCGCCTCCTTTCCCTCTCTATCGACGACCACGAACCCTCCTCAGCTGACCGCCCACCCTACGTGTCTTTCTTCTGCGTCTTTGCGGCGTCTTTGCTGTGATTATGCACGCTCCTACAGAGAGCGGGGTAGGTTAGCGATTAGCCGGGGGAACGCCTCGTACTTTGAAACCCACGCTTGCGAGACCCCTGCCTCTGATCTGAAGACAGCGACGAAAGGACTGCTTTGCTACTCAAACGAGACTTTCCCGGTTCAGGAGAAAACGCATCTTGAGGACAATAGAATCGACAGATTGCCTGCTCAATGTCCTCACTCCTCGCGGCGACTTTGCACCTTATCGCGAAAGCTACGAGAACCCTCGTCCTTCCCGTTGTGATCGTCCTGCATGCACAGCCCCGAAGGAAGCGATGATGAATGTCGCTGATTGGTTCAACCGTTTCTCGGCCTGAGCCATAAGCCTATGCGGGAGCGGACCGCTCGCGGCCATCCCACCTAATACTTCAGCCTTTCCTCATCACTCCGTCCAATCTTTTCTCAACCTAAAGGCTCCTCTCCCATTGGCTTTGCACAATGGTACCTGAGGAGTCGAGATGCCCCTCGTGGACACCGAAGAGCAGCGATCCCCTCCAGCGTCCGGTGAGATCCCGCTTCCCCGCCGTGACCGGCACAACCTCCAGGAGGCATACGAGGCCTATCGAGTCTTCTGCGAAAACGGATCCGATCGCATAGCCTGGAGGAACCTGGCTCTATCCCTTACCGCCTACCTCAACTCCTACTTTCGTCAGTCAGGTAATGGGCGGCTTCAAGTTCGCTCCGACGCTGCACGCGTGGACTACCTGGCCAATCTTGGTATCGCGCAGCTCGGGTATCTGACCAAGGACGTCCTTTGGGTGCTTTTCGACTCGACTGGCTTCATTAGCACTGAGGACGAGTCGCGAAATCACTTTGGATTTAATTATGGCTTCTTGGCCCTTACGCGAAAATACATTTCGTCGCTCCATCAATACGACCTCGAAGTCCTACTCGCAGATGTTACAAATGAACTCAACGAGCGAACACCCCTCAGGAATTATCGGAACGAGAATTCGGTCGCGTCGCTTCCGACATTTTGGAGCCCGAAATCCCGAACCGACCTTGGCATACTCCATTATCTGAATGTCAAATTATCGCCCAAGGACGCGGCTATCTTAGCTCCATTTAAGGCCAAGGAAGACTCGGGACCAAAGTCGAAGATCTACGGTCTACCTGGGAGATTCTTACGGCGCGCATTGAGTATCGGGGCCGCAGCTCCACCCAAAAGGCAGCGGAGCGTAGGACGACGCGAAGAGAAGGATGAGCTTTTCGGAGATGCCGATCCTTCTAGAGTCCCTAGGGCCTACACCGATAGACTGCGCAGAGTCGTCCTGCAGCCTCATATTTGGCTTCCCGAGATTCCGAACGCGAACATTCTTACAAACCCGGATATCGATGTTGCACTGCCAACGCCAGAAATAGCGGTCGAGCTAGAGCCTGCTCTTAATACCTTATTGCCAACGGTAACCAGAGCTCTATCTGCCATTCGGGAGGAGACTGAGGAAGAGCGTGGGACCTTGGAGGACGCTGGCGGAGACACATCCGATGCAGATAGCGTCCAATCCTCACAGACTCTCGAATCCCTACTCGACTTCTACACCCAGGGTTTAAGATCCCAAAATGCCTCTACCAAGTCGGTTCTCGATTCGGAGAAACGGGTCTCGCTTGACGTCGCGGAGCTCAACGAACCGAAGATCCAGGAGCGTCTGAGCTTGGCAAAGAAGCTGTTCGACGAGGCCGCGTCACTCGGCAAAGCTAGCGATAGATCGGCACTCTCGGAGCATCCGTCTTTCATCACTGCTAGAACCCGAGTCTCCGTTAAGGCACCTCGTATCAGCGCGCAGTCTAGCGTGGAGAGCTTCGTTTCCCTTGACACTGCGTCGTCCTCAAATGAAGATCCTATGGTACGCAGCAGCTATCAAGAGATGCTAAACATCCGCGGCCTCATTCCCCCGCCCACGTTAGAGACCGACTGGTCTGGTCGAGGCCAGCACGCCGAGTTTACTCCGAAGGAGCATGATGCCATTCCGCTACAAGTGGAGAAGCTCCTTGGACAGACGCGGAATGCTGTTGTAGAGAGCGTTCGATGCAAGCGCATACGGTTGGTGAGGAAGATCATGCACTGCACCAAGTGGTCCGGGCTCAAGCGTGAAGACGCCCTACGCGAAGTTCAACACCTGTACCGCATTCAGCATTCACACATTGTGCGTCTTGTCGGAACCTACGTAACGGGAGCCGACCTTGCAATCCTCACCTACCCGTGCGCCGAATGGAGTTTAGATCAGTTCCTGAGGACGTCTCCAGGGGCGCTCGACGCCGTAGACCGATGCGCGTCGCTGCGCAAGTTCTTCACCTGCGTCGCCAAAGTTCTGGACTTTATGCACTCATTCCCCCTCAAGCACATGGATATCAAGCCGCAAAACCTTCTCGTCCGTGATATCAGAAATTCAGCTGTCAACGATTCAATTCCATACAAGGTTTACTTCACCGACTTTGGCATCTCCCGCTCCTATGAGTCCGTTGAGGAATCCGAGACCGAAACGCCTACATCTTTCACACGGACTTATGCCGCCCGGGAAGTGGTGCTGCAGGAGCCAAGAGGATTGTCCGCGGATATCTTCTCGCTAGGTTGCGTGTACGCGGAGATGCTGGCCACAATCTTGGACACATCAAAGCCTGAGAGTGATCAGTGCCCAGACAGGGATGCAACACCGCATTGGGACTCGCTCCTGGAGGCTCGTGGACGAATGGGAACTGCTCTCCGGCCTTACCATTCCAGTGTCGACGATGTGCGGGCATGGCTTGCGGCACTTACCCTCCACGAGCAGGAGCTGCAGGCAGTCCGCGACTGGACGATGCAAATGATTGACACTGACCCAATCAAGCGACCAAACGCACACAAGATCGCGGAGGATCCGCATCTACCCTTCCCATGCCTTAGCTGCACATTGCGCGCGGGACCCGAAGACTTCGAGGCTGTGGAGCCCGTCGCACCACTTGACGATCCCCCGCACACGCCCAGAGTGAGTGTCGAAGTGCCGAAGCCACCATAGAGAGCGTTGAGTGTTCTCAAAGGGTCTACTTTACAGGGGTTGGTTCTATTCGCCGACTGGTGTTCTGCCATATTGGGAGCCGGCAGATCTGCTTACCCCTGCACATCACCTGCACCCCACAGTACGGGCGCTCGGGTCGGGCATTAGGAATGATCTGCTATAGATCTTAGCTTTTCTGCTCTTGACGCCTCGCCTCGTGGAGTATATTTCCCTCTTCGACGCCTTCTCTTCACTGTCGTGCCGAGCTCCCAGTCGTCTTCCATCATGCTTGGCCTTCTTGGTTTTATTCTCCTGGCGGGTTGCGCATCCGCGCAGAAGCACCACCTTTATGTTGGGCTGACCGGCGGTGCTTACGTGCATGCACTGGAGTTTGATGATGCGGCCCGGACTATCTATGAGATGGGAATCATTCCCGCTGCTGGAGCTTCGCCTTCCCTTGCCCTGGATGTTCGTAACTCTAAACTCAGGAGACGATACCAAGCACTGACGGGTCCCGCAGAACTCAAAGAAATTTCTTTTCGCAAGCGATCCGACGTCGGGAAAACTTACGAGATATGCCGTTCAGGAGGACTACTCGCTGAAGAACGAGGGCTCAGCAGAAATCCCAGCTTCATGTTTGTCTCCACAATATCCCACCCATGGCCATCAGTAGCTCACATCTCGCAGGCAATACCACAAAATTCACCTCCCTCCACCTCAGCCCCGCCTCCCACAATCCTTCCCAGATCTTCGGCGCCGCCTCCACGGGCGTCTGCAGCACGCTCTTCTCCACCTCCGTCACCGGTTTCCATACCCTGCGCTCCAAGGAGTTCGCCGGCGACATCCGCTCCCTCGCATGGAGCCCGAACGGCCGCCAGCTGCACGCCCTGGACTCACGCTCCTCCTCCTCGGCCATGACCTCCATTTTCAACTTCTACATCGCCGAGGACCCGAACCTCGAGAGCCTGAACCACACCGACACGCTGGCCAACGTCACCAACGCAGAGCAGATCATCGCCCACCCAACGGGCAACATGTTCTACATCGTGACCAAGGACACCAACGAGCTTGTTACCGTGCCGCTGGTGGACGCTGCCGCCGACAACGCTGACGCCGCGACCGCCGCACTCGCGCGCTACAAGCTCCTCCCTAGCTCCATCGATGCCTCGCTGTACACCACTTCCTCCCTCACAATCTCCTCCTCCAACTCCTTCCTCTGGACCCTCTCCCAGTCCGGCGACCAAGCCATCATCACCGTCTTCAGCCTCGACCCCGCCACCGGCGCTGTCATCTCCTCCGTCGTACGCGCAGCCTGGCAGGGACTCGGGGGCATCGGCTGGGGCCAGCTCTCCCCCGCTCCGTTCAAGGGCAGCGACGTCATCGCCGTGTCGAACTCGCCGATGGGCATGGTGGCTTTCCTGGGTTTGGATCAGGGTACGGTGCCGGCGGGCGCGCAGGGCACGGTGCAGGTCGAGGCTGATGATTTCTTGATCGATGTCGAGATGCTGAATGTGCAGAGTGAGGCGGCCGCGGCGCCGAAGCTGAAGAGCTTTGGCCGTATTGATCTGGGCTTGGATGACCTTGGGCAGGGCGTCTGGGTCGACTAGATGTCATGAGTAGCACGAACGCATGTCTAGGAGGTACTACCCGAGTAGTAATCCTTGATTAACGATTAACATTGGAATTGAACCACTGCATCCTAATGAGTATTCATACAAGCCCAACCAAAAAAAAGGGGCGACCTGCATCGGCGGTGAAAACCTACTGCTGCTACTCCTCCTCTACCGGGTTCACCATCTCCCTCAACATATTCTTAGCCACCGTCTCCCAATCCGTCGTGTTCTTCCTCTCCATCTGATGCGTCCTCACCATCCCATCGACCTGCGCTTGTTTCAGCGCCACACTCCCCGCACACACCTCCGTCAAGTCCATGTAGTTAAACGCGGTGCCCGCGAAAGCAGCCAACTCAGCGCGTCCGAAGCCGTCAAAGTTCTTCTTCCCTCCTACCGCCTTGATCCCCGCTTTCACCTGCTTCGACCGCTGCAGCACGTGGTCTTTTACCGGGCCGGCGACGCCCGTGCCGCATGTCGCGCTGATGCTGTCGAGGATGTAGGCGTTGAGCTGCGGCGTCAACCTCCCCTTTCGGTTCCCGAGGAATGCAAACGCGCCTTTCATGCCCTGCCATGCGGAGAGCGCGTTGGAGAGCGCGTGCACGGCGCCGAGCGCGGAGACGAGGAACTGGGCTGTGGCGGTCTCGGAAACCATTTGGACTTTTGGAGCGGCGGCGAAGAATTGCGTGATGAGCGGGAGCTGGTGCAGCTGCTCGGGGCCTTTTAGCGGGTCGCGGAATCGCGGCCGGGCGGAGGTGAAGCGGTAGATCTCGGCGGTGAGGTTGAGTTGGATCGAGAGGCTGACGGCTTCGAGAATCTGGCGCTGGGTTAGTGACTAGCAGTGCTCTTTGGCGGGCGATGGGGCCTTACCTTCTTGTCCACCGTTCCGGGTTCGGTACAGAACCCCTCTAGGCCGGCATACACAGCCTGGGTCGGCGCGGCAGCGCCAATGGTCCCACCGACAAGATTCCAGAACATGCGCACCCGGAGAGTGAACGGAATGCAGGCCACGACCAGGAACGCATAGTGGTCTGGGATAAGATGGGAACCCGCGGGACCCATGGAAAAAGCATCGACCGAAGCCATCATGTTCGCGGTCTTGGGAACTCCCTCGCACACGACGACACTGCCAGCCTTTCCAGCAGGATCGGCAAACGACGCATCAGGACAAGCCATGAAACGCCTCAACGGCATGGATTTGTTCATTCGCTTCGCTGCCTTTTTCGCACCAGAGTCGACCGACGACGGGATGTTCTTGAACAGTGACTTTTTCACCGGGAAGCGATGAACTGTCATCTCGCTCGTGAGCGTTTTGGCATCCGTCTTCTTCAGCGCCGCGACGAACGCCTTAGCATTCTGGCCGTTGATTGACTGCGACGTGGGAGTGAAGGCATATGCAGGGAATGTCGATTTCTCAGCCCATTGCTTTAATCCGTGAAGGTCGCCTACCGCGACGAACAGGATGTTTGTACCCCCTTTCATCAACAGGCCGGTCTCCCACGGGTCAAGCAAGTCCCATGGGTTGCGGTCGCCGTTGCTAAAGTACGGGAAGCGGTTGCCGAACAGGATGATGCTCTTTCCGTTGTACGACTGGAGTACATTGTGCTGCGTAACCGGGCTTTCGTATGACCCCGTTAGACTAAGATTGAAGATATCCAGTGACGTATGCAGCCGCTGCCGAACCAGGTAAATGATCTGGTGGATGGCGTAGTTGGGCGTCTTGGAGTTGACGACGAGGAGGAAGCTTGGCGTGGGGCTAAGCGTGTACGTGCCTGAGATCTGCATGTGCATGGCGTGTTTCTGCACCGACCTCAAGGCGCCTGTCTTCGGATCTGAGAGCATGAGCTCTAGAGAGAGGTTGCCCTCGCTGTACTCCATCGTGTTCTTGTCCACCCAGAAGTCTTGGTCGATCGTCACCTTGGACTGGGGCTCGATCTCGGACAACTCGTCGGTCGCCTCACCGGGCTTATCTGCCGTCGCATACGCCAGGTTGAAGAAGCGGTTTGGATCCGACAGCTTCGTAGCCGCAGCACGACGCAAGATACCTTCGATGCCGTAGGCCTTCGTCGAATTGTTGTGCAGCACCCACTTGAAACGCACTTTGTCGCCTTTGGCCACACAGTCCAGATACGTGGGCGCGTCTAGGACTAGCGGGTATTCAATGAAGATGGGAGTTTGTCCACAGAAGTTGGGGATGGGCCGATTCAGGCGTTCGTTGAAATAAGCCACCAGCCGGACAAACTCCTTCGCTTTCAGCATTAGCCCGAGGGGCTTCTCCGCCCATTCGTTCCTGATGAATGCGCGGAGCACGCCCGGTACCTCGACTTCCTGGCCCGGTTGTATGGAGCGCGGCAGTTCGATGGGCTCGGTGACGACCGGGTCCAGGAATTGCGTGCCTTGGATGAGGACGTGGATGGACCTCAGCTCTGGCGAAGGCATCCCGCCGACATTCCGCACCCGAATGTTATGCACGTGGAGATGCTCGCCTGGTTCGTTGATGCCGTCCTCGTTCTCGTCTATAATGTCGAATTTGGTAATTTGCAGGCGGTACACGTCGGGGTAGGTTGCTTCCGATAGGTCTCCGCGGATGACCTTGATCTGGACACTGCCATTAGGCCCGCTGGAGAGATTCGCGGTTAGCGGCCATCCCGCCCATCTTAAGGCTGCATGCACTTACGCTTTTCCTCCGGATAAGAACGGCGACGGTCTCATGCCTGGTGCGCCGTTTCGTCCGTTCGATCCACCGGGGCGAGTTTTGGCCGCGACGTAGTTGCTGTGCGATTCCGTCCTGCTCAATGATTAGCAAGTCGCGTCCGTAATCTCGCATGAACGCACCAAGCATGCGGTGCTCCCCCGCGTCCGCCAATGCCGCCGTCGCCGGGCTCTCCATGCTGTCCGCTAAGACCGCCGGCTCCACCGTGAACATCATACTGCAACGGAAGCAGCATGTCGGTATCCTCTTCGTGGACGGTGACGAATATGTTACCGCCAGCCGCTCCATCTGCTCCATTCGAGCCATATCCTCCACTATTTGGAAGGTTAGACAGATCTTGGGTCCAAGATCGAGGCACTCACTTTCCGCCAGGCGCACCATCCTGACCGTCCTCTCCATTGCGGTATCTCGTCGCGTCTCTACCATCTCGTCCACGCCCACCTGCCTGGCCGTCTTCGCCCCTCCCGCCCGTTCCACCACTGCCGCCGCTTGCTTTCAAGAGTATGTTCTCATCTCTTGCTACCTTCCATGTCTGGCCGGTATGTGGACCCTCACCGACGACTTGCACCACGCCGGGCTCCGCTGAGGCGTATGCCACTCGAAGGCGAATGTCCGAACCGGGTGCTCCTGCAGTGGGCGTCCCGGCGGATCTTCCATGTGCCCCACACATACCCACAGGAGCTACGAACCGTAAGCTATAGCAGATCTTCGGCCAGGCTGTAAGGCTGCATACCTTCCTGGGGGCGATTTCCCATGAACTCCGGGGCTGGCATGCCATTGCGACCGCTCGTGTCGATCAACTTCGTCTCCCTGGCCTCCATTGTGGTCTATCTCTCGCTTGGTCAAATGAGTGTTGGTAAAAGAGCGGCGCGCAATTAGGATGTGAATTGGCCTGGCGAAATTCCACGGCGACAGTGCACCTTCATATCGCGCGGTCTCCGGAGGAGGGCACAGTTGAATTGCCCAGCCCCCCAGAAAATCAGAAAGGCAGAAAGGCTGCAGCCATCGATAGAGGCGAGTCTGTGTGAGAAGGACTCATGCTCATCTCGAAGCGAATGAAGGTGGTTCTGGGCCTCAGCCTGGGCGGAAGACGCCGAACACGGCTGGCTTTGTGTGATGGAAGGAGAATTGTTTGGCGACGTCATATCGAAGGCGCCGGGCTGATGAAGGCCTGCTCCATAGAGGGCGATGTGGCGTGTGCATGGTTTTCATGATGTCGTGGTCGCGATGCGGGGGGACGCTCAGGCTGGAAGACGCCTCCGCCACGCAATTTCCAACAACGGAAGACCTAAGCGCAAAACAAATTACGCGATGAGGCTCAAAACCTCAGCTGAAACTCAGGGTCTCTGGCATCTCCCCGCCGTGTGTCCCTTGGGTTCCATCACCAGAATGCCGGTTCGAAAAGCAGAGAAGAAAGTCGCGATCCTGACTCCCGGCGCTGCGCACCGTACTGGCGACTACTCGAATGTCTTCGCTCCGCCACAGCCGTACAAGCCCATTCGAACTGAGGCACCGATTCAACGGACATTCCTCCCCGGCAATCTTCCTTCGATAAGTACTCACGATGTGGGTTACTTCTTCAATCTCGCCGCTTCGCTGTACTCCGATCATGCACCGCCATCTACCTCAGGAGTAACACCAACGTATGCAGCAGCGCCCCCTCCATTTGATGCCCCACCAGGATACACAACTGAACCGCCAGACTATGCAGAAGAGTTCCGACGTACAGCAGCAGACGTCGCCGCCGTCCTCGTGATGCGTCTCTTCCGCCAAACAAGGATTGACATCTTCCCTATCGCTGAGAGATTCCATCTTGGTCCCGCCGATCGCCAACCACTCTATTCACTGAATGCGCAGCCCAGCATCCGGTCTGGAACCGAGTTCAACGAACTCGCAATCAGACGCAGAGACCCCGTCACCGGCTCTTGGTACTCCGTGTGCACATCCGACATCGAGCCAAGCCTGGATCTAGTGAAACCCGGTAACTGGACCGTAGCGAAGCTCGTCCTGGATTCAATGCCGGTTTGGAAGAAGATAGTGGCAGGCTGCGCTGTACCAGAGGCGACGGTGACGGGGAAAGGAAACTCCCTCCGGTTATCGTGGGGAGACAGACAAACACTAGGCGCTCTGGGAAATGCCTACGGTCTGTGGTGGGATAACGGGGTTGATCAGGGGCGGGCGGAAGCCTTCTACGTCGTCGAGGGGTGGACCGGCTTCGATTCTCGACCGCAGGGTGTCGTGCGGGTAGGTGCACTTGGACGCAGGAAGCGAGCCGCGTTAACGGTCCCCATGCAGGTCAAACCGGGAACTAGAGACGCAAACGGAAGATATCAAGACCCGCGCCGTGCACCTTACGATTTGGCCGCGATATACTTTCATTCCGACGGCAAGACTCCACCGCAGTTCGTTTGCGCGAACCCCGAAACGCACGTGCGAATGGACGTCATCATGGCAGGATTGATGACAGTGCTCGTGGTAGAAACAAGGAAGGTGGCGGTTGTCAAAGAGCTTGGCAGTTTGCCCTCATATGACTCAGATGCGCATTGGTCGTCCACGTTTGTTGAGGAGGGAGTTGACCTTGGTGACGCTTGGGGAACTTGACGTGGTCCGCCCGCACTGTGCCACTTGGGCCGTTGTCAACTTCTTATCCACAACAAAATGCGCGCCTAGGAACCCTCCAGGTCATCTCCATCGAAATAATGGCATCCGATCGCCTTCGCTTGAGGTTATGCCCTCACGCATCTACAAAATCCTGTAGTCCTTATCTTCTCGATCCCCGACCAAGCATAACGCAGACGTGGTGGTACAGAACGTGAGTCACTGCTAATCCGATTTGTCATATGGGTGCGGAAGGGGTGAAGCAGTCACATATGTGCTACCTCGCTCTTCAAGGAGTCAGGGGCATGAGCCGAGCATGCAGGCATTGAAGTTCATTCAGCGATGCCTCTCTATATCCTTCAGTTCTGCACAAACTTCTTCGGCCAGCCCTAACCTTGACTCCAAAGGCATTCAACTTTTCCCCGCTGGACTGCGAAAGTGGCCTCCCAGATCTCCATCTCCTCGCTGATGCATCGCGCATCATTTCGTTGCCCCTCTCTTACTAGCTCTGCCCACCGAAGAACATTTTTGCGCCATCGACGCTTTTCTAGTATAGCCATGTCTCTGCCAACCAACAGTCGAGATTACAATGTATGATGGGTTTCCGAAGTTTCTGGTTGGCTAGAGCTTACCGAAGTAGTCCGCGATAGAGAAACTGAACTCCTGCCAGTCAGGTTTCGCGACTCTGGAGGCTCGTAGGCAGACTGGCAAGAATGCGGATGACAGTACACCTATCGAGAAAATGCAGCAATGGCTTCGTCGCATTGGGTACGAAGTAAGTAGCCTCCGTGCTAGAACAGCCGTGTCTCCCGCTTACCAGAAGCCGCGCGCTCAGCCGTGCGATCTTGACCGTCTCAACATCGTCCATGTCGCCGGCACAAAGGGCAAAGGAACAACATGCGCCTTTGTCAACTCCATTCTCATCCACTGCAGCAAAACTCTGGGACGACCTCAGAAGATAGGACTCTATACATCACCCCATCTGGTATCCGTCCGCGAGCGTATTCGTATCAACTCAGAGCCCATCGCCGAAGATGAATTCGCAAAGTACTTCTTCGAAGTGTGGGAAGCCCTCGAGCGCACGGCTGCCGAGCAAGGTCTAGACCCCGCCGTCAAGCCAGCCTACTTCCGCTTCCTCACGCTAATGTCGTTCCACGTCTTCATGCAGGAGGGCGTCGATGCCGCTGTGTATGAAGTCGGAGTAGGTGGAGAGAATGATTCGACGAATATCATCGTTCACCCAGCCGTCACTGGGATCACTACCCTCGGGATTGACCACGTCGGCGCCCTGGGAGACTCTATCGAGCAGATTGCATGGCACAAGGCTGGTATATTTAAGGTTGGCTCGCCTGCCTTCTCTGTACGTCAAGTCGAAGAGGCGGGACTCGTCCTCTCGCAACGAGCAGAGGAGAAAGAGGTACATCTCCAATGGGTCGACGTGAACGAGTCACTCCAGCATGTCTGCTTAAAGCCAGCTGAAGATTTTCAGTATAGGAATGCTTCACTTGCTATCGTTCTTGCGACGGAGGTCCTGAAAAAGTTCCGCGTTGGAGTACGCGAGACATCCGCGACCTCGTCCCTCGTTCTGCATGGCGATTCACAGGACGCTAATGCGGACAATACGCAAGCGAAAGCTGGCGCACTCGTACCGGATAACTTGAGGTTGCTCCCGAAAGAGTTCGTCCAAGGCCTCGAGGGAGCCGTCTGGCGGGCACGATGCGAGACAAAAGTGTTCGGCAGCCAACAGTACCATCTCGATGGCGCACATACGGAGGACAGCCTTGAAGTCGCCTGTGCTTGGTTTCATAAGGCAGTGTCAGAGAGGTGAGCATTCTCACTTTGCCCTTCCAGTAGCAATAGCGCTAACATCAACCCATAGCCATCGTCCAAGGATTCTCGTGTTCAATCAGCAATCGCATCGCGATGCTTCCAGCCTTATGCGAACAATATACCACACGCTCCGTAGACGCGGTGTTAGGTTCCAGCACGTCATCTTCTGCACCAATGTCACCTACAAAGGTAGCAAATGGAAACTAGGTACATTGCATTGTTCCACGCGCCACAGTACGCTGCGGTTTCTAATAAGAGGACTTTTAGATTTCGTGAACAATAACGTCGATCCCGAGGCGTTGAGAACGCTCTCGCTCCAGAAGCAGCTGAGGGACGAGTGGCTGATGCTCGACTCGGATGTAGATGTGTTGGCGTTGGCGACCATTGAGGACGCACAAGAACGCGTGCAAATGATCAGCGACGCGAAGGGTGAGGTTGATGTACTCGTTACGGGTAGTTTCCACCTTGTGGGTGGGTTCATTTCTCTACTGGAGGGTCAGGATTACGGATTGAAAAGCACGACGCGCTTCATGGCGTAGGCGGCTCTGGGAATTGCTATTTTTTGCATATCGCTCCCGGAATGCCGTTGTCAGTCTATCCTTCATTCTTAACTTCCGATACTGCATTGGTGTTGGCCTCCTAGTATGGCCATTTTGCTCGCTAGGCGTGTGCTGTCACAATCATAGATTGAGGATTCGGTACAGCGGCATCTTTCGCACCTACGCCAGTGACGGTTGGAAATTGCACGTTAGTGTACGAGACAGAGCAATACGTACGCCTCGGGATCAGAGACGCGGTCAGAGACGTGACTAAGGATTTTGAGTATAGACACAGACAAAGCTCGGCGACCGGACCAGAACGGTTTTGCGCATGTTCTGCTGGGATATTCAAAATCAGGGCTTCGCGTCTTTCTTCATCCCTAGCCTAGAACGATGTGTAAACCTAGCATAAAGTTCCAGGATGTACCAGTGAACTTCATGACGGTTATAATGCTTGGTGCTTACAATGCGCTGAATATCCGACTCTTAGAAGTAATTCTATGAATGCATCTAAATAATCCACGTCGCCACGATGTTCAGCACTATGGGCCCACTTTTCCCAGCGGTACCGTTAGAGACTTTTCAACTCCCTAGCCTGGTTGTATTTGACCCCGTAGAGATTACCTAGCCAGGCGTGAATTTCGTAGAGGTCTTTTGCTGCTGCTTTGATGCCGCTTTGGAAAGCGAATTCAAGCTGTACGAGAGCAGCACGGGCACGCATTTCTGTAGTGTCACGGAGTCAGTACCGAGGTACCATTGGTATTATTTCTTTGACAGTACGTACCTTTTTCTCTGTGCTTTTCAGAGACTACGATGAGACCGCCTTGCGCTTCGCCATTAGAATGAGCGAAGCCCTTCCAGACAGCGGAGCCGAGCAAATATGCTGCCGTGGCATCGCCTTGCTGGGCCAGCATGCGAAGCGCATTATCGTCTTGCTCGGATAGCTCTCCTTCGCCCGACTCAAGCATGGTGGCCACCCTCTCTTTAGTTTCCCCCCCATCAAGTGGTGCCGCACCATTCGAATCCAGCACTGGTATTGTCATTATTTCTAGGAGCGAATGTACAACTTCGGTTGCTGAGGGTCGAATAGTGGCGCGGCGTTTGCAGCACTGCTCCACAAGCCGACTGATGGCACGCAATGCGGTAGATTCCGGGTTCTCAAGAGACCAGAGAATTTCTCCCTGACTCGTCCGGCCCCGAATCGTTGCTGCAGCTGAGCCTGATGCGTCGAGAACCTCATCGGTGAGGCCAAAAGGCGCGGATCCGGTCGCGCATTGCCAGATGAAGATGCCCAGGCTCCATATGTCGGTGTAGATACTGTGCTGCTTAATTATTGCAACTTCAGGGGCTTCATATCGAAGGTCGTATCTGCCGCCCGTCGTGCGTTCTTTGATCAGGCGGGCACTCTCAATATTTGTCAGACACGGAATAATGGTGCTATCGGTTGTTTCAAGGACAACGGTATGATCGGATAGTCGCTTCACCAGAACCTCGACGGAATGGAGATACTCCATAGTCTTTGCGACTTCGTATGCAACGCTCAGTCTATGAGAGAGCGACTTCGGCCAGTTCCCATCTTTGATGAGGCGCGCAAGGGAAGGCATACCGCGCAGATCTCTCATGACCGTCCATCGCTTACCGGATCTCTCTGCGATGCCGTAAAATGGCTGCACACCGGTGTTCGCGGAGATCTGGGCGTATATGAGAACGTGTCGCGGTCCCTTCTCCCCGTACTTCATAATTGACTCGTTCACGGGCTCGCAAAGCACTTTGACCGAGCCGTCTTGTGACCCATGGGGGTGCAGCTCGCCACTCAATAGAGTATCATCCAGAGGGTCTTTGGTCAAAGTGAGGCGGGAATCGTTGTCGCGAAAGTCTAGTTGGAGTTTTGGGGTCTCGGGTTCCTTCAGGGCCTTGATGATCTCATCCAGGATTGTTGATTGACTCTGTATTTGCGTCATGAGATCCGAGGTATCTTTGCGCTGCAGTATCTCACTTTGACTGACATCAGTGATCAGCCTGAGCAGGTCGGACCTAGCGGACGCCTTGCGTTATGATCAGCACGCTACTAGCCTGGACGTCGGATTGCAACACGAACCGTCGTTCCAACAGAGAGTACCAAGGCCCATGTCATCAAGTCTTGCATCAAGCGTGGCAGGCGTTTCTTCCACGAAACTTCCCAAACTCGCTGAAGGAAGTTGGCATCCTTGCACCAAATGGCAAAATGCAGCAGTTGCCCCACAACCTCCCGCAGCTTCTTCTCGCATTCGTCGTTCTGGAATACTTGCTGATTCTTATCAAGGACACCTTTCACGAGCTCAGCATGCTTTCGGACAGCGTCGCATTCGCTCTTCATCCTTCGCGCCTCTCGCGCTGTGCGGATGAGCAGGCCAAGAAGTTCGCCGGTCGTACTGTATTTCCCCACTCAACGCACAGACCCCACTCAACGCACAGTTAACACCAAAACGCGTATATTTTCAACACCTCATAACTCCACCAATATGGACCCGATTGACGCAGCTGTTGAAGCTTTAAAATCCCTAGAGCTGGGAGGACCTCCTAATATATCCCAGGTTGCTCGGGAGTACGGCGTTGAGCGGTCGCGGCTCTCGAAGCGTTATCGCGGGGTTCAGGGCACCAATACATCACGGGCTGAGAAAAAGCGACTCCTCAACACCATACAGGAAAAACAGCTCCTGCAGTATATTGATAAGCTGTGTGTACGAGGCCTACCCCCTACAAGAGAGATGATACGAAATTTCGCAGCAGAAATAGCCCATCAAGAGCCTGGAAAACACTGGGTTGATCGCTATATTGCGCGGCATCAAATTGACCTTGTATCGCGATGGACATCCGGCATCGATAACCAGCGCCACAAAGCTGATTCAGCCTTCAAATACGCTCTCTATTTCAAGCTTTTAGACGATAAGATCAAGCAGTACGATATCGCGCCGTCAAATACATACAACATGGATGAGAAGGGCTTCTTGATCGGGGTGGTGTCAAAAATGAAGCGCGTGTTCTCCCGACAGCGATATGATCAAGGAGGCGTCAAGCAGGTACTCCAGGACGGCAACAGGGAGTGGATAACGACGATAGCTTGTATATGCGCCGACGGCAGCTCTCTCAATCCTGCCCTGATATATCAGGCGGCTTCTGGCAATATCCAGGATACATGGTTGCAGGATTTTGATCCTCAAGAGCACCAGGCCTTCTTCGCCTCATCACCATCTGGATGGACAAACAACGAACTCGGGATTGCCTGGCTCAAGAGGTGCTTTCAAGAGGAGACGAAGAAGAAGGCAAAGCGCGATTATCGGCTCCTAATCCTTGATGGGCATGGCTCACATATTACTATGAAGTTTATTGAGTTCTGCGATCGAAATCGAATCCTCCTGGCTATCTACCCGCCGCATTCAACCCATACGCTACAGCCTCTAGATGTCTGCCTTTTCAAGCCTCTTTCAGCTGCATATACGAAAGAGCTCAGCGAATATATATACAACAACCAGGGACTCACATCTATCACCAAGCGCGACTTCTTCCGCTTCTTCTATAGGGCATATAGGATCGCGTTCGCCGAAGAAACGATCATCAACGCCTTTAAAGTCACTGGCATCTCTCCACTGGATAGCAACGCTATATTGAAGAAATTCAAGGATCCAGAGCCTAAGAGGCCATTAAGCAGCGATAGTACGTCGTCAGTACTCTCTGCAAGCGATTGGCGTAAAATTGAACGACTCCTGCGAGAGGTAGTTGAGAATATCTACGATAAACGCGCCTCGCAGCTTTCTCACACGATACACGCGATAGCGACTCAAAAACAGCTCCTCCAGCATGAAAATGATTGCCTCAGAGATGCCCTTATTAATGAGAAGAAGCGCCGTAAGCGTGGCAAGGCATTACTACTCGAACCCTCCAAGGATTACGCTGGCGGCGCCGTCTTCTGGTTGCTATCTAAAGTTGAAGCTGCCCGCAATCGCCAAGCCCAAAAAGACGCCAAAGCAGAAGAACTACAACACCAAAAGGATTGCGATAAGCTAGCTAAGGAGCAGAAAAAGCAGGAGAAACAGGCTATGCTTGAGCAAAGGGCGCAGAAAAGGATAGCTGCACAGGAGATTAAGTTGCAAGAAAAACAGCAGAAGGCCGCAGAGCGCGAAGAAGCCCTACTTGCGCGCGCAGCCGAAAAGCAACTCAGGACTGATATACAATTGGCTAGAAAGGGTAAGGCGCGTAACCTCAAGGCTCCTGCACCTCCTGCTCGTGTTATTGAGGAGCCAGAGGTTGATGTTGAGGATCTATCGGTCATTGAAGGGGTGGTGGAGGCATCCGGCCCATCATCGCGCACTCGCAAAGTACGCCTCCCACAGAGGTATCGCACGTAATTTGTCGTTGCCAATCAATCAAACAAGCCTTCAAGAATGCTTCTCTAAAAAATCTCGTAATAATTAGATCTATATAGGGCTGTACAGCTTCAAAAGTAGTGGTGATGGCCATCCTCAAACTGTGCGTTGAGTGGGGTCTGTGCGTTGAGTGGGGAAATACGGTAGCGGAGCTCTGATAGAGCCCGAGGCCTAGCTCCAGTGCCATGATGTGCGCGTGCCAGAGTTGACCGAGGAAAGACGCAAAGGGCTGGCGAATGTCAGAGGTAAGAGTGTCCCGCCATTGTTTAGAAGGTGTATGTTTGCTTATCTTGGTAGCGATATCCGTGGCGCAAGGCTGAAGAGGGGTGTGCATATTGATCAGCTGAGCTTTGGTCAGCTGCATCCTTCAGAGTTTCAGCCTCGTTGCACTTAACCTAAACCACGACCACAATCCACCTTTTCACTCTACGTCTTCATGATTATGAAGATATTTTCTGTGTTCCTACGCCTGGGAAGCATCATGGCCGCGCACACCGCAAGCCCAAGCGAGCCTGTCACGGTGCGAGATCCAGTGCCCTTCTACATCCCTTTGATGCATTTCGAGCGCACGCTCTTGTCCGAACTACGAGCCCAGCTTGACCAAGAAGGCTGCGCTGGACTCACCCTCGACCAACTTCCAGTGTCCGAAGTATTCCAAAAGTGGTATCATACCAAACACATCCGAGGCTACACTAAGGAGCTTGGCCATACCGGGGAGTTAATGAAGGAGTTCGGTGGGAATCGCACTAGGGTATACAATGCCATATTGCACGAACTCACGCACAGTTCTCGCGGCGGTCCAGGACTTGCTCGCATGCAGCGACTGCGCAGCGTCAACGAACAATTCCTTTCAGCTCTCGGCAACCGCAACATTGAAGACGTTGAGTTTGCACCTTGGCCGGCAGATGTGGCGCTTTGGCAGACAATATCGATTCTCTGGAAGCACTGTGGTCGATATTGGCAGTTTGCTGGATTTCTCAACATCGATGAAGGCTTTATCATATTCGAACTAATCCGGAAATTTGCCATTCAATGGCAGTGGCCGACGAACATGGATGCTGTCGATCAGGCCTTACTTCGAAATCCCCAGTTCAACTCTACTTACAACGTGAAAAGGGAAATTTTGGACCACGAGCTGCCAGAGGATATGTCAGAGGAGGAAATGCTGCACTTCAAGTTCGAAGAATGCACCATCACGAAGAGACCTGATCCCAATAAACTCCCTAAGGTGAGGTCAGAGGCTGATCAAAGAACGAGCTCATCTAATCTTGACAGCGGGAGATGCGCCAACCCAAGGCCAGGGAACTATCCAACGAAGATGTAGTATGTGGTCCTTCGTGAATTCCGAAACATCCTGTATTGACATGCAGTACAGCGGCAGCTGCTGCGGGATTTCACACAGATAACCAGAGAGACCTACCCCATCGAAGATCCGCGGGGTTATCTTCATTACATTCCTTGGACGGAATTGAGCAACTTAAGTGAGGATGATCTGCACCGTGCAGGCATCAGCGTTGCAGTTCCATTCTCTACAGGAGGGGTAACTGATCGGTGGGTATCCTGGGGTCCGCCGCGCCCGGGTTTCGCTTGGAATCATCACCTACATAGTGAAGACGAAGTTTACCAGTACCATGTCCTCCAGGATTGGGCTTTGCCGGATCACTATCTTACTCGTCGGCCTGACAAGGTTCTTTTCCGAATGCGGAGGCTGGAAGAGACAGGTTTCATCGCAGGCCTGAAGAACTATTGGGAAACATGGGTGAGTTTCATTGGCCCGATGGCAACCTGCGTCTTACGGTATTTTCTAGAATGATTGCGCAATCACAGAAGAGGAGAACACAGGCCACCTGCTCCTGCTCGAAACCATTCCCGGTATTCGTTACCGCAGTCGAAGGAAGCACCAGGATGAGCACGCCGCTAGACAGTACTTTCGTAACGTCGTAGAGGCTAACGCAAACGGCACGCTGGATCGACCGTTTCCTGGCGAACTCACTGGAAATGACCCAGCGCAGATCCTCCAATTCCAGCACTCGCTTCGACTCATACCAGAAGAGCAGCTTTCTGGCATAGACTGGGAAAACCCTTTGGGAGCTGGTCAAAACGGTCGAGTATTCAAGGCGATATGGAACAGGCCTCATGAAGTTCTAGAGCAAGGGCCTGATCATAAAGCTGTCCTCGACGTCGTTTTGAAAGAAGTACTCCCTCGCCAAGGATCCACGGAAAACCCCTTGAAGAAACTACTCAAAGAGGTATGTGATTAACTCGGGCACTAAACTGTTACCAAACGTACCGCCATGGCAGTTATGCGACTGACAACTCTAGCTTTATCCCACGTATATCAGCCTGGGCTCAAAGCCGGTAGCGTGCATTGACTTCCTGGGTATTGCACGTCTGGCCGGCGGCCAGAAGGAGCATTCGGACTCCTCGCGCGCCGCGACCGACAAATACTATCTTGTCTTCGAGCGAGCCACGGAAGGCAGCCTTCTGGTTTTCCTAGAGAATGAACTTCGAGGGAAACGGTTCTTCAAAGCATGGGACAATGTCATCAATGCTATAACATCTATAGCATCCGGGTTGGCAACTCTCCATAAACACAGTGTGTTACATCGGTGAGTACCTAACATGCACTCATCTTCTTTGTACTGCCGCTTACTGTCCGGTCCGCAGAGACCTCCATGACGAAAACATCTTGGTAACCCTTCGAGAGTACCCCAACGACCCTCATCAGTTCGAATACAAGGTCATGCTCTCCGATGTCGGAGAAGGCAAGATGCTGTTCCCGTCTGCCGCGGACCCAGATCTCCCGGAAGGGTATTACGCAAGCTACGGAAACCCGGAGTATCGCGCACCAGAGGTGCAAGGACCCTCTGGCTGGACTGAAGCTGCAGACGTGTGGTCATTTGGCGTGATTGCTGTTAAGCTACTGGAAATGCGGCGCTCTATTTGCGACGGCTCATGCGCTATCCCACCTTGGGTCCTTGAGGAGGTCCAGGAAGAGTACCCTGACAAGGATTTCTCGCACACGTCTCGAGATATGGGGTTCATTGTCCCACTGTCACTGAAGCGAGTCTTGGAGCCCTGTTTGAGACATAATCCAAACGAACGACCGGCTGCGCATGCGGCGGCTATGAGCCTGGATGAGGTGAGTATGGAGTTCTTCAACGACGATGAGGAAGAAAAAGAAAAAAACCGGGATGTGAAATGGACGTACTGGGACTGGCGTACGACGAAAGCGGCCGGACGGACAGGCAAGGGCTTGGTACTGGGCAAGGTGAAGGAGAGCCTCGGTTCTCCTCTAGATGCTATTGAGGAACTAAGTCTGGGTAAAGAGCTGGATCTAGATTAAATTATCCACATTAGAGTACTCACTACTGCACAAGAGAAGTGAAAAGAGGAGAGCTAAAAGAAAGACATGCGTAACTTGGCAGCCACCTCTTTATAGCATTTATTCCATTCTAAAGACGAGAATAAGCTAATGCGTACGGAATGCCTGTAAAGGAACTACCACAGTCGTATTTACAGCTCATTCTTCTCGATGCCACACCTCCTCAAACAACTCTCCACTCCCTGGGCGAGCGTAGCCGGGACCAAATGTCGAAACTTGTCGATATCCGCACCAGGAAGGAACTCCAAACCCAGCGCCAGGCCCGCGAAGTCATCGTCTAGCATATACAGTGACTCTGCGGGCGTGTTAAGGCCAGGATCTTCGTCATTGAAAGTGGCCACGAAAATCATCTCTGCAATGGTACAGTTAGCTAATTATTTCACATGCGGTATCCGTACCTCGGAAACATACCTTCGCAGTCGGGATTGAACTCCAAGTGGAGTGCGCCCTGCGGGAACACCGCCATGGAATACGTCTGGTGCTCGTTGCGGATCTTTCGTACGCCAGTTTCGGAAACGAATTCGGTGATCATGCGGCCCTATTATCACGGCGAGGTTAGCAACGTATCTAGGCGAAGCTTGGGATTGGGGAGAGAGCGAACTTTGACGACGATCGCGAGCTCGGTGGCACGATTGTGCGTGTGTGGAGTATTGAACCTATAATGCGGTTAGCTATGCCTATGAAGCATGTGGATGGTAGTGCAGCTCGGGGCACACTGGCCGACTTACCCACAAGGCTTGGTAAACCCTATCGCAGCGGCAGCCCCGTTCCCAACTAGCGCCGGCATAGTTAAGCTTATAGCATTTACGAGCGTGCCGCCTTTGCCTTCGAGTCGGGCGAAAGGTACGTCCGGGGGATTGATGAAGTCGAATTTGAACGCAGAATCCGGAAGAAGTGCTGCGCGAGTAACAGCATTTGGGGACGTCTTGAGCGCAGCGAATAAAGCATAGTCGAGTCCAGGGACAGTGCCGTTGAAAGGGAGTGGTTGGGGAATTGGGAACTCGGGGTCCTGTGGCTCCAAGAGGACTTGTTGTACGGGTGATCCCATGCTGACGCTAGCGAGTGCCAAACTGAGTGTGGATATAAAGTGATGCATAGTTGAACTTTGATGTTGAGAGAAGAGCACGAGTGGAAGGAAGATGTCCAACTCTCAGATATTGACCGATTCACGCTTTATAGGAAACTTAAGATGTCGCCCATTCGAGGAGTTCCCGAGGTAGAGCGATGCTAAGCGTCGAGCATACGGTCTCGAGAGGAGCAACTGGGCGAAAGGGGGTGGCCTATACACGTAAGAAACCGCCAAATTTCCCACATGATGTCCATACTGGGCACTCACTCGTGGTGTTTGACCCTTGAAAGGGATTGTTTTGCGACCTTCATTATGGCACGAGGTCGATAAAAAGTGGCGTTGTTGGATGTTGGATGATGAGATCCAATCGTGTTCCGTCACATGCTCTAATGGTTTCCATGAGTAGTTCTCCCCAGAGACATCAGCTTACAACTCACGTAAACCACCTTTTCAATCCTATCGGCCGGGTTCGCTAAATTCCGGCTGATGGAGTTCATGCGGCGTACAAGGGATTAACCGACACTACTAAGCAGCTGCAACCCTGCCTAAAGAGGAAAGCCGTAAGCGCGGCACAGCTTCCACTTCCGCTCCTTGGCTAAGCGGACTTAATTCTGGTTCGCAATCGCCAAGCAGGAGCATACACCCTTTCCTCGGCAGACGGGGGCGTTAAAGGCGCATTGACAAAACTCAAAGGCGGCGTAGTATGATGGTGGAGACTGACGACTGCTTGATCCATTGACATGGCCGGATGTCAAGCCATGCGGGGAGCCAGCATCATGGGTCGTGGACAGATGGTGCAAAACAGCGGTCGGAGGACGGAAGGTTAAAGATGTTGACTCAGTAACCTAAATGCGCTAACCCAGCAGTGGACAAAGCTGTGGCAGTGCACATCTGCTATTTGTATTTTCTTGCTCTTTGCAAAAGCTACAAAAGACCATGCACAAAGAGAGATCTATAACGGAAGTCGCAGCGACTCTCCGCATGTCGGAAACTCGCTCCTCGGGATTGAAGGCGCTTGTCTAGCCAAAATCAGACGGGTTTAATATAATCTGTACGAAGTCGTGGATGGTGCCTGGCACCCCATCAGAATTTCAGTAATCTTCTCGACATGCCGCAATCCTTCTCAATATCCAGTGTTCGACAAGCAACCTCCACAAGGATGTGGTAGGAGCGGGTTGGCCAACCTATATGACTGGCATGGTGGCTTGGGCGTCCCGTCTTCAATCGAGGATGTCTCGGGGTCGCTCAGGAAGCGCTCTTTTTCATTATATTCTGAGGTTTGTCGAAGCCCATCTCTCCGCTTCGTCCACGATCCGCGCATGGTAGCCGCTAAATCCGCGAGATTTGTTGTAATGTTGACAGTGAGCCTCGGAGAGCGACTGCGGATGAACCAAAGCACAAGACGTGCGGGCGAATACGCAGGAACGTCGGCGAATCCAACATATCAAAAGAAACCGGTGACCTGGTATCGATTCCAAGCATTCTAGTTGATGTTGTTGTTCAGCTCGCGGAAGCTACCCCGCCCGAAGCTGATGCCATGGCCCCGAAAACCACTCATCGCGGTGTCGCGCATAGGTCTGAGTCCAGCCAACTCCATCTGCCTCATATTCGAAGCATCGCAGAGTTTAGGCCGCAGCATTGTTCTTTGGAGGGTAAAGCTAAGCGAAGAGTGAGGTGACGCGCTTCTTGCACAAGAAGAGCCCACCAAAGCGTGGCGAATCGGGATGAGGTTTGTCCATATTACGGTGGCCAAGCGAGCGGCCAACAAGCTGGTGGAATGTGCGACGTTGACCGTGTAATTTATTTGCGACTGGCTGTGTCTGTGGCTGTGCGGGATCCTTTTTTTATAGGCTACAAACCCACATAGAGCTACTCATCAATATTATAAACCACAGAACAGAATATCCCAAGGATCATCGTCGCAGAATGTGCTCCCGAGGTTTTTTGGGCCCCGCACCCGTGATCGCGGAGAATACAGCGCTTAGCTGTGCCTGCGACAAAGAGCGCAAAATGCACGTGCAAGTCTCTCAACATTGTTCTCCACTATGGTATGCAACAATCGTCAAGAGATCCTCCATGGATCATGTTCGAATCATCATGAGTCAAACGCTATCATTTGTCGGTTACTGGTACAGTACTAGGAAGCGATCTCACTCAGAGTATGAGTCATGCAATTTGCATTCCGCATACACCTAATCCTATCGAACCACCTTCTCCTGGCCGGAGAATATGATGATCTTTTTCCAAGTGCGAGGGCCTCCAACTTGCGTAGGATACTCCTTGATCTCACCATATGAGTCAAATGCTATTGTGAGTCATCTAAAATAATCCCATCGAACCATGCATGTGTTCTCCCGAAAGGGAATATCAAAATCACCACCGGCACATACACACTCTACAACGATGTCCTATTGTATATAAAACAGGTCGAGCTGCGCTCTTAGCCTCTTGTTCAACCTTTGAAACAGCTACTTTCCGTCCTAAAAATCACACTACCCCCTACATTTATCCGCCTTTGAACACCATGAAGGACTCTCCTGGCAATACCGCCCCGAACAGAAACTCGACCCTCACATTCCGCGAAGTTACCAAGGACAACTGGCGCGCGGTAACAAAACTCAGTCTAAAAGACGGTCAAGTCGGCAACCTCGCCTCCAACCTGTTCTCTCTCTGCCAAGCACATTACTCCGAAGACGCATGGGTGCGAGCCATCTACGCGGACGAGACGCTCGTTGGCTTTCTCATGATGGGAATATGGGACCCTGAGGAGTCGTACACCATCTGGCGATTCATGATCGATGCCCGGTATCAGAATTTGGGATATGGTCGACGAGGCGTGGAATTTGCGATTGCGCACGTACGACAGCATAACCCTCGAGCAAAGCAGCTGAAGCTGTATACAACGCCGCCTGAAGGGAAGAAGAGTCAAGATCCGATCGAGAATGTGAAACCTGAGGATTCGCCATACAAATTTTATCAGAAACTTGGATTCAGGGAGATTGCTCCGCCAGATGAAGATGGAGAGACCCTGATGGCGTTGGAGTTATAGATAGTCAATGTCGAATTAAGATCGCCTCCAACTTTTCAGTTTTGTAAAATGAGATTGAGAGTCGTCCGTACTACCAAAGCTCGTAGGCTATACACACAGAGCCTCTTCTGGAAGCCACCCTGCCCAGACTGCAAACCTTGCTGAAGCTAGAGCGATCAAGTACCGTATAGCAGAGCATATGGAGATGTAGAGAGGCCGCTGAAAGAACTCCCCGAACCATATACTTCGACGCCAATGTAAATACGCAGCTTTGGTTACTTGGTATTGCCATTGATCAGCAGTGATCTCCCCCTTTATCAATTTCTTGGTCCGAAGTGCCTGGTATGCCGCTTGGTTGGTGGAGAAGGCGATGTGCGGACGCAAAAGCGCCGAGGCATCACCAACCAGCAAGACTCTCCCGCCCAAGAATTGCGCCCGATTCGAGATGTAGTCCGTGATTGAATGAACGAAAGGTGACGATATTTTGTCTATGACCTCGACATAGGGAGCAGTAAGAGTGGCACGGGCGTAGTCTCTCAGCTTGAACCATACTTCAGGTCGGACTTGTCCTGGTGCAAGTTTGGTATGATGTACTGTGCCCTTAATGTCGGTCATGGTGGTTTCCAACACATTAGGCGATAAATTTGTGTACCAGCAAAAGTTCAGCATGCGTTTCCCTGGCTCAACCGACCCACATCTTCCGGGAATATTGTAACTGCATCAGCCTTAGTAACATACCTATGGCAGGCATTTATCAGTCTGCAAAACATTTACGAACTTACACGATGACATGTCCTGCTTTTTTCTCAAGTATGGAATAGGTAATGTTCTCGCTGAAGATCTCACGAGTTCTTTCGCTCACTTGATCTTCTGCGACAACTCCACGCCATGCGATGTATCCCGCGTACTTCCTCTCAGACGCGTCCGGCCCAGTAAATAACTTCCTTATCAGAGAATTCGGGCCATCTGCACCGATGACCATGTCGGCCACGACCTGTTCCTCGCGACCACCGTTTAGAAGATCCCTGTAGTGGACCGAAAGCTGCCCACTTGCGAGTTCCTTGACGTTGAAAACTTGCTTGCCAACTTCGTACTTGGCCCTCATCGTGGCATTTTCCAAATCTTCACCGTCGAGCGCGGATGGATTGAGCGGAGGCACATAGTCGCTGGCGAGCATGTCGAAGTTTGCCCTGAGGCGAAAGTAGAGCGCATCCCAGGAAGAAAGCACGCGGCGAGCTTTTAAAAAAGGACGCGGATGCCCATTTCTATCAAGGGACTGCAGCTGTACGGAGGGAATACCGAGTGGGATGTCACGCATTCGGTCAAATCGTTCCAGAAGGTGGAGCGCGTCTGGGCCTAATCCGACACCGGCCAGATGGGATTCGGGAGTGTTGGCTGAAGAGCGCTCTAGAATACGCACGGCGCTTCCCATACGGTGGAACATTATTCCATGCATGAGGGCGGACAAGGAACCGCCGACCTGGAGCGAATGTTTAGAGCCGACGAGAGACGAATGTCATGATGTAGCTTACGATGACAACCTCTTTTGGAGGGTTGAGGGATGAATTCGACATGATGGTGGAATTCTAGGCCCTGGAGGTATCGGAGTCGATGCTAGTTTGGGGTAAAGAATTTCAAGAGGTGAATGACCGGTTATTTTAAACGACTCAAGGCGACGACGCTTAGATACTGGGGCAGACCAGGACTCCAAGGTGCCGAATGGACTCCCGACTGTCCGGATCAACCTTTACAAGGAATATATGCAAGTTCATACAGGGATTCTCTACGGACTCCGAATGTTGCATATGGACTATGCGGCAACGCTGATCGTATGAAGTGTGCATATGGCGCCAAACGGTTATAAAGGGCCGACAATCCGACCTAAGGTTACGATTTTCACAGCTGATTGCAAGATGTCTCGCTTCCCCACCATTCCACCCCAACAGTGCACCGAGGCCCAGATTGGTGTGCACAATGACACCGCGCAGATATTTTCTCGACTTCCCAGTCATATTGTGTCGAAGGATGCCGAAGGTCAACTACTTGGCCCATATTCTCCGCTTCTGTGAGTGATCCTCGTCATCACTTTTTTCTTCTGCTTCTCATGCCTCTCAAAAGTTACACTGAAGATATCTCACAGACCTGGTTTGCACTGGCCTTCGCGGTTATGCGCCAGAAACGACTGAGCGTAAAAGAGAAAGAGCTTTGTATCCTCGCGGTTCTATCCAGATACGACGCGCCATACGTTCATTATGCCCACTCCGAAATCGCGGTCCGCGTGGGTTTCACCAAGGTTCAAGTTCAGTCTGCACTCCACGGAAAGCTCCCGGAAGAACTTGACGAGCGAGAGTCGAGCGTTTATAACCTATCACTTCACCTTGCCAATCAAAGACGGCCAATGGAAGACTCGGTTTTCGAAGAGGCAAGGAAAACATTGGGTCGTGACGAGATCGTAGGTGTTGCCCACATTGTGAGTGGCTACATATATGTAGCCATGCTCACCAACATAAGCAACCAAGGCGTCCCAGAGGCAGGCGAAGACATGTTCCAAGCAACCAAGAACCCGAAATTGTAGACCTGGCGTAATCAAGAACTTTCCAATCTCTGAGCCGCAGTCCATTCCTTCACAATGATGTCGCCGAGCGCTTTGATCGAGAGGTCCCCAAGAATGTCGAAAACCGGAAGGTCCGCTCCGAATTGCTTCATAGCCCAATTGCGGAGATACAACGCGCTTAGTGAATCTACACCAACCGTGTGAAGGGGCTCTTCCAGCTTGATCTGATCTCGGGGTACTAGGGCAAGAGCGCAGAATTGATCCGCCAGAGCGGTGGCGGCAATGTCGCCACGCTCAGCAAGAGATTCAGCATCATTCAAGCTGGGCCCATGAGCACCTGGTTCACTTTCCTTCGGTTCGTGCTTAGTATTCCCGCCATTTTCGATGAGCATGTGGGACCAAAGGGGATGCGAGAATGCCAAGGGCATATCCGTTGCCCTACCGAGTCGTAGTGACGGCCTGACGATTCCAGTAACAATTTGCGGCGGAAGTTGTTGCACGTCTAGGAGAGGATTGCAGAAGTACTCGAAGAGCGCTGTGATGTGAGATTCCGAGAGCGGCACATATATGCCTTCAGCTCGTAATCGTTCTAACAAGCCTTCGTTTTGCGCTAAGAGGCCGCCCGTGAGCAAGATCCCGAGATCCAGTGACACCGCCTTCTCCCCGGTTGAAAGTCGGTATTTGGCCAGTGCATCCTGGTACGTATTCCCTGCAGCATAATTGATTTGTGTCGCCTGCCCGATGATGCCGGTAATAGAAGATGCGAGAATGAAGAAATCCATGCCCCTTGGAAGGAGCTGGTGCAGATTCCATGAGCCGCGCACTTTAGGATCTACGGCAACTTTCCAATCGTGGAAGCTCATCTTGTGGTATGATATGTCCTGTTTCCCTTCCGTCAGCGTTTCGATTCTAGCCGATTAGATTGAACTAAGTTCACCTTGAGTGCTCCAGTCGCTTGTACACATCCTCTGATTGCTGGAAAGCCATGTAGGTGCTGAAGAGTGTGCAGCAGCACTTCACAATCTGCAATGTCGCATGCCGGGGTGCTCACTCTTGCGCCCGATTGTTCGCATTGATTGACGAAATCTTTGGCGGTTTTAGAACGTGGTCCTGATCGCGACAGAAGGATGAGGTTTCGAGCACCACGTTCAATCATCCAAGATGCCACGGTTCTTCCAAGATCGCCGAGGCCACCGGCGATTATGTAGCTTGCATCGGCAACGAATAATGCTTTCATATTCACGGGCAGCTTGACCTGAGCGTACATTAGGGTTGGTGCTACTCCTCTCAGAACCAATACTTACGATTATCTGGTCGTGCGCATCAAATCGAATTACAACCCGATCCTTATCGCCGAAAGGACTCTCTGTCTTGAAAAAATTCTCTACAACAGGCAATGTGAGTACCTTCGATGGCATCTGAACAAGCCCCCAGCTTGTCTCCGGAAAATCGTGAAATGGCAGCTTGAGTTTGCCAAATTGATGCTTCATCCCTTCCATCGTGTCAATAATCTTGAATCCGACCGTAGGAGGGAGTTCAATGGAGATCTCTGGCGCGGTATCGTCCTCTCCGGCTGACCAGATCCGGAAATACTGACCAAAGGGGGAGATACAGTTATTCAAGCTGGCAGTTTTGGGGCGGGTGAAGTCCAACATGATAGTTGCTTGCCGAGAGCAGTCTTCGCGACAATATCGAGCGAATGAGTGCTCCGTGAAATAAGACATTGTCCCATGAGGGGTATCAAGAAATAAAAGGTCGCATTCTTGGGAAACAATCACGACAGTTCGAAAGGTCCCGTTCGCTAACAGGGAAAGAGTGGCCATTGCAAAAGAAGAATTTTGGCCATGGACCAGGACTATATCGTCAGGCTGGATGCGTGCCTCTTGAAGGATGTAATTGGCGACAACGTAGGCCTCCGGTAGAACTGCTGCTTGCTCAAAATTCATCGCATCGGGAATCTTGGCAACGAGTTCACTTCGAATGCGAAGGGTTGATCGGAGCGCATTGTGGCCATAGGCGCACACGCGATCACCGGGGGAAAAGAGCGTATGGTCTCCAGCCCTTGTAACGAAACCTGCGCATTCCTTGGAGACGATATCGCCGTTTTGGTTTCTCGGCAAGGCAGTCGAAAGATCTGTTCCGCTAAGAGTTGTGGCGTGTACCTCAATTTCTACTTCGTATGGCTCGGGACGCTCGGAGCTAGGCGTGTCTCGGGTAACTCGCAGGCATGACGGAGACCCGGCGTTTCCAACAGAAACACAGAACGGTCTCGCCTGATGTACAGGTACGATCTTGCTGATTTCTCCGCGGAGAATACCCAACATATCAGATGTGAATTGGCTATCTTCGCAAATACGAGATATTGTCGGATGACCGTGTCGCACTACGTGATCGTCCGGATGCTGTAGCTTTGGCGATTCCATGAGTTGCTTGACCGATGAAACGATCAATTCTGCATCAGCGACTTGAGCACGGGGGTCTAGTTCCAACGCTAGGGTGGCGAATTTCGCATCGATGTTCTCGGCTCGAAACACTCTGGAAAATCCGTCGACCATTCCATGTCTTGGATCTGCAGATCTTCCGCCACCTTTACTCACCCACAAGATTTTGGTAAATCGGTGGAGTAGATCTTTCACGGTTTCGAAGATCTTTTCGTTCATACCGGAGAGTATAGCGTAGTCCGTGTCGAGCAGCGATATCAAGACATCTGATGGAGATCTATCCGGCGAGAACGTAGAGATGTCTGCGACTGATATGTTACGAAAATCGCGCTGTGATATTCGATCGAGAAGGGCTGCCACCAACGCTTTTTGATAGATGGAGTTACCCTGTATTGCGATCACAGCAGTGGGACGAGGCTTCTCAGAGTCGACTTCTATCGCAGTTGAGCAAATAATGCTCATCAAATGCGATTCATCGTCCGCGAAATCACGGAGGATCAAATCCGCACCTGAAAAGCCATTGCAGCGTAGTAGATCTTCCCACTTCTCCTCAGTTGATAGCGGACTCATACGGCGATGATCATGAGTCGTTGGCCACCAACCCGGAAGAAGTCCGAAGACGAAACCGACTTCTATGCTTTCTGGACGTACGTACTCATGGATGAAGAGCTTGCCCCCCGGTTTCAGCAGTCTCCGTAGTCTTTGCAATGTACGATCTAGATCTTTCGTGACATGCAACACGTTGGAGGCGGCAATGACGTCGTAGGAACGATCCTTGAAACCTTGTACTTCTGGATCATTGTCGACGTCGAGTATGGCAAACTCCATCTCCTGCGAATACCCAGCAAATTGCTGCTTCGCTTTCTCGAAGAAGGCTGGAGAAATGTCTGTGAAGCAATACTTGCTCAGTCTTTCTGGAGCTCCAGTGTAGCGTGGGAAAACTGCTTCAAGGATATGCTTGGTAAAGGATCCAGTTCCCGCACCAATCTCAAGATAATTCATGCTCGGCGACTTGAAGCACAGTGACTCAAGATACAGTTGGAACTTTTGGTAGTATAGAGAGCCGGAGAGTTGCTGTTTGTAGAATTGTTCTGCAAGGTTGTCGCTTCCGAAGAGAATTTGAATCATGTCCGAGCTGCCTTGTAGAACAGAGAGAGCGTGATCAGCAACCGTGGTGAAGAATCTTCCTAAGAACCCATCTCCTTCTAGGCGTGCACGAAGCAAAGCTGCATATTCTACAGTTAGATGCTCGTCTGTTGACCCGACATGGGTCTCCATCCAGTCCACGTATCTTTGCAGATGCGGCCGCGTTGAGTCAATTCCTGACGCCTCGGCGTCCCTTCTGAGTTTGCCGACCGTGAATCGAAGATACTTTCTAAGATTGTGGAAAAACTCAATAGGGCCTTGTGCATCGGCTCCGCGTTGCGCATGCAACCACTCAAGCGTGCTAGGGCCGGAGAGCATGTTGACGTCCAAAGCTGTCTGAACCTTGTACCAGTATTGATTGTCTTCGGGGATGGGCTCTTTTAAGAGTTGGGAAGCGATTATGGTGGTTTCTAGGCCATTGAGGGCCAACTTGAGTTCACGTTTACCGTCCAAAGCAAAAGCCGAGTACAGAATCTTCGAATGGGAGCTGTTCTCAACCTTGGCCGAGACATGGATCATATCTCCTGAGGGGGCTAATCCGTTGACTGATATCCAAAGCCTGTCAATGCGAGAGATAGCTTGTGTTGGTGATGAACCATGGTGATCGCTTAGTGCGACAAGAGCGACTTGGAAGAAGGAGTCGAGAGTTGCCGGATGTATTATGAATGCGCATTCATGGTCCGTTCCTTGTTTCGGAGGCGTATCTAGGCTGACATCAGCCAAGACTTCTCCGTTCTTTCCATGATAAGCAGTTCGTATTCCTTGAAACGTGGGCCCATAGCGATTGCCTTGTTGGTTGAAAGCGTCGTAGATGATGGAGCTATGCACGGGCCGGCTGCACTCCTTAGATCGAAGATCAAACTTCTCTTGGTAAAAGCGTCGATTTAGTCGATAGTCTTCGCTTGGGCAAGAGTCGATATCAATTATTCCATGGCAGTTCTCACTCCAGTTGCCACACTTGACGGAATGGACTGAAAATTCCCACTCAGAGATCGAAGAGGAATTAATCCGTCTCTTTCTTCGCAAAGGTCTCAGGTATAGCCTGGTTTCCAGATCATCGGAGCCCGGTGAGACGAGAATAGCACTCTCGCAACGAAAATCTCGCAGAGTGAGCGCGACTATGTTTTGCCGACGTCCAGAAATCTGGAGCACACCTTGGGTGGCCATTACTACCATTGCCGCTGCAGGGTACAGTACGGTATTGTTAACCTTATGCTCTAAAACCCACGGCATGTCGGATGTGCTGACACAGCATCGCCAGACCGGCGCCAGCGGGTTCCAGTCCCGGCTCGGTGATCCCAAAAGTTCCCAGTGGCCATGCTCTCTCAATCGATAGTTTCGCACAAGCGGACTCTCCGCCCAATACCTGACGCTGTGGTCGAATGGATATTTTGGTGCATCTACAAGAGATATGGGGGCCTCTTTCAGTAAGGGGTTGGGGTCGTTGACGGAACGAAGATTCACTGGGAGACCTCGACAGTGCAATTCGCCGACCATTTGTAGGAGAGTGGAAGAAGCAGGCTGTTTCCGATACAGGGCGGAGAAATAGGTGATATCATTCGCACGTGCAAGAGATTGCGCAATTTCCTGGATTGGGAGTCGTAAGGCTGCATGCGGTCCGATCTCGATAATATGGTCAACCGCAATAATATTGCGGTGACTGCAATCCAGCTTTTTGCTCAAGCGCTCAACCGGATGCGAGCACAGTCGCTCCATGGCGCCTTTGAACAGAACTGGCGACAACAGATTTGAGATCCAGTAGCTTCCCTCGCATGCTCGATCCTTGGTCAAGATAGTCCCAGTCACGGAGGAAATCATCTTGACATTGGTATCCTTTTGGATCGACTCCAGCTTCCCAAAATGCTGAAGACAATCGGGGACAATGTGTTCCATCTGTGGAGAGTGGTACGCGACCGGAACACGCAATCTGCGGTTGAATATACCTTTTCCGTCGAGGACCTTTTGGAGCTTTGTCAATCGACACTGCTCTCCAGATACCGTAGTGTTACAAGGGCTGTTCACGCAGCTAATCACAAGCTCTCCAACGCCCTGGGGAGATTCGGAGTTGATGTCGTTCAGGCAAGGCCCCAGTTGTTTTGCTGAGAGGCCAACTGCCATCATAGCTCCGATGTACGGACTTCTTTTCGGAATATCAGAAGTGTAAAACCCTCGGTAATACGTAAGTCGTAAGGCGGATTCGCGCGTGAGAAGGCCTGCACAGTATCTGACCGATTGTTAGCTGAGCACACTTGGTTCATACGTAAATACTTACGCCGCGGCGATTTCGCCCATAGAATGACCAACTACAGCGATAGGAAGCACTTGAAAGGCATGGAGAAGGTCGACTAAACCCATTTGCACAATGGTGGTTAGCGACTGAGCGAGACTTGGTTGGTCAATCAAAGTCTCCGTTTCACTCTTGGATAGCTCCACTATCATGGTCAGTGGCAACGATGCGAGGCTTGCATGAGATAGTCTTACCCTCAATAGACCAGGTACAACCAAGACTTTCTAGTAATGACTGCGAACGACGTATGCCCTCCGCGAATATAGGATACATGAACAGCTCGCGACCCATAGCGTACCATTGCGCACCTTGACCTGTGAACACGAACGCTAGGCTTGGACTTCGTCTTAGTCTTTCCTTAGGCGTCGATACAATTCCAGTCAGATTGCGCAAGGATGTAGCAGATGGTACAACTGCGAATGATCCCCACTGCATGCGGCTTCGGCGAGAGTCAAGTGTGTAGCTAATATTAGAAAGCGTGGTAGCAGTCAGAGGCTTGTCCGCATTGTCAGTGTACTGTTGCCACGTCGTGACGAGGTCAATGGTACTCTGTTTGGAAGCTGCAGACCAAAATAGCAGCTTTGGTAGGTTGGGGCTTTCCATCAGATTGGGGCCTCCGAAGGTACTGGAATGCGTCCGTCGTAGCTTTCCAGGGCTGGAATAAAGGCTCGGATCTCCAGGTCCACACACAGTGACATGGTTTCCCTTCAGGTTACGCCGAGTGAGGTAGCTATAAGCGTCGTCTATCACGATATGGCAATTTGTTCCCCCGTATCCAAATGAGTTGACCGATGCTCTCCTGATTGGAGAATGAGGCCATGGCTTGCACTCGATCGGGAATGAGATGATACGATTGTAAGCCGCCAGCCTCCGGTTGATAGATTCGAAATTTGTGTTTGGGGGGATTATGCCAGTCTCAACGACTAATACAGCCTTGAGTAAACCTGCGATTCCACTAGCTCCTTCTAGATGGCCGATATTGGTCTTTACAGATCCAACATAGAGAGGGTCTTGTTCTGTTCGATGCTCATGGAAACACCTAGCGATAGCAGCGATTTCGGTAGGGTCTCCAACCTCCGTTCCGGTGCCGTGTGCCTCAAAGAATCTCGTATGCGCTAAGCTCAGGCCAGCCCTCTGATAGGTCTCTTGTATGAGCTGAGCTTGAGCAAGAAAGTCAGGTTGCGTGATACCTGGTGTCCTGCCATCCTGATTGGTAGTGCATGCTCGTATGACTGCCCGTATTGTGTCATTTGCTCGAAGGGCATCAGATAGACGCTTCAGAACAACAACTGCGACACCTTCTCCTCGAGAATAACCGTTCGCACGTTGATCGAAGGCGTAGGAGCGACCATCTGGAGACAACATCTGCATGTTACTCAAGATTGTGCTATAATCGGGATCTAAAAGCACGTTGCAGCCAGCCACTACGCCCATGTCCGTGGCACCGCTACGCAAGAGCTGACATGAAAGATCGACAGCCATTGCGCTACTTGAGCACGCCGAATCCAGGTTGACGGAGGGTCCACGAAGGTCAAAGAACCAACTCAAACGGTTGGCGAGCATGGATTGAGAGGCGCCGACGGCTGCGTAAGCTGGTAGTCTTTCTGCGTCTTTGAGTGTTTGTTGTAGGTAATCATTGGTGAAGCATCCAGTATGAACCGAGGTGCGAGACTTTCTCAAATCTTGAATGCGTATGCCCCCGCTCTCGAAGGCATGGACGGCAGTCTCCAACAAAATGCGTTGCATTGGGTCCATAGCGGCAGCCTCGCTAGGCGATATGGAGAAGAATCCAGCATCAAAAAGTCCGAGATCTTCCTCGATGAAGTGTGCTCCTCGAGTACGGAGGGCATTGCGTCGTGTTACATGGTGAAATGCACCAACATTCAGCCGAGCTCGAGGATATTCTGTCATTCCGCTTCGCTTTTCAGAAATCATGGCCCAGAAACCCTCCTCAGAGGATGCTTCTTGAGGAAACTTCAGAGAGAAGGCACAGATCGCAATTGGCTCTTGTTCCTTCGAATCATCATCGTCCACATAGAACTCGTTGCTGAATTTTGCGTGATGCTCTCCCGTTCGACGAATGTATGATGGTGATCGCATGTTGAGTAAGGTTGAATGGTTGAAATGTCCTGACGCGAAGAAGTTTTTGACGATGACGGTAAGGCCCTGATAGCCTACGAGATAGGATAGGAGCGGAAAAGGGATAAGCGATGTGATGGCACGTGAGATATCTCACATAACTACCAGAGGCAGTATATAAATGCCACGGTGCTCTTCTGAAAGATGCCTTCAGCCAGTTCTCCAAGCACTATCCTCAGCCATGCACTTTCTTTGCCTCCATGGTGCAGGAACGAATGCCAAGGTTGGTCTTCCCTGCCGGGTCGACGACAGACTGGATGACATACTAAGATTGGCCCGGTAGATATTTGAATCACAAACGGGTATGCCAATCGTGGCCCTGCAAACTTTGCTCTAAGCTAAGATGAGGCACAGCGGCCCTACGCTATGAGCTGAGTGGGGCCCATACTTACCACTTTGTCGAAGGCGCCGTTCGGCAGCAGCAAGCCCCTGGTACGTAGGATCATAGAATACCATGAACGAAGCTAATATCTCTGCGGCCGATAGGAATCGGGAACCTCGCTGCGTCAGATGAGCTCTGCTTCGCGTACTACCTACCCGACTCCGCCGACTCGTTCATGGCCGCAATCATCGACCTAAAGAATTACCTGGAAAAAGAAGGTCCGTTCGACGGAGTGATGGCCTTCTCACAGGGAGCGTCCCTTGTCAGCGCACTGCTTTGCCTCAATATCAGGCCATACACATGCACCATTCGATGCGCGGTCTTTTTCTGTGGGCGGACCCCATTCATTGATTTCAGGGATATCGAACCCACCAATTCCGCATTCGGAAAGAACCTCGGCCAAGACGGAGTTGAGAAGATCGAGATGCCAACGGCGCATATCTGGGGTCTTAATGACGAAATTGAGCCAGGGCAGGGAGCTGAGCTCAGCAAGTTGTGCCGCCCGCAGAATAGACACATCTATGTGCATGCCGGTGGTCATGAGGTACCAGGATCCAAGGATCAGGAAGGGCTGATTGAGTCCGCCAATGCGATCCGAAGCATGCTGGCCGAGCTGTAACGCGCTAGAGCGCGGCGAAGTTGATATCGATGCTATGCAAATAAATGATTGGCTACCATAGGTAGACGCTATTTAACCGGAGCGAACAAGGGCGTCAACGTATTCCGAAGGAATATGTTGAGTTTCCCGGGGTGTGCAAGAGTTCAGCAGCTTGGATGTTTGTGATTATGGTTGCAGGCCTGTCGTGCGCTGGCGAAGTGGACGGGCGGGAGCGGCCCGAGCCAACACAGGCTAGATCGCCGTTGCTTGTGGCGTACAGGGGCCCACGAAGGCCCCCGTAAGGAGGTTTTACTGCATTGAACCCGCCTGATGCGAATGCGAGGATGACTGCATGAGGTGCTCGCAGGCGCGGAAATAAACGCTGTCTACTCCAACAAGTCGACTACATGTCAGGCAGATATGCAGTGTATCGTCGTTTTTATCTGAGCACATTGAGATTAGGGCTGTAGGAGTTCGGGGACCGAAACGATGTCACACAAACTCTCAAATTTAGTGAGAGCTAGGCTGACCTTGAAGTCGTTCGGGATTTGGAAATATCACTAACGCTGGCGGGGTACGCTGTGTTTGATAGTCGAAAAATCCACGGCATGCGTAAAAGGTTTTCTTTCTGATCAAGCGATTGGATTGTTACTTCCGCTTGAAATAGTTTGCCTCGAGAGTGAACTTGTGTTTATGAGTGCGAACACATCTCCAAGTAGAAAGTATCTCGATGCTGCTATAATACACCTCAAAGTTTCAAGAAGATAGGAAGAGATGCGGCCATTATCCCGCATATAGATATTCCCAGTTGTCCAAACTCCCTATGGTACTTTCTGCGTCTCCTCGTTCCTTCAAGAAATGACAATATCATTGCGCACATGAATTCCAGTCGGAGCTGGAAACTTGATCCGACCGTCACTACCTGACTCAGTGCCTTTGCTTGCCTCAATAGCTGTGACATGGGAGTTGGAGCCACATTCTCCAGGTATCTTGACTGAGGAAAGCTCAAATGACGGTTTCCCAAGCTCCGTGCTATTGTCGTCGCGAGAGTACGGGTGACTACGGGTGCCGGCAGCGTTCATAAGCCTAGACCTTGAACCACCACCCCGAGTGCTGATCAAGGACCAAGGACCATCACGGACCCCGCGTTGGATTAGAAACAAGAGGCTCGGCAGACTAACGCTGACCACAGAGATTGCAATCTCAGAGCCTAACCACAAGACCGGGGTTGCAATTTTGACTGGAAGGCATTAGAACTCAAGATGGAGAGTGATGGGAGGTCCTCACAGGTTGGGTCAGTCTGCAGGCTACTACCAGCCTGTACAATGGTGACCAGCCGACCTATAGATACCACGACAACCCTAGCTATGAATCAGAATATCGAATGCTGAAAGAAGTCGACAAATAGTGGAGCTGTTCACCTACATGTATCCACAAAGAAACACCCCGCAAACTTGAAGCTTCCGCGTCTTCTTCATCTGAAGCTTCCAAAGCAGTGGAAGGGGCATTAAGAGAATGACACAGTCAATGAGAAGACTGGTGATCCCGCTGGCAAGCCATAGCATCTGGGTATTGACGCATGTCCCTTCTAAGGCGACTTTCCACGCCTTCTGAATTGGAGAGCATTCGAAAATGACGCCAAAAAGGATACCAATTAGCCATGCAGCGTTGGCAAAATGAACTACCCACAACGTGTATTTGAACCACCGATTCATCACTCCAAGGACACGCGCGTAGAAGAAGAGAGCCGATGTTTTCGCGACGGCTGTTCCAGTGTCGAAGAGGAAGTATTCAACCCAGAGTAATTTAAGAAAAGGCTCCAAGTTCTTTTGTGGAACGATCTGAATATGCAGCCCCATTCCAAGGTCAACAAGACGGAGCCCCAGGACGCACACTGCGACATTGAGAATCTTTGGGTCGTGAGTGGGAGAAGACCCGTGTGCTTGGTTATCATTACTTACTGTAGCCGTGAGCGCAGTCCAATCATCCCACCAGAATCGAGTGGGCATATGGGAGATTGAGAAGGCTGGTGACAAGTATCGAGACCAAAACCTAATGGCAACAACGACAGTCGGAAGGACAATCATAGCGACAAGCAAAGACCGCAAGTTGTTTTGCTTGTTTTCTGAAAGATCAACACCAGAAGCCGCATTCATTCTGGACATTGTAACAATGATTGAAGTGGGAAGTTTACTTGTTGGATGATGGGATGTTTCAACAAGAAGTAGTCGATTTGATGATAGTCCGCATATTGGACATTTGGCAGAGACTTTGAGTCTGGGGTTGTATCATGATGTGGTGTGTTGGACCATGGATAGAAAGCAGGGGCAGGCTCACGTCGGACTTCACATTGTCAGGCCAGGAAGTGCCCATGGAGATTGGCCCACGAAGCTGACAGTTTGTACTCCCCGGAGTGGTTAGTACTAGGGTGCGAAAGAGAAATGTAAACTAAAGTGATTGAATGAATTGCGGTGGTGAAGGTGGTGCAGCCGGGCGTCAAGGGTGATACTGTCCGCCAATGCTTTCGACAGGGATGATATTGCCGTGCGCTCCGGGTATAGTCACAGTACATGCATCCTTGAAGCGTTACCTGACAGCGGAACGCCGCAATTGAGCATGTTGATCATCTAACTGGCATCCCATACTATGCGGCGTCAAATTACAGCTGCGCCGTTTGTGCCTTCGCCGCATTGGTCTAGTGATAATCGCCAGAGGAGAGACGGTTCCCAGCGCCGCGCCTTTACAGCCATGAAATCCATTTTTCACTTCTCAGCAACTTCAACATCATTCAAAGTCTAACTCCCAATATTTTGATTCAAAGAATTCCTTCTTTTCACATCCTAATATCTCAAAGATAAAATGTCAACCGCCGAGAAGTTGTCCAACCATGCTGAGTCTCCCCTCAGAGAGACAACGTCCGATGAGCAGACAATCACCAACAGGGGGCCATTCGAAAGAGCCAAAGAGTCTTCCAGCACTCAGCCTGCTCGAGAAATAAAACCTTTATCTTGGTTTGCAATCATATTCTCGCTCTTGTCTGCCTTGTTTTTATTTGCATTGGACAACACCATTGTTGCAGATGTGCAAGCGGAAATCATCTCCACGCTAGAAGGAATTGACAGACTACCCTGGATCTCTGTGGCCTTCGCACTTGGAGCTGTTAGCACCAATCTTGTTTGGTATGAAATATCTTAGCATGCCATAATTTCTGTAGTGGATGTTGACTGTGAAATCAGGGGTCAGCTCTACTGCTTGCTTGAGAACAAGATTCTTTTCATCACCAGTGTCATTCTCTTCGAAGTTGGTTCGGCCGTGTGCGGCGCTGCGCCTACGCTCAATGCTCTCATCGTCGGGCGAGCACTTTGTGGCATTGGCGGAATGGGAATTTATCTAGGAACCATGAACATGGTGTCTGCTCTAACGAATCAGATCGAAAGGCCAGTGTATTTGGGCTTCGTTGGATTGACGTGGGGTATAGGAACTATGTTGGTATCTCCTTCTGCCCTAATAATTTTTTGCTGACGAATTGGCAGTCTCGGGCCTATTATCGGTGGAGCTTTTGCCGATAGCTCAGCTACATGGAGATGGGCCTTTTACATTAACCTTTGCATCGGAGCGCTCGCGGCTCCGGTGTTCATCTTCCTCCTGCCCACCACCATGCCCGCAGGTTGCGGCGATCAGAGTCTTTCCTCTCGAGTCAAGAGATTAGACACTGCCGGAGCTCTGCTGAGTGCAGGTGCTATAGTAACCCTCGTGATGGCTGTGTCATTCGGCGGAGGCACGTACGCATGGAACAGTGGGCAAACGATCGCACTTTTTATCGTCACTGGCGTCCTTTGGATCTGCTTCGCCCTGCAGCAGAACTTCTATGTTCTCACAACTCGAGAGAACCGTTTATTTCCAACAACGCTACTCAAATCCTGGGAAATGGATATCTTATTCGCTCAGATGGCTAGCGCCCAGGTTGTGGTCACGGTCCCCATCTACTTCATTCCCCTCTACTTCCAATTCGCAAAGGGCAAGTCGGCTTTCTCTAGCGGTGTTCAACTTCTGCCTTTTGTTCTCCTGTTGGTATTCGCCGTTATGCTCAACGGAGCTATGATGCCCAAGGTTGGATACTACATGCCGTGGTACTCTGTTGGTTCTGCACTAGCGCTCATCGGCAGTGCTCTGCTATATACTGTGGACCTCGACACCAACCAGGCCAATATTTACGGATGCTCTGTCCTTACCGCCTTCGGAGTCGGTCTTTTCTCTCAAGCTGGATTTCCTGTCGCTCAGGTCAAATCTCCTCATCTGCAACAAGCCGTGTCGTTCATCGGATTTGGCCAAGTGGGCGGCATCACACTCGCTCTCATGATTTCGAACAGCATATTCATGAACCAAGCTACGAACAGAATTGCCGACATCCTGGACAACACATCCAAGGCGACCATTCAGGAGGCGATACTTGGCTTTGGAAATGCGTTCTTCCACAGTCTTACTCCGACACAGCGGAGACAGGTCTTGGAAGCAATCATCGAAAGCATTTCGGACGCTTTCATCACGGTCATCTCCGCAAGTGCCTTGTCTCTGGTGCTTTCAGCATTCATGAAGCGCGAGAAGCTTTTCGTGAAGCCTATGCAGTAATCTGACTCCGCAAATGGGCATATTTGGGCCGCAGACTGATTTGGGAATTGATGGGCCTGGTAAGCAAATTGTGGCGTCGGACACATCTCGAATATTTTTCTACACCCTTGTGAAAGTAATACTTTCTATGTGTATTGGTCAACGCGACTGGGGTTGAAAATTGGCTGCTCCTTGGTTACCTTTTCCACATTCGCTATTCAACGGAGAGGACTTCGCATGGTCCACCCCTTCCACTTGTTCTCCTGGTTATCTCCCTTGTTTGGCGAAACGCCACATTCGGTCTCCTGAAAAATCCAAACCTTCTTTGACATCTTCAAAGTGGTGAGCGTTCTGGTGACTCAATGGGAATGCAGGGTGCTGGTGCCGAACAGCGGGCTCACTTTCTTCCAACCGACCCCGTACGTCACCTTTGTTTGCAAAATATCTCTCTTCACACGTTGATCGACCCGAGCATCAATCTTTCAACCCTACACTGCTCTGGTAGCCAAAACTCAAAGTATGACATCCATGTCCACAGATGACGCCAAAGCGCTGGTACAGAGGCTCGAGCAACTGGCTTAGAGCCCACCCAAATGCCTGCTTGAAAATGAAAATCTTCGGCGCAGGTTCCGAGATGAGGCCCATAGCATGAGCGTCTCTGTACAGAAGCCCAGTGACAGCGTGCATCTCATAGCATACGGCGCTTTGTACTCGTCCATGGCCCGTATCGGAGTTGACACTAAGATTTTCGAGCTGTTAGTCAAAAGACCAAAGCCATTGAGCACGCCATGCGACAGAGCGACTCCTGCGGTTCTACGAATCATTCCACTGGATCTCGAGAACAGGAGAAGACCAATTCACTGCGAACAACCTCACGAAAGGACTTGCACCTCCATTCAGTACGGGTATCGAGTTCTTGTGAGTCGGCAGGGTATGCTCTAATTCGAAAGCGATTTCCTCATTTGAAAGAACGAGTGATTATGCAAGATCAGGAACATGTCATTAACGCGTGGCGAGCAAACCCCACAGATCCACGACTTCTTTACACCACAACCGGCGAAAGGTGACCCGGCACAATCATTCGGATCCTCCTAAGAGTAGCTGACATGGCAGTGAGGAGCCCGGGCATATTACATGCGGAACATCATCCATGACCATCAAGACGAACAAGCACGGGCGATTCTCGAGCAGATTAGCCTCGGCCTTCAGCGAAGAGTCGATACTGCTAATCTATGACATTGTGCTACCTGATTCTGGACCCACTGCCCGGCATGCCACCTTGGCGGACATGAACATGATGAGCGCACTTGCTTCGAAGGAACGATCGGAGGGGGAATGGCAAGCGTTGCTGGAGTCGGCCGGACTTCGGATTGTCAAGGTATGGAAGTATGCAGATGAGACTGGTGATTCTGTCATTGTTGCTCAGCGTACCGAAGCGCCTCTAGGCGAATAATCCCGTTGATGCAATAAGGGTGGTCATCCTAGGCTATGGTACATTATCAGTGACTGGAATAGTGAACGTGCAGGAAAGATTCCCGTTCCTAGGCCCATGTTGACTGCATCCAGTGGTTCAAAGACCCAAACCTAGGTCGCTTCATTCTCAGCATTGAATTCAGATGTGGATACCCGCTATGCGATGCAACGCGGAATGCAACAATGTCCGAGGGAGAGCGTCGAAGCTGACAGTACTTTCCATGCAACGAGATGCTCTAAAAGTGAAGCTTGCTGCACTTTGCGGCGTTGATGTTGTGTTTCGGCGGCTAGCCCACAGGCAGGCCCTCCGGGGGTCGACAGGGTTGAACCCGTTAATCGGGATGGCCCCCATTCGTAGGCGCTTGCCTGTGGCGGAGTTGCAAGGGTCGATGGCAGGGTGAACCAAGCTCTGTCAACCTATGCTTCTGGGTGTATTGGCATGCAGCATACACCCTTGCACGGACTTCATGCCTGTAGTCATGTGGGACTTGCTCTGCGATGCGTGAGACACTCAACCCGTCGCGTTTCCATGCAATTAACAGGCTCAAGGTTCATATATTAAAACAAGGCAACTACGGAAATGCCAATGGCAACGTCTCGCGGCTACGTTGGGTGGGATAATCCTGATGGCCCCCGACCTTGGAGACATCCCGTCCACGTTCCCGCATGCACATGCCCATACCCATGCACAGACCCATGGACATGCACAAGGTAAAGGTCCTAGGTCCATGAAGGCGGTTCTAGTAGATATTGAAAGACATAGACACCCTATGCGGTCATTTCTAGAATGCATTATATTGCACGGGCATCATCTTGCGGCGCAGCAAAGTTGGCCTTGCCGATCTTCCAGCTCCACCAGGCCCTTGCGTCATATCAATCCAAACCCAACGCTGCTGTGGGTATCAAAACAGCTCCCACATTCTTCTTCAACAGCAGAAGTTCCTTCATCAATCGTGATCTGTCTACCCACACGAGTCCCAGTCCATCTTTCCATCCGTACCATGATCAACAGCTCCCAGCTAGACGGCGTAGCACTGGTCGTCGGAGTATGATCCAAGCCAACTCCCTCAACACAAGTAAAATCTAACCAGCAAACTGCAGTCTGGAAGGGGCATTGGAAAAGAATCCGCCTTCTCCCTTGCCGAAGCCGGAGCCAGCGCCGTCATCTTCGCCGACATGAATGAAGAATGGGCCAAAGAGTCGTCCGAAGAAAGCAAAAAATACGCCACGAACAAAGGCTATCGCACCGCCACATTCAAGATGAATGTGCAAGACGACCAGTCCGTGCAGGACATGGTAGACTTCGTGGTCAAGGAGTTCGGTCGTCTCGACTACGCCGTCAATGGCGCGGGCGTAAGTACCTACCGACATAATGGAGACCACCCACTTCTGTCATGCTCGTTGATCCCCTCCCCCTCCACCCATTGCCCCAAAATCGATTCTAACAACCTCGGTCACTCGTGTAGATTGACAACGGCCCCCACGCCGACATCGCCGACACCGACATCGCCAACTTCGACCGCGTAATGAGCATTAACGCTCGCGGCAACCTCCTCTGTGTCCGCGCCCAAGCCGCCGCCATGCGCGCCCAAACCCCCAAAATGTGGACCTCACGCAACGGTACGCGCGACATTGGCCGCGGCGTCATCGTCAACGTCGCGTCTGCCAACTCCTTCGCAGGCCTGCCGGGAAAGGGCTGCTATACCATTTCCAAGCACGCCGCCATGGGCGTTACGAAGATGGCGGGATTGGACCATTCCGCCGAGGGCATCCGCGTTCTCGCTGTCTGCCCAACGTGGGTGCGGACGCCCTTGTTGGATGTCGAATTGGCGCGTAATCCTGAGGTTAAGGGCCAGATTGCGGCGGTCGTGCCCATCAAGCGCGCGGCGGAGTGTGAGGAGGTTTCGGATGTTATTTCTTTCTTGTGTAGCCCGGCGGCGAGCTATATCAATGGCACTAGCTTGCTCATTGATGCCGCTGTGACTACCACGCTCCGACTGTACTAAAGGCCATAAGGATCGGCTCATTGCTCGCCGGCAACTTGTATCTAGTCTTCGTGTTAGTGTACTGCACTGTAATTAGCTCGCACGTATACATTACCTCCGGGGCGTGGCATAAATTTCAATAAGAATAACTTTTCTAACTAATAGTAGAACGTAAAGATGTTAGCTATATGTAAGACTATACCATCCCGTAGTGTAGTAGGCATAGAGAAATCGACTCTCTTCGAAGGGCACAGCGAAGCACCACGAAGACTAAAACATGCGGCCGCAGAACAGGCATCACTTGGAGTTATCGGCAGCGCTATCCGCACGCTAGTATCCAAGTTGTAGGCAGGTGAGCTAACCAAACGTTCCCGTTGCGTAATCCCATTGCTTGCCTTCTCCCTTCAGCAACTCTCGCTCTTCATCATCCCGCGTCAAACCGCCTGTCTCGCCCGGATGCTCCCACCAGCATATTCCCGCGCGTGTCCATTCCGTGACATTCGATTGCTCTGCGCGAACTAGAATGAGACCGAGTAAACTTGGACGATCGTACTTTTGATAGAGACCAAGAAGAAGCATCCTGGCGTCCGCACGCCTCTCTGCAACCCAGCTAGCCAAATCCACGTATCTCGTCCCAACCATCTCGCGAATGTCCTCACCGCCGTAGACCAGCTCGGTGGGTGGGTCATAGAATGACACTGCATCCAAATCTATCTGCACCGCCGGCAAGCTATGCGGTGATTGCCTCGACCAAATGCAAGTTAGAGCTGTGAGCGGAGCCATGAGCCCTGCGAAGTGTCCCACCAGGACATTGCCAACATGCTTGACTGAAAGGGTAGATGCGCGTCGAAGGAGATTTTTCAAGTCTTTCACAATCCACATGGGCGAGAGTGCCGACTCCGGAGCCCGAATATGGTGGCTCAATCGCCAGGCTTGGCCGGGCGCTGCTGGGCGCGTATGCACGAACATCTGACTCAGGTCTTGGTTCTGTGCCAACAGCGCCGACCCGAGCTGATCCTCTAATTCTTGAAGATTGTAGTCACGTCCCAGCGGACTGGCCGGCGCCGACTTCCCGAGCTTCAAGTCAAAGACCTGCATGATTCCGTACACGCGATCAGTAAGGCGTTTCGGACTTACGGTGCGAAAATGCGCTGCCATTAGTAGCTCGACAGGGAAGCCGTAGTAAAGACCAAGAAGTCCCGTCCTCCGCAGGCGGTTTTGGACTTCTTGCAGTGCTTTCGGTTGCCTGCACAACGCACGGGTGATTATGCCGTAGAAGCCTTGACAGAAGGTCGTCAGCTCTTTCAGCCAGAAAGGCACGGATGGAGATACGCTGGGCCAGAGCTCTCCGTTGCGGTCCACCAGGAGCAGCTCGGGCCGAAGGTATGCTTCTTGCAGCGTCCAGAGAGAGGAGAACCATGGATCGGAGGTCACGAACTCAAAGCTTTTGAGGGCCAGGTCGAGTCCGGATTGCTGGGCCTCGGTGAATTGTGTACCCCAATCCCCCTCGGTGAGAAGATCGATACCCTGCTCGAATGTCTTGATGGCCGCGTCGATGTCAGCATTTGTGTGCTCGCGCAGCCACGCGTAGACTTTCGTGGCCCCCCTGAAGATGACGGCCTGCCGTCCAATCTCCAAGTCCTTCTCCCTTGACCCGTCTCTTTGGTCTATGCATGCAATATCGATCCACACAAACTGCACCTGTGCCCAAGGCTCGTCGGGCCCGTGGATAAGTGGAAGCTTGCAGATCAGCTGTCGCAACTGATCGGGCGTAAAGCAGTCCGGGTGAACCCGAGGGATTTTCCAGGGCGTGCCAAAGTCAAGGGCACAAAGTTCCGGAAATTCGCCGTTGCCGAGCTCCCACCGGCCCCAAGTATATGTAATAGCGAAGTATGCCGGCTCGCGAATGTCGTTATAGGTGTTGCCGGGCCGCCAGTGGAAGGAGGTCAAGGTTGGAATGTAGAGGAGCTGCCGTGGCCAGGGGCAGGTGTCGTTAAGGGCAGCCTCAGAGGTGCACGCGCTCGCCATACTAGATTCATGGGAGGCAGGTCAACATCTAATAGTCGCGACAACTAGGCACGTAACAGGCTCTCGGTGCGTTGGCGTAACTAGCATCTTCGCCGTCTAGACTCTAGAGTTTTAATATTCCTCGCTTAAGCTTAGCGCTCTTGGCAGAGATTACGTATTATTATATTAAGCTAATTATTTATAAATATTTAAAAAATAGTTAACGTACTTTACTAGCAAGCTAACTATACTACTAAGCTAACTACTTTTACTAAGCTCTTACTAAAAATAATCTTAACTACTATAAGTTTAGCTATCTACGTAGAATTATTCTCTTATAAAGCTAGAATATAGCTTACTCTCTCTACTCTCTAAACTAGCTAAATTTAAAGTAAATAATACGTTATAGCTATATATAGAGTCTACTAATTAATACTAAAGAACTAATATAATAGAATTACTCTATAATATAAAAAGATACCTAATTTAATAAAGCTTATAAAGAATAAAGAGTAGGTAATAGTTAAGTATATACTAGACCTAGACGCATAAGAATTTACCTCTTAGCTTACTACTATTTAAGATATAGCTAATATACTACTTACTAAGTAGAGAAAAAAGGTTATAGATAAGAACTAGCTAAACTACTTTATTATACACTATTCTAAGCTTAAACTATAGCTTAATTACTAGTATAACTATTAGAGAGTAAAGTAAGAAGATTCTATAATTATTTAGACGTAGTTTAACCTAGTAGATAATATAAAGATAAAGTATAGTATTACTAATAAAGATATATATAATTTTAATAAATCTAGCTTTATAATAGAAATAATATTACTTTAGATAGTAGTTAACGTATTCTACTAGTAAGTAGATTATACTAGTAAGTAGATTAGAAATTTCTTAGTAGTAAATACTATAACTATAACGCGTAATATCTTAATACTTATAGAGAGATAGTACTTAGTAAAAAGGTAGAATTAAGCTTACTCTTTAAGTATATAAAGCTAGCTAATTTAAAAGTCTATAACGTACTACTAAGGTATATAGTATATTCTAAATAACTCTTTAGTAAAGATATAATAGAGCTTTTATATATACTAATATCTACTCTAGTATCTAGAAGCTTACTATAACTAAAGAGTAGATAATTATCTAATATATTCTTAACTTTAATTTATAAGAATTTACGCTCTAGCTATATAAGATAGTAGATATAGTAGATAAACTACTAGATACGCGTAGTAGAAAGCTAGTAGATAAGAATTAGCTAGTAAGATTTGTAGAGCGTATATCTAAGCTTAAGATAGCCTAGAATAAGACGAAGAATTACTAGAGAATACGCTAGAAGAATTCTAAGATTATTAGCGTATAGTTTAAGCTTATAGGTAATACTAAGGTAAAGTATAGCGTAGATAATAGAAATATATATAACTTTAATAAGACTAGCTTCTAGATAAGTATAATTAGATCTATAAAGATTATTATAGACTTAGAGAGGCGTAGAAGACTAGACCTTGTTTAGCTAGGTAATCGCGAGTAGATTACTATTATCTAGAGTATCTACGCTATAGAATACGTAACTCTACTATTTATTATCTATAAAGAGCGTGTCTACATCTCTATATAGTATAAAGAGGTAGGTATACTATATAATTAGAAGCTCTTAGTCTTAGAGAATAGGTAGATAAATAATAAGCTTAGTCTTACGTAGTTAAAGTACTTTAACGCGTATATAAAAGCGTATTAGATAGAAATATAGTAGCTACTAATTCTAGATAGCTATAAGAGCTATCTTAACTAGAATTTTAAGAACTACTATCTAGAGAATAAGATTCTTATACTCTATATACTACTATACTTATTATATATTCTATAGCTACTTAATATAGCCTACTTTACGTTATTAAAGCTAAAGTACTTCTAATGCGTTTAGAACTTAGTACGCTAACACGTCTTCTATATAAGTAAGAAAGGCTTTCTACTAGTCTTTAAAGACGCGTTTTTTAACGTGTTTATAGAGAAGAACTATAGAAAGACCTTCTAGGTAGTAGAGCTTATTCTACTAAGCGCTATAGAGGTTCTAGATTATCTTAACGTATAAATACGTACTCTACTAGAACTCTTACTACTCTATACGCTCTAGGTATTAAAGACGCCTAGTACTACGCTTAAATTTACGTTATAGTTAAAGCTAGTACGTAACTTCTTTAATATATTACTAATAAGAATCTAGACTAGCTTTATATAGCTTATTAAAAGAGCTAAGATAATACTATACTAGAATACGCTTATAAGCTTCTAGATTACTAAGCTTAAAGAGTAAGTAGAGATGCTTACTAAGTAGAAATTACGTAAAAGAAGGTAAATCTAGCAGGGCAGTATAATAGAGTATAGTAAAAGAGTAGTATAGATAGCTACTAAGGCGTCTTCTACGCCTTAGTAATTAAAGAAGATTTATACTAGAAATAGCTACTAGAGTATATAGCTAGGTATATAGTACTATAGAAACTATAGTAGAACTAGATATAATACGCGTATCTATAAGAAGAATATAGAGAAGCTTTCTAAGTTAGATAAGAGTATAGTATATATAGGTTCTCTCTTTAGTAGTAATAATAATTTATAATCTATAGTTATAGTATTTACTATTAAGAAATCTCTAACCTACTTACTAGTATAACCTACTTACTAGTAGAATATATTAATACTAATATACTTTATAAGTAAACTAACTATATAAGTAAGCTAACTACTTTTACTAAGTCTCTACTAAAAAGCTACTATCTTAGTTAGATTACTCTAACTCTAAGCTACTTAAGATAAATCTAGATAAGCTATCTAACTTATCTATATTATCTTTAACTATTTAGCACGTTTACGCGTTATACTCTAGCTTACTATAGTGTCTATAGTATTACTAAGCTAGCTAGCTATTATATAATAGTCTAGTTTAGAGATTTATCTTAGTTATATAATCTTAGGTTACGTAACTTTATTACGTAACCTAGCCTAGCGTCTTAGCGCTTAGCACCTCTATATATAGAGCCTCTTAGAGTATTCTTTTACTTCTTACCTTTAAATAGCTAAATTTAACCTAATCTACTCTACTAGCACCTTTTATTCTTATAGCTTATAGAGATAGTACTACCTATAGCTAACTTATCTAGCTAGATGTTTAGAGACGCTTATAGTAGTAGAGACTATAGAGCTAGCTTTTATATTATTTAAAGGTTAATATCTCTTTAGCTAGAGATAGTAGTATAATATTTGGCTAAACTAAGTAGTCTTATAAGAAGCGTTTACTAATAGCTATACTAAGAATTAGAGCTATAAGAGCCTAGTTACTTACTCTAAGAATCTATTAATGTATTAATTAATTACTTCTCTCTAGTGCTATATAAGACTACTAGTGGATCTAGTAGATAGTAGAAAAGATACTACTAGTAGTAAGCTAAAGAGAGCTATAAGAGCTCTACGTATAAGAGAACTTTTATAGAACTTCTACGTATAGAAACCTCTCTCTATTTTAAAAATTAATAATTCTCTACTCTACTAGTAGAGCTAATAATTAGCTACTATACTAGTAGTATATACTTCTACTTCTTAAATAAGAAGCTATACCTAAGTTAAACTACTTAAATACTATAGGTAAACTCTTATAAAGTAACTCTAGAAGTAAGACTCTAGTTTTATAGTACTCTTTTACCTCTATAATTCTTAAATTCTAGATAGAGAACCTACTAGCTAGTTACTTAAACTATTATTATTATTATAAATTATCTATTCGACAACATAATATAATAACTAATAAGAATTAGAATATTAACTTTAAATAGAAGCTAGTACGGCTACGCTAGAGCTTAGTAATACCTAGGTTATTAGTAGTAGATAGCTTTTATATACTCTCTACCTCTAGAAAAAAGCTCTAAGAGCTTTTTCTAGAAAAGCTAAGTAAAATTATTAATAAATTAGTTAGCTAATTACTTATACGCTAGATACTTAAATAATAGACCTATATATATTACTAGATTACTACTAATATATTTACTAAAGAAGATACTATATATAGAGAGTATTAGAATTTATAGTAGAAAAAAGCTACTATCTTAGTAAAGATTTAATAGCTATAAGTATAACTATAATTCTACTCTAGAAGCTAAATACTATCTACTTTATTAACTTAACGCGTAATATACTTTATAAATTAGATACTATATATACGTAAAACTAGCGCGTTACTACTAGATAACTTAATTCTAGGTTTATCTAACTACGTATACGCTTATATACTACTAGTAACTAAATAACGCTTAGAAAGCTAGAGGTTTTCTATTAAGTTTCTAGACTCTCTATTACTATCTAATAGCAAGGTTATTATCTTTAAGTAATAGAGAAATAGGTTATAAAATAAGCTTTAAGCTAATCGCGACTAGTATATAGAAAAGATAGATAAAAATACTAAGAAGACTATTATAGTCTATATACGTATATAAATAGAAAAAGATATATACTAGACTCTCTCTATAATTCTACGTACTCTAAGAAATAGTAGTATATAGATTTTCTATAAATATATACTTAATTAGCTAGAAAGAAGCTATATAAACCTTTATAAAAAGCTAAATACTTACTATAATTTCTAGAATCTATATTGCTAAACTACTACTAACTTCGCGTACTTCTAGATTAATTTCTTCTACCTAGCGTAGAAGCGCTAGCTTCTAATAGACTAATAGGTAGAAAAGCTTTATAAGAAGCTTCTAGTAAACCTATATATATAAATAGATATTTACTAACGTTAGTATACCTAGAATTATAATTAATATATAGATCTTACTTAAGATCTTACTAGAGAGCTTATCTAAGAAGAAGCTTACGTATTTAGAAAGGTTAAAAAACGTAACGTACTTACGTTAATACTACGTTATACGCCTACTACTCTTCTAGATATTCTACTAACCTCTAATAAAGCTCTAGTAATTAAGAAGCTAGTTACCTACTTCTAATACTAGTAA